TGACCTGACCCATCTGTGCGAACGCAGGATATGCAGGTGTCCCGGTGGCATTTGCCGGATGCCGTCATGACGAGCACGGGTTGCAAGATGGCGAGCGTCGGGGAGGTCGTTGGCGCGAGAATAGAAGCTAGCCCATCTCGTACCCCCTCCCCCCTTGTCAAACCACGCCAAACAGCGGGCCGCGGGTCTGCGGGAACACTTGAGAACTGCAGGAACTGCAGTCCGCGCGGTCCGTGACGCATTATCCGTCCCCGGGCGCAACACGCAACACAGCGAGGACGCGGCCTGCGATAGCGGGTGAAGCGGTGCGGCCGACAGGTTTTGCGGAACGAGCAACGACAAAGGGGCCGCCGGGTGGGTGGGTAGCAGGTGGGAGTGCTCAGGTCATCAGGAACCGGACGGAAAGTACTAGCGCTTGAACGGAGCAAGTGGGGACACGGAGAGAGAGAGAACGCAGCGACTGCTGCCGAGCAAGTGGCCTGCCTCTGAGGGCGTTTATTTTGTTTTTTGTTCTGAACAACAGGACAATGGCCTCGCTGCCGAGCAGTACGATGTGCAGGGGAGGTTGAGCTCAGAGACATGGGTCGTGCCTGTGGAACACTGGTCAGATAGGCTCTGGAAAGTGCAAGGTACACATGAGCCCCGCCGCGCCGAGAGCACTCTCGTCAACGCCTACACCTTGATCTCGCCCTGATGAAGGTTACATGCAGGACAGAGGACAGAGAGGGTGTGCTGCAACACGTCCCACTCCCGCTGCGGCGACCGTTGCGGAGGTGGCGGAGAGAACGTGAGAGGCAGGAAAACGGACGAGGAAAGGGACGCGAGGATGAACGAAGAGAAATGGCAAGGCAGAAAAATGACGAAACAAAAAAAAAAAAAAAACAGACAAGCCCTCATTTCCGGGATTGTGTGGTGGACCGTAGTCATACCGACCTTTGAGGGTGCTTGTCGCTGAAACGGGACAAGCCAACGGCTCTACTTGTGCGCCGTTTGCTGAAGCTAATGTACGCCACCGCCGTGAATACCATGCGTGGTACCGGCTGGCTAATGCTTCTGGCCTTTTTCTGACCGCCTGCGGCCTGCGGACGCCGCTGATGGCAGGTGGCCAGTGGCCAGTGTCAAGGCATGCCAAAGGCCACGAGGCCACGAACGGGCGAACGGGCGAACCGATGACTACTGTACATGAGCAAAACAGCCCTCTCATGTGTCGGGCCCGGGGCCCGGAAATGAGTTTGCGCACAGGACCACCGAGGGCCGTGCGCGCGCGGGCGGGTGCATGGGTCCAGCAGCAGCGCAGTCCGGGGGAGGCGTCTGCCATATGGGCTCATCTACCGAGCGAGACTACTGGCAGCAGCAGCAGTGACGTTGTTGCGCAGCAGCAGCAGCAGGAGCAGTAGTGGCACTACTTGGTGAACCATTGTGATCGCTTGGCCAGTTACCCGACGAGCGCCAGAGGCAAGGAATGCCAGGTTTTGTGAAACGCGAACATGCACCACCGGCCCACCCACACCCCACTGAACAGCGCGAGAGACGCCACACGCCTCTCGCCGTGCCTTCTGATGCTGCGCCAAGCCGGCAAGTGTGCAAACTGTAAAGAGCCACTAGGCCACTTACTCGCTGCGGCCGCGCGGCAACTGCTCTAGCACAGGTGTGGGTCGGTACGGCGTGATGGCCACGGCCGGGGGCGCGGACGGACGGTGGTGTAAAGTTAAGCGGGGCGGCGGCAGTCGTCGTGGTCGGTCGTCGTCGACGTCGCTGCTGGCGGCGCACGCATGTAGGCACCGAGGCCGTAGAGCTTGCCTGTCCTTGGGTCCTTGTCCGGCTCGGGACTGGGAGGCGAGCGTCACAAGCGCCACACCCGTTAGCCTAAAAAGCAGCGATGGGTGAGTGGCATTTGGGCGGGTCGGGTAATCAGAGCGTCAGAGGTAAACTTTGCGCGTGGTGGCGGCTATTACGGTGTCGCGCTGTTTTGACGGCCAGACTTGGCGGGTTACCGGGAAGCTTTCGGGAGAGACAGTCTGAAGCAAATGACAAGACCCAATGCGTCAAGAGAAACGTTAGGGTAACAGATGAGCTTGTTCGACGTTTCGAATGAGGACAAGCTCACGATCGCGTCGCGCGCGTGTGAGGGTAACCCGTTGCTCGCAGTCGAGACAATACCATACCACACCGTCCCGTCCATGACAGTGGCTCTCTTTGGCAAACGACACACGCAGCGATCCCGCAAGGTTTAGACTCGGTCCGCGCTCCGGGGGCTCGTTCCTCTGCATCACACCAGCAAAGTGTCTGCGTCTCGTCGGTCGGTCAGTTATACCCCGGCTTCCCCCACGGACTGCGTCGCTCGGACGTGTCCTGACCCCACCCCGCGAGGCCCTGGTGCGCGGCCCTTTGCGGGTCCTGTCCCACCCAGGATCCCCCCCACATCAGAGGCCCAGACGTCTCTCCACCCCCCTCGCCCTCTTGGCGTTTGTTGGCGTCTACCTGCTCGAGGCCCACTGATCGCACTGACGCGTCAGCCGGCGCTCCGCGGCGTCCATTTTGGCGCTGGACAGGTCCGCAGGTCCACATGCAGAGAGAGAGAGGTGTTTTCCGCGTCAATCGCGCACAGGGGCCGCGGGCGCGCGCGCCGCATTTCGGATGAGACACCGTCATATGGTTTTCAAAATGCAAAACAGAGCGCCGGCAGAGCGAGAGAGCGAGAGAGGGTGTGCCGGCATGCCGCGCGCGCTTCGTGTCTTGATGCGGCAAAAGGGTCTTGTACCGCGCGATCGAGCGAGCGTTTTGTGGGTGTGTGTGGTGTCATTTGACGAGGCGAGGTGTGCTGCAGGCGCACAGGAGGAGGGTCTCGTTCGCCTTTTATTGTGCTGCGTCTCCTGTAATCGTTCCGGAGTGTGCCTGTTGTTTGCCTTGAAGTGGGCCTTTTGGCCTTTGGCCGTGAAGCCGTGAAGCCTTGAGGCTGTACCCCCCCCCCCCCCCCCAGCAGCAAAAAAAGGCTGCAAGTAGGAGGCGGGGCGGGTTTCGTCTTTTATTTTTTGCATTGGCACACCCAGTGGCTGCCCATTCAGCCCAAGGGGAGGGATTGCGCGGGAGGGAGACGAACAAGTAGCCGCTGCGTGTAAGCGAGAGAGAGAGGGGAGAGGAGAGGCTAGAGGCAGAGACCAAAACACGCGGGGCGGTTGGCGGCAGGAGCATCAGCAGCGGAGCGTATAACCCACCCATGTGTGTTTTGCATTGCTGGCTGGGTATGCTTGGCTTTACTTGACCACCCACATGGTAATGCCATGGAGAGTAAGGGAATGTTAGGATATGCAGTGCATATGTTCTCTCTCTGTCTTGTGCCTGCGGCCCACAGCCCATGCTCTGAGCTCTGCTGCCGGGATGCCCACCAGCACGAGTGTACCGGGGACTGGAGGTGAACACACGCGCGGGAGATTGCGTCTGCGCGTCTGCCCGCCTTCCCCTCCCTGGTGGGGCCGGGCGAGAGCGGCTTGCACTAGTGCGTTTTTGAGCCAAATGGCACTAGTAATAGACAGAGGGAGAGAGGAGAGAGGGGAGAGAGCGCATATGGGTGAAATGCAAATGGAGAGGACACCATGCATGCATATGGAGAGAACACCTTTGACACACTGATATTGCACATGATGGGCATGCACGGGCAAAAACGGCCCGCACAGGGCAGCCCCCCCCCCCCCGCACACCCCGCCCCGCCTGCCCGCCCACCCGACGCGGCGGCGGCGGCGCTGTATGCGAGACACACTAGTGCCGATGAGAGGGGGTGGGGGTTCTAATTCGGCTGGGCAGGCAAAAGAGAGCGAGAGCACTTGCACACTGTTGCGCATGCGTGCCCGAGTAGAGAGACCAGAGAGACCAGAGAGAGCGAGGACAGCTTTACCCGTTAGTGTGCATGGACTGTGGGCGGATGGGATGGACAAGAGGGCACAACGCGCCAAGACGGGAACGACGAACGACGAGAGACCTCACAGGGGCCAAACCTCGTTGCCCTCTCTTTCCTTTCCTGCATCCTGCATCAGACATGACGCGCGTTGCAGGGGACGGGCGTGGGGGGGGGCAGGCCATATGCACCGTGCATGTCCCATCCCATCCCAGCACCCAACACACCCAGCACGCACGCACGCCATAACCGGTGAGAGTGAGAGAGACAGAAGGAGAAGCACGAGGGGCGGGGACCGTTGCCCTCTCTCTCTCTCTGTCCCATCCTTTCTTCCTTCCTTCCTTTCTTCTTCCTCTCCATCACCCATCACAACCTACTTTCTTCTCCCCCACACGCGCGTCCTTCTTGCGTTCCGCCTCCCGTCTCTTTCGCTCTCTCTCTGCATTCCAATCCTCGCCTCCCTCCTCCTCGTCACCCCGATCCTCGGTCTTCATCCTACAGGCACCAAGTGGCGCTGGCGAGACCACGCGGACGATAGAGACGACACGATTGTGCCTCCCCGGACACCACCTCCTCTCACAAGGGACCCCCCTGGACACGCCGTCGGCGTCGAACAAGGCACTCGTCTCGAGTAACTGGGTTTGCTCCTCGTCGCTCTCGCCGCAACCCCGCCCGCCCGCACGCACGCACGCGCAACAGCACACGGCAGCACGGCAGCACACCCCCACCCACACCCACGAGCACGCAAATCCCACACCACCAACCTCGGGCCCTCCCATCCTCCTCCGTCGCTCTCCTCTCACACTCTCTCTCTCTCTTTCGGCCCGCACACGCAAAGAGTCTTTGTCGGTCACGTTCTTTCTCGTCACAACTCTCTTTTCCTCTCATCGCCAACGCATATATAAACTAGGCCACAAACCACGCAATCCTCTTGCTCAACGACCTCGTCCCCCCCCCCCCCACACCCACACCCACCCACCCCTTTCCCTAACAACACAACACTGCCACACAACCCCCTCCTGCCCCGCCTTCACCCCCCCACCCAACGTACCCAACACCCCCCTTTCACCCAACCCACCCACCCAAACAACCAACCAACCCATCCAACATGAAGCTCTTCGCTGTCCTCGTCGCCCTCGCCGCCTCGTCGGCCGTCACCGCGTCCCCCATCCCCAACGCCGACGCCGCCCCCGTCGCTGAGGCCCAGTCCGGCTGGGGCTCCTCGGCTGGTGGCTCGCCCAGCTGGAAGCGTGACGCCGAGGCTGAGGCCCAGTCCGGCTGGGGTTCGTCCGCCGGTGGCTCCCCCTCGTGGAAGCGTGAGGCTGAGGCCGACGCTCAGTCCGGCTGGGGTTCGTCCGCCGGTGGCTCCCCCTCGTGGAAGCGCGACGCCGAGGCTGAGGCTCAGTCCGGCTGGGGCTCGTCTGCCGGTGGCTCGCCCAGCTGGAAGCGCGACGCCGAGGCTGAGGCTCAGTCTGGCTGGGGCTCGTCCGCCGGCGGCTCCCCCTCGTGGAAGCGTGACGCCGAGGCCGACGCCCAGTCCGGCTGGGGCTCGTCGGCTGGTGGCTCGCCCTCGTGGAAGCGCCAGTCCGGCTGGGGCTCGTCCGCCGGCGGCTCTCCTTCGTGGAAGCGCGACGCCGACGCCGAGCCTGAGGCTGAGGCCCAGTCCGGCTGGGGTTCTTCCGCCGGTGGCTCTCCCTCGTGGAAGCGCGACGCCGAGGCCGACGCCCAGTCCGGCTGGGGCTCGTCGGCTGGCGGCTCGCCTTCGTGGAAGCGCGACGCCGACGCCCAGCCCGAGGCCGACGCCCAGTCTGGCTGGGGCTCGTCTGCCGGCGGCTCGCCTTCGTGGTAAATGGACGCGTCGTATCGTATCGATTGAAGCCCACCGTCCTTGTCCTTATTCACACACGGGTGAGTACCCTTTGTTGTTGACCCTCACTCTCCGTGGGGGTTACGTGATTTGCGTGATTTCCTTACTCACATGTCCTTTGCGCAGATCTCGGATTCAAATCGTCCTTCGTATACCGCAAGTCAAACCACCACCACCACCTACCCACCTACCCACCGAACACACACACACACACACCTTGAATTGAACATTTTTGTCACGTCCGATCCCCCCATCTCAGCTTTTTTTTCTACTTTTTTATGTCTGCCGCGACACACTCCCTCGCAGCAATCCCCACCCCCACCTTCGTCATCGCTACTGTACACAAAGCTGGCGGCGAGAACCCAACCCCTGCCCGGTCTAAATCCGTCCCGCCACCCCTAGTCTTTTTGTAGTGTTGGGTCGGTTTCTTTTCTATTTTAGCATTTAGACCACCACCACCTCCTCTTTCCCCCTTCTTTTTATTTCTTGTCCTCGCCAGTTGTCGGCCTTCTGTTGTCAATGATGAAACTATTGTCTCCCCCGCATACAACAGTACAGCCACCAGTACATCACACGAGGGGGAGGGCATGGGCAATGGGTATGCGCACGCTCACGCACGCACGCACGCGCGCACGCACGTTCACCCCCGGTCCCCCCCCCCTTCCTCCTTCCTCCACCCCTCTCCCTCCGGCTGTATGCAGCACGTCTGTCACCATTAACCGTGGCGGGGCATGAGGCGTCGCGGGCTCCGGCCATTCCAATCGATCCATTCCGACCCCCCGCGCGCGCCTGCCCTATCTCTCTCCCCCCACCTCTCTCTGGCCCTTGACGCAGGCGCCATCGACCGCCGCTGCCGCCGCCGCGCCGCGCACCCTACAGTCTCCAGGATTTCGGGCCACATTTTGCCATCAATTTCCATCGAATATAGCTTACGCCGCATAAAAGGGACGATCACCAGGTGTGTGATCTATGATCTGTGTCTAGGTAGGTGTCTCCTTGGGTGTGCCTCTCTCTGTGTCTCTGCCCAGAGATCCAGAGAGAGAGAGACACACATCTCCACCACACCCCTCACACACGTCACACACCACCACCCCACTTGCACTAGTCTCCTTTCGGTCCATTCAGACCTCGGTGTGATGCCCTGCGCTTGCGCTCTCCTTGGGTCAGTATACCAGGGAATCGGAGTGAGGAGGAGGACTTGGCGGTTAGTGGCTCGTGCCGTGTCCCCCCCTCCCTCCCTCCTCCCTCCTCCCTCCTCGCTCCCTTTTCTTGATTCCTTGATTCCTTACTTACTTGCCTCTTGCCTCCTCTCCCCGTTAGCATGCGAACCAGAGCGGGGCTCGGGCTGTGCAGGGAGGGCGAGTGCCGCACCTCCACAGCCCGGTTCACTGGGCCCGTGGCCCCGTTGGCCCCGAGGCCCCGAGGCCTCGTGATAAGCGACGACGGGCTCGATGCCGCGGCCCGCGGAGGTGGGAGCATGTGGTACCGTGGTGTACTCGTCATGTGTGCGTGTGCGTGTGCGTGTGCGCGTGCTCGTGCGCGTGCGCGTGGTTCCCAAAGTCAAGTGGGGTTTGTTAGCGGCAGTGGCAGACGGCCGTGGCAGACGGCAGTGGCAGTTCCAGTGGCAGTGGCAGGAGGCAGGCGGCAGACGTCACGGACAGGGGGGTGACGGACACATGGACATTCATTTTGTTAGTGTATAAAGTGGGGGAGCCGGGGGGTCTGGACTCGGGTCTGGCGATGCTCGCGACGAGAGCGTCTTGAATCCCGTTTGCATAAGGTCGCACATACCAAAAGGGTCGTTCGGACATGGGTCCATTCCATGTCAGTTGGCAGCACCGTGTCGAGCGTCGAGGGTCCCCGGAGGTAAGAAAGATTACCACACCTGCATCTTCCGCGACGCAGCTGACATTACCTGTTGCAACAGACTGTTCTGAGTAAAACTGCCCTCGCGCCAGGCTGCCGGATCTGGGAGTCGGCGGTCCTCCTCTCCTTACCTTGACACCCCCACGTGCAGCATTCAAAGTCTCGCAGTTCAGCACGCCGGCGCTTGATAGCCGTCCCTGTGTACGCCAGGCAAGCGAAAGCCCTCCTCCAGAGCCTTCACGCTGCAGCTCATTGTTGATGCTCGAGTGCCACGCGCATCGTCTGTCGAAGCGAATGTCTGAAAACAGGAAACGTCACTTGAGAATGAGGCTGTGGCGGTCGAAGCCGCAAGCAGAAAAAGGTAGACGAGACGCAAGACCCGAAAGAGTGTGGCGGCCAACGCTGACCACGTCGGTCAAGCTTGCGAGTCCAAGTCCAAATCGCCAGACTCTCGAGCTGAACAAAAGGCCCAGGATCTACCTGCAGCTCGACATTTCCGACTTGTGCTCGACATTTTTGACTTGGGCGCTGAAGAAAAAGCCGTGCTTTGTTTCGAGAACAATCCGAGATGGTGGGTAGCGACAGCTTGCTCGTTGGTGTTGTGGCCAGGGTATGCGCCGAATGGTCGTAAAACAAGGCGACCCTCATGTAGCCTTATGCACAGTATCGTGGCCACCACTCATACTGCTCGTGGGCTGCTCGACGAGAGGCGAATAGTTGTCGTATATGACTGGTGTTTTAGCGGCGTGCGGGGTGTCGGAACGGAGGCAGAGGAAGCGCCTGCAGCCGCATCCTCGAGTGCGATAGCCTGCCTGCATCGAGCACGGCTCAGCTCACGCTTGTACCACTGCTTTCGCTCTCAGAAGGCATGTCCGCGAGTCGCCGCACTCGCCACCGTGCTGTCAGCATTACCGGAAACCCCGGTGGCCGCGTGGAGATGCGACACGGCAATGCACCTCTACGCGGCGCCACATAAATGGCCGCGTAGAACATACATTACAGCCGCCTGTGCCACTGGCCACTAAGGCCACACTAACCTTCTCCGCCTTCTCGGCGACATCGGTCTCTCTGATCTCTGATGGTTTCACAACAGTTTGCCATCGGCAACCTTGACAATGCACCTTTCATACATTAACCCATCCATCCATCCCGCCGCCAGATCCATTCATTGCTCCGTCCATCATCTCTCCCATCGCTCGTCACGTCTCCCTGACGACGGCTTTTCTACAACCCACAACCCGTCTTTCATTCGTATCCCTTTCATACATCCACCCATCCGACCCACGCGCTCATATTACCTCTGGAATAACCCCGCCAACCTACTCGCTGTCGTCCGTTCGCAGCCTCGCGCAGCCCGTCATGACCGCCGCAATGCCGTCCGCGGCATGCCCCGTTCCGACTGTCCCGGACGGCCATTACGTGCCGGATATCAACCCACAATTCCCCCGCACCGAGTACAAGCGTCTGGCATCCTACTCAGACCCCCTCATGCGTCCGCACTCGCGCGTGCTCTGGGCTGCGCGCGACGCCTCAACCGAGTGGGCGCGCGCCTTCGCCAAGCAGGACTGGGATGCGATCGACGAGGCGACTGTGCGGCTTGTCGTGTTTGACAAGGCGTACGAAATGTGAGTCCATCGGGGGGTGGCGCAGCGCCGAGGGACCTGTGAATGCCAGAGTAGCACAAGCAGCCCGTTTGGTTTTTTACCTTCACCTCGCACACGCTCATGTCACAGAAACCAGGCGCAGTGGCCGCTTCGTGGGTCGCAGCACCCGCGCGAGTGGCGCACCGAGACCAACGAATACCTCACCATATCCTTTCTGCTGGCCGTGCTCGCGTTGCAAGGTGCCGGGCAACACAGCCGCGTCCCGCTCCGCAGCCGCGTTCTCGCCTTTTGCCGCGCGGCACTCGACCTGTGCGCCGAGCCCGTCGTCGATGCCGGCCCCTCCCACCTCTTGCTTCTTGACGACGACCACAAGCCGCCTCCGCCCGCCTCACGGGGGGACCGCATCGGCAGATTGCTCGCGCAGTACGACCCCGCTGTGCGGCACGCCGCCTTCCTGGCCAAGCCGATGCCGCGTGACACGGCAGCGTTCGTGCACGACCCGCAACGTCGCGAGTACGTCCTTGGTGAGCACCCAGACATCCCGGACCGACATCCCGGACCTCACGCACGGCGTGTCGGACCGCAGCTCGTTGGCGTGCGAGTCGGCTCGGGGAGATGCCGCGCCGGCGACTCTAGTGCCAGCGTCGGCGCGTCAGGACATGCAGACTCCTTGAGCGCGCCGTCGTCGGGTGAGCGGCGTAGCTTGGACGAACAGCGGAGTGAGCAGGAGAGGCCAAGGTGGAAGGAGGGGTCCAACTGAACGAGCGAGCGATGGCGTGTAGCGCTCGAGATGTGTGTGTATCAGGAGTGTGTATCAATAGCCCGAACAGTGTCGTAATATGTCGCATAGTTTTATAAGTGGGACGTCATGTTAGATGTTACGGGTTGGACTTTAGTAACATGCGTCGACGGGCTCGAGGTGGAGATGGGGGCATGCGGTACCGAGGTGCGTGCGTCATGCGTGCACATCATGTCAAGCGCGTGGTTCCCAAAGTCGGGTGAGGTGGGGGATAGCCGGCGGCGGACAGGGGGGCGACGGACATGCATTTTGTTAGTGTACAAAGGGGGGATCTGGACTCGGTCTGGTGCCGTGGGTGTGAACAACGAGAGATGTGGAAGCGTTTGCTGGTTCTGTGCGCCTCACGCCGGAAAGTTGTTGCCGAGAAAGTCAAACGCCTCGCTCATGTCGAATGGCCAGTCGATCAATAGATCGTCTGGCAGCTGGACCTGTTCGTTGGGCTCAGTCTGGGCGGGGAAGTTGAATTTTAACAGGTCGTCGAGGACAAAGTCGTGTCCGGCGCCAGGGACTGCGCCGGCGGCGGGAACAGCCGGCATGGTCGAGCTGGACGACGTCGACTGCCAGCTGTGGCCGCCCTGACCACCCATGACACCGGCGTCGGGCGAGATTGCGGGAACGGACGACGGCTGGGATGGGCTGTGCGTGTTGCTGTTGCGCACACGGTCATCCATGGCCCCACCGTATACGTGGCCCGGACGACTCGGTGGACTGGCGTTCCACGCCGTAGGTGGCATCACGCGGTGGTATACCTGGTCGCGACGCGACTCGACGGCGGCAGCAGTCATGTACTGGTCGATTCGCGAGACGTGGTCGCGCAGCTTGTCGGCGATGCCCTGCGCGGCGTTGAGTGTGGATTCCAGCTGGGAGAGAAGCTGGACCATGGCGAGGAGCACGGTGCGGACGTGCAAGTAGTTGACATAGGAGATTGGTGACTGAATCACACCGCCTAGCAGGTGACCGACACCGGCAAGGTGGTGGAGCTGGAGAGTCAGCACAGCTGCGATTTCTTGCTGCACTCACGATCGGAGAACTAATGCCCTGGATGTATGCTGTTGGCACCGTCGACAGCGCGTCAAGCAGACCGCCGGCAATGTTGCAGCGCTTCTCCACGGTGGTCGTGTCCGACAGACCCGTCATGACCATCTTGACTGTCTGCATCGTGACGATAATGTCGGCCGCTGAGCGTTAACACTGTAACGGAAACAAAGTAACGCACCTTGGTACCCGTATCGGTCCTCGTCAATGTTACCGCTCATGGCCTTTGCAAACTTGAATTCTGCTGGCAGATCGTCATACAGCCTGTCTACGACCTCGAGCACCTCCTCGACCGATGGCCCAGCACGGTCTGCGTACAGAGCCGTCACTCGCGAGTTGTCATTGAAGTGTGCACGCATGCGCAGTTGGTCAAGCGCATGCTCCAGGATACGATACAGGTCGCTCGTAAAGTTCCATCCGGTCAAGAAGGAGACCTTGCGCGGACCTGGTCGTGGCTCGATGCCAGTCTCGGTGATCTCGTCGTCGTCGTACACTTCTGTGGGGTAGAGGACATTGCTCTGGTACTCGCGGTGGCGCACGACCAGACCCCAAGTGGTAGCAGAGTACACGTCAATGGTGTAGGCTCCCCAGAACTGGTCGTCGTTAGTTGTGTTTACCGGTTGGATCAACTCACCAACCGCCGCCTCTCCTGCACCTCCGTCTCGGGCAGACTGATAGGCCACCTGGCCTCGTTGTGGAACCCATCCGCCGCGCACATGGTGACGTAGTCGCCCATGTGGGTCGCCAGCTGCCTGACGTTGCCATACTGGATGCACAGAATGGCAAGCACCACCTTGGCGCGCTTGTAGTCAAACTCTATCGCCTGAGACAGGTCTGCTGGAACGGCTCGCATTGAGGCGTCGTAAAACACCTCAGAGGCTGGTACAGACGCCGGCAGCATCGGGGGAACGCTTGCGCCTCGGGAATCGGTCATTTGGCCTGCACCGTCTCGCACGCGCGCGACGGAAATGGCACACACGGCCATGACCGCGCAGAAGAAGGCCCGGTCGGTCGTGTACCGTCTTGCATGGACATCGGCAGCGAACGTGGGCCAGTGAAAGTAAGGCAGTCTTGGCGCCTGGTCAACAAAGGGGGATCGCAACAGCCCGCCGGCAACAACTCACATGGGGTATACAACGCGGTGGTATGTCTCCACAAGCGTGTTGATTACCTCGGCTGACGCCGGTGGTTCATACACCCATGGGTCAGCGGAGGCCGACGACAGCGAGGTACTGAGACCCCTGGCCGCCGCAGACTCTGTGGAAGGGTTGCCGCGGGGCACAGGCTGCGGGCGGGTCAGTGGACACAAGACCGGTGTTACTCACTCCACGGCGCTTGATTGGCCGGTTGTATGTACAGTCTGAGCCAAACGCTGCGCATGGACCACACGTGGAGGGGTCAGAAGATGTTGAGCACTGCCGAGTGTTAGACTTAAAGAGGACGCATGTGGGTATGACCTATATTACCTTTACGCCGCTGCGGTGACACCTGTCACAAGCTCGCTGTTTGTTGTCAGATGACGCGTTATTGCCGGGGGCCATGAAGCGGAAACACTTGCCGTGATTCTCCTCCGCTTGAGGGACATTCCCGACTGAGAGTTGACATCGTCTGGGCTTTGGGAGCCGCCCATGGTGACGGGACGTGGTATTCGTTGTTTGTGGAGGTATTGCAAGAGATGGACGAAAGGCGCCCGATTATGTCGTCGGTCTCTTCACTCCACCCAACGGAAGCCACAGCAACAGGCCCCCACCCAAAACACCCCCGCGGGACCATAGCGGAGGTATATTGCACACAGGTCTCCCACGGGTGCCGTCCTGCACACTGGCGGCTGTCACCGGCCGGTACCGGCGGCGGCACACACACGCGCACCAAGCGGGAAACGCATAACCGGAGGTGAGCGCGAACAGTGTGGATGCATACTGCGTTCTCATCAAAACACACTTGCACACCTGTACACCCGTCTCCATCTCTCTTTCTTTCCCTCTACACTCCTCCCACCGCACACTCCATTCACAATGGCCCCCAAGCACATGAACCTCACCCGCCCCACCCCTACGGTCTGGCAGATCTCCCTCAACTCGCCCCCCGACAACCGCCTGCACCCGGACCTCCTCGCCGAGCTCGGCTCCTTCCTCGACATTGTCGAGGCCGAATGGCGCGAGCAGGGAGACAAGTACAAGGGTGCCGGTGCCCTCGTGCTTACGTCGGACATTCCCAAGTTCTTCTCCAACGGTCTCCACCCGTCGTCGCTCGGTGACCGTGGCGGCTTCTTTGAGAGTGAGTTGGGACTGACACGTTCCCGGCCGCTTATATCCAGTGCTCTAGCTGACCCCTTTGCAGACGTCTACGACCCCATTACCTACCGCCTCATCACCTTCCCTCTCATCACCATTGCCGCTGTCAACGGCCACGGTACGTCTCAAAGGACACTCATACTTCGGCCAAACTAACCCCCCCCCCTACAGCCTTCGCCGGCGGCATGGTCCTCTCGCTCTGCTGCGACTTCCGCGTCATGACCGGCAACAGGGGCATGATGTCAATGAACGAAATCTTCCTCGGCGTGCCCCTCCCCAACTCGTTCAACACGCTCCTCAAGCAGCGCATGTCGTACCCTGCGCTCCGCGACACGCTCCTCGGCAAGCGCTGGAAGCAGTCCGAGCTGCTCGCCGCGGGCATCATCGACGAGATTGTCGACGACTCCAAGGACCCCAAGGCCGTCGTCAAGCGCGCCATCGAGCTGGGTACCGAGGAGGGACCCAAGGTCGCCAAGGGAGCCTGGGGCGGCATCAAGGAGGGTGTGTACCACGACTACATTGACTCGTCGCGCTCCCACCGCCAGCTCTGGCTGCCGGACCAGAAGGAGAAGGCGTTCTGGGACCGTCTGGACCGCAACAACAAGGCCAAGCTTTGATGAACCAAAAGGGGGGGGAGACAGACAAGTAATGTTAGTTTGTTGTAGGAGTGCGCCAGACTAGAAACTGCCCGTGTGATGGACGAGACGGGTTGGGTTCATGCAAAGGATCTACTTTTGTGAGGCGGATTAGAGGCCAAGGTAGTATGAGCGCTGCGTGAGCATCCACACGACACCGGACGCTGGTGGGTTAGACTGTTGCAGGTTCTGTTCAACTCACAGCCAACAAGGAGGGGGCCGATGGAGGCGCGGTTGAGCTTGACCGTGCCAAAGATGAGCCACTCGGTGCCAAAGTGGAAGGTCGCGACGCCAAACGCGCAAATGGCGAGAGTGTAAAGGCTGGGTGTGAGTTGGAGCACTCGAATGGAAAGCATACTTCAACTCACCCAGGGTTGGAGATGTCGTACGCCGCGAGAGCGCGAACAACAGCAGCCATGGCGGTCCAAGCACCGAACAGACGGCCAGCGAGGGGGTTCACTGTGTGTGGTCAGCAAACGCCATGTCAAGAGTTGAAGATTGGGACCGCAGTAGCGCAACTCCACATCCTAGAACCCACTGAGGTCAGGCTTGCCGCCGTACACCTCCTTGGACTGCTTGAGGGTAACGTAGTTTTGGGCCACGTTGTACACCGACGCGGCACTGGTGATCAGGAGCCAGTACGGAAGCAAGCCGCCGTCAGCGGGAAGGGTGGGGAGGTCTGCATGTTAGCTTTCATGTGTCGTGGACTCTAGTTAACTCACAGGCGGCCATGTTGAGAGCAAACTCGGTGATTGTGGTGAATGGTACGATGGTGGAGGGCAAGGACATGTGGAGGAAGTAGAGATTGTTGATGCCAGGAACCGCGGCCGTTGTGCCGCCATTTGCGTTTTCGATTTTCCGCCGCATCACCGGAACAGTCTTCACATACACTATTGTCACAACCACCATCCTTGTTCACCAAATGTCGTGTGCTACCACCCCATGCCAGGGCCCTGTCAAGGAGGAGAAGCCGAGGAGGGGTGAGTGTGCTTCAGGTGGTCCACGCTGCTGTGCTGACTGTACATCAAGGTCAGAGGCCTCCAGTTGACAAGAGTATCTGTCATCGATGCCGCGAAGCCAAGAGTCTGTACATGCTCCGTGGCATGTCCTTTTGCCGGGACTGTTTTGAGAACCTCGTCCATTCCCGCGTCTCCCGCCGCCTGAACAAACCACTCGTGGACCCAGACAACAAGGCGTCGAACGCGCGGCCAAACCTCCAGTCTGGCAACGTTCTCATTGCCGTCTCGGGTGGCGCAGGCAGCACCTTGTTACTGGACCTGCTCGACTCGCGAGGGTACTATGGCCACGAGGACAATGAGACACGCGACATTACAAAGGGCCAAAAGAACATTGTCTGGACTCGCGGCTGGGCTGTCCATGTCGACTTTTCGTCTGTGACAGGTCTCGAGTCGCATGCCGAGGCGCTCGGCGCACTGGCTGCAGACCACGGGCTGCAGCTTGCGGTCATCAAGGCCGAGGAAGCGTTTGATCCTGCTCTTCGCACCCGTCTGCGACAGGCTACGGGTGGAGCAGCCTCCGCCACCGCAGCACCGAGCGCAATGGGTGTGGATCTCTCAGCACCAGGTACGTTGGAACCAGTCTTTCAGGTGCTGATACCCAGACCTCCCGCTCATTTCCGCCCCCTCGTCGTCGACGGCCACCCCACTCGAGTCGTTCCAGGCTCTCCTGGCGGCTCTCCCTGCTCCGTCCCGACCGGAACTCCTTGCGAGCATTCTCAATGCCCTCCTCGATCTGGCGGCGTGCGAGCTGCCCAACATCAGCCACATGGTTCTGGGCGAGACGACCACGCGTGAAGCCGCGCGTGTCATCTCTGGAACCGCGGCGGGACGAGGCTGGGCTCTGCCTCTGGAGCTGGCCGGCGCGCGCAGTTCAGGAAGTTACGTGCGCCTCAAGCCGATGAAGGACATTGCGCTCAAGGACGCCGCTCTTTGGTGTCATGGCCGTGGCCTGGCGACGTTCAATGAGCGCAGGTGGGACAACACCGTCCCGGGAAGCAAGCGTGATGGCAAGGGCAATGTCGCGAGCATTGAGGCATTGACAGAGAGTGAGCTGCGCGAAGCGCGACTCAGCTGACATCAGAATTCATCGCCACCCTCAACATCTCCCACTCGTCGACCGTCTCGACCATTATCAAAACCGGCAACAAGCTGCGCTTCACCGGCGACGAGTCTGGGCCTAAATGTCCCGTCTGCCAAATGTGAGCGTCCCCCTCCTCCATCTACGTCTGCTACATGACATTTGCTGACATTCTGCAGCCCGGTGGACCCTTCGGCCCTCCAATGGAAGGCACAGTCCGCCCTCACGTCTCTCCCTGGCCGCGGGCCGCAGGATTCGGTTTCGGCTGGTTCTGGGGTGGCCAGTACATCTGCACACCTGGCCCCGCTGCTGTGCTATTCGTGCTTGACCACATTCACTCCCCTGTCGGCAGCGCAGCGTGACCGGCTGTCGACGGACGCTGCGCCGCTGCCACTGTGGATTGGCGAGCGGGTCGACGAGAGGCTGGGCCGGGACAAGCCGCGGGCCGTCACAGAGGAGGAGATGAGGGCACAGGTGCAGCAGTTCCTTATTGACGAGTAGCGAGAGTAGTGTGCGAGCAACGACAGTGCATGCAGTACACGGGTAGCTCGGGTTGCAGCCAGCATGCGCGCATGCAGCAGGAACGGCGTAGGCGTACAAGATAGGCGTCAACAGTTGTATATTACGTAATCCACTTTCCTAGGCGTACGTGATTTCTTTGTGCGTTTGACGCCGCGGTCGTCAACGTCGGCTGTCAACAGAAGGAGAGAGCTGCTCCATCACACACATACAGACACACACTGCTCCCAGCCGTCCATCGCCACCAACACCACCCTCCATCTTCCCCGAGTGCGCTGGGCGCTCCCAACCCCCCCACCACCATGCCCCTCACACTCTCCACACCCAGCACGCCCGGCGGCTTTGCCACCCCAACAGCCCCGACGTATGGGTACGGCTACATGCCCAGCTCCCCCAGCCCCGCGACGCCCGTGACCCCGGCGCCAATGCTGAACATGCGGACGGGCGCGCTTGAACGCACCCGTTCCGTCGGCCACCTGCGCGACAAGGGCGGCCATGGGACCAGCAGCCGTCCAGCAAGCGTGTGCGCTCCGCCGGGGGCTCTGCTCGCAAACTCGCACGCGCACGGGCACGCTCGGGGACAGTCCTACTCGGCGGGCATGTCGCTGCCCGTCATGCCTCCGGCGCCGCCGCTGGGCTCCGAGCTGGCATGGACAGAGATTCAGAGCAGGTGAGAGCACAGCAGCAGCAGCGTGGGTGGGTGCTGACGGGATTTCACAGGACATTTTGTAAATGGTAGGCACACGTCGTTCGCCACCCACAAAACTAAACAAACAGGCTCAACACAAAGCTCGAGTCACGAGGGTTTGAGCCCATGACCTCGCTGGCAAAGGACTTTGCAGACGGCGTCAAGCTGATCCAGGTGGGTACCCCTTAGGTACAACCAGAGCCCCAGCTAACGCAGACAGCTTCTCGTAGGTCGACGTGCTGGTGCTGTGCGTTGGTGTCGCTGGTTCTCACCACCCTGCAGGAAATCATGTCCGAGACGAGCCTGGGCCGATACAACAGCAAGCCCAAGATGCGCGTCCAAAAGGCCGAGGTGAGGTCTTTCACATGCATGTTGCGCCCGTAGCGCTGACTGGCTCTCTCCCACAGAATGCATCCAAGGCGCTCCAGTTCATCCGCGAGCGAGGCGTCAAGCTGACCAACATTGGTGGGTGGGAACAAGCCAGCCCAGTCCTAGAACGCCGCTGACGCCGCCGCCCACAGGCCCGGAGGATATTGTTGACGGCAACTTGAAGCTCATTCTCGGCATGGTGCGGTCCTAAAAAACGTGACCATGTGCTGACGCGTGTAGATCTGGACTCTTATCCTGCGCTTTACCATCGCGGGCATCACGTAGGTTGCGCATTTTTGACATAACTGACCTGCTCAGAGAAGAAGGACTCTCTGCCCGTGACGGCCTGTTACTATGGTGTCAACGCAAGACGACACCTTACTCTGACGTCGATGTCCAGAACTTTAAGCAGAGCTTTTCGGACGGTTTGGCCTTTTGTGCTCTTATCCACCGCCACCGTCCAGAGCTTATCGACTATGACAGCCTTGACAAGTCGGACCGTCGTGGCAACACTGCTTTGGCGTTCAAGGTTGCCGAGGAGAGCCTTGGCATTCCGGTAAGCTAAACAATACACCACTATAGCTGACCCCTACCAGCGCCTCCTGGAAGTGTCCGATATCTGCGACGTCAAGGTCCCCGACGAGCGGTCCGTCATGACCTATGTGGCCGAGTTTTTCCACAAGTTTTCTTCGGAAGGTGAGACCCAATACCAACACACGCGGCTAACTTTTCCTAGACAAGGCAGAGACTGGCGCCCGCCGCGTTGAAAAGTTTGCCGAGGTCATGCAGAGCATCTTATCCACGCGTACCGACTTTGAGCGCCGCATGGATGCGCTCCTCAACTCGCTCCGCCAGACGCGCGCCGCGTGGGCCGCTGCCGACCGACCTACGTCGTACCCGGATGCCATTGCGCACAAGACCGACTTTGCAGAGTGGAAGAAGACGAGCAAGCGCAGCTGGGTCCGCGAACGCCAAGAGCTCACTCAGCTGTACAGCAACATCCAGACCAAGCTTAGAACGTACTCCCTCCGGTCGTGGGAGCCGCGCGAGGGTTTACGGCTAGAGGACCTCGAGTCGTCGTGGGCCGAGCTGAGCACTGCCGAGGTGTCTCGCAGCCGTGCCATCAACGCCAGGATTAGAGAAATCAAGGAAGACCTGCGAAAGGAGTTTGCCCGCCTCGCCGAGAGCTTTATCGACCGAGTAAAGCGGATCGAGCAGGCTATTGGGTCGCTGAGTGGACCGCTGCAGGACCAAAAGCAAGCCCTCTTGTCTCTGTCTGCCGAGCTCCCGGCGCTCCGCACCGCCCTCACAAACGACATTGCCGCCGCCAACCACAACTGTGTTGAAGCAAAGGTCGACGAAAACGACTACACAGTGTTTACCTACGACGACCTGGAGTTTGAGCTCGAGATTGCCGAGGGCGGTATGCGCAAGAAGATTGGCTTTGTCGACAACCAAATGGTCTCGGCGACCCACACCAACATCACCCCGGCCAAGCTCGAGGAGTTCGAGTCTACATTCAAGCACTTTGACAAGGACGGCACCAACGTTCTCACCGTGTACGAGATGCACTCGGCCTTGGCGAGTTTGGGTATAGTCTACCCGGACGAAGAGGTCGAGGCCATCTACTACCAGCTCGAGTCGCAGTTTGGCGCCCTCACGTACGAAGCGTGGTTGACGCTCTTGGTGGAGATTACAAAGGACGACGCGTCATCTGCCGACCAACTGCGTGAGGCGTTCCGCGACCTCGCGGGTGACAAGGGCCATGTTACCCAGCAAGACCTCAAGTTTGCCAACTTGTCGCCCGAGGCGGTGCGGTTCTTGTCCGAGGTCATGCCTGCAGTGGAGGTCGAGGACCAAGCCGAGGGCCTAGCAGGTAGTGGCACATCAACTGGTTTCGACTGTGAGTTAACGGCTGTGTGTCTTACGCCGCGAGCTGACATTCAGACCATGTGTTCTTGGAGCAGTCGTTTGGGCGGATGGTCTGAGGTGGTGGGGCAGCGGGAGTTGTATGTAGATCACTATGACATTGACGTGCACACAAGGGAGGTGGCCACGGTGGATGGATGGATGCCTGTCGCGGACATGACCGCAGTCATTGGGCTCAAGCGTGGCCCTGAACGATGCTGTGGGCTGGGGTTGCGGCAGGTGCCCGTGGCGCGCTGTTGGTTGGGAGTGACAGGCATATCCACCGTATCAGTGTTGTTGCATGCAAACGCCTGTATGCATGTGGGTCACCTGACGCTTACGCGCTCTCGCCTCTTCGACTCGTCAGCAAAGACAGTCGCGATAGCAACATGCTGTGCGCGGCGGCTTGCACCCCCGGCCCAAAAAAGGAGAGAAAAGTGCCACACTGGGGCTGATCGGAGTGCGGGGAAGGGGATGACGCCGCGCCACGCCAGCAGTCCGGGCGTGCGGGTGTGCCTCCAGCGGTCTTTGGTGTCGTCTATATCGTCGCTCAACCTCCATCCACCACCACCATCCACATCCCATCCTCCCCCACCTCTTCTCCTCGACTCCCCTCCCTCCCTCCCCACTAGAAACCCCTAGCAACCATGGTGAGCATAGCCATCATACATGGCCCGCGTTGCAAACACAGGTTCCCGTTGCTAACGCGCCCACAGTCGTCCGGTGTCCAGCCCGTGCGTGTGCCGTGTTGACTCTTTTGTCTTGGTGATGGCAAAACGCTGATCATCCGTTCTCCCCTACGCCGTCTCCCTATACACCCCCCATGCCTGCTGATTGTGTCTGTCCCGCTCCGTCGCCGTCGCCACGTCCTCCGTCCCCGCGCCGCCTCTGCTCCGACTGCGTCTGCACCGCTCCCCTCCGTTCCCCATCGACGCCCCCTCCATCCCCCAACCCCGACGTCGCGCCCCGTTCCCCCCAACCTCACCTCTCTCGCCACCGACTCCCTTTCCACACTATAGGTCCCCGAGACCCTTGAGAAGTACCAGGAGCTCAAGACCGGCAAGAAGCTTGCCTACATCATCTACGGCGTGTCCGACGACAAGAAGTCGATTGTTGTTCTCAAGACTTCCGAGTCGCGCGACTTTGAGGAGTTTGTCGCCGACCTCCCCGAGAAGGAGTGCAGGTGGGCCGTCTACGACTTCCAGTACGAGCTCCCCGGCGGTGAGGGTATCCGCAACAAGCTCGTCTTTGTTCAGTGGTGAGTACGACCGCGCGTGCGAGCGAGCGAGCGAGCAGTGGAAACCTCAGAGGCGAGAGTGTGGGGCTACGGCCCGTGCGCGAGGTTGCACAAACAGTCGCCCAGTTTACTCGGTTATCTCTGTTACCCCCGTTCCTCGTCGTTTGCTGACCCAACGCCAGGTCGCCCGACGATGCCAACGTCCGCAACAAGATGATCTACGCCTCGTCCAAGGACGCACTCCACCGCCGTCTCGAGGGTATCCACATCGACGTCCAGGCCACCGACTACTCGGAGATCACCAAGGAGTCGAGTGAGTTGGATTGCGAGACAGCTGCCTGTCTTACACATGACTGACACCCTCCCCCAGTCCTCGAGCGGGCCAACCGCCGTTAAATACCCCCGACCCCCCACCTCAATTCTAGCCAAGATCGACCTCCCCTACCTCTCGCCCCTGTTCGTTTCGTTTCCGCGCGACGTATGCTAGATCTTCTCCGGAGTGACCTCCTGACGCGCCCCCCGGTCCGCGCCGGCATGCAAACGAGATGTTCTGGGAGAGATGAAAGAGGGATGAGGGATGAGGGACGCGCGCGCGCGCGCGTGCAAGGGGCGACACGCGTTGTGTTGGGACCCCAAGGCGATGCGGTGACCGCGGGCTTGGCTTGGCTGTGAGCGGAACCGAGAGCCGAGCCGGGGGCTGGGACGCTGACGCTGACGATACTGATATCGGGGGAGCCGTCTGGGACAGGCGTGCGATCCGGCTGCGACCTCGTACACGACCCCGATAACCATTTGTTTACGTCTTGGGACACCGGTCAGGCGAACGATCGGCGCTGATTGTCCGAGGTAGTTCACGGGTGATAAGGGGGCCTTAACCTCTAGCAACCTTTGCACTGGCACAAGCTCCGCTCTCCCTGCATTGAAGTCCGCGCCCATACCACTCTACATCTCTGCTTACAGTAACGCGCACTGTCCATATCTGCTCGCATCAAGGCCCCAGGTTGGAACGGACGCGGCGCGTCACAGCAACAGGATGCCACAAGCCAATAACTCCGCAAACCCCGGTCATCGCTTTGGCCATTCCAGGTCGTACCGAGTGCGCGCCCAGTGGCCAAGTGGTGCAAGTGGCGTTGGAACCATGCTGTCGGAATGATCCATTCACTCTTCTGCGCAACACATTTTGTGCTAACCATACATCTGCTCATTCACGCCAATGGATGTGTACAGAGAGTGCATGTCATGTCCCCGCCCTACTCCTCCTTCTCTTAACCGGGCCTGCTCTGGATGGTCTCACCGCCGCAAAGCGACGGCAGCGAAGGCAGTGTATGGGTTGGAAGTTTGGTACAGTGCGGAACAGACGCAGTCGTCTAGCGGAGCTGAACATGGCTAGCTGGAGGCCTGCCTGCACAGGTGCGTTGGTCGCCTGAGCACTCCCGGAGGCCCTGCTTGTACTGGTTGGTGCCACACAGGCTCGTGCAAGTGGCAGGTGGAGGGACAAGCATAGACACCGCGAGGCTTTGGAGCGGGAGGACGCGACGCAGAGTCGCGCAGGCGGCCTCGGCGGAGCGAACGACGGAAGAGACGGATATTGGAAGAGACGCGTGGAGCAGAGACACCGCGAGGTCGGCAGCGGGAAGCGGCCTACGCATTGTTGTCCGCGCGGCGCTTGGTGCGCGTGCCCTTGAACTTGGCGCCGCCGCCGAGGATGGGGAACGATGGCACAGACGCAGAGTCGCTGCTACCCAAGTCGCTCAAGGACTTGAGAAAGCCCCGACGCACGGCCAGAGCCAGCCGCAGCTTGTTCTGGTCGTTGTCTAGCTGCATCCTGTCGGCTTCATCTTCATTTTGATTTACGTACCTTTGTCAGGCATCTCCTCCATCCCTTGCCCTTGGCGATAAGCTCGCCGGCCGAGTTCCATCCAACGTCGGGCACGCCCTCGATACGTTGGAGGTATCGATAACCTCCGGCGAGCGCCTTCCAGTGACGGGAACACTGCTGCTTCGTCTTGCTGCCGTCGATTGCAGCGGTCGCGCCGTTCCAGACGGCCTGTTTCCACTGGCCTCCCTTCCTGGTGGCGGTGGCGGTCGTGCGACCCGAGACTCGGACGGATGCGAGATAGCGCACAAACTTGTCGTCCTCGTCAATGGTCCACCGGCTGATTTTGCGGACGGGGCGGGCGCCACCAGTGTGCGTCGGCGGGTTGGCAAGCGCGTCGGCGATACTCGAGAACGTCGGCAGCTGGCCGGTCGTCTTGAGGATCTGGAAGCGCTTGCCACATGCCGTGGCACTTCGGCCAAGGCCCGACGTCTTGGCGACGACTCCCACGTACCAGTGACCACGATGATGCCACCGTCGTGGTCACTGCGGACGAAGGGCACCGCAGCCGCGACCAGCACCTCGTCTTGAGCGCGGTTCCACTTGGTTCCCACAGCGTCGACGCTGTGGGAAGGCGCTCCAAGTTTCTCCTGCCGCTCAAAGACAGGTCGCGCCATCTCCGCCAGTCGAACCGCGGTCTTGACGGGCGCCGACACCTTGAAAGATGCGGTGAGGATTCCCGATCTCGACTACGACACCCGAGGCTCCGAGAGGAGAGCCGCAGTTTCGCCGCGGCATCGTCGCAGGTACCCGGGACGCTCGTGGCATGCCTCCACACGCACTCCCATGGCGTCGGTGATGGACGAGCGAGAGGTGCGGTGGACGTGCTCGGGCACCTTGTTGCCGTAGCGGTCGCCCAGGAGAGACAGGAGGAGCATGTCGCAGCTCGCCGAACACTTGCCGGTGACCATGTTGAGAAGGTCGGTGGGAGCGACCTGGACGTGACTCGACGCGGACAATAGGCCGGCCGGGACGGCCGGGGCGCAGGGCCACAGCAGAGCGTGAAGCGCGCGGAACTGGGGAAGGACGATCTCGCGCGCGAACATGCGGCTCGCTGACGCAGCCGAACACGCTTCCCAGGTCTCGTCGGCAGCGATCAGCCTGTGGGCCTTGTCATCCCAAGCAAAACCTCGAACCTTGTACAAGGCGTTGACAAGGTTGAACTGCTTGACCAAGGCCTTCCAGGCCTTGCGACAGGACTGGGGAGACTTTGCTGGCTGGGCCCCACTGGTCTCGGCCAATTCGACGCTTACCCCTGCCCAGTTCGTCTCCGTGAGCTGGTCGAGATGCGCTCCTGCTCTGACGATTTCGGCAACGGCCTCAACCAGGCGGCTATTCTCTTCGTGTGGCCAGCGGTGCTCGGTGTGCGAGTTGTCTGGCTTACCGTAGCGGTGACGAGCAGTCTCCATGGCCGCGAGGCGTGCAGACGTTACCACGAGATCCAACCTGAGGAGGCCTACAGATAGAGGCTGTGCTGGCGGCTCTTCCTCTCTGGCGGCGGAACATGGCGGCGTAGAGGGTGGTGGTGGTGGTGGTGCAGACGCGACGGGCGGCCAGCTGCGGCCCAGGATCGCACACACTGATCGCATGTACGAAATGCGCTTGGAGATGACCCTGATGAGGAAAGGGTGGACGAGCTCGTGGTCTGCGAGACACGACCACGCCGTTGGAGATGAGGCCAGAGGTTTCTCCGCAAGGTCATCCCAATGGAAACATCCCAGGTCGATGCCGAACAGCGCGTCGGCCACTGGTCGGTGCAGTCGGGACCAGCGATCCATAAGTGCCGCTGGCGAGCGGTCCATCACGCCCTCCTCGCGAAGGGTCTCGCTTATTTCATCCCACACACGCAACGGGAGATCAATGGTACCCGACTCCTCGACCGCGGTGGCTATTGAGCGAAGGAGGGGCTCATCGACCCAGCCTTGGTTGCGACGAACCTTGAAGCCGAAGCGGGAAGGCGGTAGGACGTTGTGGCGTGTTTGCGGTCGCAGACCCGTTATAGAGAAATCGGCGATGGAAGGCCACGATGTGGGCGGGGGACTTGGAGCGCCTGTTGGGTTCGGCAACTGCGCTGCGACCAGTTTGAGGGCGCGGCGCAGGAGGGGGGAGTAGACATCGCCGGGCGGTCCCTTCACCGGCGTGTAGCCGGCATCGGCACCGTACTTGGGCACACCGTTGTGGAATAGGAGCACGCGGAAGACGGGGTTTGGCGTGCCGAGAGCTGGCACAAGGTAAGGCCGACAGAGGCCCTGCTGGACGGCCGCGTCTACGACGCGCTGGACAGTGGCCCTCGAGGACGAGAGAGTATGGAGGAGGGAGGCGTACGGATCGCTGTGGATGGCGAAGTTGACGGAGCGCAGCTCTGGCCGGATGTTGAGGAAACCCCATATCAACAAGTGCCACTTGTGCGCCACAAGTGGCACGTCACGGCCGGTGCAGTGGAACTGAAACCCGGGGTGAGGGCGACGTCCATACTGCCCGATACTCTCCAGCCAACTCGCAATCACCCAGTACGCCGAGGCCGGGTTGTCGCCCTCTCGGTCCGTGTTTCCCGACGAGCGGCTGGTGTCGAAGCGAACCCACCGGCGATGGGCGAGGATAAGCATGCCGCGAGTTGTCGACTGGACGCTCCAGTAGCACACTGGAAAGCCCTCGTCGTTGCGGGCCCACTCCGTCCAATCCCCCCTCCCAGTCTCAGTCCACGCGGCACGGAAGACGTCCTCGTGACCGCGAGTGAAGGCGATGAACTCGTCCTTGAACTCGAGCAAGCCATCGATGGTCGCTTGCTCACCCTCCGTCCTGCGCTTGTGCAGCCAGGTCTTACGGGCCGCCACCTGGCCCGCAGTGAGAACAGGCGGTGATTGCTTGCCGGTACTCCAGTCCATGAGCACGTCCTTGCCGTTGAACACGTCGTCCACAATCGCGAGCTTGTCGATAAGCTCGCGCTTCTCGGCCGGACTGGCATCTCGAAGCCAGCGTTCGCCCTCGTGGATGGGCAGAAGGACGCGGTACATGACCTCCAGGGCCTGGAGAACATCCCACGGCACCTTGTGCTCGAACGGCAACGCCCTCAAGAAGCGGGCCGGGTGAACGACACGCAGCAGCTCCTCGTTGCCTCCCCCGTTGGACATGTTCTCGGCGTTGGAGATGACCTGGGTGTTGTTCGTCGAATGGTGCGACGACATGGCCACCTCCGTCCGCCCGTCCGCAGACTCGACGAGGTGCACCTGGCGACGCTTGTCGAACGACTGGCGCTGTCGAGTGAGCTGTGTGCGCCAGTTGAGCTCGCGCTGCAGCGTGGCGGGTAGACCAGGGTGCGGCTCCTGGTGAGAACCATCGACGAGGCCGGGGGTTCGAGGGTGGCTGGCGCCACAGTGGGCCTTTGGACACTTCTGTACCAGTCAGCATGGGTCGACATCTCGAACAATCCAACACCCACGGCGAGTGCCTCACGCTCCGACTTTCCGGCGCCGGGACTGGTACTGCCACTGCTCGTGGCCTTGCGCTTCACCGAGGTTCGAGGCGCCACAGGTGCAGCAGTGGCCTGGCGAGAAGCGAGCGGATCCCCACGCCTGCCCACGAACAGGCTGGAACCCAGCGCACTGGAAGGTGCCCTCGCCGAGACAACGTCGGAGCCAAGTCCGGTGGTGTGCTGTTGCCTCGAGCGTGGGAGAGGGGGGTGGCTGCCAGGTGGTTGAGGTGGGGGGCTGCCACGAGGTGATGGGGGAAGAGTGTTGCCAGGCGGGGGAGGTGGAGCGCTGCCTGGTGGGGGAGGTGGGGGTACGCGCTCGTCGGTCGCGTCGTGACGCCCTGTGGAAGCCTCACGGCTCGGCGGCGGTGGTGAGTCGCCGTACGAGACGACGCGACGTTGTGCGAGCGGGCAACGAGGTGGCTCGTCGGGAGGCGAGTCGCCATACGGCAGAGGCCGTGGGTTGAGCTCGTCCACGGTGTTGGTGGTTGGTGCCGAGGAGAACTGCCTCCAGGCAGCGACCAGTCGAGAAAGGAGAGCAACGAGGTGAGCACCTGGTGTCATCGCGTTGGGGGAGTGTGGTTGGGTGTGGCAAATGCAGAAGGTGTGCGGTGGGGGTGGTGGGTGAGGTGGGTGAGGTGGATGGGGGATGGAGCGAAGACAAACTCTCGTGTGGTCCCAGATGTACTCCACAGCCGTGACTCAATAGCCGACGCTCCACAGTACCACAGTTGACGATCCCTCCCTCAGAAGTTCAGAAGCGCAGAAACAAATGGATACTAGGTTCTGTGCGTCCAACGCTCCACTGGCCACTGGCGATTGTCGCGCCCATACACAGACCCACCCCTGTCGTTATTGGCAATTTGTTCAAAAACACTGGTGAGTCTCAGCGTCTTTAGATGGTTCCGAGCACCGCCTCTTCCCTTCTGACACTGTTGTCACGGTCGTCGCTGCTGGACTGCAGTGGATCAGTGGACGGACCAGCTGATTCGCGAACACGGGGACAGCGCACCCTCCTCGCCGTCGTGCTCAACGTGCTGGCGTGATTTCCTATTTCGTTCACACTCCACCAGCACACTCGCACAGCCCCGTCGTTGGCGACGCCCGTCTACACATCGACCCATCCTCGCTTTCCGACCCGGCTGACCCCCTCGCGCCAAACGTGGAAATTGGCAACCCTCTTACCCTCGTGCGCCCTCGTGCGCCCTCGCTCTAGCCTGCATGCTGCCGTGTATCCCGGCTAAGCGTGCCCAAACTGGTCCCACTTGGCTGCAGCGTGCGATGTCTTGTTTGGCAGGCGGCGCGGCACGGCGGAAAGTGGCGGTCAGACCCCGTGCAAAAAAAAAAAAAAAAGGGAAAAAATATCAGAAATTGCCCAGCCACACAGGGTGTGCCACATGCCACTTTTGCACCTTCACGTGGCACATGCATGATCGCGAAGGACAAGCGGTTGCGGGCGCAAATGTTGGGTTTGCAGGTCGTCCCAATGTTGCCTGGCTAGTCGATTGACCGTCCGACTGCTCTATACCAATGTCAGCTGCGGACAACAACGACATAGCATCGCGAACAAGAGGACGCCGCACTGGTTTCTGTAGGGTGGGGCGGGGACGGGATCAATTGGAACCATGGTAAACGAAGCGACGATCTGCTGTGTGTAAGTGGATCATCGAAACCCCATGGATTTGTGCAATCATCCGCCTCTCCTGTATGATCAGTGAATTAGTGGTAGCCCTGCTGTACGAGGATGCTATGCATGAAGCAGACAGTGGTGTATGCTAAAGGTTGTTCCTGCGTGCCCGTCCAAGAAGCCAAGGGGTGCCACTCTCGGCGATATGTGCGGCGTTATCGGATGCACCTGGGGCGAAAATCATTCCTCGTGGTCGTCCACCTGCCAAAGTTGAGAAATGGTCGACTGCGACGAGGAGAGGACCCTGAACGCTGCCATCGCTCTCGCACCCCCCCGCTCGCTCGCCCGCTGGTTTGCTCCTACTCTTTCCACTTGCTCCTCCTTTCTTTCAACCCTCAACCAAAAAAAGACAAGATGCCCTTCGTTAAGGTCACCAAGGTAGGCCAGAAACCACATAAAACAGACAGCTGACAATCTCCAGAACAGCGCGTTAGTGACAAGGCGTCCCGGCTGCCCTTCAACTTGCGAACGCTTTACTGACCTTTTGCAGCTACCACGCCCGCTTCCAGGTTAAGCCCCGTCGTCGCAGGGAAGGCAGGACTGACTGTGCGTAGACGAACTTGTTGAAATCAGAACTTGTGCTGACTTGTCCTCAGACTACGCGTACGTGGCGATTTTTGGAAGGAATGGGCAGGGAGGTCGGACGTGTGGACGTTCGCCTGTGGAGCACCTGTGGGACGAGCCGGCGCGCGTCTGGACGACTGTCATCTGCAGAGAAGACCTACCGGCTCGGTTTCTTTGCTGCAGAGACTGTCGCCCGAGTTGACGTCGGCCAGAGAATGTCCAACGACCTCTCTCCCATCTCCCTCCCATTTTCGCGAAATACTTCCGCTGACTCTTTAGCCGCAAGCGCCTTGTGTCGCAGGCCAAGAACAAGTACGCCTCGCCCAAGTACCGCCTTGTCGTCCGCTTCACCAACCGCCAGGTGATCTGCCAGATCGTCTACGCCAAGCTCACTGGTGACGTTGTTCTTGTCCACGCTTCGTCGAAGGAGCTCTCCAAGTACGGCATCGAGCACGGTCTTACCAACTGGACCGCTGCCTACGCCACTGGTCTCCTTGTCGCCCGCCGTGCCCTTACCAAGCTCGGCCTCGCCGACAAGTACGAGGGCTTCGCTGAGCCCACCGGCGAGATTGAGCTCGTTGAGCCCCTCGGCGATGACGAGCCCCGCCCCTTCAAGGCTTACCTCGACGTCGGTCTCCGCCGCACCTCGACCGGTAACCGTGTCTTCGGTGCCATGAAGGGTGCCTCGGACGGTGGTATCTTCATCCCCCACAACGAGAAGCGTTTCCCCGGCTTCGACCCCGAGACCAAGACCCTCGACGCCGAGGTTCTCTCCAAGTACATTGTCGGTGGCCACGTCGCCGAGTACATGGAGGACCTCGAGGAGGAGGACGACGAGCGCTTCAAGAAGCAGTTCGCCACCTACCTCGCCGCCGAGATCGGCTCGGAGGACATTGAGGAGATGTACACCTCGGCCTACGAGAAGATCCGCGAGGACCCCACCTTCGTCCCCACCGAGAAGGACACCGCCAAGTGGAAGGCCGAGTCGGTCAAGTACCGTTCGGTCCGCCTCACCAGGGAGCAGCGTCGCGAGCGCGTCGAGGCCAAGATCGCCGTCTGGAAGGCCGAGAACTAAGCGGTTTCCGCTGCAGTTGTCGCTTGGGTACCCTCGTGGTATTTGTGTATCTCCGGAGCTCGGGACATGCATCACCGTGTCCGGACCTAGTTGGAGTAGGTTGCATGCACTATTGTTGTGCAATCCAAAGACCCAGAGCAGAGCAGCGCGAGCAGTGTGGCACGAGAGCAATTGGGCTGGGGGTGGCACAGGTGGTACAAATTTGAGCTCAGTTCCTGAAGAAGTGGCGTTTAAAGTTGCAATAGCGGCAGCCCGGCGGGTTGTGCCACGAATCCTGCAGTGTAGTGGCTTTGGAAGTTCGCAGTGCTGATACGCAACAATCATACGTCGGAAGCGTATGCTGTAGATGGCGCGTTTCATCTCCACTGCCTCTATGTTCTCTACATTTCGACATTTCGTGAGACATGCCCATCGCGGGATCAAATACGCGATGGGTGACGCTTGGAGACGACTGAATCCGGCCGGCCGCGGCCATTTACCAGGCACACTGCCACTCCATCGTGAGCATCTCTGCGACCGATCTTCAACGCACACCTTCATCCACACCATCCCTCTCAATGGACATCCCAAAGAACGGCGAGAGCAGCCGTTCGCCTGCCCCAGCAAGCTCGGCAATGGCTCCAGGCGCGCCCTTGCCACTCATCCTGCCCGAGTGGGACTGTGAGCATAGCGCAGCCATCACCACCACCACACATCACTGACATGTCCCAGCCCTTCCCACAAAACACCTCCATTCGTCGCTCGACCTCATGTCCCTCCTCCATCTGGACGGCCTGTACAACACCTATGTGCGGCCATACTTTGACCCAGTGCCGGACACGGACGACGAGGGCGACGCAATGGTGCGGCCGCGTGCGAAGAAGAAGCAGGGGCTGAGCAAGGGATATGTCGCGCTGCTCGAGGACTGTATCGGTGGGTAATCCTTCTCCGTCATCCGGGCCAACCGCTTTGCGTGTGGGGCCCTTGTGCGTTCCTCTCTGACCGACCCAGACCCGATCCCAATGGGCAACCAGGCCGAGCACTCGCTCCTCCCGCTCGTGGGCGACTTTCTCGACCCGCAGCGCCCGCCCGCCATCGCATGGCAGGGCCCGCTCGTCCCGCTCACGCCCGACCTGCTCTCCTCGGCGCGGCTCGAGCAGGGCAAGACGGACGGGTACGCCAACGGCGAAAAAGTCGGCGTGCGCGAAGCCGAGGAACGCCGCAGGCGCAAAAAGCAGGCCCGCATGTCCCAGTCGGTCGCCCCAGACCTGCCCGACATTGCAGCCGCGTCCCCGGCCCCGGCCGGCGTGCCCACCCCAGCACCGCCAGCGAGGGGTACCCCGCGCCCGCCGTTCTCGGCGCGCGGCAGCCGCGGGGGCGGTGGAGGGCCGCCGGGAACCCCCGGACACCGCCCGCCATGGCCGCGCGCGAGCGCGCCGCCGGGATACACGCCGCGTCCTGGTCCAGGCGGCGCGGGGCCCGGCACCCCGACGCCGTCGCACCGTCCCGGCGGAGGTGGTGGCCCTGGTGGTGGTGGTGGGCCTGGCCCGCGCCCGTCCGGCGCGCCCGGCACCCCGCTCAAGCGGCCGGGCGATGGCAGCGGATACCCGTCGGTCGTCAAGCGCACAAAGGGCATGGGAGGGGGGAGCCGGTCGGCGAGTCCCGCGATGGGCGATGTGGGCGTAAAGGCCGTGTTCAAGGGTGCGATGAGGCGGACGGAGGAGCCGTAGTGTGGCAGTGATCAGGATGAAGTACCGTGTTTTACAGGAATGGGGATGGGGTTGGAGGGAGGGAGGGGTGGAGGGGTTGGAGGGCGTGGCGGGGTTGTCGGTGGTGAAGGAGGGAAGGACTGGAAGCAACTTGCAGTCAGTTGGTCTGACAAACGACGGGATGTTTCTCTCGTACCGAGTGGGTCTGGTTGCTCGCGGTGCCGGTCTCCTGTTGCCAGCAACTTGGCAGATTGTGGAGGCGGAGGCGAGCGTCCGGGGCTCTAGCTTGTATCACCACAACTGCAACCATGTGGCGCGGTCTCCAAGTGACATTGAGCAACAAGGTGGAGAGTCGAGGGGGTGTTATTGGCACGGTACTGTCTTTCTAACCGGGACTGGAGTACACATGGTCGGTCCACTGCCTTCTCTCCGCTCTCCTGCATCCAACGACTGCAGCGGCACGTCTTGTTCGAGTCAGACACTGTTGTTCACAAATCGTGTACAACTCGTTTGCTGCCCCACGCGTTAAACTGTGGCTCCATGTCAACAGTCCGGCTTCAGTCTCCTCCCCTCTGGCCTCTACCCTCTGCTCCTCTACTCGCACGCCACAGTTTGCATAGCATAATTCAGCCTCGTCGCGGCAACTATTAAGGACGAAACCCGCCAGCGACAGCAATCTCTCTACGATTAACGAACAAGAAGGGGAGTACTCAAGATAATCGTTCGTACACGTGAATAGGGGGGGGGGTTGGGTGGGGTTGGGGGGACAGAACACTTCAGGTATACACATGCGGCCACGTTTTCCTCTCTGTTCTCTTCTCTTCTCTTCTCTCTTCTCTCTTCTCTCTCTCTCTCGCTCTCACGTCTTGTCTTCCAGACGCCACACTGTGGCTCTACTTCTTGGACGAAAAGGCGAGCTTGAGCTTGGCGAAGAAGCCCGACTTCTTCTTGTTGAGGTTGGGCGTCGCGGGAGTCGAGGGGGTCGCGGGAGCGGGAGTGGGAGGGGTCACGGGGGCGTCCTTGACGGCAACGGGGGCGGCCGGCGTCGAGGGCGCGCTGACAGCGGCGTCATTGACGGGGGTGCCCGAGCGAGGAGTCGAGCCGAGGCCGAACGCCGCCGACGTGTTCTTGGCAAAGTCGCCGCCAGTGTTGAGGGTGTCGCCGAGGTACGACTTGCCGTTGGCAGCCGCGCCGCTGACGGCGCCCGTGGCAGCGCCGGTCGAGGTGGTGACACCGTCGCGCACAGCGCCAGTGGTCGAGCTGACAGCTCCCGAAACGTTGGTGCCAAGCTCACCGAGCGGCGCGGGGGCGCTAAAGTCGATACCAGAGCTGGCGGGCTCGGGAACGTCAACAGCCTTCTCGGCAGTGGCGGCGGGGCCGACCTTGGGAGGCTCGGGCTCGGCAGGAGTAGTGGTGGCAGGGCGGATCGTGCTCGTGGCCTTGCCAACAGTGTCCTGGGCAAAGCCCGACGCAGTACCAACAGTGTCCTTGGCCACGTCGGTCGTCGACGAGACGGCGCCAGTGGCGGTGTCCTGGACCTTGGTGAACGAGTCCTTGGACAAGTCGGTAGCGGTGCCAACGGCGTCCGAACCAGCGTTCACGGCACCCGTGGTGACGTTCTTGCCAGTGTCGACAGTCGAAGTGGCCGTCTTCTGGCCGAGGGCAACGGCGCCAGCGCCAACACCAACAGCCGCACCAGTCGCGGCCGCGGCCGCGGTCTTGCCGCCGCCAAAGAGCGAGAAGCGCTTCTTGTTCTTGCTGGGGGTGGTGGGAGCCGCAAGCGGGGCGACGGGCTCGGTCTCGGGGACGGGGGGGACCTGGGGAGCGGCAGCCTGGGCGCCGTCGACCTCGGGGACAACGGCGTTGACGTTGGCCGGGGTGTCGATAGCCTGGGCCACGGGCTCGGCAGTGGGGACCGCGGGGGCGGAACGCTCAGCAGTGAGCACAGGGGTGTCGACAGCGGGGACGATGGGCTCAGTGGCGGCGGCCTGGGCCACCTGGACGTCGGTCACAGGAGCAAGGGGCTCGACGGGCTGAACAGGGGCGACAGGCTCGACCTCGCCGACGGCGGCAGGAGCCTCAGCAAGAGGAGCCGAGACAGCAGCAGCCTCGGTCTCGGGGACAACAGCAACCGGGGCGTCGGCGGCAGGGAGGTCCTTGGTGCCGTTGACGGGCGATGCCTCCTTGGAGCGAGCCTCCTTGGCAGCGAGACCGGCGCCACCAGCGACAAAGGCCACACCGCCAGCAGCACCGGCCTCGGCCTTGTGGCCACCGAGGCCCTTGAAAGCGCCGGAAAGGCGGCGGCCGATCTTCGAACCGAGGCCGTCCTTGGGGACATGGAGAGTGTCGTCAGCCGAGCTGGACGAGGCCTCCTTGGTGAAGGGCTTGCCAAGGGCACCGGTGACGTTCTTGGTCTGGTCAGTGGCGAACGAGCCAGCGTTTTCGACAGTCGAAGTGGCGGTTCCAGTGACGTTCTTGGTCTGGTCAACGGCAAAGTTGCCAGCCGATCCAACCGTCTCCGAGGTGGTGTTGAGCGCGCCAGTCGACAGGTCCTTGGTTCCCGAGGTGACAGAGTCCACGGCGCCAGTGGCCGACTCGCTGCCCTGCTTGGTGGCGCCGTACGCGAGCGCACCGGCACCGGCCACGGCCGCAGCTGCGCCGCCGAGGACACCCGCAGAGATGCCCGAGGTCGTCTCGGGGGCCTTGGCGGCGGCGTCGACCTGGGGAGTCTCGAGGTTGGCAACGGGGCTGACGGTAGGCACCTCAGTCGAGGGGACGCTGGCAGCAGGAACCTCAGTCGAGGGGACGTCGACGGCAGGCGCCTCAGTCGAAGGAACAACAGGGGCGACAACGGGGGCCTCAGTCGAGGGGGCCGACAGGTCCAGGCCGGCGGGAGCCTGGACGTCACGAGTGGCGGGGGCTGAGCTGGCAATGTCAGAGACAGCGGCAGTCGAGGGGGCCTGGACGTCGCCAACAGCGGGGACCGCGACGGCTTCGGGCTCGGTGGGGGCCACGACAGGCTCAGTCGAGACACCACCCAGGCCAGCGGCGACAGGGACAACGGGCGCGGGGGCGAGCTCGGGGGCGGTCACGTCAGCCGTGGGGAGAGCACCGGGAATGTCCTGGGTCACGTCCTTCGAGACGACCGGCTCGTTGACGTTGTCGGTCACAGAAGCACGGGGGGTGAGCGAGGGCTCGACGGGGGCATCGGCGGCAGTAGGAGGGACCGAGTCGACCTGGACATCGCGAGTGGCAGTGGGCGAGACGACGGCGGCGTCGTTGGTGCTTGGGAGACCTGCGGCGTCGGCCTGGGGCTCGGTCTCCTTCTTGGAACCAACGACGGTAGCTCCAATGGCAGCGGCGCCGGCTGCCAGAGCACCAGTACCAGCGGCGATGGCGGCAGTGGGGCCTACCGAGAGGCTAGAGGTGGTCTCGGGCTGAGCCTCGGTCGAAGCCTCGACGTCGGCGGTGTCAACGTCCTCGGCACCGGCGTCACCTCCAGCGGCCTTCTTCTTCTTCTTCTGAGCCTTCTTCTTGGCGTTCCTCTTGGCCTTCTTCGCGGCCTCGGAGAGCTGGGCGTCCGAGTCGTTGATGCCGGGAGTCTCGGCGTCGGAGACGTTGGCTGAAGCGGGGTTGGACTCGATCTGGGCCTTCTCAACGCTGGGGAGGGTAGCGACGGGAGCGACAACAGCCTCGCGAGCCTCGGTGGTGGTGGCGGCCTGGGGCACGACCTGTTCAGTAGAGGTGGTGTCCTTGTTCATGCCGGCGACGAATGTTTGGAGTTGAGAAACAGCGCCGACTGGAGGAGCGTCCTTTGAACCGGAACCTGACGAGAGAGCGGCAACGGTAGCAGCACCTCCAGTGGCCAGAGCTCCAGCACCTGCCAGGGCGGCCGGGGCAGCGGACGAGGTGGATGTGGTGGGAACCGGTTCAGCAGCCGACGACTCGACGGGCGCGGCGGGCTGCGGGGGGGCCTGGTAAATCTGGGCGCGGGTGTTAGTACCAAGCTACGCTCTGTGTCTCATGCAAGACATACGTTGTTCATGTTACCGGCGTCATCTGTTGTTGTTTGTTATCAGCAGCCATTTCTTGATCACCTCACATATCGTCATGTGGGGGCGGGGGCGCACTCACCAGGCTCCTTGGACTCGTCCTCGCGGACCTTCCACTCGCCGTCGACGACATACTTGAACGCCTGCTTCTCTCCCCAGGGGACGGGGATGGTAGCGCGGAAGCTGCCGTCACCAATCTTGGTGAGCGGCGATGCGGTCTCGGACCAGTTGTTGAAGCCGCCGGCGATGAAGACCTGGGGACCCGGATTGGCGGAGAGCAGAACGTCATGGAAGACAAAGCCAAGGCGTGGGAAGCGTTTGTCAGATGAGGGACGAGATTATGAGCAAGAGGGGCGGGCGGCAGTGCATCGTGTGTGTGTTGGATAAGGAGAGAGAATTGATCATGTCAGCTCGCATGTCACACAGGTTGAATAGGAAAGGCGTTTTGTTTTTGGGTGGTAGTAACGCGCGACATGGATTTGTTCCAATGGGTCCGAGATCGCTCTCTGCAACCGAAAGTGCAATCGGTGTCCTCCCCCCTCCCGATGACGTTTTTTTTTTTCCTTGTGGAGGTGGGTGTGGGCGACGATGATGCGTGTGTACTCACCGTGCTGGGACCTGGGCCCCAGGTGAATGTCGCCTGGTGCAGGTCGCTCATGGCTGTCGAGGAGATTGGGGTGGATGCAAGGGGAGGTTGGATAATGAGATGAGGAAAGGGGGGAAGGGGTGGCGGCAAATGTAAGAGAGGTGGAGTGGATAAGAAGAATGAGAGACAGAGAATATCGGGTGGGGGAAATGGCACACTGGGGGGGAGATTGGTGGCTTTCCACCGCTGCGCACCGCCCACAGAGCCCAAAACCCAATTGCCCAGTTTGCTGGTCGTTCCCCTTTTCTTACCACTAGTGGCAATAACCTTTGCTTTGCTTTTGGGCTCCCTGCTCCTCTGTTCTAATGCGCGACATGACGTCTCCCCCCCTTTCATTTGCGCGCTCGCTCGCTCTCTCGAACAGCCAAATTGTCACCAGCCAAAATGTCTCGGCCGGTGGGGGGGAGAGGACCCTGACAGGACATGACAACCAGCCACTCCCGTCACCATGGCATGCACCGTAATAAGCTGCCTAATGTACGTCTGCAGTAAAATGGCACAAGCATTGGAGCAGCTGACCAGTGTACATTAACAGCCAGGAATCCAGGAGAGCATTGGGGCGACATGACCGCAGCAATTAACCCTTCAAGAGCAACCCTGGCAGCCCTGCACAGGCCTTTCTCTGCACATGGGCCACACGGTCGGCCGGCGTCAGCAATGTTCGGACGGGAATCTCCTCCCCTTTCGCCCCCCTTGGGCCACTCGTCCATCCGCCCCCTTGCTCAAAACGAATGTGGTGCGCATAAGATGCTGGCCCCATCCACCACCAGACAGTGGGGCCGTTATAGATATGGTAGTAGTGTCCATCCCAGAGTTGTTTACTCGTTCCAAGCGATAACAGCCTGTGGAAGTGTGACGTCAGTGATCCATGGTTCATGGTTCATGGCCGTATGCCTGCCACTCACCATGCAGAAGACACCAAACGCCATGGCGGCGTACTGTCACAGTCAGCACCATTAACTCGAGCCGACGTCCACCGGCCACCGGTTCTGGTCTCACCTCCTTGAGCGCCTGCTTGGCACTGCGCGACTCCTCCAGCAGCTCGGGGATGACGCTGACGCTCGCAATGTAGAGGAAGCCTGTGCCCGTGTCAGCCCGCGGCCCGGTCACACGACCACACCACCCAAAACAAATAAAACACACCACCAGCAGTCATGGGGATGACGAGCTCGCCGCCACCGACCGAAGTGCCGAACAGACCCTCGCCGACCTGCAGCGCCTGCGAGCCGTCGCCGGCGCCAGTAGTCTCGGCGATCCAGATACCGATAAACGTGCCCACAAAGGCGCCGACGGCCGTGAAGAACTGCGAGCCCATGGCCTGCGACTTTGTAAAGCCCGACTTGATAAGGATCGAGTAGTCGGCGACCTGGGGAGGAGGGGGTGTCAGCATGGTTTTCTATTCCAGAGGGAGGCCATGACCCACCTCGTGAGGGATCTCGTGGCAAAAGGTGGCAATGGTCGTGACGGCGCCGAGGGCGGGGCTCGAGTAGAACGACGCGGCCATGGCGAGGCCGTCGGTGATGTTGTGGGTAAAGTCGCCAAAGAGGTTGAGGTAGGCCGAGAGACGGAGCGACTGGTTGACCTTGGGCTGCTCGGGCTCGGGCGTGGTCTCGTCCTCGTCCTTCTTGCTGCCCTTCTTGCGCTTGCGAACCTCGCCGTCGGCCTTCTTGACAGCCGACGACTCGCCGTGCGAGTGGCCGTGCGAGTGCGAGTGGCTGTGACCGTGGCTGTGGCCCTCGTTACCGGCCGAGGCGTTGAGGACACGCATGGTCTTGTCGAGCACGAAGAACGCCGCAAAGCCTAGGAAGATGGCGCCGCTGGCAGGGATGTTAGCACGGTGATGGCCATACACCCTCCCCTCCCGCTCCACACCTACCCAATAACAATGTTGCGGTGCTCCTCGACAACAACGGTACGGCCCTCCTCGTGGTCGCCCTCGCCAAAGAAGGCGTGCGGGACGAGGTGGAGGAAGACGTCGCCGAGCAGACCGCCCGTCGCGAACGCGATCATGGTGTTGAGCGACGAGGGCTCCAGGTCGGCGGGGACAGCAATAAGGATAAAGTTGGGGATGGACGAAATGTAGAACGTGGCCAGGACTGGGACCGTTCAGCTGTGTACTGTTGCACTGTAGCTGTGAGTGGCAGAAAAACACATACTCGAGTTCCAGGCCGGGCTCTCAAAGGGAAAGAGGGTAGCGAACACTTTACGCATGGTGGTCGAGTGCTCGTGCGAGGCATGACCGGCATGCTCGGGCGCCTGGAAGATGGCCTGCTGTGTCTTGTCAGCAACGCGTCGTTGGCCGTTGGGATTGTTTGGCATCATCATCGCCGCCATCGCATCTGGTCTCGACACTAGGGCACGCGCCTGCCCCGAATCGGGAGCGCGCGCGCGACGTGGACGTGGAAGGTGGAGGTCGGGGACCACACACCAAAACGTACCTTGTCCTCCGCAGAGGCCGTGCCGGCGAAGAAGAGGGCCGCGGCCACGGCCACGGCGACAAGACACAGCCTAGATGAACGAGTGAGCATGGTGGGGGGAGTGGGCGGTGTGGCTTGCTCGACGTGGAAGCGTTGACAAGAATGTATTTACGATGCAAAACCCAACTCGGCAACCCAGGGCGGGCTCTCGGGGCTAGCATCGTCGGCCGGGTGCGGTCTCCCATTTTTGATTCCGTGATTGCCGCTACCGGGCACAGGCCATGACAGTCACAGTGGTGAAGATCCCCTAGCCTGCCAGCTTAAAGGTGTACGCTTGGTATGCTTGTTTGCATTCGGACGTAGCAGCGCGGGCAGTCCAAGCGGATGGGCACATGCGGATGGGGGGAAAGTGTTGCAGGAGGACTGCGGGTCACAAATGAGACGTGTGGCGGTAATGACGGACCGGTAATGTGCCGATCCGACGGACGCGCCTACTTTTCGTTCCTTGGATCCTTGCTGACACGAGGCAAGTTGCAACACACCAGCAAGATGCTGGACCACAGATGTAAGCCACCCTTGCCATACCGGCCCCCTCACAACAAATGGTTTTTGTGTTTTGTTGGGTATCCAAGAGATGTGTATGAAAGAATAAAAGCTGCGGCCAGTAAGCAACGATTGGACGATGGCACAGCCGCGGTTGCAGCACCGTTCGTAAGTTGGTTGTTACGAAAGCATACACTGACGGCCTGTGATATCGACTACAGTATCATTCTTGCAGGGCGTACGGTGGCAATTCCAGTGGCCAGTTCAGTGCGCCGATGAACCCCTATGTATGTTCATGGGCTGACAACACAACACAGTTGGCCTCCTTGGCGGTTTCTCGATCGATCATGGGGTGAACGTACGTGCGGCCAACAACCCAGTCGCCCCACATACGTTACCCATCGTTTGGACCTTTTCGCCATCTTCGACATCACTCTTGTCATGCAGGTGACTGCTGGGTACACATGAATCATGTCCAAACAGTTGCCCGAATTTATGGGTAAGGAGCTTGATCAATCTGCCTCCTCTTCGTACCCAATAGCTGTTCAAAAGTCACACGTTTGGCCTCAACCCATACCAAAGTGTCAGTGGCAGTTTAGTTTCACCTATCCCGCGTCTGTGGACTGGAACCACAGCCCATGAACTGTCGGTACAACACCATTTTTATTCATTTTTGAGCAGTTTAATAAAAGACAACGTTACTACGGACTCAACGACGAACGCTGGGCAAGGTCGACGGCGAGGCTAGTAAACTCTGTAATCCACGCGAGAGCTGTAGCTAGAGCGTGCAAATGGTACTCAAACAAGATGCAAAGAGATAAGACCTCGCTCTGGTGACATCAAGCCACGGTATCGGATAGGAGTTGACAATCCGACACAATATTTATTTCGGCCACCGACGAGCGGTACACGCCGGTTTCGAGGCGACGGACACGAGTGCTCACGTTTTCACTCGGTCGTTAAACGACCATGTACAGTAACGTGTCACTGGATCACTGGTGACAGCTGCGTAGGCATTAGCAGAGGACGTGCAAGCATGAACAGATAAATTACGTAAACCTGCCAAGCGCTCCATGTAATCAATGACGTCACCAGTGGATAAGGAAACAAACAATGCAATTTCTTTTTTCCCGAAAAGGTCAAATTAACCCAACAGCACACGTCTCCAACGGCGTCTCAATCTCATCACTCTCATCACTCCACATCACGACCTCCTCGAACGCATCCTGTTTCCTCCCCCCTTCACCACAACCACCACCACCCCGCCACCCACGTTACGGAACCATGTCCGCCCCGTTCCTCTTCAAGGCCCAACAGGCCTTTTTACTCCTCCTTCACACGCCGCTCCTGCCGCCACCCGAGGCCCCGCCGGCGCTCGAGCTCCAGGCCATGGACAGCGGCAGGAGCTGGCATGCCGGAGCATCCCGTACGCCTGGCCAGCTGTCGACGACGATAGCGGAGGCGTCAGTCTCGGGCTCGGCCTCAGCCTCGACCTCGCCGACAGAGTCCACCCGGAGCAGCGACAGCTCCACAGCAAGCTCCATGGAGCTCGCGGCGTGGGACGCGGCGGGTGTGCGTGACCAGGTAAGTAGGGGTCGTACGAGTGTGGGTGTGTTGGGTATGGTACTGATGTCCGCGTAGATCCAGGACGCGACGCACACCCGCGGGTGGTAGTAGAGCCTGCTAGTTGAATCTGCTGTCGCATGGTACGCTGATGGTTTTGTTGCCGAAGCTGACATCCAGTAAACCACAGTATAATACGGTGTTTTTGTATAGATGCGGTGCACCTGCCGTCGTAGAACTCCAGTATAATTAACATAGTCCCCAACGTCTAATCGCATGCACCTGGGCATTGTTGTCCAGTGTCCAGTACACTTTGGAGTGCACTTTGGATATCGTATCGCAGTTTTCCTGAGGATCCGCAGCTACTTCCGACGACTCAGACCTGCTTCTCTGCTCTGCGTCCTTGTTCCAAGCGCCCGCCCGCCCGCGCGCCCACTTTGAGCCCCCACTCTATAGGGAATGACAATACCTGATGCATACAGTGTGAAAGAATGAACGATCTCCCAAGCGCGCCCCTTACACCTCCAGCCCATCGTCCTCGTCCATGTCGCCCTTGCCCGACAGGTCGAGCTTGCGTTTCCTGCCGCCCACATCGCCCATCTTGGCGTCGCGCCCGACCTTTTCGCGCAGGGCATCGACGTCGACCGAGTCGGCGTCGTTGGCCCACTCGGTGACCAGGTGACGGCCGAGCAAATGGGTGTGCTTGAGCGCGTCCATCGCGCGCTGCGCCTCGGCGTGCGTCGTAAACTCGAGGAAGGCGAAACCACGGGTGCTCTGGGCGCCCGAGGCCGAGAGCGTGGGCTTGCGCGGCACACGCAGGCTCTTGAGCGTGCCATACGCCGAGAACAGGTCGCGCACGTCGTTCTTGGTGGCCTCGAACGGCAAGTTCTTGACGAGGATCTTGGTGCCCTTGGTCTTGCCCGACATTTCGCCGCCCTTGGCGTCCTTCTTGTTCTCCTTGGCGTCCTCCTCGGCACCGCGCTGTGCCCACTTGGCGTCGAGCGCGTGTCCGTCCACCTCGAAGCCGGCCAGACCGCCGAGCGCCTTCTGGGCGTCCTTTTTGGTCTTGAAGCCGACGAAACCGAAACCCATCGACAGGCGCTGGCCCTCGCGCTTGGGGTCGGGCTTGGTCTGCACGCGGGCAAACGAGAATCCGGGCAGGGCAGAGAGGACAGACGAGAGGCGCTCCGTGGTGGTAGCCCATGCGAGGTTCTTGAGGAAGAGGGTCGAGCCAGCCTCGTCGGTGGGTGCAGGCTGGTCACGGGCAGCCGCCTCGGCCTCGGCGACCTTGTCGGCAAGACGGGCACGCTCCTCGGCCTCCTTCGAGGCAGGGGTCGAGGTGACGTTGTTGTTGAACATGCCCACGGGGCCCTTTTCGAGGTACAGGACAGCGTTGCCGATACGGCGGTAGGCGAGGGCACGGAATGCGCGACCGGCATCCATGCTGTTGGCAAACTCGACAACGCCAATGGTACCCGCGGGGGGCAGGAGCACACGCTTCAGCTCGCCGTGGGGCACAAAGAGGTCCTGGAGGGCCTGGATCGTAGTGCCAAAGGGAATGTTCTTGACGAGGATGATGGTCTGCGAGCGGGGCACCTTGGGCTTGAGAGCCTCAACAACAATGCCCTCGTTTTCAAAGTACGCCTTGGTCTCGGCGATGACATGGGTCTCGGCGAGCGCGAGCTTGACGGCAGCGCTGACATCGCCCGAGCCGCTCAGCAGCTCCGACTTGGAGACACCCATGCGTTCGGCGACCGAGGCCGCAACGGCATCACTGTTCATGTAGAGACTTGCCCAGTTGACACCCTTTGCGCTGTCGGCCTTGCGCTTCTCGTCGACCTTTTCCTTGACCTCGCCACGCTTCTCGGCAGCCTTGCCCAGCACCTTGCCGTCCGTAACGCCCTCGGTGCCTGCGGCCTTCTCCTGTCCTGGACGTGCGCGCCCGGGGAGAACGTGAAGGAGACGGCCCTGGAAAGTAGTCTTGTCCAGAGTCTTGTGAGCGGAAAGGGCGTCCTGGGGGTCGCGGAACAGAACAAACGCCGTGCCCAGAGGCTCGCCAGTCTGAGCCGACACGGGCATGTGGACGTCGACAGTCGGGCCAAACCGTCCAAAGTGTGCCGTAATGTCCTCGGCAGTGGTTACGAACGCCAGGTTACGCACAAACAGACGGCCAGTCGAGAGAATGAGTGCCTCCTCGGGGTCGTGGCGAACCACGGCGACAGACTCGTCGCCGTCGCCACCGAGCGCCTTTTGCCTGCGTGCGAGCCACGCCGCGTCGTCGTCGTCCTCATTGTCGTCCTCGGCCTCGTCGTCCGACCCGGAAGTGGCCTTCTCCTTGCCCTTCTTGCTCGCCTTGGCTTTGGCCTCCTTGGTGCCCTCGGCAACCCAGCCCTTATCGCCGGGAACCGCCACGGCGTCGGCGGACGGAGCCGTGGGGTCGACGCCCTTCATGACGTCCATAAACTCCTTCAGGCCCTTGGAGGGACCAGCCTCGGCGCGGGGCTCATCGTTGCTGCCAGACGCCTCGGTCTTGGCGCGCTTCGCAGGCTTGGGTGCCAATGGCTGGCGGTGTCAGTTGACGATGCACACCACTCTCAACTCACCTCATCGCGAACAAAGTCGACCTTGACTTTACCGCCGCCAAACGCAAAGGAGCCGTCAAACCAGTCCTTGACCTTTTGGGCCTCCTCGTCGCTCTTGTATCCGACGAACGCGAAGCGACGCTTGGAGACGAGCTTGGAGTCGGTGACGACGGTGGAGGCAAGAGTCTTGGGCTCGGTGAGCTTGGACCGGAACTGGTCCGGGGTGAGGGTTGGGGGGAGGTTGAGGAAGATGAGACGCGACCTGGCGAGTCAGTAAGGGAGCTTGTCGCTGCTGGGGAGGGAGCTTACATGGTGGTGCGCGGTGGTTGAGTTGCAGGTGGACTGACTCTTCACGTCAATAACAAGGGACCGCCATCAGAAATCTTGAAGATGCAAGTCACAATCACGTGACTTGCGAGTCCTCACGCGGTGTTACGTAACTGCAACCCACGTGGAGATCTCGCCACAAGCTATATCGCCGACGACACAGAGGAAATTCGACGGAACCAATTGCCCAAAGTCCCGGCCAGCGTCGAGGTGCCAGCCAGCCCCGTGTGCGGTGCCGTTTGGATTGGAGCTCACCTTCGCTGAACGACCTTCTTCACCCCTCAAAACACATACACGTGAGTGCCCACGGCGACGACAGCGACGACGACGACGAGTACCAGAGTGCTGACTGAGTGTCTTTCCCCCAACTGCTCTCCCCGCGCGCTTCCCTCGTTCTCGAACTGTCCAATTTGGCCTGGTTGTCTCTCTCCAACGAAATCCTACGCGCACGCTCCAACCGATTTGCTGGACTCGCTCTTGATCTGTGTCATTTTGCACCTGCCGCTCGTGCCGCTCTGGTGTACTCTCGACCTCTTTTCTGTGGCTGGAACCTGTGAACTTGGAAACATTGGAATCCGTCTGGTTCTCTGGCGACGAATTCTTGGCTGGCCCGATTGGCCGTTTTGTCGAAACTTTCCCCATCCCATTTTCGACACCCTCTCCTCTCTCGTTCTCGTGCGCTTCTCTCTGTCGCAATTTGCGCTCTCCTGTCGCTCCGTCACACGCACCGCACGCGCTCCGTCAAATCTGTGCTGCCCAAATCCCCCTCCCCCTTGATTTATTACACTCTCTCTACTGTCCATCTTTCGACACCCGCATCACCTACAGAAAATGCCTGGCGTGCGCGACGTCTCTGCTGAGGACTTTATCACGGCCTACTCGGCCCACCTCAAGCGCTCGGGTAAGCTCGAGATCCCCACCTGGGTCGACATTGTCAAGACCGGTTGCCAGAAGGAGCTTGCTCCTTACGACCCCGACTGGTACTACGTCCGCGCCGGTGAGTAGACGCGAATCCTGCGAGAACGGAGCACGGGAGAATGGCACCTGCTCTCCCTCTCCTCTCCTCTCGGAACTGTGGCCTTCTGGAACTCTCAACTGACCCCTCGCAGCGGCCGTTGCCCGTCACATCTACCTCCGCAAGCACGTCGGTGTTGGCGCCCTCGCCAAGCTCCACGGCACCCAGCACCGTCGTGGTGTCCGCCCCGGCCACCACCGCGACTCGGCCACCGGTGTCGAGCGCAACGTTGTCCAGTCGCTCGAGAAGATCGGTGTCCTTGAGGCCCACCCCGACGGCGGCCGCAAGATCTCGCAGGACGGCATGCGTGACCTTGACCGTATCGCCACCGCCATCCTCGAGGCCCAGCGCGACGAGGAGGAGTCCGAGGAGGAGTCTGAGGAGGAGGAGGACGACGAGGAGGAGGCTGAGGAGGACGACGAGTAGATTCCTCTCACCATAGCATGGTAGCGGGTTACTGGTCATGAGATTCATCCACATTCCAAAAGCCACAACCGAAGACGACAGTGCTGCAATGTGGGCGTTTGGGGAGAGGCGCGGCGCTTGAGGCTTGGCTCTGTATGGGTTGACAGGAGGGGGGAGAGCCGGTACTGACTCGTCTGCATCTGCATCTGCGGGTCTGCGTCCTGCGCAGAGTGCCTTACAGACGACACTGTGGAATGGAATTGGAACGGAGCAGCCGCGGTTTTTCAGTAATTGGCTCCGCCCGGAATGGTTAGGCCCGTGGAGCTGTGGCATGGGACAGTTGAACAGTGCCACGCAGCATCGAGCAGGGGGACATAGACAAAAGCGTTGCATGGGCTATCGTATCCGTTATCCGGCCCACTTTGGATAAGCAAGCGACCGAAAGGGTGTCCAGGATAGCAAGAGAAGGTGAACATGTTACCGAAGTTAAAGGAAGGTACTGAAGCAAGGGCGAGGCGACAGGTCGCGCCGATTGAGGAGGTTTGGGAAATAAGGTGTCTCGTGGAAGGCGTGGAGGGAGAGTCGTTGCGGGCATGAGCAGGTCTGCGTGTTTGAGGGAGGGTATCTGGTTTGAAGTACATGGAGCGAGTTACAGGCGGCCTTGAGGGAGCTGTTGAGGTGGTGGCGCCTGAAATTGCAGGTCAATACAACGAGCGATGCAATTTACCTACCACGCGGGTCTTCTTGTTGGCAGCTCCGCCACTCGACTCCGAATCCTCGGTGAGGGCGGAGCGCTTGGCCTTGATGGAGGGGAACGTGGGAGTACCAGACACCGGCTTCAAGCTCCACTTGGCGGGAGTCTTGATGACAGGCATAGACTTGGAGAACTTGAGGCGGTTACCACGGACCAGTGGCGACGCGGGACCCACCGAGTCCTGGGCGGCCACACGAGTATCCTCGGGCTTGGTCTTGGTCTTGAGCTTGGTGGGGCTGGAGAGTATAGCAGTTCCGGGAGTGACGGGCCAAAGGAGGGCCAAAGCCGGCGAGGGTTCGTCCTCAATCTCACGCGTCCAGACGCGGACGGGAAGGTGGGCTGGGAGCGTCTTGGCCCTGCTCATTCCGGCACGAGTACGCGGCTGGATGGGGAACACGTTGTTCTTGGCCTTGAACTCGGGGAAGGGAGACGTGTGGTGGCGCTTCGTCGCTATCGAACGACGACCCATTTGGAGTTGGGCAAGAGTCTTGCGCGTCTTCGGGGCGGGAGTGAGGTCTTCACCAAACTTCAGCCCGCTGGCTGGCGCATCCACACCTTGGTCTGCAGCTTCGGCATCGTGGGCAGTGGCAGCACCGATGAACTCGGTGTCAAGTGGACCCTGCTGGGAGATGGGGGTGTAGAGGTGGTAGGCTGGAGACCCGAGTGACGGGGCTGTGCCCAACCAGGGGGTCGTAGGAGCCGCCGACCCCGGCCACAAGGTGAAGGGAGACTGCGCGGGGTGGATCATTGACTTAGAGACGCGGTTGGGAATGGGGGAGCTAGGAATAGGGATGGCGCGTGGAGTGAGCGGGGTTGGAGTGCTAGGATATGGGCTGTATCAGACGTCAGCCTGGGCAGGAGAGAGTTTTACGACTGAGACTCACCGCAGATCATTGTTGGGAAGCTTCTTCTTCTTGGGCGTGCCCCACGCAGGGCGCGGGGGAGAGGAGAGGCCGTCGCCGGCGAACATGATAGTGATGGGATGACAGGTGTGGGAGGACTGGATGAGACACAGAGATGGATGGGAGGGATTGCGGGATGGAGAGGAGGGAAGACACAAGGAAGACGTCAACTGACACAAGTTGACTGGACCGGCGTGTGGCACTTGTTTGGGCGTGTTTGGGTGGCGTCCACCGTAAAAAATATTGCCCGCTGACTTCTGCACATTCCATTTCTCTCTTCAACCAACCCAATCGAGCAGATGAATGTTGCCTACGTAGTTAGGTGCTACATAACTATGTGCCTCTTGGGAAACCTACTACGGTCACTCACCTCGGTGAGAGGGTTCTCAGTGAACAAAGCATTTGCAGTGAACCAGTTATTTATACCCACCGAACACTTTTAAACACTGCCCTTCCCTTCTCCTATCAATGATAACCCATGTTCCGGAACTAGCTGCATTCCGGTACGTAGAAAAGGGACTGGCAAGTCATAAAGATAGGTTGCAAGTATGACGGCTTGGCAAGCGGAAGTGAGTCTATGCACTTCGCAAGCCAGTCAAAAAGTAATGCCCGTGGATGAATCGATTGTCGTTGGTTGTGTGACTTCACCGTGCTGGCTCTCTGTCCCGCCTTCCCAGGCCAAGTGGCAGGGACCCTTCTAGAAGACTTGAACAACGGCACCAAGGTCACTACACCAAGAAGTGGGATGCTAGCCACGCAAGTCTGGTATTGAAAGTGGGAGGGGATAAATCGGTGTCGAGGCCGGAGAAAGCTGAGAGTGCAGGAGAACGGCACCGAAGGCGATGACGCGCAGACTTGAGCAAACCAGAAGCTGCCTGGTCTAGGCAAACATCTAGATACTGCCATACCCGGTACGCGCGCGCGCGCGCAGTCAGATCCAGAGGCAGAGCTGGCAGAGGATGACAGCCAATGTGCTCAGCAATGTCCCAGCGCCACATGCCACTCCTCTGCCGCCAGGGGCATCAAGACCTCCACTCTCGCATCCTCACCGAAACCACCCGTGTCAACAAATCCGTCGTCACACCACACACACTCTCTCACACCGGCCCATGAAGTTTCTCTCGTGTTTCCGCCGGCCATTAGAAGACCCAGAACGTCCCCTCCTCAACGACGGATACCAGGCGGGATGCGTGTTCTGTACCGTGTCCAAGGACAACGGCTTTGCTGTTGAATACGAGGTGGGTGACGTCGGCACGTTCTCCGTCGGCTGGCATGAGCGATCGCAAGCCGACACTTCCGGGAGGGCATAACGGCTGGACGGAGGTCCACTACTGACACGTCCAGGACGAGGAGCTCATTGTCTTCCGAGACCGCTGGCCGCGCGCGCTGGAACACCTCCTCGTCATTCCGCGCCGACACACCGTCTCGACCGTGCACGAGTTGACTGCCGCGGACATTCCCTTCAGTGCGTGCTTCTGTGAGCTGGACGTATCTAACGTCAACAGTTGAGCGCATGGCTGCGCGCGCACGTTCCCTCCGACCCGGGAACGACGTCAAGCTCGGGTTCCACATCCCGCCCATGTCCAGCGTCCACCACTTGCACATGCACGTCCTGGTGCCGCCCTTTACGCTTCTGGGCAAGGTGCAGTACCCTGTGAGGATGGGGGAGGACGGGGGCAAGAAGTGGACGTGGTTTGTTACGCCGAGCCAGGTCGTGAGTATTCTGGAGAATGGAGGCACCATTGGCCTCAAGGCGCGTGCTGGCAAGAAGGCATAGATAGAGAAGCAGGCGGTAGGATCGCGACGCTGAGCGGCTCGCCGCCCATAATTCATGTACAACAATGCATAAACATCAGAGTGTGTCACGGTACGCGGAGAAGAGCCATGTATGATGAAACGGGAAAGTGGGGGAGAGTGGGAGATGGTGGGAGAGAGATGCACTTGCCGCTAGCCCAGAACGTGCATGTTCTTCTTTGCCTTCTTAAGCTTCTTGGCTTTGGTGTCTTTGTTGAAGTCACGCCAGTTGCCAACACGTTCTTCGCGGTTCTCTGTAGACGTGAGATGTAGACGAGCGGACGAGGTCGGAAAGAGGAGCATACGGTGTCAGCTACTGTTTCTCTCACGATATGGGGGAGGACTAGGCAGAGAAGGACAAGACCATAGGTCGGGAGAACAGTGCCACCTGTGCGGGTCCAGTAAGAACAGGCTCCAGATGCCCTCGTCTCAACAAAAAAAGGAAACAGGAGAGACTCACCTTCCCACTTTTGCTTCTCCTCGTGCTTGCGCTTGCGGTTGGCGACCTCGGCCTCCTTACGCTCGCGCTCCTCCTTCTCGTTGACGTTGACCATCTTCTGGCGCATTCGCTTGGACACTTCGTCCTCGACGAACAGCTCCTTGGCCTTGGCGCGGATCTGGTGCTCGTATGGCGGCTTGAGGTCTGCCAGTCGTGGGTCGTCGGGTGTCACGCCAACCGCATATCCTGCACCGAGAACGCTGTACGAGTTAGCCAAGATGCAAGGATCGCCAACTCACGCTTTAAGCACCTGAGTGCGTGAATAGGTCATGATAGAGTCAATCTCTGCCTTTTTGTTCTCATCGGAAAGTTGGCTCTCAGCCTGTATCGTTAGAGATCATGTCCGGGTACCCCAGGAGAAAGGGCTCACCTTTTTCAGCAAATCAAACGCCTGTGGAGAAGCAGATCAGCTGTGTCCTTTCAACGTGACGCCGCTACTCACCTCGTGTCCTTGCTCGTGCTTGAACTTGTCCGGGTGAATCATCAACGACTTCTTACGGTATTGTTTCTTGACCTCGGACTCTGTCGCAAACGCAGGGAGGTCCAGCACATCGTAGGGGCTGTGTTGGTCAGCTTACATCCACGAGAGCGATTTTCAGCTGCTCACTTGAGCTTGAAGGCTGCCAGGACGCGTTGAACCTGGGTTGTGTCAGTGGTGCTTGCTTGCAACAGCGTTGGGACCCACCTCGGCCTCCTTGGCGACGTCTCGCGCTGTCTGCTTGAGCACTGAATCCACTGCCGACATGCTGTTTATGGACAGAAAGAGTGGTGTGTAATAGATGTGTATTGGCTGCCGTTGAGTGGCGAAATCGCTGACTGCAGGAACCACACAGCCCACACGCCCACTCACCCAGCGGCGACTTCGGCATTTCCGGCGTGTGGCGGGCGCGACCACCGTGATCGGGTGCGGCGGCCCAGGGCGGCGTGCAGTCTCAAGTATTGGCCACCCAACTCGCTCGGGGTTGGTGTCAACTGCTTGCTTCATCACATCGTTCACCACCCTACTCGCAATGGCCGACGCCTTCTTCCTCAAGAAGAAGACCAGGCGCGCCTTTGGCAACAGGATCAGCGGGGCCTCGCAGGCGGTGTCGGCGTCATCCACGCCTCCCCCACCGAGACCCACGCGTCCAGTCCGCCCTCCGCCGCCTGGTGCGGCTGGTCCGGGCCCATCAACGGCCACCGCTGCCGCCGTCAAGGCCGAGTCGACGCCGCCTGCGAGCACCGACCACCTTGTCGAGATCCAGATTGTGTCGGCGGACCCAGACTCGGGACTGCGGTTCAACCTGATGAAGATGAACTCTACGCGCGATGTCGACCCGTCTCACATCCCATCACCCATCCTGCTCAACCGCAAGCAGCCTGGTCCCAAGCAGCCTCCTCAGTTCCAGTTTGACGAGTCGGGAAACATTGTCGGCCGCTTTGTGTATGACGAAGAGGGCAAGCCCGTGCTCGATGACGAGGGCAACCCCAAGGTCGAGAAGCGCAGTGAGATGGACATGTCGCTTGTCGGCATGGCTCCCGGCCAGGCCAGCAAGCGCCGCGGCAAGCGTAGTACCAAAGAGGTCTTCCACCAGGACCTCGAGGTCATCAAGCTCCGCCGCGAAGAGGCCAACCCGTGGGTCCTCGAGGCCAAGAACCCGTCCGAGAACGCGACCGTGTTGCCCGAGCACTGGGTCGGGCGGATGATGGAGCCCAGCTCGCTCCCGACTATTCTCCTCATCAATGAGGGTGAAGGCGCGAGTTTCACAATGGTCCCCCTTGGCAGGACGTACCGCTTCAACCCCGAGCGTCCGTTCAAGGTCATGGACGCGGACCAGGCGAACAAATACGTTCGTGCTCGCATGTTTGTGAATGGTGTGGCTGACGTCAGTACGAGCTGCAGACCAAGTACAAGATCCACGACCGCTGGGGCCAGCGCCAGGAGAGCTCGGGTCCTGGTTTCGTCAAGCCTGAGCCGTCATCGCACGTCGAAGACCGCGCCCAGCGCATGGAGTGGAACATTATGCACAACAAGGGCGAGGTCAGCCGGCCAACGGCCAAGCGCGAGGCGTTCGAGGACGACTATGTCCGCGAGGGCCGTAACATTGGCCGTGGTCTCGAGGGCGGTGTCGACGAGGAGCTCGACTATGATGCAAACGAGGACTTTCAAGATGACGAGGATAGCAACACGTTCTACTTTAACAAGGAGGAAGATGAAGAGAAGAAGCTGCTCGAGGTAAGGTCCCACGTACCGGAGGTCTTTCTGACCTTTTACAGGAGAAGCAAAAGAAGGAGTACCGCTGGGCCAACGCCAATGTCGGCGACCGCCCGCAGATTGAGGACGATGGAGACGACGACGACGATGACCTGTTTGCCGAAAAGCTCAATAGGGAGGGCAGGAAGCTGCGCAAGATGATGCGCAAGCGCGGCGAGGAGGAGGGCGAGCTGTACGACTCGAGTGACGACGACGACGACGACAGTGACAGCGATGACGAGGGGGCCGACAAGGCCAAGGACGTTCCCGGGTCCGCCGAGAAGCCCAGTCGCCACGGATCGCGCGCCGGCTCGCGCGGTCCCGACGGCCGCAGCGGGTCGCCTTCGCGCCGTACCGGCCCTCCCACACCAGAGCGTGCGGGCTCGCTCCCCGGTGCTGGCGCTGCTCTGCTCGCCAAGCGTGCTGCTTCGCGCGCAGGCAGCCCTCGTCTCCGTGCCAGCTCGCCACTGGCTCGCGGAGCATCCCCGGACATGGGCCGCGGTGGCAGTCCAGCCCCGAACGGTCGCTCTGGCTCGCCATCGCTCACTCGTGGTGGTTCTCCCGCACCCGGTGCGCGCGAAGGCACCCCCAGCGGCACGGCCGCCGCCCCGCGTCCCAAGTCTAAGTCGGCCAAGCGCAAGGCCACGTCCGAGTCGCCACTGCGCGACACTGCACCTCCCGCAAGCATGACCTCTGCGACCAGCGTCAAGCGCAAGTCTCCCGAAGACTCGTCGTCGAATCCCGGCACACCCCGCGTCAGCTCTCCTGCAGGCGACGTGCCCGCCGCGGCCAAGAAGAAGAAGAAGAGCCGCGCGAGCTCGGGATCCGCCACGCCGGCCCCCTTCGAGGGCGACTCGTTCGTGGGCATGATCACCAGCGACGACGTGCTCTCGTGGCTCCGCCAGCAGCCATCGACCATCCCCATGGGCAAGGCTATCCAGGCGTTTGCCAAGAAGATCCCTGCCGGCGACAACACGAAGAAGAACCAGGACCTCTTCCTGCACTGGATCCGTACGTTTACGGACAAGGTCGAGGGCAAGGTGCTCCGTCTCAAGGCCGAGTATGCCTAAGTCTGGCAGCGGTCGTCGCGAGAGGGTGAAGGGTATGGGTGTGGTTGAGTGTCTGGGGCCAGAGTGGGTTCGTAGGGTTGACGGGTTTGTGGTGGCGTGGGTGCCGAAAGACGAAACATGAAGAGGGAGACGTAGATGTAGCACAGCATGGATGAACATTACATATGTCTTGACCCGGACACAAGGAGAGAGGATATTCTGAACTGACTGTCCACAAGACGAAACGAAAGAGGTGCTGCCAAGGTTAAGAAGGAAGCACCTACTTGGACGTTCAAGCAGCACAGGACATTGTGTGCTGTCTGACGCTTGAGACACTGCCTCTATTCTCGTCAACCCCTGCCTGCCTGCTGCACCTGCACCTGCGGCTGCCCAACTTCCGAAAAACATATGCTCATGCAACTCCTAAGAGGATGTAGTGATGAATAATACATCAAGTCCTGCAAGCCTGCAGTCCTTACAGCAACGACGACCCGACACGTTTCATAGTAGGTAGGAAACGAGACGTTTAGGCGGAAGCCGAGGCCTTCTTGGGGGCAGCGCCACCCTCACGGAAGCCGTTCTTGAAGCGGCGGTTGACCGACTTGAGGTGGTCGGCGCGGCCGGTACCGGTGGTCTTCCTGCGCTTGGCCTTGAGGCCCCAGTTGAACGAACGGAGCTTGGCGGCGGGGTAACCACACTGAGCACAGGCTGGGAAGGGGGGTTAGTATGGCGGGCCGGAGCTTGCACCCAGGCAACGCGGCGGGACAAGGCAGAGAAGACGAGGAGCGGGCGAGAGAATGTTCGAGGGGGTGAGGGAAGGGGAGGGGGATGAATGAATTTGTCGACAGGCCGGTTTGGTGTAAGAGGCGAGTTTTTCGGTAGGTGGAGGAAAACTTGCTGGTGGGTCTGGGTGTTGGACAAACCAGACAACCAAGGCGACACGACGAGCGCGCGCGCATGGTGCCCAGCACGTCCTCGCCACTGCCCATCTCCATGTCCATGCCGGTCCACTTGCTGGGCGAAATCCTTCTCTGCCTTGCCCTCGCGTGCCAGGCTTCCGGCGGGGTTGCACTCACTGTGCTTCTGCTTGTGGAACGAGCGGTTACCGCAACGGCGGCAGAGGGTGTGCGACTTCGAGTGACGCTTACCGCTGTAGAGATTGTCAGCTACTGTGCGTCTACCGGCAATAAAAGCTTTCTCTACTCACAACGAGGGGGTACCCTGTTAACGATTAAAGCCAGACCAGGTCAGAGGACCTTCCGTCAGCTACTTGTCCCATTGCCCTAGGGGGCCGGGAGGCTGCCGAAGCAGAGCGCGATATTACTGACCTTACTCTGCGGACGTTAGCGACGTTCTCTCCACCTTCGTTCTCGCTGTCGCCACTGTACTCACCATTTTTGACGATGTTTGATGGATGGACAAGACCTGGACGAAATCGCAACGCTCAAGTGTTTCTGCACGCCCGCGCTCCGAGGCCTCGCCCAGGCGCGGGGGCATGGCCAAACTGCCCCGATTTCGCGGCGTTAACTCTGAAGGCAGATATTGCCGGGGGAGTGTGGCACACGGACAGAAGTGTATCTCCGCATCATCGTTTAACTGTTACGTAAATTCATAGTCCCAGCGGAAGCTTTTAGCGGCCCGATCGGCTGTGTTCCCCCCCCCCTGTGTGGCAGCCCAAAAGCGCAGTTGTGCGTGTGTCTTCCCACTCGCTGCGCCAGCCCTTAAGCCCTCTTGGTACGCACGCCCAAACTCCCTCGGCTGTGTGGGGACCCGTGACAGTGCTATATTGGGTGGAAGAGGCGTCTTGGCTGACGTCGGTGGTGGCGGTGGGCGTGGTGGTGCTCGTCGTCGCCCAGAGGGATCATCGTGGCGGCCGCAATCACCCACCTCGCCCAAATGTATGCTACGTGCTGGTGAACCAGTCAACAAGCCCCCCTTTGCTGGCTCTGCGTGAGATCCGCCAGCTTCCACGCAATGGCACGCAACACCTGCACAAGGGATCAAGCTCGAGCTCGCTCGTCATGCAATAGGCTCTGGCGTGAGGATCAAATGGCGGCAAGTCCCCCGATCGTTGCGTGATTTAGCTCGCGCCGAGAGCCGCAAAACGCTCCCACGAGAGACGCGCGTCCAGCTCGTCCAGGCTTCCATGACGCGATGACGAGCGACGGTGAGAACGTGGGCACCGGAACGATGAACGACTTAACGAGGGCTCCCCTGTCCCACTACTGAAACGCCATGCGTAGACCCATGAGACGGGCGTCGATCGCGGAGAATGCTGGGTGGGAGAGAGGGTTGAGGCATTGGGGACCTGAGGAGCAATTATCCCCCCGAAATGCTGCCGGCACAGCTTCTATTGGGCCTTTTGGGAGACACCACATGCCAGGGCGGAATGCCGCCTCAGCACTTTCACAGCGCCGGGATATGTGGGCCAGAGCCTCTCACTCCCTTAGAGCATATGGCACACAACAGCGCAGCAGACGAGAGAAGGGGAAACAAGGTGCGTGACGCGGGACGTCTCGAGAGGCGCATGTCTGTGGCCCGGGTGCGGCAGGTGCTCTCTCGGTCATGTCTTCTCCAGACGCAGCCGTGTGTCTGTTCTGCCATGGCGTGACGCGACACGATGCCTCTTCCAACCCGGCAGCCCACTCTCATGGCATATATAAGGCCTAGTGCTTGAGGTCTAGTTCACGACTCATTCACTCTCTCTTTCTCTCACCTCTTCTTCACCTCCGCAACACAAACAAACCACAATGGGTGAGTGACATCCGCAACATCCACCACATGCCGTCATCAGCGACCTTGTGGTTGTTGACATTCTCATACCTGGTCACCTCGTTCATCCTACTGACACTTTCATCCCAGGTCTTTCCGACTTCTTCAACCAGAGCCAGGCCGAGCGCACCATCAACGCCGACCCCAACAACCCCGAGCACCAGGGCCACCTCTCGCACGAGCTCATCGGGTACGTTTACCTCTACGGGTTCCTCACACAACATTGACCACCCATGCTGACGGCTTTCCCAGTGGTGCCGCCGCCTTTGCCGCTGCCCGCGCCTACGAGCAGAAGCAGGAGCGTGAGGGCAAGCCCGCCAACCACGCCCTCGCCAAGGAGCTCCTTGCCGCCTTTGCCGGTGCCGAGGTCGACAAGCTCGCCGAGACCAAGGGCCTCAGCTTCCTTGACCGCGAGAAGGCCAAGCACGAGGGTGAGTCGCGCAGCTGTAAAAGACGTTCCGTAGCTGACATTCATCCAGCCAAGAAGCAGGCCGAGGCCGCCCTCGCGCAGTCGGGCCAGTACTAAGCTGCTCGCTCGCTGTTGGGTCGCAAACGTTGTAGCAAAAGACGAGATTACGAGATGAAGAAGATGGGGCACTGTCCCCCAGCATATTGATAACCACCTATCCACTCCCCCTGAATGCTCACTGATCGATCACTGACGTATGGGATGGGCTGATCGTCGTCATGTCAAGCTTCCCAAGCATCTATTCCACAGCGCCCAGGCCTCGACAACCCATGGCGTACAAGTGTTTGTTGCATACAACCGTCTACGCAATACAAGCCATCCCCCATTGTTCTTGGACATTGCCTACACATAGTGACCCATCAATCTTCGTCGTCGTCGTCGTCAGAATCATCCTCCAGCAGCAGATCCTCTAGCCACATGTGTTGGTTCTCCTGAAGAATGTCAACAACACCTTCAGCGTGTGGAAGCAACACTCTTGACTCACACATCCAGGTTCTCTATCGTACACGCTCCCGTCCGGCACGTCCTGGATGTTCCGTCCTGGCGCAACGCCGACCGCACACACAGTGCACGGCACCGCGTCTGACCAGTGCGGTGCCTTGATCACGCCCTCGCCGCACGCTGTCGCGCGGTAGCGGGCCATGGCGCGCGAAAAGGCTGGCACGCAGTCACACTCGAGGACCATGTTGGCGCCGGCGTTGACGACCTCGAAGTCGGCACCGTCCCACTCGCCGCCCGGTCCCGACCGTGGTGCTGAGCCTGAGCCGGACCGCAAAAAGTCGGCCGCGTCCTGCCACACCTCGCCGAGGTTGTGCCACGACTCGGGATCGTCGTCGCAGCACAGCGGCTCGGGACCGTGGCCGCGCACACTGCACGCGTGGTGCGGACCGAAGAACCGCACCGTCTTGCGCTTGTCGCTCGCGAACGCCGGCCACTCGCCGCGAAACTTGCAGTTGTGCAGCGTAAACCGCTTGGGATCCCACACCTCGAACAGAGGGTAGAGCGGGCAGAGATCCTGCTGCCAGACCATGCGCACGTAGTCTCTCAACTTGGCCTGGCGTGCCCCCTCGTCGTCACCGTCTTTGGCTGGCGGGAGCGCGACGTTGACTTCGCTGATGAGCGGGAACGTGACGCAGACATCCTGTACCCTCCCCTTACCGACCGTGACGAGGAGATTCATGAACGGCAGGTCCTCGGCCGTGAGCGTGCGCTTGGGGTTCATGAATTCGCCCCCGGATAACTGGACGAAGGCGTGTGATGTGAACTGCACCTTGCGGAGGTTGGGGAAGAACGGCGCACGTGACTCGCCCAGCTCTGCGAGCCCTGCGATGAGCAGGTCGGTGACGGCTCGCGAGGGCAGTGTGTCGAGGACGAGGTGCTCTGTCGACCGGATACACCGGAGGACACGGAGGCGGCGCGAGGCGTCGTGCTTGCGGTCTGTACTGCTCTCATTGTCCGGCAGCACGAGCTGCGCAAAAGCGTGGTCGATTGCCAGACGCCGGAACAGTGCTGGTCCTGCCGCATAGCACGCGTCGCTGGAACTGAGCCGCAAGTTGCACAAGGTGCTGAGGGCGTCCGCGTCCCCAGACATCATCATGGACGCTAGGTGGTTGCTGATGCTCTCGAGGACCGGGACCGGGACGGGCCGAGAGAAGGGGGTGGGCTGGTGTGTCAGTTCATTGGCGCCGTACGCACCCACATTGACCGCCATTGTACCGTGAAGGTTGAGAACCGTCGGGGGATACAGAAACAGTTGTGTCGGAACGAGTGGGTGAATCAGACGCGACTAGTGTTGGAACACGGGACACGAGTTCGGGACATGTTTGGTCCCTGACGTCAGCGACAGCAACAGTGTGGGTTCATTGATATGGCCTCCATTGATGCACGTTCCCTGCTCTCCTCTCTCCTTCTCTCCTTCTCTGACTCGGCTTGGGGACACACAGAGGTTCAGCACGATGGCCTGGACAAGGTCCGCCAGACACCACGCACAGAACATTGCGGCCCACTTTCAGCCGACAAGGACCCTCCAGCCGCTGCGCAAGGCTCGAACGTGCCGATCGTCACCTCCCACAAGCGAGGACCTACCACCCAATCATCTTACTCTGCATCAAGCACCTCTCCTTACCTTCGCAAGCGCTTGCAAACTCAACAGCTCGCAATCCAACGGCGATGTCCATATGCTAAAACGCATGAACATCTTGGCCGCTTAGCTCAGCTGGTTAGAGCATCGTACTAATACCCAGTCTTGGTTACTAGTCCATGCGGAGGTCGGCAGTTCGATCCTGTCAGTGGTCAGAGAGTGTCTCCAAACATTCCTTTTTGGGTTCTGTGCGGTGTAGAAGCACAGTTGGGAGCAGAGGAGTGACAAGAAGATGGTGTGTAGGTGACTTTCCGAAAGGATCGGCGGGGGAAGTGCCGATGTCGAGCGCCATCCTTGCGCTGGTCTGTGAGGGAGCCATGTACTGTCAAGGAGACCTGCTGCATACTCATATGTATCCAGCGGTATGCTTCATGGTTATCAAGTCTATGTTTGGGCCTTGGGAGGGTCGTCTCTTGTTCGGCACAAAAAAGAAGGAAAAATGAGCAGAAAATCGACCGCCGACCGCCGATCACTCATCACCACCCGCCACACCACACGCAAATCACATCAACCACCCATCAGCAAACCTGGCTCGCATGGGAACTGCAACTGCGACATGGGAACCTGCAAGGTTTACTGCATTATACTTTGCTGGCTAGGTGCTCCGTCACTGTCCAGTGTCCATCACTGTCCAGTACATTGTTGGTGTGGGTAAGGCCGCTCCGCCCAATCCGAGGAGGCCTGCGTGCGACAGCCCAGGCGAGCGGATGCCAAACCGGCCTACTACATCCACCGGAGGCAGTACATGCACTTGCCCACGCCCACGTAAGGACCAGACGTTGCTCCGCACGTGACCTTGACACAGGGTCCTGGCGAGTGAAGGTTTAGCATTGATCATGCACCCATGTAAATGGGTCCTGGACTCACGCCCACGGTTGACGCCGTAAGGGGTACCGCTGCACCCGTACATTGTGTTTTGAAGTAGAAGCAAGAGGTGAAGGAACGCGCACAGACACAAGAAGGGGATGAAGGGAGGTAAGGGGGAAGGAGCGAATGTGAAGACGACAAAAAAGGAGTGACGTTGTCAGATATTGTGGACCCCGAATCCTGTCCTCCGCACCGCGGCTGTGTGCATTCCCAGTATGATGCCTCATGATGCCTCTATCGATGATCAACTGCACAGAACGGCATTCTTACAGTCTCTGATGACTGCGTGTGTGTATATTGAGGCGAACCAGAGCCTCCGCACGAACACACCAAAGCCGCCTGGTGGTGGCCTGGTGGTGGCTCTGTGCCACTTCGGCACATTTGATGGTATTTGCGTGGGCCATATCCTGTCCGAGACGCCGTCCTGATGGAATTTTGGGGCCACGGCCCACAGATCACAGACAGGTGAGTGATGGGCCCATGGCCCGCCGACTACGAAGCCAGGCTGTCCGCACCTGCTCGCCACCAGTCTCACCGTTGCCCAAAGCTCGCTGCTGGGTCTACTTGATACATTATCGTCCCACCAGCAGCTCTGCTACATGCTTCTATTCGAGAACCCAGAATCCCGACACCTTGCCACCTTTCCGCGGCACTGCGCCTATCCCTTCTTCTTCTTCTTCTTCCTCGTCTTCTTCGGCGGCGGCAGCTGGGGCGGTGAAGGCGGGGGCGGCGGGGGTGGGGGAGGAGGCGGAGCTGGAACCGGCGCGAATCCCCATAGCAGGCGACAAAAGTCGCATTGATAATACCCAACCGGGGTTCGATTCCACTGGCACGGGTCTGGTTCCAGTGAGCGTGTGGTGCGCTTGTCGATGCGACTCACTACCTCTGTTGTTCCCTGTTCTGTCACCGTAGCACGCGTACGCCGACCAGACCTTGGGCATGTTGAGTCATGGGGAAGTGGGTGGTGTGCTGATCTCTCCATTTCGAGGGGGGGTTATTCTCCTGACCCAGACCGCGTGGTAAGCAGATCGCGATCAGCGCCGACGGCTGCCATTGTGATACAGTTCGTGATGGGTCAGTCAAAGCGTTTACACCAGTGATGCATACCCTACGACACGCCACCCAGCTGCACCCCAGACCCAGCTGCACCCCGCGCTACAGCGGGTTTGACCAGCCCGTCGCGAACGGGTCCTGGCCGCTGTCCTTGAGGTACTGCTGGTTCTCCCAGTAGCGACTGCGGGCGTCCACTTGCTCGTTCCAGCGCCGCTGCATTGTGGTGTAATCCTCTTCCGTCTGACCGGGCGCCACGGGCGTGTCGGGGTAGCTGGCGTAGCCCTCGGGCCAGCGGTAAGGCTGGTTCCTGTACGAGACGAAGGGGGCCGGCTCGTCGCAGAAGATGCACCGCAGTTCACCGTGTTCGTCGGGGAAGCGGCGGCAGTTGTCTGGGTGTCCGGCTAGTCAGCTTCCACAACGGAGAGGGGCAGGCGGGAGTTCGTCAAGGAGGCGGTCTCTCGCCACTCACAGCCCATGTTTTGCTGGTAGTAGTTGCCTCTGCAGGTGGGAGCGGGGATGAAGTATTGGCCTCCGGGCTGCCAAACGGTCGATGTACGGGATCTTGAGAATAGTCCACCCATAATGGATGTAGTGTGGTTGAACGTGAGTGATGGAGAACGGGTCATATTGGCCAGTGAGTGTCGTAGAAGCATAAAGTGTGTGTGTCTGTCTGAGCCGCCCGTTGAGAAGGTTGTGGAGGTGATATCCCTTGTTCTGTGGATCTGTGGGCCGCAGCCCAATTGTCTGATGGCTGATCCATGAACAACCATTACTACGCATTCGGTCACGTCCCCGCGTCGTTTACCTTGATACACTTGGTAGTTCTCGCCGTCTAAAGGTTCATTGGAAGCGAAATGGGGAGCGCTTCACTGAGCGTCGATCCTGCGTATGCCTGGACGACAACCAGCCAGCAATCCGTCAACGTGTGCAGGCCTCTCCAATTCTCGTCTACTGTATAACGTGACTACTGTACCGAGCTCACTCCAATATCTTTACCTCCTGTAGTTGGGATCTCGTCCTCTCCAGCCCTGGAGTCTTCCCTGGCGTCTTCCCAGACTTCCTCCACATCGGACTGCTCCATATCGTCGGATGTCGTCTCGCTCACAGCCGCCTCGCTGCCCTCATCCCACAGCCATTCCTCTGTTTGGACGCCAACATCGCGCCTGCCATGGTTATCAACTCCTACCTTACCCTCCCGCTATCTGTTATCACTCACATCATGAAGCCTCTGCGCATGAGCACTCTACAGTAGAAACACATCGAAAAGCCCATGTCGTCCCGCAGCCACTGGCATTTCACTGTCGGTCAGCGCCCAGCGCCAGCCGCCACTCCATGTTGAGCCTACCGTTCCGGTTCTTGCCCCTCACGTCGCCATGGCATACGGGTCTTGCCTTGAATGTGGTTCTCTCGCTCGTCGATTTGGACATGCGTGGTTTGAAAGATACATGCAGTGGCGGGCGGGAGGAGGCGAGAAGTTATATACAGGTGCCAGCCGCAGCCCCAATGGGGCCTGTGTCTGCGAAAACCAAAACCCATCATCACATGTCGTGCGTCTCACATTGTTCCGGGGTGGCAAACTGGCACACTCGCACCACAGGTGATCACATTCTCCCTGCCAGTGATTCTATAGATACACACCACTCTCTTGGCCTACCAGATGAAACCCAGTGCGGAGGTGCGCTCCCCTACTGACCTACTGCAAAAGTAGCACATTTGGCCGACGGGAGTCTCGAAGAGGCAGCACGGCTCTGTGCAGGCAAAAGTCAGCGTTGGGGTTGGCGGCGGGATGCAGTACTCACGCCCAGCGTTCATGAGCCAGGCGCTTCCGGGGCACACAGGCACTGGAGGTGGACTCGACGACCGCCCTGTACTCGCGGTGTCATCGAAAGTGGACTGGGACGAGGGGGTTTGTGAGCCAGCAGGGCTTGCAGACATGTTGGTGGTGGGACAAGAGCAGACGATGATGGCGGTCGTACGTGCCTTTGGTCATCCGCATAGCCGTCTGTTCGTGATCTGATGGACGCGGACAAGCTGTATCCAAGTGGGGAGTTGGGGCGAACCTAATCAATCCTCACGTGCCATGGCCAGTGATGTGTCCACTGGCCACTGGCATCAGAACCATGCAGCCCAACTGAAACTCGGGCAACAGGCAAGGAGGAAAGGCAGGTATGTATATGCATATGGGATCTCGTCTGATGTAGAGCCCTAGCCTCGAGCACTCCGCTTCGAGTCTGGAATGTATCCGCTAAGCCCGCGCTGCATGTTGCAGAAGTTGCACACTTGGTAGATGTTTCCGCTGAAGACGCACGGCACTGGCATGTCAGCTTGACCCGCCGACAGTGCAGCTCACGGTCGCGGTTCTGTCCTTGCTTGCTGCCGCGGCAGTAAGGGACCCAGGGAGTGCGCTTGTCGCTGGTAGTGTTCTTGGACATGGTGATGTAGAGTCCAGTGGTCAGTGGTGGGCCGTGATGTGCGGTCGAGGGGTGGGATTTCAGTAGGTGCGAGAGGCATGGCCGTTGATGGGCGACGAGTGATGGCGTTTCACTGTCCAAGACGTTTACCCCGGCTTGTGATGAGTGCTCGGGGCGCAAGATCCCATCAACGACAACAATGTTATGCATCACATTGTTCAACTAGGGGGATCTTTCAGGCTCGGCCCCCCTCTACAGCGCACAGTCCCCATACCCTCAAGCAAGGCTTCTGTACCGGGTTTGGACAACGGTGCAACCTGGGCCGTGTCTGGTGGCTTCTACCCACCCGTGCCCTTCTGCTGCTTGCAGTAGTAACAGACTTGATAGATGTTTCCCTGGAGAACACAAGGCTCTATGAGGGTAGCCTGACCTTGTACACTCGTTCAGAAAGACCTACTGCCACGGTTGTTGCCCTGCCAATCGCCTTTACAGGTTGGATGCCAAGGACGAGACTGATACGACATGATCTGAGCGCAAGTCAGTGGGATCAGTGGGTTGATATGGAGATGTCCTCCTACCCTTTACTCAGCCTTATATGCGTCACTTCATGTCATCAACAGCTCACGATTCCCTGCTTGCTTGCGCAGGGAGGCGCTTCAGAGATGAAGCACTTGGCGAAAAATGGCAGATAAAGGTGAACAAATCGATGCCGCCCCCACAATACCCCTTTCTTCGAGGGAGTGATCATCAATCAAGCACGCAGTCGCCAGTTTGCACAATCAACCTGGACGGAGGACTATGCCGTCTGTCTGGAGCGCGCAGAGTCTTGCTCAGTGGCACCTGGAAGGACATTGCCACCCTTGTTCTTGTTGATCACGTGACATCACATCAACCTCACATTGAGGCGAGACGACTCTACATGGAACAACCCATCATCACCTATCCAACTGCTAACGCGCTTTGGGCTTCATCCCAAGAAACCTCCTCAACGATTTATGCTTGGGCGGGGCCTCTGGTGGCAATGGCCCAACGCCCTTCCCAGCACTCCCCACACGCATGAAGCCGGCCAGCTCGGCACCGCAGAACTGGCACTTGGTCCCGTACTCTCCAGCGCCTGGTAGACACCACCCTGCAGTGTCAGTTATACACGACGGACCAGTAAACTCACCACCACGGTTCTTCTTCTTGCCATCTCCCTGACACTCCCACCACTTGATAGGACCGGTGGGCCGCGCGGGTGGACGCTTGCCGTCCAGCGGGTATCCGATCGGTGGCGCGTCTGCGGGGTCGTAGAACGACCCCTCGGCGGTGTTACCCAGCAGTGCGGGCCTGCGTGACTTGTCGAGAAAGGCATACGTCGTCGGCTTGACGTACCGCGACGCCATGAGGGACTGGTACCGCATGCTGTCGTCGGGCGTCTCCTGCGTCGCTACCACTACGGGGTTCTTCCCAGCCCACGGGTTGAAGCTGGGCGGCGGGGCCGGCGGCACGTAGATGTCGTACCGTGGATCGCTGCCAGCCTCGATCGAGCGCCATGGCTTGACGTACGCTCCGCTTGACGAGGGCTGGACGTCGTCGTAGGCCGTCTGGTGGACGCTGTCGGGGAGAGCGCGCTGCATCGTCTTGGACATGCGTCTCTTGGCGTCAATGTGTGCGAGGTTCTTGTCTCTGTAGTCCCACTTGCGCGCCCCGGCAATGTCCATCACGCTGAGACCGCCGCCGGCGTTGCGGTGGTCTGCCCACGGACCGTCATAGCCGCCGACATTGAGGTTGCCAAAGGTGCCCTGGATGGGCCAGAAGATGGGTTTCTGTGGAGGAGGTGGTGCTGGCCGCGGCATCTCGTGGATGCGGTGGCGATAGAGGTTGGTGATGGACGAAGCAGCGATGAGGCGCGTTCAGTACGAACTAGAATGTCGGGGCGGAGGGATGTTCATGCACTCGCCGATTGGTGCCGCATCCAGGCTTGGAGTTTTGGGGCCATGGGTGAGGCTAGCGAGAGTCACTGAAGAAGTGGATGCTGTTTGTAGAATGGGCGATTGCGAGAAGCTGGTCTTCCCATCGACGAGCCAAGATGTCTGTGACGGCGGCGGCGGTGGACGGCTGATCGGACTTTCCGGACCGTGCGCGGCGCCGAACCCGCCACCGCCGTCACCGGCGTCGGGTTGGGTGGGGTGCGCACAGACCGCAGGCCCCATGTTGTTCATTCTTCTGTTCCATTTAGGGGATGGCCAGTCGTTTGTTGTACTGTACATGCTGGATGGCTACAGCTTGTCCAAGACAGTCTACATGTATATGAGGACCCCGCCCTCGCTCTCCATTTGTTCTAGATCACTCGTCTGCAGTAGTAGCACAAGACCAGCGGCGGCTCCATCGATGGCGAGCAATAGTCTGGAGGTTCAGCTGGGAGCTTGGAGAGACATACACAGCTACACTCACTCCCGACATTGGCCCCAAGCATGTTGCCGACGCACCATACGGCCCGTTCGGTCGATGCCACAGAGGTGTCCACCGACCTCTCTTCGGATCCCGACGAGGCCGATGTTTGTGACCTGGATTCCATGGCCAGGGAGGTGTTTGCGACGGAAAGATGAGAGTGGGAACCACTCATCGTTTGGAGTGTTTGGACTGAAGACGTGTCAATTCATGCATCTTGCATCTCCACCGCATGGTGCTTTGGGGCCGCACGATGGCGTGCAGTGTCTTGAAATGAGACTTCTCAGGTGACACCCAGCTTGTGCGCCGCCACCGCCGGGTGCCTTGGTCGGCTGCCACAGAGAACATGTCCGCCAAGCTCAAAAGGTATTTATCCTCTTACCTACAGAAGGAATGTCAACGCTGGAAGACTTGAAGACGGTGTTTGCAGTATTGGCAATGGGTCGTGCCACCAGCCGAAACGGTAGGTCGACAAAGACCTGGCTGCGTGTCAGCCTACACTGGCCGTCTGGTGCTGATGTGAGGCCTTTGGCTCTCACCTCCAGCGTTGCGGGCATTCTCGTCACCGTGGCAGGCAATGTTTCGGCGGTGCGCCAGTCTGTCGACGGTCTTTGCTGGGACTGGTGGGAGGGGCATGACTATGACGAGTCGATCCATCGCAGTTGTCTTGGCTGGAGGTCCGCTCCTCACATGCTACCAAGAGGGACTACATATAATCGGAGTCATCCAATCGTCCCCCTGCAAGGCGGTGACTCAGTGCCACTCTGACATGCATGTCCTCCACAACCACTGCACAGTAACTGCGCTAAGGCTGCTTGATGCACATGCACTGCAGTACTGCTTCTGGACTCTAGGTATACAGTGCATTCATATCACGACGCTCGTGTGATCACCGAGATCCCGTCACCTTGACGGGGTTTTCCTCCTCCTCGGTGCGGTCACTGTCGGTTCCGTCGACGAGCCAGTACGCGTCCAGCGAGGGTCCCAATTCCAATTCCAGCGTGTTAACCAGGGCATTCACCTCCTCGTGCATGCGGCTCCCATACTCGTCCAGTGTACCCCGTGCAAAAGGAGAAGCAGAAGCAGTGTCCAAGTCCACACTGTCCAGTTCCCACCTCCACCATGTCGTCCGCGTCGCTGTCCATGTCCGCCGCGGCCATGTCCTCCATTTCCTTGGCAGTGATAACTCCACGGGACCGCCACGCTGAGGCCGGTGGCGCCGGGATAGGTGACCGCACCCAGCCGCAGAGATGGGAAAGGTCGCGCTGGCAGTAGGTGCACACCGCATAGCGAAAGCCTTTACACTGGGTGGTCAGGCATGCGGCTGTGCAAGTCCGGTCCCAGTACTCGAACATGTGTATGTTGTACTCACTCCCACGGTTCGCGCCGTCCAGCTTGCGTCCAGCGCAGATTTTCGGGTCGAGGCCCGTCCGGCCAAGCAGGTCCAAGATGACAAACATGTGTCGATGTTTGGAAACAAGATTCGGTTGTTAGTGGATGAGGGAGAGCACCTGGTGGCGTGGCGCTGACAACAATGTAGGTTGGTGGGAGTAAACAGCCTCACCCACACTTTTGTCAGTGTTCTTGTAAGCTCCTCATGTGCCGTCGCTGTTCATTCACTTGTGGCAGCCTGTTTCAGAGAACAAAGGTGCGAAAAATGAAACACCACACTGGGTGCCATCAGTGCACCGGCGCACCGGCGCACCGGTCGTGGCTCCCGCGTCAGTTTATTGTTTGTGGCTCGAGCAGAGGTGGTTTGCACTGCACGCACAGCTAGCCTCAACCTTGGGACATGACGTCCAGAGGTGCATCAGAACCCTTTCACATCCTTGTGAGAGACGACTTGGCCATGGGAAAGTCACTCGCACACGGCTATGGGAGTCACCTTTGGCGCAGTTTTGGTGTGTCACCATAGGCGGTGAAGCACACACATATATGTATGCACACAGCAAAGCAATCGTCGTTCAAGGGGACAGTCTATGTGACAACCGCGGTGCCCGGCTCCCACTTCTACTCGGTCATGCCCGTGCGCTCTCCTCTTGGCTTGGATTCAGGTCGCGGCGGCAATAGAAACACACGCCCGCCTCGGAGAAGTAGTCGAGAGCACAGATGTCTGCCTGTCAGCGAGAACGGCTGGTGTAAAGTCGCTGGTAAACTGGTGGGTCATGTGCGCTCACTCACTCCCACTGTTGCACTGGTCACCTTGCCGGCCGTCGCACAGTCTGAACTCGCCATTGGGCCCATTCACGAGGTGATCTGAGGTCGTGTTGATTGGTTCTGTGCGTTGATTGGAGGTGCTGTCTCGTTCCGTGGCTGGGGCGGTGTCGCACATGCTCGTGGGGGTGGGACAAGGAGATACGATGGACACTGGATAGTAAAGAGGACGTGTTGAGGAGGAGAAAGGACAGTGACAAGGAGGATCTTGGGGTTCTGATTGATGGGAGGTCACCGTAAAAGCGAACAAAATTCAACTCCACCGGGCAAAGGTGCGTGTACGCACGCACACACGCTAGTTTCACACAACCGGCTAAACCTCTACCTAGACGAACACGACATGCATTGGCGCTCCAGTGCTGGATCACTGCCAAGCGCCAAGCATAGTGGTGGCCAACCAGTTTTTGTGGGTTCATCACCGTTGAGATCATCAGTGGATCAGTGGCCCGCCGCAGAGGAATGTAATCAACGGAGACCAATAGTTCGTCCGCTTGATGGAAATAATCCGCACAATGAAACCTCATCCCATTCGCTTTGATGCAGCCACCTGTGTGTGTGTGTGTGTTTGTGTAGCATGAAACCGCCTGATCACTTGCTGCCGGAAGGCAAAGCGACGACTGTGCCGTTGGCAAGAAAGCATCAGGAACTTCATAACGGAGGTGAGCGGGAAAATCGACAAAAAAGCCACGAAAATGTCCCAGCCTGTGATCAAGGCTGTTTTGTTCCGACGGCTTTCACCGGAACACCGTTCCATCAGTCGCCTCCGAGCGTATACCAAGATGAAAATAAACAAACGCATGGTCATATCAATTACCAGGTAAACTGAGGCATGCTGCATAGAAGTGTAAAGGAGGAGGTATGGGACGGAGACTGGGAATTATGGAAGCGAGGTATCGTCGTGGACAAGGAACGGTGCTTGGGCACTGGCTTCAAAGCCTACACACTTCAAGGGTGCATGATACGGCCACAGAAGTGACACACTGTCTGGTTGTACTGGTTTCTCAAGGGGAGACAGAGACCTGTGCCGGTGATGAGTATGCAATCAGCATCATCTAGAACATACCGCCACGGTTCCAGAATGAGGGGCACCTGTTGTCCTGGTTCATGTTGCCACGAGTGTCCTAGTATGAAGGTGTACTGCAAGGGAATAGGGATGGGTGGAGAGGGGACCGTGTGGTGGACTGGACTGTGTGTTATGCGACAACTTTAGTGAGTGTGTTCTCCCTTTATACCAGTTTGTTGGGCATACAACGTCGAGCGACCGTTGAGCGATAACTCCCCAGCATCGCTGGATTACAGAACAGAATACACTGAGCTTCCATCTCGTATCATCATTTCTCCCCCACCATTGTCTCTGCTCTGCTCAGAGGAAAGGTTCAGGTACTCTAGCCATCGACCCAGAGCAGCTTGCCACAATAGGAGCAGCGGAGGAGTGTGCTTACCGCCACCGGGTTGCAATCGCCTGGAGAGTTAGAGAGTGTTTTTGTTCGCAGGCAGAGAGAGATCTAGGGCGGTGAATGTCCTCTCCTTCGTCTAGCACACCGGCAGCGGCGGGGACAGCGAATGGCCATTCAGCCTAGGCCAGTCCTGTTACAGCGCGACATCGAAAGTTCGGACAGTACTCACTGCCGCTGTTGGTTCCGTCATTGGCGCCTTTGCAACCAGGAAATGTCGACATGGGAACAGTAAGGAGAGTAGGGGAGTATGAGGTGAAGAGCAGAAGACACATCTTGCCACCCCGCAACCGTTGTGTATGTACATCAGGGGGGCGAGGCTGAGCTCTGGGGCACCACGGGCACATGCTTGTCTGCAGGCTACAACTGAGCCGGCATCGGATCACCCACACCCGAGACCGCGTGTGGTCTGTCTGTCCAGTACATTCTCGCTGCCGACACCCACATGAGGGGTAATGGTTCCATCCCCATCACGAGGTCTTGACCCATGGCCCCACCTTGGGCTTGTCTCTCGGAAGCTCTTTGTCTCACAGAAGCCCACACCGCAAGCAGGGCCATCACCCATTCCTGACGTGGCTTCCAAGAGACATACCCGTGTGGGTACGAGGGGGCCGAGTCCATGCAGTTCTGTGCGAAGCCAAGCCTTTAGGCCACCCCGTCAACCACGTCCTCCACGAAGTCGGACACATCACTAGATCACTAGCCAGCCATCAATCAGGCAAATCCAGATTGTACCGACCAGTACAGCAAGTAACTGATCAGACTGAAACAACCCACTGGCACACCACGGCCACGGACGATGACGCTGTACGCTGTAGACAAGCTGACGGCTGCGCCTCGGTCACCGCTACCTCTTCGGAGCCGGCCACAAGTAGAGCCCTGAAGCAACATTTTTGGTCTATATTCGCGCAAAAACAACTCAGTTTAGGCCGACGGTTGTCTGCCATTCCCCGTCGGTCGCTTCTCTCTGTGGTCGTAGAAACAAACGAAGAGACCTGTAAGGTATGTAGAAGCACCTCCCGCATGCACTGTAGCCTTTTCCCCCCGCTAAACATCCATGCATAGCGTGTTGTAGGCGACAAAGGTGGCAATGTATATTATTATTTTTTGCCACCAACAGGGTCGTCGCACCTCCACGCCGAGACCCAGATTTGATTCCGCGCTGCCCGTCGGTCTTGCAGTATGGTGAAGCCGGGCTCGCTATCGGCCTCGCTATCGGCGACGGCACTGTCCCACTGGTGTCCTGCGTGGCCTGCGGCCCTCTCCCTCCACGCCGACCCCCCGAGTCGACGTCAGGGTGTACTTGGCACCTCATGGCCATGAATGGGGTGTTTGACGAGCATGACGAAGTAAGACACGCACAGCACGCGGCCACTCCCTCTATGGGAGGAGAGAGCTCGGAGCCGACTCCTCGGGCGGACCGCAGATCTTACAAAATCTGCTTCGTAAGGCTCCCATCGATCGCCCGCCGCCAAACCACCGCAATCCGGATCCGGATCCGGAGGCTCTATTGCTGCACTGGCTGCCACTGCTGGACAACGTGCTTACCTATCGTCGAGGCCGAGGGTACGGTCATCTATTGCTCTTTCTCGGCCCAAAGGACATCGGGAGCGAGCTGAAAGCCTATGCAAGTGACAGACAGAGGTTGTCTGGTAGTAGATATAAACCTGACTGCATTGCAAGTGGCATGCCCCATTCTCTTCATCAAACCCTCGTCCGTTCAACCCAGCACTCGCTTATCTCTCCAGCAACCAAACAATGTCCGCCACAATTACCGGTTCTGTGCCGGAGCAGGCGTCCAACCCTCTGTCCCCGTCGCACACCTTGATCGACCTTCAAGCTGAGAAGGACAAGGCCTCCAGTGTAGCATCGCCACCAGCTTCCGAAAAGGGTGCCGAGCGTCGTGCATCTAGCACCAGCGACGCCACAGTCGCCTCGGTGGACGAGAATGACCTTTCCAACCTGCCTCCCATGCGCAAGAACATTCTTCTCCTCTGCTTCGTGAGTATCCATTTCCAATGTATCACGTGCTGACGACCAGTGCCTTGCCATGTTCATCGACGCTGCTGGTGTCAGCGCCACTTTCCTTATGACCGATCCGATCGCCAAGGACCTCGGTATCAGCTACGGCGACTATGCTTGGGTCCTTGGAACCTACTCGCTTGCCTTTGCCAGCACCCTGCTCTTCGCCGGACGCCTCGCCGACCTGTACAGCCCTAGCGTTGTCTACACCATCGGCTTCGCCGGTCTCGGCATCTTCTACCTCATCATCTCGTTTATGACCGACCAGTATGCCTTCTTCGTCCTCCGCGCCATCTCGGCTCTTCTGGCCGTCCTCACCATTCCATCGTCCATCAACATGATTGTGCAGATGTACCCCGACCCAACGGAGCAGGCCAAGAAGCTTACTCTGTTCGGTATGGCCGGTGCCCTTGCTAACACCATCGCTCTTATCCTTGCAGGCCTCTTCCTCCTTGCGTCCTGGAGGTGGTACTTCCGCTTCATCGCCATCCTCGTCATCCCCTTCTCCGTTGTCTGCTGGTTCTTGATGCCCCGCACCAAGGCCGTCGCTCAGTCCCTCCCCGGTGCCGAGAAGTGGAAGCGCATGGACCTCGGCGGTGTCTTCATCATGGTCGCCATGCTTATCCTGTTCATCCTCGCCTTCACGCAGGGTCCCGTCAAGGGATGGGACAAGCCCATCTTTATTGCCCCGCTCGTCGTCGCCATTGTCCTCCTCCCCGTGTTCCTGATCTGGGAGGCCAAGATGCCCCGCCACTTTTCGCTCATTCCCCACGACATCTACAAGTTCCCCAACATTCTGCCCCTTCTCCTCCAGGCCTCTTCGGGTTTCCTCTGGTTTGCCACATTCCAGCTGCGCGTCGCCACGTACTTCCAGGAGGCCCACCACAACTCGCCTATTCTCGCGGCCGTCAAGCTCCTCCCCATGGGCATCACGGCCCTCTTCGTCGGCGGTATCATTTCCAACGTCCCCCAGCTCATCACCCGCCCTCGCTACGTGCAGGTCGTCGCCTCTGCCCTCTGTTTCACTGGTTCCATGCTCCTCGCCTTCTCGAAGGGTGGCTTTGGCAGCGACTACTGGAAGTTTATCTTCACTGGTGAGATCATTGGCACCGTCGGTGGCATGATCGTGTTCATCGGAATGAACACTGCCCTCATCCAGTCGTTCCCTCTCGAGTTTGCCGGTGTCGGCGGCTCGTTTGCCAACGTCATCTTCCAGGTCGGCGGCGTCATCGGTATCGCCATCCAGCAGGGTCTCCTCTCCACCGGCGACACCAGCAACCCCATCGACTGGACCGGCTCGAAGAACGGCTACTTCTTCTCGTCGGCCTACGTCATGGCCACTGGCATTATCTTTGTCATTCTCTACCGCCAGCACAAGGCCCCTCAGATGTCCCAGGGTGCCGTCGCTGTCTAATTACCTTACATACTTTTATAGAATAATCAAAACAATGTATCCACTCCACTTAGATGATATGCCGAGGAGCACGAGACGGACGACTCTGACGTTCAACGTTCACATCATACTTGCCGGACAGCTCCCTCCAAGGTGAGGGTTTGACAGGTGCCTGGATATCGCTGCTCTTCATGGCAATGCGCACACATTCTGTTCGCACCGTGGCTAGTTCCCCAGCCTCGGTTCTCATACGGTGCGAGCTGGAGACAGACACATGCTGCTATCGGACCGTAGATCTTCTGTGCACCATGTCCTCAAGAGGCCTCATCGTTGTACATTGACAGGCAATGTCCCGTATATGTACATACAGTCTCCCAGGCTAGCCAGGCTCCTTGATCCCTAATCATGTCGTCCGAATCCTGCCCGCCAGGCAGCCATCACTCCCTCAGGTCCTCCCCCTCACTCCCACACAAAAGAGTACCCGCAGTACACACAAACGGCAAAGTCGCCATACACGAAGCGAGGGACGCAGGAGTCTGGTACATGGGTTAACAGAAGGCGACGCCCGGGACCCACCACCAAAGTTGTTAGTTGAGGTACAAATTCGAGACATTGTTGATGATGGGAGTGGTGGCAACATGGGGGCGGGGCGGGCGAGGTACATATGTCGCCCGGAGGCCCGCTGATGGCAGCCGATGGCTGCGGGTGACGGCGAATCCGGTGATGGGTCTCACGTCTTGTCCCGGGCGCATATGCACACCGGTTCACTTGATCAGGCAGAAGGTACCCCCAAGGCCTGCACAGAGGTCACGCCACGTCTGACATACATGCTTTCTTTCCCATACGGACCGGACACACCCCCGCACCCCACAACACACCCTCCAGTGCCCCTCCGCACTGGCGCCCCCACTGGCCCCGGCCCCGGCCTCAGATAGCGACGGCGGCTGTTACGTCCACCACGGCAACGACATGGTAGTGCACCTGCGCGCAATGCGTGCAGAGCATGAGCCCCTTGCCGATTGGCTTGAGGTCGCAGTCGCCTGGGGTGGCGTGTCAGCTTACGAAGGTGGCGATCGAGGTAGCTCACTGCCGGCATTCTTGCCTGTAAAGATGTTTCCAATGCACTTGGTCTGCTTGCGAGGCATGGTGTGAAGTAAGGATCTTTCCATAGAAGATAAAAGGCCCTCTCAACCTGTCTGGGACTGCCTTAATGTATTCCTTTGGGCTCGCAGTCGTGGGGTTTGAGGGTGGGAGGATGAGAGGTCTGTCTATGTCAAGTTGGACGAGGTTGTCAACAACCAGACGTGGACTAGGCACATGGTTGGTCGTGTGACTGTCTGGCCAGAAACCTGGCATGCTATCGTGTCACCTGTGAGTGTCTGTTGATGTCTCGTGACATGCTGGGAAGGTGCGAAGGTGGTGGATTTGTTGGGAAGCAAGTGTGTTGAACGCCACATCCCTCCGTCGTACCAGGCTTGTGTTGAGATTACATAACCACTTGCGCCACTGCAGTGTGGCACCGAGCTGACCGGAGAACGAGGGTACCGCACCAATGCTGCTCTTTCTGCTTCTTCATTGTCCTCATGCTTCTCTGTAGTGCTCGGGCCTCCCTTCTGTGTGCATATAAGCAGCTCTGTAGACGTCTATGCATCCCCATCCTCTTCTGAAAGACAAACTGCCAGCTTAAGACCATCGGTCTCGGGCGCTAAACGGCATCAAATCCCAACAGGCTTGGTTACTGCCAAGCCGCTCAGAAGGGGTCATATTTCCCCTATTTTCAAGCGTACGTTAACACGTGTAGGAAACCTATCATATTATAATCCTGGCCCCTCACCTGGGAGGGGGTTCGATTCCAACAGAGGGCAGATCCTGTAGCGCCACTAGCCAGGACGCGGTCATTAAACAAAAGACCACCCGTGAGGGATCTGAATAAGGAAGTTGCATTAGAAAACATATGGGCCCAAAAGGGTGACATATGTTTTTGGTTTTGTGTGTGCATATACATATGTGTGGTTCATGACTCGGGTAGCTATCGTGCTGTGCAAGCACCAGTCAGGCGAGACTCCCTCGCTGCCCCCTTGCAGCAAGCACAGACCCCACACAATCTGGAGGAAATCGCCACTGATCCACTGAGGAACCGTTGGCCCGTCGCCGCCTCGATGACCGCATTTGCCCCTGGCTTTTTGTTGATTGACGCGTTCTGACAGTCCACTCATCCTCTTTCCGTCCACTCCTCCATCTCCCACAATGGTACGCAAACAACATGTAGCGAGCTCGCCACTGACGTCCAGCCAAAGCGTACAGAGATCCACCACATCACTGTGCACCTCTATCACTCGAGCGTGCTCCTCTCGGTGCCCGAGTCGACGTGAGTGTGTGTTGAGCCTTAGAGTTGTGCTCCGCTTTGGTCCTGCTTCCTTTCTACGCTCTCGCCAGTGTTTCCAGCTCAACTCCGCGTATCGGAATCCAGCTAACACACCACAGTTCCGTCGCCGCCATCCGCGCCCAGCTCGTCCCGGCCATCGCCCCGCTTGCGCCGCACATTCCCATTGCCCCACCAGCGACCGCCGACGACCTGCAGCTGTGGGAGGACCGTGAGGCCGTCGAGGGAGCAGAGGGCGACCAGGGAATCCGCTTGGTCGACAGCACGGACAAGACGACGGTCCTCAAGATGGGGTGGCCCAGGTGGAAGAGGTTGTTTGTGAGGTGAGTGAGGTGAAAGCAGAACAAGCAAATGGGAGGCAGGTGTTTGCTTCGCGGACGGTCTCACCTGGTCTTATCCCCTCGCTGTTATCCCACAACTACCACTAGCCATGGCGCAGGCAAGGGGTCGCTGCATTGGCTTTGCATCAGCCTTATGGTCCAGCTGGCTCCGCTTCGCGTAGCTGTTCTAACGCGTGCAGCATCCGCGGACCGGACGGTACCTTCTCCCAACCAGAATACACCATCCCCGACCCGACAGACGGCGACGATGACGAGGTCCCCGCTGAGCTCTAGACGCAACCTGGACGAAGGATAGAGGAGAGTGCGCAGATGAGGAAGACACGCGCCAACGGGCCAGCTCCAGCAGCTCTACGACACGACATGTACATGCAGATTCTACTTTGTTTCAAAGGTTACAAACTCTCCCGTGTGCTTCTTCCTTCCCCCCCGTGTCTATTGGGTGTGTTGGGTGGGCTGCTGCTAATCCCTCTTCTTGTCCGTCTTCCGCGGCGAGCTGATCGGTGGCGGCGTCCGCGCGTCCATCTCGAGTAGCTCCGCCTTGATACTCTTGGGCGGTCCCACCAGCCCGGCCCCAGCTCCCACTTCTTCCTGCCCGCTCGCCGCCGTCGCAGCCGGGTTCGCTGGACGGCGTCGCGGAGGTGGGTAACTCGGAGGCGGGGGCACACTGAACAAGCTCTGGATCCTGCCGGCTAGGGTGTGGGTATCGGCCTTGACAGCTTGCGGGGGACGCAGGCGGACTGGCTTGGACTTGCGCTTGGGCGACGTCGCGGCGGCTTCGGCCTCAGCCTCAGCCTGCGCCTGGGCATCCTCGGCACCGAGCGGTGCGTATGTGAGGCTTGCGGAAACGGCGCGGGCGCGTTCACGGTCGCGCTCGAGGTGGCCCGACTTGCGCATCTCCGCCTCGATGGCAGAGAGGGCACGCACGCCGTCGGCAGACCGACCATGCTCGCTGTCCAAGGACGCGCGGGCGCGGGCCGTCTCGCGCCGCTTGCCGCGCGGGAAGAACCGCAGCTGCGACGCCGGCAGCCGAACGAGGTCAAGGACTATGGCCTCGTCGGCGTTGGCGTTGTCGGCAGGGAACTCGCACGTGTCTAGCGTGGGCGTGAGATCCACAGCGACGGTGCCGTCCAGCACCGCACCCAAGTCATGGTCTCCATGCTCGAGTTCCAATTCGCTGCCATTGCGCGAATGCAGCGTGGACGTGCCGTTGGTCGAGTGCCCGTTCATGCCCTTTTTGCGATGCGGCATAATCGTCACTTGGCCCTCGTCGGGACCGCGGACAATGGCCACACTGGCTGCAGACGGCCGACATGCGTCGAGCGGCACGTACAGCTTGGTGCGGACATGGACGGGGTCGGACGGCCAGAGTTTGTTGGATTTACGCAGGACGGCCAGCTGGAGAGTCAGTACAACGCGCTACCAGGGCAACGGTAACATGCCACACGGCCACTCTGTCGCAATGGCGGCCAGCGCAGACAAGCGATGAAACACCGACACAGACGCCACGGCAACACGCGCCGCGCCACCATCGGCCGATGGGTACTCACGTCAATACCGTAACGTAGAGCGATGCCTGGGAGTGACTCGGAGGGCTTCACCTGGAGAGAGATGTCAGCAGTGTCCAGGAGGAGTCCAAAGATGGGAGTTGGTAGGCATTCCAGTGACAGTGGCAGCCATGGCGATGTCAAAGACAGACGGCCTACACGTTCCCGTACCGCGCAAGGCCTCTTCAAACAGCCGAGAACCACCACGGTTGGCAGACCAGCACTTACCAGATGCACAATGACCTCAACCTCGATTCTCGTATCCGCGCTGCGTTCACTGAGGCCCTCGCTCTCGGCCCTGCTCTGGCTCTGGCTCTCGGCGACGGCCCGTTCCGCCTCGCTCGTCACCCTCCGCAGGGCCGGGCGTGAGACGTCCGGGTCCGCATCGGCAAGGGCGTCACGGAGACGGCCCATGCCCAAGCTGAGCGGCGACGACGAGCCGGCGAGGTGGAGCGCGCTGCCGCCGTACGCCGACGTGCTGGCGCTCATGGCCACGCTAGGGGATGTCGACCCCGAGATGCCCGAGTCCCCCGCGCTGAGCAGGTGCGTCAGGTATGCCGGATCGCACCCGGTTGTCGGCGAGGCGAGTGCAGAGCTCGCGCCGACAGTGTCCAGCGCGAGCGGGTGGGAGGCACTGCGTACCGGCCCCGACTGTGGCCGGATCGGAGGGGTAGCTGTTCCGGCCGCTAGGGGGCTAGCGATGGTCGTTCCGGCGCGGGCGCGGCGCCGCTGGACGCCGACGCCTATGTTGGATTCGAACGGGGAGGGGTTCAGCGGCGAGAGAGGGGAGCTTGGGCCAGAGAGTCGTGAGGGGGAGGGGGAGAGGGGGGCCGAGGGGGACCGTGGCCGTGTGGTGGTGTTGCGTCGTGGAGCCGAGTGGGAAGAGGTGGATGGCGATGTCGATGACGGTGACGACAGCGCGGGGCCCGCTGCCGCTGACGCTGTGCCAGGGTTCGACGACGACGATACTAGGGGCGGTGGGGAGGAGGATGACCTGGGCCTGTCGGCGTCGGCCCATGGGTCGAGCTCGCCGGTGTCATCTGGGGAGCTCATGGGCGGTGCGCATGGATGATGTGGAGGTTGAGTTGTCGGCGTGAACTGAAACGATGAATCTTGGGCCGGGTAACGTGAATGCCAAACTCAGGTGTGCTCAGGTGCTCGTCGCTCCCGTTGCTTGCACAGTTTTATGAACCGAACTTTACCCAGCGACGGGCCTAGCACGCCCTTGGGAACCATCTACTACCCCCATGCATAGTGATACGTGATACAAATCTTCCTGCACTCCTCGCCGACTACACAAACATCAACAGGTGGTGGCGGGTGTAGTCTTGCCCGTTGGCAAGGTCCGCCGCGGACCCAAGCGCCGGGTAGAAGGGTACCAGAGCGTCAACAGCACCCAAGATGAGAGTGTTGTACATGCGCCAGTACACCTCGCGCACCCTGCGGGCCGGGTGGTACAGTCCCTGGAGGACATAGCTGAGCACCACACCAGGTCCAAGACCAATACGCATCGCCTCGATCGCGTCCATGACACCGCCAATAACGTGGGGCGATGTCTCGAAAATGTTGGGCCAAACAAGGTTGAGCAAGTGTGTCAGAGCCTCTTCGTAGCCCAGACCGGCAACACCGACAGTGAGGTGCTTGACGATCGCGCACGCCGTTTGACGGTGGACGTGGTCGCGGTCCGTGAGCGAGTCCTCGAGGAGACCGACCACCGAGTGGATGTAGTCCTTTGACATTTCGCCGACATACTCGAACACGTAGGCAAGGGCCTTGAGACAACCGTTGCGCACGTTGAGCTCGGGAGTACGGTACTCGTTGAGGATGGCGGGGATACACGTGAAGGGACCACAAGTCTCGGCGACAATGGCAATGGCGACAGTGGACAGAACACGCGACTGACGCTCCTGGACCTTGAGGTTGGTGAGGAGGACCGAAAGCACGTCCTGGGGACCAATGGCCTTGGCAATGTAACCAAACGAGTTGACAGCCGCACGACGGATGGCCTTCTTGTGGGCCTTGAGGAGATCAAGCAGCTCGAAACAGATACGCATCCACTCCTTGGCAGCCACCTGCTCGGCACCACGGTCGGCAATACGACCGATCAGGTTGATGGTCGCCTCCTGCACCTTTTCGTGACGGTTACGCAGAATAGGGGTCATGCGCGGCAACAGGTCCTTGACGGGTGGGTTCATCTGGGTCATGCCGACAACGTTGGCAATCGATGCCTCGGCGGCAATGATCGAACCGAGGGCGTCGGGGTACTCCTCACCGAGCTGCTCGAACAGCACGATACCCAGCTTGGACAGCAGCGCGTCCTCGTCGTTTTGCTTGATGATCGGTGCCAGCTTGGTGGTCAGGTCGGCAGCGAGCATACGGACCTTGGCGCTCTTGTTGGTCAAGCGCCAGAGGATCATGGACACAATCTGGGGGAGGTATGGCTTGACACGCGAGCCAAGGGCAGCAACGACGGCACTAAAGCCGTCGAGCATGACATTGTCCTCCATAGTCTGCTCCTGGAACGCAAAGATGACACCATCGATCAAGAGCACCTCCATACGCTCGTCAATGTCGGCAGCACCGTTGGCCGTGACGACCTTGGTGATGGTCTCCATAACCATTTTGCGGTATGGCTCCGACTCGTCCTTGAGGTCGTTGGTGATGCGGCCCACAATCTCAGAGACACCGGCCTTGGCGGCGAGTGACACGGTGGTCTCGACCAGCTGGCGGTAGTTGCGGCGGTCGAGGGCCATGCGGCGAACCCAGAACGCCTTGAAGAACTCGGGCAGAATCTCTTGACGGATAAATGAGGGAGTGACACCTTCAGTACCGGCACACTGCTTGATGACTTGCAAGACGATGCGGCGCATCTCCTCGTCTGAAGTCTGGAACTCGCGGATAAGGATGGGCACACACTCGCGCACATAGTAACCGGCGTACTCGGGGTCCATGAGGGGGATGATGTAGCCGATGGCACGGAGGAAGGCGGCGAGGGTCTTGCCGCGGTGCTGACGGATACCGATCCAGAGGGGCTTGAGAACGTTGTCAAACGACTCAATACCGTAGGGAGCGGCAGCCTCAGCAAGGGCGGCGAGGGCAAGGGCGGTCATGGTGCGAACCTTTTGCTGCTCGTCTTGCAAGCCATCGGCGATGGCGTCGACGAGGTTGCGGAGGTGGGGGAGAACAGCACAACCCATGGTAACGGCAATCTGCTGGATGATACGGATACCAGTGTGTCGGGCCTGCCAAGACTTCTTCGAGCGGCACACAGCCTTGAGGAAGGGGAGGAGAGCCGGGATACCGAGAGCCGAGGCGACCACGGCAAACGCACGGGCAGTGGTGTTGCGGACGTACTCGTCGACGTGGTCGATATCGGGACGCATGGTGGAAATCATGTGGGCGAGACCTGCGGCCTTTGCGAGGTTTGAAATAATTTCACGGCCCTCAACACGCGCGTAGTAGTCCTCGTCGATGAGGAGGGGCTCGATGACCACAAGAATCTTGTGGACGTACGGGCGCACCAGGTCGTCGAGCTTGTACAGGACACGGTCGATGACCTTGACGAGCAGGTGACGCTCCTGGTCCTCGAGCGAGCGCTCCATGAGGAGGGGAAGAATCTTGTCAAACAAGGGGCCGGCGCCAAACTCGCGCGCCTTGTCGGTGATCTGGCGGAGAGCAGTCTTGCGCACTGGCGGAGTACCGTTCTTGATCTTGAGCAGGAGGCGCATAATCTTGCGCTCCTTGAGCTCCTCCATCGAATAGTGCACGTCCTCGGCCTCGCCACCGCCCTCACCAAGCACCTTGGCAAAGTACTGTGCGTCCTCGGCCTTGAGGAACTGCAGAGTTCCGATGCCCTCAATCTCAGTCTGCTCGCCCGAGCCCTGGAAGCCGCCAGCAGCCGTGACAGCGCGTGCGGCCGCTCCCTCGTCCTGCATCATGAATCCTCCCTCGGCGTGCTGCGAGGTTGCGGGCACCATCTTGCGCACCGCCGCTTGCGGGTGGTAGTCCTCGGGGACGGGAACAACGGCGTAACCATCGTTGGTGCCGGGAAGGAGCGAGTTGAGCTCGTCGTCGGTGATTGCGCGGTAACGCTTGTCTGCGACCATCGAAGGCTTTTCGTCGGACGAAGACGCCGCCGAGCTGCTGCTCGTCGCAACGGCAGACGAGCCAGCCTCTGGAGCCTGGTCCCAGCGCGACTTGCGGGGCTTGGCCTCCTCCTCTCCCTCGGCGGGCATCTGGTCCCAACGCGAACGGCGCTTCTTGGGCGCGGGCTCTTCTCCATTCGTGTCCTCCTCCTTCTTGACCTCGGTCTCGTCCCAGCGCCGGCGGCGGGCAGGTGGTGACCCGGCACCTTCGCCAATCGCGGCCCGTGGCGGCGTCTTGTCGTCGTCAATAGCGGCTGCGCGGGGAGGTGTCTTGTCGTCGTCGACAATCACCCGGCCCTCACTCTCGGCCTTGGCGGCCTCGTCCTTGGCCAGCTGCTCCTTGAATTGGCGCACACGCTCCTCCTCGCGCTCGAGGTTGACGCGCCTCATGCGGTCCTCGTAGCTCTCGTCCTCGCCTTCGCCCATGCCATCGCGACGCTCGAACCGCCGCAGCTGGTATCCTGTCTGGCGAGCGGCAATCTGCTTGACACGCGCACGGTCCTGGATCTCATCGGGAATGTCCTCCTCATCGGCCATCTCGGCGTGGTCGTCGAGCACATCCTGAGGCGCCGTGTAAGTGGCGAGCTGGGGGTAGTTGTCCTCCTCGTCGGACATTTTGAGCGATTGTGTGAGGGCGGGTTCGTGTGTGGGAAGTGTCGCTTTTTGGATGTCGGCTGGTGCGTAGGCTTCTTGACTGTTGGGATAGTCGATGCAGCCGTTGCAGACAGAGACTGTAAGAGCGAGGTTGTTGTATTTGGTCTTGCAGCTGGCTTCTGTGATGATGGCCCGTCGCCCATCTCCTCCTCCACCCAGCGAGCGAGCGGCGACCCAATACATATTTGCTTCCGGCGGCATTCCCGGCAATATCCCCCGGTGGCGATCGATGCGCGCCGTAATGCCTGTCTTGTCGTCGTGCAACGGGTCAATGACGCACATTGACACAAATAACAATCATCTTCTATAACAATCAACCATGCTCGTGTCTCCTATACGCGTACACGGCATCCTCACAGATCTCCTGGAAACACAGGAGTCAGCAGGCCCCCACACCGCACTCCTCATCACCCCACAGGGCCAGCTCCTGTGTCACGCCACCTTGCCAGACACAGACGACGACAGCCTCGATGGCGACAGCGAGGGATCGGGAGCGGTCGACGGCGACGGCGACGGCGACGTCCACAAGGGCAATGGACACGGACCCGGGAGTGAAGACGGTGGATATGACGCGGCCAGTGATGAGGACGAGGGCGACGACGACGAGCCGTGGCTCGAGGGTCCAGAGCGCTTGCGCCTCCTCCTCGGTCTCGCGAGTCAGTGGGAGGAGGACGAGTCGCCGCGTGTAGAGTGCGAGGTGAGTACAGGTAACTTTTGTCGTGTCCTACCTGCTAACAGTACAGCTTGGCCGCCTGTTTCTGCGCCCCATCGCGCTGCCCGAGCCTGAAGTGCCTGCACCTACTGCCGCAGTCCCCGCTGTCAAGGCTCCAGTCCTGAGCTCGTTTGTGCTGGTGCTCAACGGCACCTCCGACACGCCGTGGACAGAGCTCGCCGCCAAGGTGAGCTTCCTCCACATGTTGCATGATAGCTGACACTCAGGCCGACCTCTTCCTTACGCAATGGTATTAAGAGCCCATCCGTTACGTCAAGCCCCTCCCTACACTTCCCCGCCACCTACCTGGTCTGGTCTGCAACATGCTAGATACCCGCAGCACCGCCCACCCGTTGTATTTATGCATCAATGCGTCGTCGTCGTAGCCCTCCCTCATCCATCTCCATACTGCTGGTTACTGCCTCGTCCATACATCTAGCTGGAAAAGTCGCTCACACACTCCCATCCCTTGCCGACACCCTCCTTCCAGAGGGAGACCTTGCCGTCGCCGCACGAGACGGCGAGAATGTTGCCGGCAATGGACCAGGACACACGCCAGACCGCGTCGGCAAAGTGGGGGTCGTCCGACTGGGGGGCGTTGGGCTTCAGAGCGACAGTGTCCCATGGCGCGGTTGACGACGTGCGGGTGTGGATGAGCACGGTGCGGTCCTGCAAGTGTCAGCTTGATTCTCTTCGACGTCACATTCAGCTCACCTGGCTAGCGCTGGCAATGTACATGCCGGGGAGGCCGATGTTCGGGGCCCAGGCGACGTCACGAACCCAGTTCTCGTGACCCTTGATCTCCTCCTCCTCGGTCCACTTCTTGGCAGTCTCGTCGTAGGACCAGACGCGGATAGCATTGTCCGAGCCGGCCGACACGAAGCGCTTCTGAGCAACAACCTGCTGTCCCGGTGCGGGCTTGGGGGCACCAGGCGATGGGACAACAGAGGGAGCCCACGAGATGGCGTTGGCGCCGGCACCGTGAGCGTTGAAGATGACGGCGTCGGTCGAGCCGTCGTCTGTGAGTCAAGTCAGCGCTGCCGTATCAATCTCCCCTCTCAGCGTCTACTCACTCTGGAAGGAAAGGACGGAGATCTTGCCGTCGCTGGAGGCACACGCGAGGATCGGTCCGAGGTCGTAAGGAGCCCAGGCGATCGAGTTGACGCTGGCCGAGTGCAAGGTGTGCTCCTTGATACGCTCCCAGCCGTCCTGCAGCTCGCCGCCGGATCCCTTGCCCTGTCCCTGTCCGACCTCCTTCCAGATAAACACACGGCCATCATACGAGCACGAAGCGAGGATGGATCCAAACGAAGGGTGCGCCCACGACACTTGCCAGACAGGCGCGGTGTGACTGGGAGTAGGTGGTCAGCTTAGCCGTTCGTTGAGGCGGTCGTCATAGCTCACCCCTTCAGAACGATGGGGTCGCCTTTGGCCTCGCCCTTGACGACGTTGAAGATGCGGACAGTCTTGTCCGACGATGCGGTCGCGAGTCGCTTGCCGTAGTAGTCGAGCTGGGCATCGTGCTGGCACAAAAGTCAGTTTCAAGTTGGAATAATGACGATGACGAGGCACGCACGATCATGTCCTCGTGCTGGGTCTCGACGGCCACTGCCTTGGACACTTGTGCCGCAGACTGGGATGTTAGCATGCAAGCTATATCAAGACTGCCAGCAGCAGCTTGCAGCGGGCGCTCACCATGGTGATTAGATGCAGTGGTTGTGAGTGTCTATTGTTGTAGACACGGATGTCGATGTGGATGCTGTTGTCCACACCACCGTGGAGACGGGATCAAATGACCACATGGGCTCACATAGCGGGATCAAATCCCCGCCGCCTGCCGTCATGAACCCCAGACGCGACGACGCGTCGAACGAAAGGTGTCACTCACTCGACTTTTGCAACCACCGCACCACCAACAATAACAATGACCACCAACATGCTCCCAGTAGACACCATCGTTCGCATAGCTCTGCGCGAGCATGACGGAGAATGTGAGTGTCACTGTTGTTATTTTCACCCACTGACTCCCCCAGCTCCGGATGTGACCGCGTACACCGAGCATATTACCGCTGCTCTCGCAAAGCCTGACGAGGTGAGGACCTTTGCTCCCAGCCCGTTGGACCAGCGTCGGACATGTGCTAACGGTTCAGATCCCTGTATTCTCTTCCACATCGTCTCCCCTCTCGCTTGTTCGCTTCCGCTGTCTTCTCCAGGACACCGGCTACCCAGCCGAAGTCTACCTTCCTGGCGACGACGCAGAGGAGGCGGAAGCTAGCAGCTCGAGCCAGGTCGACTGGGGCAAGCTGCAGGAGCGCTGGGTTGGATGGGCCGTTGAGTGAGTTACTATTACCGGTGACGACCTTGTAGCTGACAATCAGGGTTCCCGGTGAACAGCAGTGGGCAAAGGAGTCGAGCGCGTCGACTAGTTCCATCACCGCGGATCTCGCCGCGCTCTCCGTGTCCAGTTCGGCGACCGCCCTCCCGCCGGTGGTCAAGAACAAGTACCCCCTCGCTGCTCTAGGCGTGGACAACTATCTCGGCGCCTTGCTCAAGGTGTACGATGCCGACGCCTCGTTCCGCCCTGCCTCGGCATACGACGTGGTCGGTATCGTCTCGGCCGCTCCTGTGCCCACACCATACGCCGCAGACGGCGAGGACGAGCCCCCACTCGTCCCTGCTATCCACGTTATTTCAGCTCCCACCCCGGCATTCCCACCAGCCGAGCTTCCTCAGGACGGCGAGGCCACTCGCGCTGCACTCGTCGCGCACCTCGCCTCGGCCTTTTTCCCTCCCGACGTTGTCGCCGCCGAGCTCCTCGTCCTTGCCCTCATCGCCGCACCCGCGACCCGCGCTGGCGGCCTGCCCCTCGGTACGCTCGCGCTTAACATTGTCCGCCCCACTCCGTCGGCCACTCTCGAGCATGTCCTCGCGCACCTCACCCCGGCACTTGTCCCGCTCCCCATCTCCCTGCCGCTCCTGCATGGCGCCACGTTCACCCCTTCCTCGTCGGACGGTACCTCGCTCGCGCCCGGTCTCCTCCAGCTGGCCCCCAATACCCTCCTCCTCGTCGACGAGGATGGCCTCGGTGACGGCGGTGCGCTCGCGGAACGTGCAGTCAAGAACGTCCAGGCCCTCACGCAGGCCATCACCGACCAGACTGTCCGCTACGAGTACCCTTACATGGACGGCCTGAAGATGGAGTGTTCGCTGCGGTGCATCGTCACGTCCGAGGCTACCTCCCTCCTGCCTTCTGACGTGAGCGTTCCGGCCACGCTCGCGACGTCAGCCCCCTCGGCCCCGGAGGCCGACCTGGCAAAGTTCAGGTCGTACCTGTCGTACGCCGGCGGTGCCGCGCACGCCGGCACGTTCTCCATCCCCGCGGCCGTCGGCGAGGCTGTGCAGGACGCGTTTGTCGAGGACCGCCGTGTGGCAGGTACGGGCGGCGCGGCGGCTGCCGAGGCGCGCCTCACGCGCCGCATGAAGGTTGCCCGTCTCCTGGCCCTGTCGCACGCGTCGGCAGAGCTGAGCAGGGACGTGTGGGACCGCGCGGTCGAGATTGATGCCGAGGTCGAGAAGCGCGTGTCGGCGCGTGACGCCGAGAGGAGGGAGAAGAAGCTCGGCGCGCCGACGGTCAACGGCACTGATGCCGCTGCCGCCACCACCCCCACCGCGGCGGCATGAGATGGATAAGAAGCGCCCAGCCATGAACCGTACGTAGCAGCACCCATGTAAACTACAATGTACTAGTACACCCGAACAAACACAGCCTGCAACGATATGGGGTATTACATTTCAGAATCCTCTCACAAACTAGTTACTCTAAGCGTCGATGAGGTTGGGCTCGGCGGCGGCGGGGGCCTCGGCGCGCTTGTTGGCGACCTCCTTGGCCTTGCGGGTGTAGAACTCGGCAAGGATCTTGGGGGAGATACGGTTGAGCGACTCCTTGGGGAAGATGCGGAGGAGGTCCCAGGCAATGTCGAGCGACTCGAAGATGGTGCGCGACTCGTACGCGCCCTGGCCGACAAACTCCTTCTCGAAGCGGTCGAGGAACTCGAGGGCGAGCTTGTCGTCGGCCGACAGCGCCTCCTCGCCGACGACGGCCTTCATGGACGCGGCGTCCTTGCCGACGGCGTACTTGGCGTAGAGCTGGTTGGAGACATCGCCGTGGTCCTTGCGGGTGAGCTTCTCGCCAATGGCCGACTTCATGAGACGCGAGAGCGAGGGCAGGACGTTGATAGGGGGGTAGATCTGGCGGTTGTGCAGCTGACGGTCGACGAAGATCTGGCCCTCGGTAATGTAACCAGTCAAATCGGGGATGGGGTGGGTAATGTCGTCGTTGGGCATGGTGAGAATGGGGATCTGGGTGATGGAACCGTTACGGCCCTCGACACGACCGGCACGCTCGTAAAGAGTCGACAAGTCGGTGTAGAGGTAACCGGGGTAACCACGACGACCGGGGACCTCCTCACGGGCGGCCGAGACCTCACGGAGCGCGTCGGCGTACGACGACATGTCGGTCATGACGACAAGCACGTGCTTCTCGAGCTGGTAGGCAAAGTACTCGGCAGTGGTAAGGGCAAGACGAGGGGTAATGATACGCTCGATGGTGGGGTCCGAGGCAAGGTTGATGAACAAGGTCGAGTTGGAGATCGAGCCCGACTCGGCAAAGTCCTGCATGAAGAAGCGCGCAGTCTCCATGTTGACACCCATGGCGGCGAACACGATCGAGAAGTTGTCCTCGTGGCCGTCGCTGACGCCCTTGTCCTTGCTGGGGTGCTTGACGAGACCCGCTTGACGACAAATCTGGGCAGCAATCTCGTTGTGGGGGAGACCTGGGCGGGGGGTTGTCAGCAGTTGGGGTCTTCTTCGAGCAGAGCGTTTAACACGTGGGTTACTCACCGGCAGCGGAGAAGATGGGGATCTTCTGGCCACGGGCAATCGAGTTCATGGTGTCAATGGTCGAGATACCAGTCTGGATCATCTCCTCGGGGTAGATACGCGAGTAAGGGTTGATGGGCGAGCCGTTAATGTCGAGGTAGTCCTCGGCCCAGACACGCGGTCCCTTGTCAATGGGGTTACCGGAACCGTTGAACACACGACCAAGCATGTCCTCGGACACGGCGAGCTTCATCGACGAGCCCGAGAACGAGACACGGGTGGCCGACGTGTCGACACCCGAAGTACCCTCAAAGACCTGGACGATGGCCTTCTTGCCCGACACCTCGAGGACCTGACCACCGCGGGTGGTGCCGTCCGGGAGGGTGAGCTGGACAATCTCGTTGTAGGAAGGGAACTGGGGGGAAGAGTCAGTTATGTGTGCTCATAGGCAGAAGGAATAGAGCACGGGCCACCCACCGAGACATTGTCAAGGACGACCAGAGGACTGTAGAGCACGTCAGTATGCTATCAGGTATCGAGGGGCTGGTGCGGCGTACCCGTTGACGGCCGAGACGGTGCGGTAGTCTGTAATCGTCAGCCACCGAGCTTCCCCTTCAGAACAACAGCAGCAGCAGCAGCAGCAGCAGCAATATACGTACCGAGACGGGGCTTGACGCCGTACTCGCGCACGGCGGCGGCCTGTAGTGGTGCAGCAGGTGTTGAACGTGTGCGGTGACGTGCGTATTGCGGGCGAGGGAGCGTATCGGGGCCAGCAGTGTAATCGGGGCAAGAGGCAAGGGAACAAGTGGTCAGCGGGGGTGCTATCACAGCGTGTACCGCGGGGGTACCGGGAAGGAGAAGACGTACGGCGTTGATGTTCGCGAGCTCCTTGTCGGTGAGCATTGCGAGCGGATGGAGTAGAGATTGTGGGAGGACGAGATGGGATGGCGATGAGCGATGTGGGATGGCTGGGCCAGCAAGACGTCAGGGGGACAGGGACGGACGGCGGGTGGGAGGGAACGACACGGGGTGGGGGGGTGATAAGCGGTGACGCAGCGGTGATTGTGGGTATTAATGACACGTGTAAAATATGCTTACAGGAGCTCGGCGAGAACGCAGTATCCATTGGCTGGTATTGTATGGTCCTACCTGTAGTGTGTTTCTGGACGGCCCGGTTAACCGAGTATTATCGACTGCGCCTTGTAACCAGCACGGCCTCTATTGGTTTCCCGGCAGGCCCAATACACACCCCGCCCATCTGGAAGTGTTTACCGACAGCAACCTTCCTGACGTGCATCCAACTGTACAAGTGCAGATCATAAATGGCATGGGGATATGGTTCATGTGACATTGAGCTGGGGTGGGACGAGGGATGGGGGTTAGATGGGGAGGGTGGTGTGAAGATGGAGCAGTGGTTGGTAGGGCATCCTATTGCGCGTGCGAAAGAGAGAAAGGGTGGAGGGTGGAATAATTATAGAGGACGAGATGAATGTACTGGCACAGTGACGAGCAGCGTGCCAGCTAAGGTCCAGCAGCGCAGGTAGGGGGAGGGGCTGTGGAGAGTGTAGACAAGGTATGGGAGCGCTGTACCGTGTATGGTGGCACAACGACCAACGCCTTGCGTCTCCCGCCATGGGGCATTAGCGGATCATGAACGACCCGAGCACCTGGATCAACGCCATGAGCGCAACGGTGAAGAAGCCGCGAGCGTAGCCGCCGGGGTTGCCCGCAATGCTCGCGCTCCAGATCGCGCCGCCGAGGGCGGGGCCGAAGAAACGCGCACAAGACACTGTCGACTGGGCAAGACCGTTGGCGAGGCCGACGAGGTGTGGCGGGGTCATGGCGTTGATGAGGATCATGATCGACGTGTACGCAAATGTACCTCCGCAGTAACGGATGGCCGAGATGAGGGACATGAGGGTCATGACGATGACGCCGCCGCCATTGTCCGATGCGAAGAAGTGCAGCAGCGGAACAAGGAGGTAGCCCGGAACATAGAGGGCACAGCCGATGCGGAACATCTGAAGGTGGTTGAAGGGACCGAGAGGAGGGCCCATGCGCGGGAAGAGGTAGAACTGGTAGATGAGTTGGCCGACGCACATGATGGCGACAAAGTACGAGTAGTGCGCCGGGCTGATGCCGACACCGCCCGACTGGGGAGGCGAGATGATAAAGGACAGGAAGATCTGACCATGGGTCGAGTCGTGGCACGAAAGCAGGCCGTACTGGACAATGACCAGCAGGGGAAGCAGCTTCCAGCGGCTCGAGTCCTTTTCGACCTCGGCCATGGTACCCGCATCGCTCTGGACGGGCGACGTCGTGTTCTGCTCACTGATGGCGGTCAGGCCGGGAGGAGCACCGCGACGGTTGGTGCCAGCTGGCGAGAACACGTCGGCTTCGTCATCAAGGGGAAGAGCAATGCCAGGGGTGTTGGTGAGACCAGTGTTGGAGAAGATGGACGGCACAACGTTGGACGAGTTGCTGTAACGGCGCGAGATCGTCGACTGGCGGCGGAACAGACCACGGAGCTCGGATCCGCCAGAGGCTGCGCGGTGGCGCGAGGGCCCCGAGTGCGTTGTCGAGAAGGTGCGGAACATGCGCAGCTGACGGGGCGACGAGTCCGGGACAGTGCTGTGGAGCGGGGTGCCTTCCTCTGCGAGTGATTCCATGTCCTCCTCGTAGTCGTCCTCGATGTCCGGGTCAATGCGCGACTCGCCAAACTCCTCGTCATACTCGTCGTCGTCGTCAAACACAGCCGTGTCCTGGGCGACGGCGGCCGACAGCCACAGGTCGTTAATGTTGAATGTGTTGTCCTCGTTGGCGAGCAGGAGCTTGGTGGCGAGGCTGACACTGCGGCGGTCACCCTCGGGACCACGCTGGCCACCGTCCACGGCCGAGGCACGGCGGGCAGCCTCAATGGCACGACGGGCAGCAAGCGTCGGATGCTTGGAACGAATACCACCGTAACCGTAAGCAGTGCCCAGGCTCGCGAGACTGTCGCGGCGCTGAGCCGCGTGCCTGTGCGAGGTGCCGAGAGCGGACGTGCCAGCCTGGTCTTCCCTGTCGGGCGAAAACAGGTTGTTGTTGGCCGGGATGCGCACCGCCGAGGCGGCGGCGACGCTGTTACGGTGAGCCGGCTGGGGCGAGACACTGCCAGCGCGCGAACCGGGGACGAGAGGCTCGTCCTTCTCCACCTCGAGGGTGATACGCGAGCCACCACGAACACCACCGTCCCAAGAGAGGAAGCAGGCGAGGAGGGCGCCAAAGAACATGATGGAGCCACCCATGATGGTCGGAAGGAGGTATGGCAGGCGCTGGAACAGCTTGATGTTGCCGATCCAAGTACCGGGGTAGTTGTCCGAGGGATCTTGGAACAGACCACCGATAATCTGGTCGTCAGTACAAGTCGCACAGGCATTCGCAGTACGTACTGGTCCAACAACACCACCAAGACCCCAGCAGAAGCCTAGAATGGCGTACGCGCGAGTGGCATTGGTGTCGTCTGTAATATCACGGATAGAGCCGCGGAACTGAAGAGTGAGTTGGCATCTTCGCGCGGCGATCGAACTCACCACTCCGATGGCACCAGCAAAGATACCCTGGATGAGACGGACACAGATGGCCTCGGGGAGCTGCTGTCAGTGGATTTTCCAGGCATGATGTTTCTCACAGATGTGGACGTTCCGAACATGAGCAGGGCTACGGGTCAGTACGCGGGCGAGATGGGTTGTGCCTACAGAGTCCACTTCCCTGTTCACTGTCAGCCTCCAAAATGTCCCTCTTTTTGTCTTGGCACAGCAGGAAAACTCACAGCCATGCTTGCGACAAGGACGGCACGACGACCGTGGCGGTCGGCAATGCTGCTCCAGAGCAGCGACGTGAAGAACTGGGTAATGTAGAAGACGGACACGAGGTTGCCTTATGTTAGCCACTCTGAACAACACTGGTCGAGCATACCTGTCCACAGACCAACAGCCGCCTCGAGCTCGCTACCAGGCGGGACGCCTTGGTCAAGGAAGAAACCTGTGAACGTCAGTGGATCGTACGGCACAGAAACGCACGCTCGACCATCTTGAGCATGAATGGTTGCGACAGGTTGGCCGAGAGGAGCTCGGAGAGCATCGCCTGAGAAGTCAGCTCTGGCCAGTGCACTGTACGCAGCAGACTGCACTACGCACAAGACACAGGACGCCCATGGGCAGCATTGGCAGCGGGGTCGAGTACGCGGGCCGAATTCCGGGCACGAGGGTGGGGAGCTTTGGCGCGTCCTCATCCCATTCCGGCGCGCGCGAGACGCGGCGCATGCTGCCGCGCATGGTGGAGAACGACGGGCGGATTGCCGACACGCGTCGTGGATGGTGTCCATGGCCAGCGGGGGTGACGAGCGACGACGGTGCGGCCAACGAGGCCGGCGACGCCAAGGACGCAGCGGCGAGGCCGGCAGCGGACGTTGAGGGTCCCGAGGGACCCGAGGGTCCAGCGCCGCTGACGCCGCCCGCTCCAACGCCAAGTGCGCTGCGCTGTCCGTGGGCTGTGTCACTCGAGATGCCCGAGCCCAGCGACGCCGTGCCCGTGCCGTGCGAAAACCGACGATCCACCGGCGATGGCGAAGGGAGGGGCGAGTCAAAGTCCGTGTCAGTGTCGGTGAAGGGGGACCGAGTGACTGAATCCGGGAGGCCAATGTTCAGGCGTGTGGGCGTGAGCTCCGCCATGGCGGCGATGGTGGTTGGGGTTGTGATGGGAGAGTGGGAAGACGAGAAGGGAGAAGTGTTGTTGGGCTAAGAAGAGATAGGAATCTGCCGATGGTGGGGGGGTGTGGGTTCGGTCGATATGCGATATGTCGAGTCGGGGTCCAAAGGGTCGGCGGCGAGAGAGTGGGGTGGGTTGGGTGGGCCGAGTGACAACACGCACAACAACGAGATGCAGGGCGATGGTCACAAGCGTAGCCAAGTATGCTGCCGCTTAGTTGATGTTTGCGAGACTTGTGTCCGGCGCGGGTGCGTTGCTTGTTGCTTTGCGCGTGTGTTGTTGTTTGCCACCGCGCAGATGGAGAATTGTGTGTTGTCAAGAGGGGCCTTTGCCGGTTGCGCGTGCACTTGCCAGCCTGGCCAGTTGCTTTTGCTTTTGACATTCCGTCGCATCTCCCACCATACAAAGGGTCTCCTCCCTATCCACCCTCTACCCCCAGGTCCCCAGCCGTCACACAGTAGGCTGTGTACGCCGTGTCTTGCTCTCTCTCTCTCTTTTCTCTCTCTCCACCTATACTCCACACACACCCTGTGCATGCGAGGGACGCAGCTGAGAGGGGAGGCGTACATGTATATGCTTTTCGCGGATTTGGGGGCCACGGCCAGAAGCTAAAGAGACCAAGACACAAGTGGTGCCTTCGGCCAGACCCTCCACAGGCCACAGGATCTCATTACTGGCAGCAGCGGTACAGCGTACAGCGAGCCATGCCATCGAGTGCTATCCCCCCTCATCCCCTCACCCCCCCTCATCCCTGCCTGCCTGCTCGCGCTTGTCGCGTGCAGCGATCGCAGTGAGCCACCCAACGCGCGCCCAACGGTCCGAGCGGGTCACACTTGTCCAACGCCTCGTTCCCTTGGTCCCCCACCCCCTCTCTCCCTGTGCATTCCTCGCAGCCGACCATTCACGAGAGCTTACAAGCTATGTACCACAACTGACAACTCGGTCTCTCTCGTCTCTCCACCACGCCGCCGCCGCCCCCCGTTGGCCGTTGGAGCGTCGCAATCAATGTGTGGCGCGGCACGGCGCCTTTCGGCCACTCCGACGACGAGCAGAGATTCAGAGTCGGTGTGGGGCCTCCGTCTCCATTGATCCATTTGACCGTGTTGCAGTTTGTGTTCTCTTGCGTTTTGTTTTTGGGATCTGTTACATGCCCGCCACATAACAGGTGCCAGGTGGGCGGTTGCGACACACGACGGTTGCACTACTTTGGGTGAGCTTGGCGCTGCGCAGTGTTGGCACCCAGGGTGTGTGTGGTCTTTGTTGTTTGCGTGTCACCCCCACCTATGCGTTTTGCCGCGCTTAAGCGGGGATATCCGTCGCTAATGACGTAAACAACAATTTACAAACATGGGCTTTAAAGTCTAGATTTGTGCGCTTTAAACGCGTCAATTAAGGCGGCTACAACCTTGCAACCTTGGATTACATTCAGAGGATCGTCGATCACATCCCCAGACTGACAACAACTGACATGAGAGTCCGAGATCCAGAGAGTCGAGGGCCAACTGTGGCCAGACGTCGGCGTCTTCGGGAGTGTCCTGGGTGTGTACGGGCCGGCATTTTCCGCCAAGCTGCCCACGGACGAGGGCACAGGCCGGCACAGGCCGGCACAGGATGGCGAGCGAGGCGCCGAGCCAGTCAAGGTCTGTCCACATGTCGATGTTGGTACGTTGGTGACGTGGACGACAGTGCCCGTGCCAGGGTACCTATCGCGGACGGGGACATGGGTGCGACCGCCGTGAGGGCTCATAGTGGCTAGACTGGATGTGGGGGGAAATGGTGCATAGGCGCGATGACGAGTGGGTGGCAAATATGGGGGATTTGGTTCCGTCTGTCTGCCTTGAGGGGCCACAAATGCGATATTGACATACAAACCAGCCCCGCGTTGCTCTGCTCGCCCACGGCGTGTTTGGATCCACACCCATGCACCCACCTGCACACGCCGAACTCAACCGCGCCCTCCGCCCTCATCATGGGGTTTGCGAGCAAGATTGGTTCGTAGGTGGCAGTGGCCAGTGTCCAGCTGCATGAAAGAGCTCACCCACTCAGCTCAGGCAAATGCCAACCCCCCGGCCGGTTCGTTTAATTTCGGCGCGGCCAACGCGTTCGCGTCTCAATCGTACCAACAGCAGCCGATGCAGCAACAATGGGGCCCACCTCAGCAGCCATACAACCAGTATCAACCTCAGACAGGATACTCACAGGTGCCGCCGCAGTATGGCGTCAGTGGTTCTCAGCCATACCAGCAGGCGTACGGCGCCGCCTATGGACAGCAGTTCCAGTCGTCCAACCAGCAACAGCAGCAGCAGCATGGAGGATATAACCAGCCGCCGCAAGAACAGTTTGGGAGTGGCTATAGCCAGCAACAACAGCCATATAGTGTCTTCCCTCAACAACAAACCGCCTTCCCTCAGCAAACCACCTTTCCTCCTCAGCAGCCACCCTACGGTCAACAACAACAGCAACCGCTTGCTGCCCATGGCAGTCCTTCAAGTGGCCCAAATGCGCAGTTTGTAGCCGGCATCCTGGCCGACTGCGTCAAAGATGTGCGTTAGCAAGGTGCCTAATTGTGCTAACGCCCCGACAGCAAGGCCTCGAGTGCTTCTACAGCGACCCATACTCTCTCCACTCTATCGCTCAACGCATTGTCAACTCTAATGCAATTGGCACTCTGGCCGCATCTTGGCGACTACCCCTGGAGCTGGCGGCAGATCTCGCCAAGATTGCCCTCTTTGACGTGGTTGTCCTGTGCGACGATTCGGCCAGCATGAAGGTCCAGCAAAAGGGCGAGCGCATAGAAGACTTGAAGACGTGGGTGCGCGTATTGGAGGGCAAGAGCTGACCCAACCAGGATTCTTGGCAAGGTGTCTGAAGCGTGTGCCCTCTTTGACGACGATGGAATGTGGGTGCCAGTTGTTCCGCTCACTGCAATCAACTGGCTGATAGGTGCAGCGAGACGCGATGCCTCAACACTCCCATTGACGGCAACCACATCACTTCAGCCGCGCAGGCCGCCGACTGGGTCGGAAAGCTCCAATATAAAGGTGCACTGCAGCTTTGAAACCATCGGGTAAAAGCTGACCCAGACGCCAGGTGGCACACCAATAGGTACGATGCTCGACCAGAAGATCCTCCAGCCCCTCGTCCTGAGTCTTGCGCGGAGGGGCGGGCTGATGAAGCCCGTCCTGGTGGTCATCATCACTGATGGTGGGTACACTGCTCATAGCGAACGCTGACCCAGCAGGTGCCCCCGGCCACGAGCCTCACGGCACGATCGCCAAGGTCATCACCGCCGCGGATGCCGAGCTCAAGGCGACAAGGTGTGAGTACAAGGGTACAAGGTGGCCGTCGCTTCTTGGCTGACCTTGCAGATGGCCGAGGGGTTGTCAGCTACCAGTTCGCCCAGGTGGGCAACGATGTCAAGGGTACGGTGCAGCTCGATTCTGCGTGTAGCGCTTACCGTTCAGCGCAAAAGTTCCTCTCGTCTCTCGACGACCACCCGCAGATCGGCAAACTCATTGACCAAGTGATGGACTTTGAGTATGAGCAGGAGCAGATGATGACGTCGACTGGGTTGCAGCTGTCTCCAGAGATGTGGTTGATGAAGTGAGTAGGAGGATGAGTGGGAGGTTTGTGTGCTGACAGAGCAGGTTGTTGCTAGGTGCTATCGATTCGTGAGTTGTGGCAGGAACGAGGATACCGGCAACTCATACTGACGCCCGCAGGAGCTACGACAGTCAAGGTTAGTACAGACAGGTAGTAGGACACGGACGATGCTGATAAATGCCCGCAGATGAAGGACCCAAGCCTACCCGATGAGACGTGGTGAAAGGTCATTGTGACTCGGGACCATAAATACCCCAACGTGGGCTTGTTGTATTTCAGTACGATTTGGGCGCCTAATGCACCCGGTTGAAATGCCTTCACGACCGGCGGGTTGATTATCCGGTTCCCTTGGCGACATGACGTCATGTCGGTTGGGTGCTGGCCTCCGTGGTGGCGGCTGCGGGGATTGTTTTTCGGTTTGATCAGTTCTTTTTCGGGTGTCACACGACCATCTCTCTTGTGCGTTGGAGACACCCGTTTTCCGTCTTGGCTCTGTCCCATTCTCTCACTCTCACTCTCTCTCTGACACACACCGACATTCACTTGTCTCCCACACTAACAATCCATCAACACGCACATTGCGCTATCACCGCGACACTCCCATTCAATCATCGGGGGGCTGGCTCGTCCCAATTCTCACTCTACGCACCGCCGCCACCGTCCCGGCCGCCGACGACGAACGTTCGTGAACGACCACCCGCCGGCGGTATCAGCCACGCAGTCGCGCAGTGTTTTTGATATATATTTCAGTCTTGGTTTCAGACACGCGTCTCGCGTCTCGCACCTCACCAAAACGCATCAAAAGAGGGGTTCCACAACACCACCTCCCCTCCCACCCACACCCACTGCATCCATCGACCATGCCAGACGGAACGTCCCTCCGCCATCGGCGCAGCGTCGACCTGGAGGCCGTTGCTGCCAAACAGGACCCCGTCCCACCAACGTCACCGGCCGTCAGTGCCATCACAGACGATGTCTGGGGTGAGATGACCTCTGAAGCTATCCGTCACCGCTGCGTAGGTTCATTGCGTGTTGGGCTCCGACTAACCTACACAGCTCGCCGGCGCACCACGTAACCCGCTCCACCGTCACCCGGTGCTGCGCCGAATCTACCTCGTCTTCTTTGTGCTCTCAACACTCCTCATCCTCGTTCCGGCGTGGACACTGTGGTATCTGCCCCGCAGCAACCGTCCCCGCCGCTCCTGGACGCTCAAGCGCTGCCTCCGTGTCCGCTGGAGTCGCCGCCTGTGTGCGGTCGTGGCGCGCTGCGAGATTGACTACCTCGGACGTGACTTTAACAAGGAGCTGGTACGCAACAAACAACTGTAGATGTACCACAGTCAGCTGACAACATCAGGATCCTCTCAAACTCGCGTTCTCGCACCCCGTCACTGTCCCGCCAGCTCCACGCACGTGGCTGCGTGGTCACCCAGCAGTCATGCTGAGCCACCTCCGCAGCAGCCGCGGACGGTGGCACCCGGAATTCGTGCATCGCGGCCAGCGCGAGCGCGACGGCGTGTGGGGGCGGTGGAACCCCGCTGCGGCTGCTGCGTCCGACGATAGCGAGAAGCAGACCCACGAGCTGCAGTACGGATTCGCGCCCGTCCCGGCGTTCTGGTACGATGGTATCAAGGACGCGCCCGAGGCTCAGCGCCGGCCTCGTCTCCCCGGCCAACCGGTCATGCTCCACCTGCACGGCGGCGGGTACGTCTGCGGCACGGCGGCCGAAACGGACCTGACGTCGAGCATTTCAAAGTCGATGGTGGCACACACCCCCATCGGCCACGTCCTCAGCCTCGACTATCGCCTGGCGCCGACCGCACCGTGGCCCCTGCCCCTCCTCGACGCCATCAGCGCATACGCGTACCTCGTCAACGACGAAGGTGTCGACGAGCGCGACCTCGTCATTGGCGGAGACAGCGCCGGTGGCCACCTCGCACTGGCGTTGACCCGCTGGCTCCGTGACGAAGGCGCCAAGCTGGGTCTCCGCGGCCCTCGCGCGCTCGTGCTCATGTCGCCGTGGTCCGATATCGGCTTCACGCACCAGTGGGGCGAGTCTTCCTTCAAATTCAACGCCGACAGCGACACGATCGACAACACGTTTGGTCCATTCGCGTCCTCGTTGCTCCTCCGTGCTCTGCCGTCGGGAATCATGCACGAGAACGAGTACCTCTCCCCAGCCTCGCGGCTAATCTCGCGGTCGCCAGCGCACTTTTCCCGTTTCCCGCCCGTGTTCGTCGTGCACGGTGGCGCGGAACGGCTCGCCCGCGAGATCCAGGAGCTCTTTGCGCGCATCCGTCTCGGCCGCGAACATGGCGACATGGAGGACACGCCCGACCACCTCGTCTCTGCGCCTGACGCGGTGCACGACTTTGCCATCTTCCCCTGGTTTGCAGCCGAGGCCGGAGCCTTGTATGAGGAGATGGACGGGTGGCTGCGCGCGCTCCTCGGCGAGGGCAGCGAGAGCGGCAGCAGCAGCGAGGTCGAGGTGGACGCCGACGAAATGGCCACGTCGGCCAGCGGGCCCTCGTCGCCCGTCTCCCCGCTTCCGCTCTCCCCGCTCGCCCTCGCCCTCTCGGTCACAAACTCGCCGTCGGCGCGGGACATGCGCCGCCGCACGTCGCTCGCCCGCCGCGCGCTCCGCGACCACAAGTCCCCGCGCCTCCCGGGACACAAGGACACGCCGCGGCAGATGTATGCCGACATGCACGTCGAGGGCCTGCACCTCCTGGACCTCGAGCCGCTCGACCTGGGCGCGGCGGTCGTGGCCCCGTTCACGCCGTTCACGGCGCAGTTTGAGAGGGGCGAGTGGGACTGGGACGGCGAGGCGTGGCATGAGTTTGGGGCCGGGAGCAGGAGTGCGAGTGACGACGAGGACGAGGGCGAGGGCGAGGGCGACGAGGCGAACGAGTGACGAGTGACAACGAGACAGACGCCACAGCCAAAGCATCACACCACTCAATGTGCATTACACACCATACCATAGACTTTTTTAACGCTCGACAGCGGACAACCTTGTAGCATACCGCATGTATCGAGCCTAGACTCTAGCCATACCTGGATCCATCTATATTTGCGTGTGCTCGTCGCTCTAACGCGAGAACCGCACATACCGGTCGTAGCCTACACTCACCACCTCCCACTCGTCTCCTTCATCGCCGCCGTCACCGAGACGCACGACCTGCAAGTCCCTCACCACGTCGCTGGTTCCCGCCACACCGGGCTGGGCGGCATGCACCCGCAGCTTGCTGCGCACCTCGCCGTTGAGCGCGATGAGCGAGACGACGCCAGTCGGCGAGCCAATGACGACGGCCTTGCCGTCCGGCAGCCAGCGGACGCGCGGGAGCACAAAGTCGTCCGACTCGGTGTGCGTCCACAGGCAGCCGAGGCGTTCGGTCTGGTGTGTCAGCTGGCGGTTCGGAAAGGAGGGGGCAGCTGGAGGAGAGCAATCTGGGCAGTTCTGGACGGATAGGAAAAGCGGGGAGGGTGCTATCCGTGCTCACCTGCCCCGGCTGCTGCTCGTGTCACTCACCTCGTCCGGCTCCACGCCGTACAGCAGCACCCTCTCGCCGGAACTGGCGTGGTCGCCCGTGATGCACGCAATCATCCGTCCAGAGGGGTGCAGGCTCATGTCCAGGACCGCAAACGACACGTGCGCATCGAGCGGGTTAGGGTTGAAGCTCTTTGAGCGCGTCGGCCATCCCCAGTCGTCGCCGTCCCCGTCCTCGCGCGCCGGCAGGCCGAGGTAGTGCATCTCGCAGCTGCCGCGCACCGTGTAGATGAGCCACGAGGACGCCGGGTGGAAGAGCATCGCCTCGGGGTTGGCGTCGGTCGCCACGCGGTGCCGCAACGTGTACCGCAGCTCGGGGTCCATCGCGAGGTCTGCATCGTCGCTGTCGTCCAGGGGGATGTAATCGTCGGCATCTTCGTCGGCGGGTGCGGCTGTCGCGAGGCCCGAAGCCTCGTACAGCGAGATACTGTGGTCGTAGCTCGCGGCCGCGAGCCACCGCCCGTCGGAGCTGAATGCCACGCGGACGACAAACTTGGTCGCGGGCAGAGTCTGTAGCGTCGTGCCCGTGATAAGGTCTGTGAGCACCGTCGTGCCGTCCATGCTGCCACTGGCGAGGTAGCGCGGGTTCGTAGGGTGCAGGGCGAGGGTGAGCGCCGGCGCCTTGTGGGGTTCAACGTGGGCGGTGACCTGGACAGCGTTAGCCAGATCGCAACTTGGTTCCTATAGCTGGCTACAGCAGGAGCATCCGTTTATAGCCAGACTTGTCGCGACAGCTCACCTCGCCAGTCTCATAGTCGACGACGCGCACGACCTTGTCCGCACTCGCGACGAGCACGCTGCGCCTGCGCTCAGCGACATATGCCGCTGTCGCGGTGTCGAAGCGGCGGGTGGGGACGTCGCCCACGGCCACCGACAGCAAGTTGGTCGCGGCGACTTGCTCGCTGCGCACCACCGCATGCAGCTTCTCGTCGGCCGGAAGCGGGCTCAGGCGCTTGACCATGGCCTCGAGCGACTCCTTGCCGTCCTGCTCCAGCGCGAGGGTCGCGAGCCGGCGCTGCACCTCTGCCGCGGCGGCGGCGGCGCGCGCGTCCTCGACGAGCGTCTGCAGGTCGGGCGACGGCGGGTTGGCCGGGTCTGGCGCGCGCGCGCCAGACGCATACAGGAACGCAGGGAGCGCGCCGGGATAGTGTGTCTGGAGGTAATGCGCAATCAGCTCGTGGAGGTGCTGCGTTGCAGGCGAGGCCGGCGCGGCTGAACTGGAAGCTGGGCCGCCGGAGAGGAGCGACGTGGGGGCCTCTGGCTTCAGGCCGTTTGCCGAGATCGCAGCGGCGCCTGGAGCAAGTGCCCCAGGTTCAGAAGCCAAACTGCCTGCTGGGGGCGAGGTGCTGGACGCGTCGAGCGGCATGGTTATAGATGTGTGAAGATGAGGTGAGTAACGTCGAGAAACGTGAGAGATATGGCTGTGCCTTGCTTTCGATGCACGTCATCGATGCCCTCCACTTTAGGCACAAATCGAACCCCCAGGCCATGCCCATAACTGGCTTGCGTAGGTATTCTTCTGCATTCCTCAAAAAGAGTCGATAGGCGGCGACGACGACTACGACGACGACTGAAAATCCGTACGTACGTCAAGGACCTGCAATGTCTGGCCTCAGACGACATGTTCTCCCGAGGCAACAGGCTCAAGTTTCACAAGCCGGCAACCCGTGGCATTTTGAGTGCTGTGGAACACAAAAAGCAATCGCCAACCACTATATGTACAGCCCCCTTTCGTGTTGTCCTGGTCCTGGCTGTGGAACCTCGCATCGTGTGAACTCTGCTCGGGCTCGTGGGAACTCTGTTGGCGGACCAACACGCGCAGACACCAGGGCTGTGGGTGGCACAGCCTGCCACTGGCCACTGGCCGCTGCCGACGCTCTTCTTCTCGATCTTCTGGGAGGACAAAGGTCGCGCGGTGGGACACCCGAGCAGAACAAGCACGGTTTGTGGGATATTGTGTGTCAGGACGTGGGGGTGTGGATCTGGGGATTGCGGGCCCAGGTGTGCGGTATGGGTGCATATGTATATGGGTTTAGTGGGAGCCGAACAGCCCAAAACCGGATCTGGGCCAATACCTTATTAACCAGGTGAGCGATGAGGGGGAGCCTTGCACCCAGTGATCAGTGGTCAGTGAGGAGCACGCTACCGCAAGCGTCTGTGGCCGTCTGTGCGAAGCATATATGACCATGAGATTCCTTGCAACTGGCCGTCCAGACTGTCCGTCCTCCTTTCAGAGGCCAGACTCCGCTGTCCGTGGGTTTCATCTACCACACACAACACATTACGCACCCTTGGCCCCTCGCTGCCAGCGACCACCCGCTCCCAGGCGCCTGATACAACCTTAACTGTTGCTCAGCCGGTGTGGGTGGTGCAGCAGAAACAAGCAAAACGATGTTGACGCCATCCTGAGAAAAACTTGGGACCTCGCTGGCCGCTGGGACATCTGGACCCGACACAACAGCCTCCGACTGGACCCCCATCGATCGCACCGTGGGCCGCTTGGTTGGGTTTGCGAGGTCCCGAGATGGCAGCATTCCCCCGCACCTCGTCTTGCGCAAGCGCGCAAGCAAGTGCCTTTCGCTTCTGGTCGTGCTGGCTGGGTACGCTACTGGGTTAGTGTTCGTGCAAACCAAACCCAGTAGTAACCGACGAGCCGACACTTTGCTGTGGCCACCTGGAATGCTGCCTGCGGCCTGGACCGGGACCTGGGCCACGGTACCACGGTACACATGCTCGCTCGCTCGCTCACTCCTTGGAATGGCGTGCGGCGGAACTTGGGCGGGTGGGTTGCACTTTTACTAACTGTGCTAGCTGTACTGCACGCGTGTCGCGCGTCGCCTTGAAAGTCGCGCGACACCACCGCACCACTCACTGGCGCACCTCTAGGCCTCGTGGTGCTGCGCTAGAGGTCTCGGAGCTGCTGGGGAACAGCCGGTGTGTGCGCAATGGACGCACGCGACACGGAGGCGACGCCGGTAGCCGCCAACCCGCTAGCATCAGCATGCCATGGTTCGACGCCGGACGATCAGTTGGTCCACGCCCCATGCCACGGCAAAGTCGATTGCATTTTGCGCACTATTACCTTGTTTTATTGACCTCTGGTCGTCTGACCCTCTTGCCCTCTGGCCCTCTGGCCTTGCGTGCATGAATTGAACTGTCTTTTGTTTTTTCTCCTATCAACCAGCACCAGCCCTGTCGATACAGAGCCGCCACAAAATGTTAACCAAAATCAAGAAGGTGCATGTACAGGAGATGTGAGGTAACAAAAGATACAAGTCTGGTTCGCCCTCGAGGCAAACTGACGACATTCCAAGCGAGGGAGAGAGAGAGAGAGAGAGAGTTTGGCAACTGGGGTCGCTGAACTCGCCTCTTCTCGCGTTTCACGCACGTTGGGGTACTCCGCGGGGTAAGTTTCTACTTGGTCATATATCCGGGATAAGGTTTGTCCGCGACTGGTGTGCGCGCTCTTTCAAGGAGGCAGTTGCACCACACCGTCAAACAGAGCTTGGGGGGTACACTCGCAGAGGGTACTAAGGGGGCTGGCAGTGTGTGAGATATTGTGGATATTGTGGATGTGCGAAAAACCGGGAGGGGAGCAGTTCAACTGTCCGTTTGGGGAGGGAGTCGTCAAGACCGCCGCCGAGATGCACGGAGTGATGAGGCTTAGTTGAATGGGTTGGGTCGATCTTCAAAGGGGCTAGCCAGGCCCGGACGTTCCTCCAGCGCTAGTGGCTCGAGAGTGGGAGTCATTGCACCTGTTCCCAGGCCGCTGCTGCCGCTGCCACTGCTACGCCTGGCAGCGCCGGCCATGGCAGTCATGGCCAGGCAGGGCCTCACGCGCCGCTTGACGGAGATGGTGCCCTCACGGTCGCTGCGGTCGCTGTCGCTGTCCCAGCCGCCGCCTAGCCGGGTGGGCTGCGGTGGCACTGTGGGGTCGAATGCCCCAGCCAGTGTCGGGCCGGCCAGCGACTGCGACTGCGGGTCGTGCTCGGGTGCAGGGCGCGTTAGAGGGTACTCGCGCTGGCGTCGGTCGCGTTCGCGTCGTGACGTCGCCGAGTATGAGTGCGAGCGGAGTAGACGCGGAGACGGGTTCTCGGGCGCCGATGCACGCCGGCGAGGAGACAGCTTGGGAGTCGAGTCGTCGTCGTCCATGTCCGTGTCCGAGCCGGTCGGTGTCATGGGAGCCTCGTCGAGGGCAAGCGAGCTGGGAAAGTTGGAAACGGGGGCGCTCGCAGCCTTTCTGCAAGCCTCCTCAGCCTCAGCCTCCAGGTCCGAGGCGGTGAAGCTACGTCCTCGCGCAAGGAGAGACGGGCGACGCTCCAGGCGAATGGCACTGTTTCCTCGCTTCATGGTGGACGGGAGCTTGGGCGCCTCGGGCGACGAAGGGGTGATGGTGAGGGCGAACGGCCGAACGCAGACAGCAGGCTCGGTCATGGACGCGGCTCGCTGCAGCTTTACTTTTTCGTGCGCGGCTGAGCTTTGCAAGCGTGCCGACAGCCGCATCACACGCCCCATCTTCTCGGCTGGTGGAGCGTCATCCTCGTCCTCGAGAAAGTCCATGCTGCCAACACGTTTGATACCGGGCTTGGCCAAGCGCTCGGCGCGGGTCAGCTTGCGGTCGGCGACCTCGGCGCCAAGACGCGTCTCTGCGAGGGCCAGGGCGCCGAGCATGCGTCGCGTCTCCTCCCAGCTGTGAGGCCAGTCGCTGGTGGGTGGTAATGGCGACGTGGCCCTCGATCCACCTTCGGATGGGGCTGGGGATGGCTCGGCGCTCGCGTCATATCCGTCGGTGCTAGCACTGGTGTCATCGCCTCGGTAGCTTCCTAGCACCGCAGTCGCGAGTTGGTCGAGGATGTGTGGAGGTGGCATCGAGCCTGGGGGGAAGAGGTGTTGACGCAGTGGGCGTGACAGGAAGCCTTCAAGGACCTCGACCTCTTCCGGCACCCACTCGTCCTCGCGTGTCCTCTTGCCAGTCACCGGTGTGCCGGGGGACGGCGAGGGCGTGAGTGCGGCGATTGCAAGGGAGGCTACGTCCGGTGTACCAGGCAAGTGACGGGGGGCACGCGTGGGCGCCGAGCTGCGCGTCACTCGAGTAGTCCGGTTGCTGCTGCCACCGCCGTTCTGGATGGGGAGAGTGAGGTTGTCCTGGCGCGCGTCAGCTTGATGGTGTCTACGGCCTGATATGTAGCGCTCAGGCCTCCTCTCCCAACGCCACAGGAGCAAGATAACGTTTTGCCACTCACCACTTCGAACACTGGGGTACAAGGGCCGGGCTCCGAGCCGTTGACAGGTAGGGTGAGGTGTAGGTTGGTCGCGCGCATGGTGGATGGAGGAGTGGGGCAGGGGGATGGCGATGGAGAGGAGGATGAGGGGGACGACGAGCCGGAGCGTCGCGAGTCGGGCGTATTGGGCAATGTCGCAATGTCAAACAGTCCGACAGGGGAGTGCAATGCCAGGATCATCCAGCACACCTTGTCTTGCAGACGGGACACAACGTGATATATGTGTGCGTGTCGCGCGAGATGGCTGAGGATGAGATGTGTTGGTCGCACGAGACAAGCTTGGGGGTATGAAATTCAAGGTAAAATGAACAGAGGACGGGTCCGATGTAATTGAATAGAGATTGATCCCCTTGACGAGCCGACCGGCAGCGGCGGCGGCGGCGGCGGATGAACAGAGAGCGGATTTGGGGCGGGATGAATGAGAGGCGCCGGGCGAGTCGGATGCAGAATAGTTGAGAGAGGAGGAGGAGGAGGAGGAGGTGGTGGTGGTGATGGTTGTGTGATGGAGGGATGGTGAAGGAGAGCAACAACAACGACGACGACGACGACGAGATGTGGGGGGGAAGACGAGTGGCGTGTGCGCCCACCCAAAACCCCGGACTGGAACTGACACCACACCGTCCTCTCTCTGTCTCTGTTTGCATTCGGTCCTCGTCCTCCTCTCCTTTTGCTCATCGGGTCGGGTGCTCCTCGCCTCTCGCCTCGGACCAAACGGTGGTGGATCCTTAGATTGGGTTGCGTACGCTTGGCAACTCGTCTGCTGCTATCCTGCTGCTTTGCTCGCTCGCTCGGCATTGCAACCCCACACCCTTCTCGGCACAACGGCACAACGGCACAAGGTACCAATCTCCCCGGCGGCGTGGAGCGCAGGACAGGCCCACTGGAAGATGGATCACGGGGATGACATGCGCGCGCTATGCATCTGGCCTGCAATTGCTGGCCAGAGCAGCAGTATGCTCTTGGTATGTGGGCAGAGCCCCCCACGGTCTCTCGCCTTGCAGTCATGTCTCACGCCCACCCCAGAGGACGTCGTCGTCGCAGTACAACTGGTTGCTGCTAAGGGCACTCTCTCCATTGAGACCAGACGTCGATACCCCGGAACGCGTCCACAAGCATGGCGTCAATTCGGTGTCTCAACCTGGAAGTCTCTCAGCTCTCTGGGATCTCTGGCTGGGTGCTGTGCATGCTCATGTGCGGGTGCGCGTCGCGTCCAATTCCTATGCGAGGCCCCAGGCCCCGATAGTCGGCCTTGCGCGTGACGGACATGGACCTCGACATGCACACACTCGAAACTCATGCGCCGAGCCATGAGACCCTCCATGACGGCCCATGACGCTGTACGCTGTTGCGCTGTTGTCACCCCGTCCCCATGTCCCCATATCTCGGATTCAGGTGTGGACAACAGGGAACAATGTCGGCCATTCTGGGGGGGGGCCTCCCTTTCACCTCTGGGAGTTGCAACTGATCCAGGGAGTGGGAGGAGCATGCATCAATGGTGGGTCCAGGACGTGTCCAGGACAGGAAAGACACAGGCCACAGGCCACAGGGCCCACAGACACGACGGAGACGACGCGTCGTGAATACACCAAACTGGCTCCTCACATTCTAGCGCGCTGCCTGGCGCGCGCAGCCACCATGACGCGTCCCCATGCCATCATTACCCTTGCCTTCAACCCTGCAGCCATGCCGTACAACATTGTTGAACAAGCATCAGCTGCCGAACAGGTCCCACATGTGGATGAATATGGTCTGCTTTTATGGATCCCATCGCGTTCGTGCTAGGTGCCGACTGCCACTGGGCCACTGTTGGCTGACGTAAGCTACACAATAAGGTGATCGCCATCTCCCAAGTGACCCATATCCTACTGCACACCGCCACTCCTCTCCAGCACACACGGCCACTGACCTCCGTTGAGCGCTGGCAGAAGGTACATACATCCCAGTCATGTGATACACAGGACACCGAGTGCCCCGGATCATGTGCGGGCCTGGAGAAGACGGGAACACACCGGCGGCTGTGGGCCCAATGTCCCGGATCTGACAGCCCGTTGCTACAACGCAAGCACCACAGTGTTTTCCTGGACGCGCCCATCGATATCTCCCCGCATGGCTGCACGGCTGCACGGCCGCACTGGCACCGCGCCACTCTCCCGGCAGAACATGGGCGACCACGACGCCTTGCTAGATAAATTGCCCGCGGAGTTGGCCAACAGTCTCTGGGTGGAGTCGTGTCGCCGGAGCAGGGCCGCAGGGCCATTTTGCCTTGGCTAAGACTTGGCTACTGGGGTTATCGAACCGTATTCTTCGTGGTCGTGGCGCACGTATGTGGGCTCTGCAAAATGGGGGGCACAAAAGCGGCCCCGAGAGGGGGTTACGGATGATGTCGAGAAACCCACTCCTCCGACATGACCCCGGGCATTATCCAGAGGCCAGAGGATATTCATTTCCAGGTCGAGCAAGTGGGCTTCAAGCTGACAAGAGGTGGGCTGCGGATACAGCGGGGTCCCCCAGATCCTCCCCGGATCTCGAATGTTCTGCCATAACACTTGACGGCAGGCGCCGGCGATGCCGATGCCTTGACGTACAAGGAAAGAACAGCCCAAATGAGTTAGCCCGGTGCATCGTTGACCGTTGGCCTCGGTACGCCAGGGTCATGCGACCGGACGTTCTTGAGATGGAACAACGCCAATGACATGTGACAGACGCGACGAGACGCGTCCGCATCGAGTGGGCCACCGCATGGGTCGTCGTCCAGGACGTCAAACGATAAAAAATCACGAGCCGTGGGACCATGCCTGCAATACAATACCCGTCGTGAAGACAACGGCGGTAAGGTTGACTTTGACTAGAGTTCCCAAGCACCGAAACATGCAACATGTTAACATGCCGCGTCGTACAACGTGGTATAGAGTCTTGAGCAATGGAATGACGCGGCACGGCACGAGTTTGTTTGCCGGCATAAGTCAACACACGACGTTTGTCTGTGCCAGGTTTTGGCTGCGACTTTGCGTCTATACTTAAAAGCAGCTTTCCCACAGACACAATATGTAACAGTGCATGGCGCATCTATGCGACGCAGTGTCAGCGGAACCACCAGTGCACACGGTGGTGGCGGGAGTTGTATATCCATTGCGATATGTACAAGGACGTGACGGAAACTGGGCGGGTTGACACCACGTCTCTCTCCCCGTGACCGGCTGCAACAGTGTGTGCGTCCGCCGCCAGAACTGTGGTTGGGAAGTTGGCAAGAGAAGAGCACCTATGCAGCGCACAGCAGTCACCAAACACAAATGTCAGTGAGCGACGTGGGGGACGACCCGGTAGGTTACGCGACGTCGCCGTCAGGGTCGCCGCCACCAACCCTCCTATGCCACTCTGCACCCACCCAACCCTTCCTCTCGCACCAGCCATTGTCGTAGCCAGCAAAAGGTATGCTTTCAACGGGCTTGCACGCGCTGTAGCCAGCCTAGTATGGGGCTCGAACCCATGACATTTTGATATCTTAACACAAGGAGTAAGAGTCAAACTATCTACCGACTGATATAACCAGGCTTCGGTGAGAGGGTGGCGCTTGCTGTTGACTAACAGCGACGACCATGTTTTTCAAAACACGGCGGCTTGGAAGAGCTTCTGCGGCTGCTGGCATGAGCACTGATGCGCTGGAATGCCATCTGTCGAATCTGTTTGCTTGCATGAATGGGAGCCGGAGGACGAAGGGCAGCGAGTATCGTGACCAGTAACCACATTTGCGTCGCAAGTCTCGCACAGAAAAGCACCACAGCTCGTAGCCACTGCTGTATATATGTCTCCTCGAGGCCTATGATCCACTTACAGGCTGCATTAGATTTATACATGCCCCTCTACTCGTTGCAGTGTATCCTCGTTCTCTTCAGACTCCCCACTCGTCGCCGAGAATTAATTGTTCAAAAAAATACATGAAACACGACCAAAACTCCCCTCTGTCACATGTTACGACCTTCATAATCGATAGTGTCCACTTCACATCCCAATGGGCGAGCAGTGAGTATATGCATGGTGAAAATGTGCGGCTACCATGTAAGTCTGTCTGCATAAAGCGCCCATTGGGTGCAACGAAACCATCGCTGTACTGGTGCGTACTTGCGATCCCCACGGTCCTCAAGTGCGCCCGATGTTCTGGAACTTTGCTCATGTAGCTGCAAAGCTTTGGCCGCGACGCGTCCACCAAAGCTGTGCTGCGCTCTGGGACGGAACGGAACGATGGGTCACACTGACCTCAAAGTCAGGGCTCTGGGGACAATCAGTGTACTAACGATGAGGCGCGTCATGGCCCTCCACGCTGCCCGGTTCGGGTGGAAATCGCACGGTCAACATCGTCCAGTTATCCCCGTACCGCCACCATCTCTGTCTTCATCGATTTCACTCCCACTCCCATATTGGTCTGGACTTCGCCATGAGTCCCTTCCTGCCGAACGGTGTGAGGAACGGGCAAAATGACCCAATCACCGAGATCAGCAATCCGAGCCCGACCGCGATAGCACAAAGTCTTTCCATGAGCAGCGTCCCCGACATCTACTGGTGCGGTACGCCATGGGTCACTTTCAGCTGGACTGGAGGCAGAGGACCGCCATACCGCGTGTGAGTGTCTCTCTGTGCTGAGAGAAGTGTAAAGTTAACGCGTCAGAGAGCTTGCCTGGAAATACCAGCGCGATTTGGTCCTCAACGTTATGACCGAAGGGTACACTGGAACGGACTACACATGGGTCTTGGACAGTACGAGTGACATCGAGGGAGAGTATGACATCAAAGTCAGCGACCTTACTGGCGCGTACGTGTTCTCCAACCACTTCTGGATCTTGCCATGCCAAGCCGCCTTGGGAACGGTCACCTATGCGCCTCCGCCCACAACCGAAGCGAGTGCCACTTCAACGCAGTTGGACACTGTCATGACGACCAACTTGACATCTACTGAGTTGCCAATCGTGACGACCACGGACACGTCAAGCATTATCACGGATACGAGAAGCAGCATCACACAGACGACGTCCGCCTCTGCAGGAAGCACGACCGCGGCTGCGGCGGCTCCATCGTCCTCGACCTCTTTCGTATCCCCATCTGCCTCATCCGCACCCTCGCTTTGGTCCTCATCCACCAACAGAGCCGCCATTGGAGCCGGCGTCGCCGGAGGGGTCATGGTCATCCTCCTGTTTTGCCTCTTCGTATGGTTGTACCGCCGCCAGAGCCGCACCACACGCCGCATGTCCGTTGGCGCCACCGAGATTGACGGCGGCGTGGCGAGCGTCGCAGCCAGCCTCGCGAGCTATACCGATAACGCAGTGTACACCCCCACGCCGTTCCCTCTCCCCCGGTCGCAGCAAGCCCCACCACCCACGCCAGAGGGAGCAGGACCCGCCGCAACGCACATGCACGCCCTAGCTCCGGCGCCCACCAGCGGGCCTGCACCCGGAAAGCTGTACCCGTCTCCCGCGGTACCGTCGCCCGTGACGAGCATGGTAGCGCTGGCTCAGGAGCACGTGAACACCAGGAGCCCTGCGAACCCGTACCCCTCCCACACGGAGCACCAAGACTGCCACGACCAGTGTTTCCGCGCGTCCACGGCCTCGATGGACGCGCGCCTCTCTGCCATCGAGTTGACCTTGTTGGCCCTCTCGGCCGGCCCCTCATCGTCATCAACAGAGGGCACGGCGCCCTCGCGCGCACATGGCTCCCAGTCGCGGCCGGGCCACGCCCGCACCTCCATTTGCAGCACTGTTACCACCAGCACTGACCACCTCGATCACCTCGTGCCCACGACTCTGCCCCAGCCGCTCGCCCTCTCGCTGGCCCGGTCGCTACCCGCCCTCCTCCCGTCTCGCCCCCACCACGCCGAAGACGCCGAAGACGCGGTGCTCGCCATGGAGGGTGAGGACGTCCTCCCCCCGATGTATCGCCCCGAATGGCGGGAGCGCACCACCGCGACGGGAACCGGAACCGGAACCGGAACCGGAACGGGGACGGCGAGCACAAGCGCGACCGCGAGCCCGAACGAGGCGGGCGTGCGCACGCAAAGCCCCGGGTCGAGTGTGGAGGCTGCCTGTGGCGAGGACGTGCCCCAGGAGTAGTGCCCCAAGAGTACATAATTGTGGGAACACTGTGAATGCGTCCAGTAAAGGATGGATCGGTTGTGAGATGGACTCAGACGTCGAGATAGTACCTCAAGAGAGAGACACAATACCCCTAGTAGATTATATTTGTACGACGTCCCTTCGCGTAATTAGATGAGATGCATATGTGGCGGGCGAAGGAGAGCAGTTTAGTGACGATGTGACCAGCCCTCCTATTCTGCTGGCCTGCGATTTATACGCATAAGGAGGTGGCGTGCGGTCTGCATACAGTGGAACGTACATGAGACACGCGTATACGCTGGCTTTGGCTATGCCTGGCGATAGAAAGAAGAAAGTGGCCCGTACAGCCGTCGGATAAATTAATTCGGCAAAAACAAAACAAAAACAACAAACACACGCAAGACTGCGCTCCACCACCTATCCACCACCCGTCAAGATCGGGAAAACAAGTAAACAGGGGACACACGGTGGAAACGCGCTGCGAGAGTGTTTGTGCACCGAAATGCACAATAGCTGACACGAAAAAGCAGCGGTCTGCCGATGTGGTCGGAATCTCGGGGGTGGGGTGGCAGGTCCGTGCGCGCTGGGGATGGGGGGCGGCACGGTCCTCGAGCCTCCCAACTTCTAGCGCGTGGTACCTTTGTCTCGTCCCAGTGCGTGCTGAAAAGCACTGCAGAGATCCAGAGATCCCAGAGAGCGCATGAACCCCCTCTCCACGCGTCTGTCCATGCTGCTCGCCCCTTGCGTTTACCGGCTAGAAGAGAGGTCAGCGGGACCCGTGTTTGCGTGCGTTCAGCAGGGGAAAGGTACGACGGACAAGCATAGGCGGAGCATGACGCCCCCCCGAATTTTGCCAGGTCATGTCTCAACGCTAGGACCATTGTTTACGCTTGCCGTCATCTCTCTGCTACGCTCTGGATGGACTAGAAGGGGAGCAGCATGTCAGCAAAGTGGTGACTCTATCAAGAGACAATTGATGAGCCGTACCCGTCTGCGTAGCGACCTAGTGAACGTTGGAGAATACAGCTGCCTCGCGAGGGAATCACACGATCAACACCGTCCACTTCTCCATCGACCTCACTTCCCCACTCTCATATCGTTCTTGATCACGACATTGCGAGCGTCGACATGAGTACCTCCGTGCTGAACGCTGTCCAGTCGGCAGTGGCGAGCAGTACGACCAAGCCCGTCGCGACCGTTGGTGTGCCGGTGGCAGCCACGTCCAGCGCCGCAGCGGCGACCACGACCTCCACCACGACCACAGTGTTATCAACAGCTCTTGCCATCCACACCGTCCCCAATCTCTACTGGTGCGGTACTCCCTGGGTCGAATTCAGCTGGACAGGCGGCACGGCGCCGTACTCTGTGTGAGTGTTTGCGTGCACCCAAAAAGGGCGAGTGATTAACAGGAAAAAAATGCTAATGAATGCCACAGGTACCTTGTCCTCGGGGACGATCTCGCCTCGCTCGTGGAGACCGTGGCCAGCAACCTGAATGTCACGCAGTATACTTGGGTCGTGGACCAGACGGTCAACGACACGCAGTACGATGCCATCCAGGTCGTCGACCATCAGGGGGTGTACAGGTACTCGAACCCATTCTGGATCTATCCATGCGCCGCGGGCTCGGGAACGGTCAGCTACGCGCCTCTGACCACCTCGACGTCAGCTGCGTCGAGCACGTTGGCGATGACAAGCGCCAGCGTGACATCTACGGCGGCGTCCATCGTCCTCACAGCAGACACCTCGAGCACAGAGGTACTTGTGACGATGACAGCACCCGCTGAGAGCACCACGGCCGCCGCGACAGTGCAAGCCCCATCGACCTCGTCGTCATCAACCAACATCGCCGCCATTGCCGGCGGCGCCGGCGCCGGAGCCGTCGCGCTCCTCCTCCTCCTCATCGCATGCCTGTACACCCGCCGCCGGCGCGTCCCGCAGCGCCTGTCCAAACGCCCCTCTGAGATTGACGGCACGTTCACGACCTTTGGCGGCGCGAGCTTTGGCAGTCTGGCCAGCTTTACGGATAGCGCAGCGTACACGCCCACGCCGTTCCCCGCGCCAGCGCCTGCGCCAGCCCCGCCCACGCTACTGCCAGCAGCGACGCAGATGCCCACGCACACGCACGCACGGCCGTACCCCCGCCCCGCGGTGCCCTCGCCCGCCACTAGCATGGTCGCGCTGGCGGACCTCGCGCTGCCGTACCCGCCCACGGCGGGCCACGGCCACAGCCACAGCCTCGGGGCCCACATGCGCAACCCCTTGTACGCGTACTCGTACGACCAGTTCCTCAGCGCGCCGCCCAGCATCGCCGGCGACCCGCGCCTGTCCGCCGCCGAGTCGGCGCTGTGGGGCACAGCCACGTCCTCGACAGCGTCGACAGTGACGGTCACGGCGTCGGCGGCAGCGGGGGCGTCGGCGCCACGGTCACGGTCGCGGTCGCGGAACAGTATCGCCAAGCCGCCGCTGCCGCTGCCGCTCGATCACGCGCATGCGCACGCGCACACGCACGCGCACGCCTGCACGACTAGCGCCGACCGGACACCTCATCCCCATCCCCTCCCCACGCCCACGCCCGCGCCCGCGTCCCGCCCGATGCACGCCGAGGACGCCGAGGACGCGGCGCTCGCGCGCGCCATGGAGATGGAGGGCGAGGGCGAGGTCGAGGACATCCTCCCGCCAGTGTACCGCGCTGAATGGCGGGACCGCGCGACGACGGCGAGCGTCGTTGGTGTCGTTGGTGTCGGCGTCGGCGTCGGCGGTGCCACGAGTGCCCCGAGTGCCACGAGTCCGCGGCCGAGTGTGGAGGTGGTGGGGCCTAGTGCCGAGGGGCGTAAGTGGTGAGAAGAGAAGAGATTTGGACGTGAGCTGGATGAATTTGCAAGGGGTGTTTTGTTGCAGCGTGAGATGGGAGTCGGACGATGAGTAGAATTGTACATACACTTGTAAAACCCTCGCGTAATGATGTGACAATGTGACCGGATACTACCAGCCGAACGTCGGTACCATGGAGGTCTGAACAGGGACAGTGTGCAGTGAGCAGTGAGCGAGGGGTCATGTTATACCACCCATATGCCCACGCCACACGCCGGGCCACACAGTCGCATCCCGGGCCAACGCTAGTAAACAGCCGATGCATCGAGGTGGAGCGCAGCGGCGCCTGGCCTGCGTCATGTAGGTACGGAGCGGGAAGTGGGGTGTGGGGGGGTGGGTGTGGGTGTGTAGTGGCGTCATGCGCACACGCTATAGCTGCGTGCGCGGGAGTTACTTTAGGGTAGGGGAGAGAGAGAAAGGAAAAGAAGGAAGAGAGAGAGAGAGAGAGAGAGAGAGAAAGAAGAAAATAAAATAAAAAAGGCGTGGGCGTTCATGTTTTGGGTTTGGCCGTCGTTGTGATGATGGTTGACTGGCGCATGTGAATTATTGCAAAAAAAGGGGGCAAGTTCGTGGGTGTGTGCATGTGCGTCCGCAATGAGTATGGTACAGGTGCGATGGGGGTCGTCATCGTCGAGCCGTGCTGGCGCATTTGGCTGGTGAGACATCAGGCCATGCTGACCTTTTGGGCGTTAGGCTACAGGCGAGCTCGTCAGCAAAGTCACAAACCTCGAACCTCGACTCCTGTAGCGTTGCGCCACTCACGACATAGGTGCTGTTTCGTGCGTGCAGCCGTGCCGACGACACGGACACGCCGATCCGCGATGCCGTCGCTGGCTGTCCGTGTGCGGCGGCGCGCGCCACGAGCGGGGTGGGCGGCGAGATGATCAGGCCGCCCTTCTTGTCCGTTCCGTTGGACGTGTGTGCAGCAGCGGCGGCGGCCGCAATGGACCGGCGCGCGCTGCTGCTGCCGCCAAGAAAGGAGGAGCGTCCGTCGCGTACATCGCGTGCGTCGCGCTGGTGCTCCGGGGGCGGGGGCGGCTGGCGGCGGCGGCCGGCGAGGATCCACGGGTGCCGCATGGCGGGCTGGGGCTTGAGACGCTTGTCCGGGTCCCAAGTGAGGCATTTGGCGATGAAATCCACAAACAGCTCGTCGTTGCACTTGAGCACCGAGGCCAGCGACTTGGTGGACGGCCGGCGGCGCTTGCCCTTTGCATTGACAAAGGGGCGCGGCGCGCCGGTCGCGTCGAAGAAGAGCTTGCGGCGCGACGCCTTTTGCACAATGTAGTGGTCGGGCACGCCGAGGACCTCCATGATGCACGCCAGCTGCTCGTGCTCGTTCTCGCCAGGGAAGATTGGGTAGCCAGTGTACAGCTCGGCAAGGATACAGCCGAGAGACCACATGTCGATGGCCATGGCATAGTTCATGCCCAGGATGACCTCGGGCGAGCGGTAGAAGCGCGACTGGATGTAGGTGTAGACTTTTTCCGACTCGTGGCACGACGAGCCAAAGTCAATGACCTTGATGCCACTCTTGGCCGGGTGGCGGAGCAGAATGTTCTCGGGCTTGAGGTCACAGTGCACGATGCGGTGCGACCGCATGAGCATGAGCGACTGGAGCATCTGCGTCGTGAAGCGGCGAATGAGGACAGTCGAGAATCCACAAAACTGGTTGGCCTTGATGAGCTCGTACAGGTTGATGCTAAGCAGCTCGGTGACGATACACAGGTGGCCGCGGAAGTAGAAGTGGTCCGTCATCTTGACCATGAAGTGCTTGTCCTCGGGATCCCACTCGACAATCTGCTGCAAGATTTTCACTTCTACCAGCGCCTGGGCGTGGAAGCGCTTCTTGTTGCGGATAATCTTGACGGCGACCGACGTGCCGTTCTTGTGGTCGCGGCAGTGGACGACCTGGCCAAACGATCCTTTACCGAGCACGCCCACCACCTCGTAGCGGTAGCACAGGTGGTCGCCCTCGACCACGATATAGTCGCCGCGCTCATCGTCGTAGCCGTGGTTGTACACTTTACCGTCCGGCTGGCGTGGCCGCGATACATTGCGCGCCATGTAGTAGATAAAGTCAAAGTCGAGCACCTCTTTCCGCTCATAGTCGGACAGCGAGCCGAGGTGGCGCGTGATGAACTGGCGCTGGCTAATGGCGTCGGCAGGGTCGCAGTCCTCGGGGAAGCCCACCAGGTCGGTGAGGTTATCCTTGCGGCCCGCGTTGGACGCGGCGCGAGCCTTGCGGCGCGCGACGTATGCGCCCATCTCGGCGTCGGCGAGGGCCTCTTCGTCGTCACCGGGACTGTTCCTGCTCTCGGGACGCGACGACGACACTTCGCCAGTGGCAAGCGACGTGCGCCTCGAGCCCGGGGCGCCACCGCTGGCAGTGCCAGCGCCGCCCGACGACGACAGCGACAGGCGCGAGTTGCTGTTGGTGCTTGACGTGACCTTTGTGTGGAACGACTTTGACGACTTGATCTGTGTGACAGGAGCGGCCGGAGCGTCCTCACCGTTAGGAGTTGCAGAACCGCGACGGCTCACGCTGGGGCGGGCCTTGGCCTGTGCCGAAATGGTCATGGCCGTGGCCGACGACGGCAGCTGCGGCAACGTGCGTCGTGACGGCGTAATGGGCACGCCGCTCGAGGTAGATGCCGCTGCTGCTGCTGCGGTGTCACGCTTGCTGACGGGGAAGGCGACGGAAGCAGAAGGCGGCGCGGGGATACCAGACACACTGTGCTTGCGCGCCGAGATCGGAGCAAGCAGATGTGCGCGGTGTGCCGATGACGTCGAGCCGGTCTGGTACGACTGGCGTGTGCCAGCCGTGCCCATGCCAAACTCGCTCATCGACACATCCTGCACACTGGCGTGGGAAGGCAGACCGGCAAGGCCGCTCGAGCCCAGCACGTTGGCGCTGCGGCTGGTCGCAAGCGAGTTGGGAATGGTCGGCGGCGGCATGCTCATGTGCGCGTGCGCGGCGTGCGTGTTGGGAGTCACCACAGACGGGCGAGAGGTCATGCGAGGAATCTTGGTCGGCGTCGCCGAGGGAGGCACGCGGGAGTCAGACTTGCGCAACGACGCGGCCGACGACGTGTTGTGCAGCGTGTGCACCCCAGTGGCAACCGGCAACTTGGTCCCCTTGATAGAGTGAAGACTGCCATTGGGAGTACCACCAGCGGTCCGACTTGAAGAGCGTGTGTCGACAGACGGCTTGCGCGAAAGAGGAGTAACAAGACCATGGTCGCCACCAGAAGACAAGGTCTGGGCAATGTTAGCGTATATTACGATGCTTCTTCTCTCTTACCATGCCACGAGCACGACCACCAGCGCGGCCAATGGAGCCCGTCTTGGTGGGCTTGAGGGCCTCGAGCTTGGCAGCAGGCTCGGCTTGCCTGGCGCTAAAGTCCTTTTCGACAATGTTCGGTGACAGCTGCTGGGAGATGCCGCGCCTGGAGCCACTGGGTCGAAGCATGGCAGGAATGTGCATCCCCAGCATCGACTTGCGGGTCCCCGAGGGGGTACGCTGCGACGTCGAGGCAGGCGGCGCTCCGAATGTGTTGGCCGAGTAGGACGACGACGACGAGGTCGGCGCTGCCTGCACCGAAAAGCGCGGCGTCGGCGCGTCTGGTGGTGACGTGAGCTTGTGGGCCAGCGACACGGACGATGACGAGGCACGGCGGAAAAAGGGAATCGCAGATGGCGTCAGGCGCTTGGACCCAGTGCGCTGGGCCGCCGGTGGTGCGAGGTTGGTGGCTGGCGCAATGGGCGTGACGCTGTGATTCGAGCGCGTGTCCATTGACATGTCCGTCGACTCGCGGGATGGAACCTGCTGCAGGGTGGGCGCGCGGGGCGAAGCCAGCTCGACGCGCTCCATTTCCGACCACGATGTCTGGGGGCTAGCCGGCGAGTCGTACAGCTCCTGCTGCACAGAGGGAGGAGACAGGTTGGAAGTGGGGGAAATCGACGGCTCCTTGTCTGGACGGTGGAGCTTGTTCAGGTTTAACGCCGACGAAAAGGACCACTTCTTGCTCATGCTGCGCGTACGAGACGTCGTCGCCTCGGGAAGCGGGTATGCAGGGGCGAGAGAGTTGCTGCTGGACATTTCCGGCGACGTCTTCTGGGGCGTCGGGAAGGCGAGCGCAGGCGGTGGCACAGGCGCATGTGGCTGCTGCTGCTGAGGCTGTTCGTCCTCGAGAGCGAGCGGGACATACTGCATGGGCTGCGGAGGCATACCCGTGTTGGTCATTGTCGCGAGGCCTTGACGCATAGACTGGTAGCCCCGAGGAAGGGGCGGAACGGGCGGAACATAGCCCTCTGCGGTGTCGTCCAAGATGCCCTCCACCGACGACAGGTCGCTCTGCACGCTTGGGCGCCGCGCTGCCTTTTCGGCTCGTATATCGCGCGTAGTGCTTGGCGGCGTCGTTGCGGATGTCCCGTGCGAGTGAGAGTCACGGGACGTTGGCGTCCCGACGAGACTCGGCGACGACTCCTGCGCCTTTTCAAACGTCAATGGGGGCACCTCGCTGCCATGCAGCGACGCGCCGCGAGAGGCACGGCTGCGGGTAGACGAGACGGTGCCGGACAAGTCGCCATGGCTGACTTCGACCCAGTTGTTGAGGGGCGACTCCTTGTCGCGGCTCACACTTGAGAAGCTAGACTTGCCAGTGAGTCTCCGAACGGTATCGGGAGGCGTGGTCGGGCGAGTCTGCTTGGGTGTGGAGGATGGACCGCCGCCGCTGCTGCTGCCCGGAGCCGACTTTTTGTTTGGTGTGCCGCCGAGCCCGTCGAGTTTGCGGAGCGCTTCAGCGGTTGCTGCAACCTCTCCAGCCTTCATGGACTGCGACCGCGACCGCGAACGCAACGATTCTGAGCGACCAATGGTGGCACCCTTGAGGCCATGCGCTGACACGGAACCGGGGGGTGTCCGGACGGTGGACAGATTGTTGCCAGAGGATGAACCGCGGAGGAACTGGTTGATCGACGCCGTCGAGGGGCTGGGCGGCAGGTGGGAGAAGTCCTTGGGTGCAATATGCCGAAGAATCTCGTGGTGGGGCGCACTGGGACTGGTGGGGACACGACGCTTGGACGACGACGAGCCTTCTCGGTCCTTGGAGCCACTGGGAGGAGTCTTTCTTGCCTCGCGTGCAAACGTCTGCGAGTCTGCCGAGGTGGGTGGTGACAAGTGGTTTGTGCTGTTGGCCACAGGCAAAGGCGGCAGGTCGACCATTTGCGGCACAGGAATGCCTGCTGCCGCAGCCTGAGCCTGCTGGCGTGACGCCCTGCGGGCGTAAATGCGTTCACGCGCACTGCCCGGCGACGGCAGGGTAGCGACAGCGCCAGCGCCAGCGGCGGCGCCGGTGATGGACCCAGCGCTGAGGTCGGGGTCGGCTTTGGGAGGGAGCGGGGGAGCAGCGTCATCGTAAAAGTAGTCGGCGGCCGAGTAGCTCTTCGGCGCAGGCGGGGCTGATGCACGGTTGCTCAGGTTGCGGGCCGAGGACGTGGTGATCTGCTGTGGCTCGGGCATGTTGAGTGTCGCCGCAAGCTGTCCCGGTTCCAAGTGTGAGTCAAACGAAAAGTCGCCTAGCGATGACAGCGAAAGAAGCGAGTCCAAGGCATTGAGGCCCTGCTGTGTCGAGTGTTGTGGTTGTGGGCGCTGAGGAGACTCGTGGGACACGGAGCGGTGTCGCACACGCTCCCGGCGGGGGCTCTCCTCGGATACGCGGTCGAGGACGTTGACACCGACGGTGCCGACACCGAGGCCGATGGGAGGCTCAGGCTTGGTGGGGCCTCCCCAGCCTTGTGGACGACTAGGCGCCGAGCCGACCAACATGGTGTGGTCAAAGGGTGGCGGCACGGGCGGGTTGAGTGCAAAGTCGTTGGGCATACTGGGTGTCCTCAGGTGACGAGACTCGGTAGCGCCCCAGCGTGGGGTAGCGAGCTCGCCCACCCCTACGAGACCGCGGCGGTCAATGTTGGATGGGTCAAAGTAGTCGGGAGTGCTGGGGGTGACAGACGTCGAGTACCTGTCGCCTGGCGATACGCCACCACCGGCACCAAGGTAGTAAGAGTCAATGCTGTAGGAAAAAAGAGAAAGGGGCACACTGTCAGCGCGCACGAAACCGAGACACGTCTGTTGTACCCACGAAACGCGATCGCCATTGACTCCTGACGAGCTGGCGACTGAGACGCGCTGATCCACTAGTGAAGCACGTTGGTCGTCTGGGTTGCTGCCGCCAAACGCCGACAATGGGACGGCCAGAGGCATCGCGGGCGACGTTGACATGCGGGACTCGGCGTAGGTGGGGAACGGAATGGTCGTCTCTGTATGTTGCTGCTCTGGGGGCGGGGCAAGCTGCTCCTCGTCGGGCGCACCGGGAACGCTGTACTGCAGAATTGTTTTAGTACACACGCGCGGATTCGGTTCTGCTGCTGTACTCACTTGTTCATGGCGTACTTGTGCTTGGTCCCAGTCGTGGTTTGTGACGACGGCTCGGGGTGGTGGTACCATTGACTTGTGTCGTTCGACGACGCGGGTACCCAAGGTACCCAAGTCGAGAGCAGCTGGTACGGGGACGCGACGCTTGGCCGCGAGCGACGTCATGGACTGTGAGCTGGGCATGGGTTCGTACATGATGTTGTACGAGCCATAGTCCTGGTACGATGTGGTGGTGGTGTTTGTGGTGGTTGTATTGTTGTTGTACGAGCCGTTGAAGTCTGCTGTCGATGCCGAGGTCTGGAGCGAGTATGGGTCCGGGCCCCGGCTCTGGCGTGGAGGGCGAGGAGGAGCCGCAGACCCGTACGAGGACGACGACGATGGTCCTGTCCATGCCGAGGACAAGCCGCCACCGTTGCTGACCATCTGGTCGTTCTCGCTGACTGCATCTTCGAAGCGGCCTGGCGAGGCTGTAGCAGATGGATGTGCTGGGTCCGCGTAACGAGAGGGCCACGACGAGGCAGGCATGCTGTTGTGCGACGACGCAGCTGTGCCGGCGCCCCGAGCGTGGTAAGACATTGCGGGGTGGGGTGGGGAGAGCAGGCGATTACTGCGAGTCCGTCATGGGGGGGATGGGGGGATGGGGGAGATGGAGGGGGATGCTGGCGAGGGGATGTGAGTGGACTGCTGCTGTATTGTTGTTGTGTGTGTGGGTATATGGGTTGTGATGAGGAGGGGAGAGAGGGGGGACAGGCATGGGATGGGAGAGGGGCAGTTGGCAACCGAATAGCGCGCGCGCGGGGTTGTGGTCGCGACGGACGGGGGTTTTGGTGGGTAATGGGCGTGGAGACGGAGCGGAGGAAGGAGTGGGTGCTTACCTGTATGGGGAGGGAGAGGAGGAGGTGGTGGGGAGCACAAGATACGAGGTGGTGAGCAGCGGTGGTGTGTGTGTGATGTGATGTGGGTGGGTTTGAATGGAGGATAGGACAGAGAGGGCGTGTGCGTGCCGGCCGTTGGCTAGATCAGAGCAGACGAGACGAGACTGATCGGGGCGCGTCGCGGCGTAGGCGGCCGTGGGCGTGGAGGGTGTGTTGGGGGTTGGGTGATGGGAACGGGGGGAGGGGGAGGAAGGGGGTCGTTAAAGGTGTGTGTGGTGGGTGTAGGCGCGAGAGACGGGGGTCGATGAGGATGAGGATGGGGGGCCAGTGTTGTTGGTTGCAGTAGCAGCAACAAGGAAGTGAACGAGAGCTTGTTGCAGCAGCAGCAGCAGCCGTCTGTCAGTCCGTCCGTTGTGTGTGAGCTGTCGTTTAGGTGTGAATGGGCCGGCTGGCTGGCTGGGCTGGCTGGACTGGCCCACGGCTTGGCTCTCTCTCTGGCTGGCGGCACCAGAAAGCGGGCGAGAGACACAGGGTGGGTGCGTGCCTGGGGGCATGCCGTGTGCGTGCGTTGCGTGCGTGCCACATGCCACAGCCAAAATGCACAGCCAGACGAGACGACACTACAGCTCTCGCTCTCTGTCCTGATATCTCTCTCCTGGCTGCACACGCGCTCCTTTACCCTGGCTGCTCGACCACCAGCGGCAGCGGCGGCGGCGGCGGCGCGCATTCATATCAAACCCCCCCCCCCCCCCACCCAAAACGCCACAGGAGAGGGAAAGAAAGAAAGAAAGAAAACAGCAAAAAAGAAACAGACGCGTCCAAACCACCACCACCACCACCCACCACGGCCACTACCCGCGCGCGCCATGGCTGATGCATGCCAACCACATCCCCAGTCCACAATCCCTCATTAGTCCATTCCACCGTGGCTGCAGCTGCCCGTACGGCCTAACAAGGCCAGCCAGCTGCCAGGTATCACACACACGTGCATTTGGAGCTGCGGTCCCCCCTGGAACCCTATTCAGACCCCCATTAGACACAACACAATACAATGTACACAATTGGCACAGGTCTGAAACAAATAAAACTATACACGTAATGCCACGTGGTCAATGTCGTGTCAATAAACAATCTTATCACCCATTTATTTGTTTACGTAACACAAATATCCCAGTGGACCTCACCCTGTCTCTGCTGAACACAACAACAACGAGCGACACTGGCGCTGCTGATAGAAACACCTTCCCCCGCCTCTCCATCCCCATCCAACACACCCAACACATCCCCCATCGTCCTGCACCCCGCCACTCAACCTCTTCCGGGACACACCAAAGCACACCGGGGCCATTGCCCCACCCTTCTCCCCACTCCCCCACACACCATGTCTTCCTCCATGGGCTCACCCAGCCCAGCAGGCCCGTCCCTCCGCCGCAGCAACCGCTCAGCCTCTGCCATCCCGGCATCCCCATCCTTTGCCTCGGACATGTCTGCTGCCGACTTGTCCACGTTTGACTTTGAGTCGTCCGACGACGAGGCTGGAGTCTTCTTTGGCGCACACCGGCCCATCGAGCGCAAGATTGTCGCAGCCCTGTCCCGCTCCATCACTTCCTCGCCAGGAGCTCAACGAGGAGACTTGCACAGTTCACCATCGGGTCCCCGCCGCTCGTCATTAGCCAACCGCGTCAAGAAACGTGACTCGCGCGAGTTTCTGCGCCGCAAGACCCTCCTCCTGCCGTGCTCACCAGACAAGACAGCGGCAGCGGCAACACCGACCACAGCTGCAACTGCCGCATCCGGAGAAAAGGTCTGGGAGGGTGGCTTCTTTGAGAAGGCGGCCGAAGGCGACCAAGCGCCAGTACCACCACCACAAGAACTTGACTCTCCTGCCAGCGGCCCGTCCGATGCTCGACCTGACGCTTTCTCTGTGGAGACCGCATCACTGCACATGCTGACCGATGTGCCTCCCTCGCCCGACCACGACGATTACCTCAGCCGCCCAGACTCGGATGACGAGACAGACAAGGAGAACACCATGGTCCCAGAGCCGTACATGGGGTCCGATGAAGATGACGAATATAGACCCAGTGTGGACGCTCCAACAGTCACACTGGGCTTTGGCGATGCCCAAGACGCCAATGGTTGGTTGCTACACCCACCCTCCAGAGATCTCCTTGTTGACCTAACCTTGCAGACATTTCGACTCAGTTGGATTTGGGTGGTCTGAGTCTGCTCGACCTCGACGACCCCGAGATTGGGCCATTGGAATCACCGACGCGAGACCCGTCGTTTGAAGTGGACCTGGGCGAGTCTGACAGTGCCAGCGGCTCGGACAGCGTCGACTCGAGCACCATTAGCTCCAAGTTTGTGCTGTCTGATCCATTTGTCTACACTGCTGCCCTTGGGGACGCCCAGTCGACGGACATTCCAGACAGTCCCCCGCCGGCCGTGTCGGAGACCGCCTCGCCTGTCCCTTGCACACCTGTCAAGGAGGCCAGCGGTGACGATGACGACACCTCGTTTGCGTCCGACATGACGTCGCCAGTGGGACGCGGTCCAGTCATCTTACCTGTCTTCAGCATCCGTTCACCTGTGGCTCACACCACACCTGTCCGTGGCCTTGAGCCCTCGGCATTCTTTGACGACCTCCCGCTCCCTCAGTTTGGCACCGACGAGGCCTTTTCCCTCCCCTCGCTCGAAAGCCCCAACTCGAGGGGCACGACAACACCACGCTACCCAGCGTTGTTACCGCTGGCCACCCCGGCTTCGGCCCGTATCGGTAGTCTCACCCCTGCTCGATCAGTAGGCAAGCTCAAGCCCATCGATCTCGGCGACCGCCCTGTCAAGGTGTTAAAGTCTGTTCACGCCGGCGGAGCGTTGCATTCCAGGTCTGAGAATGACCGGCGTGTGGAAAAGGCCAAGGAGCGCGCCAACCGTATCAACGGCCAGCTCGATGCCATCTATGCGTCCAAGTTGGCCCCCACAGCGCGTCCTACGGCGGCGACCATGTCGACCAAGATCCCCGAACGCGTGAGCGAATCGGTCCAGAAGCCCCGCGTTCGTGTAGGCGACTCGTCCTCTGCGCCCTCTCGCTCCACCGCACTCTGGCCCAAAAAGATCATGCGTCCCTCTGCACCGGCTAGTGTGTTAAAGTCGGCGTTGAAACCGACCAGCACGCTTCCCACGCCACGCCCAGCCTCTGCACAGCCCAACAAGCGACTTGCGCCAACAACTGTCAAGGCCAAGCCGAATGGACTCCCACGCCCCGTCGCTCGTCGCCCGATGGCACCGCCCTCTGTCGTGGCCGGCCCCTCGTTTGCTCAGCCGACGAAGTCGACGTCTCTGCACGCCGGTCGACCCGTTGTCGCTACGCCGACGACTACGGGTGTCAAGCGCCCATTCTCCGCCACGCAACCCGTGTCGGCACACCCCGCGGCGGCAGCAGCTGCTGGCCGACTTGGCCTTCCATCTCGCATGACGCACAGCAGTGCCCCCAGCGCATCCCCATTTGCCTTTGGCGGTGCCTCCACACTGTCCGTTGGCGGTCCGCTCTCACACCCTCCCGTACGCTCTCCCTCGCGAACCCTCGGTAGCTCTTTGGGCAAGCCTTCACGAGGCACCGGGACCACTCCGACACCGCAGAGGACGCTCAAGGTAAGTGTTCACCTGCTACGTGGCGGCACCGCTGACTTGCAGCTGGGGACCCCATCCAGGCCCATGGCCACGCCGCTCAAGTCTGGTCCCATGCGTCCCATGGCGTACTCTTCGTACACGGCTCAGCCCAAAGTCACGCTTGTCCCAGAGACCACCGAGCCTGGCCCCGCGCCAGTCGACGGCGGCGACTCGGCGTCGGGCTCTGCGCCGACTGAGCGCTCTGGAGATTCTCCCTCGAGCTCGTCTTCCAACAGCGGCGGTGACGCTGGAAATGGCGGCGACCGCACCCCTCCCGCGGGCAATGGCAGCGACGGCGGCAGTGCAGGCAACAACAACAATGCTGGCCACACTCCACCCGAGCGCCCGCCACCGTCAAGCTCACCGCCCGATGAGTCTCCGCCAGCCGACGACGTTGCGAACGAGGCGGAGAAGATGGATGTCGACGAGGCCAAGCCAGCTGCCGAACCCGCCGCCAAAGAGCCATCTCCATCAACACCACCTCCAGGAGACGACGTGTCCTCGCCAGTGCCAACTGAGATTGATGTCGACCCGCCAGAGGACAGTACTCCCCCTGCTCCGCCTTCGTCCGCCGAGGAGCCGCCTCAGCCTGCCGCCGAGTCGTCATCGCTGAGGCGCACATCCAAGCGTTCTGTTCGTCCTCCGACCAAGCTCGTCCCCACCCCGGCAGCCCCGAGGGCCAAGGCGCAGCCTGTCGAGTCTATCGTGCCCGGAATGAGCGAGAAGGAGCTCAAGACAGCGACTCACCGTAACACGATGCGCAACGAGGTCTACTACTGTGCCATTGACCGCATCATTGTGCGCAAGACGGGTGCGCGCCCGCCCTCGCCCGAGCCCAAGATCCGCATGACCGCCGACCGCGAGGAAGAGGACCGCAAGCGCCAGCGTGACCAGCGCGCGCGTCGCCGTCAGCGCGGCAGTGGCGGCGACGAGCCGATGAGCGAGGACGAAGAAGCCGTCCCGCTCATCGAGCAGGTCGAGCAGCACCGCGCACCGGGCGACGAGGCAGACTACCAGACCCCTGCTCGGCCGCTGAAGCGTGCGCGCATCGAGTCGAGCGACGACGAGGCAGACGACGAGCGGCCGAGCGTGCCAGAGCGGTACGTCCGCTGGAACCGGGCGCTCACGGTCATCCGCGGCGGGCTCGGCGAGCACCGGCCCGTCCCCGCTGCCGCCTCGGCATCGCCGTCCGCCACCCCGCAGCCTTCCGGCTCCGCCTCGGCCTCTGGATCGGGCTCGTCATCCACCTCTACGTCTGCCGCGGAGCAGCAGCTCCGCTCCTGCCTCCGCCCCAGCTCCATGGTACCCCTGGACAAGCACGGCAACGTCCTCGAACGCCCGATCGAGCGCCTCAAGCGCGCCAAAGTGCCCGTCACGGCCGTGTTCTACGACGGCGAGGAACCACTGCCTGTCCCGGCCTACAACCCGAATTACAACCCGCGGTCCAAGAGCAAGAAGTAGGGGGAGAGAGCCTGGGGAGAGACAGGGGCAAGTGGCGAGACCATGGGGGTATGCGACAGGGTCATGTGCGAGGTGCTTGGAGTGGTTTAAACATGTACATGCTGAAAGATGGAAGATGAATGCCCATGTCATTGGGCCATTGCGCGCCCGCGCCGTGGGCATCTTAGTGTGCGCCAGCAGCCATTGTCAACCTGGGGCCACATTGCCGCTTGCGACCGCTGTGGGGGACGATCGTTGGCCGTTGCCGAGACATGGGATATGGTACTTGGCAGTACACAGTGTGGTGCATGACGAGGAGGGATACACATTATGGAACAGAGAACAATAAAACTACTTGCACAGGGTGGTGGAATAGCATGTTTACGTGTAAGGTGCCGGTCTCACGGACTCGACATTGCATGCAGGGTTGGTCGTGGCGAGCTTGTCTGGCTGATGAGCGGGCTCAGAAAAGACGGTGGTGGTGGTGGACAGCGACGAGTCACTGCCACCAGACGTCGAGCCACTTGTCGCGCGTGAGGCGACGGGCGAGATGGATACGGGGGCGCCGAGTCCGAGAGACGTGCGTCCGTGTTGGAGCTGGTCGGTAGCGACCGCCACTCGTTCCGCGAGCATGGTGTCAAACACGGCCGGACTGACAGGCGCGACCATAAAGTCGAGGGCGGCGATGACGCGAACGTTGAACTCGGGATCGTCGAAAGCGTCCTGCCCGAACGCGATGAGGTCGTCGACGTCGACAGGTGCGGTATCACTTGCCTCAGGCACTGGTGCGCGTTCGGATGGGCCTGACGGGTCTGCGCCACCACCACCACCGCCGTCACCGCCTGCACCGGGAGGGTTGTGACTCGAGTCACCACTCCCACGCCCGTCTTGTCCTGGAGCACCGGAACCAGGCCCTTTGTCGCTGGGCGGCTCGTCGTCTCCCGGCGCCGGGTTGTTCGAGGCGCCTGCCTTGGCGGCGACCTTGGCAGCCTTGCCGTACGAGGTGCCGTACGTGCGGTCAAAGTAGTCAAGAGTTTTACCGCGCTTCTGGAAGCCCACCGCCGCGTGCAGCTGGCGCTCCAGATCAGGCGCGCCGTCCGGTCCGCCACCCTCGCCGTGGACGTGGACGTGACTCGTCCTCGACTGTCCGATCGCCCGGTAGACGTCGGAGAAGACGCTGTCGTCGTCGTCCTTGCTGATGCCGGGGATACGCCCCATCTCGGTCAGCTTCAGAGGCGTGAGGAGCCGATATCCAGCAACCACGAGGTCCCACAGCGGCTGCAACCCACTGCCATCGGAGCGAAGGGTGTGGGGCAGAGTGTTGAAGAGCTTTCCCCCACTGAGGAACTGCTCGGCCTTGCACGGCACAGTCTGGGGCGGCGTCTGCGGGTCGGAACTCTCCACCTCGCTGGGAGCCTCGTCGGTGTGGTCGTCGCCCTTGACTTCGACAGCAAACTCGCGGGGACCGAGAGCCAACACACGCGCGTAGCGGGTGTTGATGAGGACGTTTCCGAGGCAGGTACCAAAGGCGCTCCTGGCAGACGACAGCTGCAAGAAGAGCTGCGCAAACGCCTGGCAAGCCTCGGCATCGGGGACCTGTGACCTCGAGACCTTGTTCTCGCCCACAAGGGTTACACATGCCGTGCGAATCTGGGCGGCAGGACTGGGATTGTTGCCAGAGGAGGAGGTCGCGGCTGGAGCATTGGAAGCACTGTCTGCACCGGTGGTGCGCTTCTTCTTCCTCGGCGGCGGCATGCTGGCTGGAGTCGAGCCACACTCGTAGGCGATGAGGACAATGTCAGGCCGGCGGATGCCATCTGTCTGCGTCGCGGCTGACGTCGCATATGTCGAGGCCGGTCGACTTGATGCCGGTGTCTTCAAGGTACCCGCGGATTGACGGAAATCATGAGCGGAACGTTGAGCTTCTGCATCGCAATATGCCGTAGAGTCTAGGGGGCAAGTCAGGGCTACTGTCGTGCTCGGGGAAGAGTTGTACCCACTACGCGCCGCACACTTGAACAGGTCCAGGTCTGTGGTCAGATCGTACAGGTCGATTGGATCGACAACAGCATCACCCTCATCTTCAGGTCGACCAGGCAGCTTGTATGACGACACGGGGACCATCGCAGCGCGCAGCAGAACCACAAGCTCGCCGTTGCTGGCCGACTCGTTGGTGCCGTTCTCCAGCCCCTTGATGAGGTGACGAAAGGCGCGCTCCCAAAAGGGGTTGTTCCGAGGCGGGGTGGGAAGAATGCTGTCTATTAAGCGGGCAAAGGCATGGGGGTCTGTGTCGTCGTTGTTGAGCGACATGTTGGGGATGATGGATGGAGAGAAGGAACCTCACCCCAGTCGTCGTCTTTTTGTTGTTGTTGGGATCCAAACGTCATGCGGTTTTACTCCCGTCTGATGTTTGTTTTTGCCACCCAAATGTGTCCCCCAACGACACAACCCAACACCCACCCACATCATATGCTTGTCGGTCTGGGCAACAACATCAACGGCGCGTTATCCACCTCCTCGATACCGGTGCATTCGACCCCCGTGTCACAGTCACACGATGGTGCAGTCCTGTTTCACGGCTGGAGCTGCTCCGTCGTGCTCGAGTACAAGAACAACAGGATACGCGCTTGGGGCCGCGACCCGCTCGTGTCGTCTCTAGACCAATGGGCTCTGCCTACTTCTCCGCCGTCACCACTGGTCCAAGGGCTCAAGGTGTTGACTCAACATGACCGTCCAGCGGCGGTGTTGGCCGGAGGCAAGGTATACCTACCCCCGACATGTCACTCGTCACTGCCAGTTGACAGCTCAGCGCCAGCAGTAGCGCCTTTTGGACCACCGGGTTGGTATCAAGGTGCCAATTGGGACGACGCAGGTGTCACAGACCTGGGACCGGCCGTTGGCTTTTGTCGTGAGTACAGCTACACTTGGAGTGGGGAAAGCTGACCAGCTTCAGGCGAGCGTGGCCTGTATCGCTTCCCCGACCTTGAGCATCTCTGTGCAGACAAGAATGGATCGCGCGTCGAGCACCCGTTCCTCACAGCCAACACCGACGTGCAAGTATACGCTACTGAGGCGAGAGTACTACTCCTTGTCCATGGGCACGTCCTCGAGCTGGACGTCAAGAACGACACCAGCCGACCGCCATTGACGGTGGTGGACGAGATGGAGGGACTCGGCGTCACGCAGCTGATACCGGGACCTGGGAACCGGTTCGGGGCGGTCACACAGGCTGGGGAGGGATACCTCCTGGGCCCACACGATGTTGAGGCGGTTGTCATTGGGCCAGGGGAGGATGAGGACGAGGACGAGGAAGGCGATGGTATCGCGGCCATGGCGCTCGGCTACGAGTTTGACATTGTCCTATCATGCGGCACCGTGTACGCACGCGGCAACAGTGGGTGTGCGAGAGCCGTCCGCCAAACCTGACCCAACAGATGAGTTTGGACAACTTGGCCAGCGTCCAACGACCAAATGGCTGAAGACGTGGACGCGTGTGGATGTCGACGGCGTCACGGCGGTCTGCGCTGGCCGCTTTTCAACGCTGCTGGCCAAGGCATGGTAGGTTGGCGTCCTGCGGAAAATGCTGACCTATTGACAGAAGTCTCGTTGCTTCTTACAATCATAAAGTGCAGCCATCTGGTCTTCCCTTTCCAACAGCATTCAATACCAACAGGCCAAGGTAGTGTACTATACTGTATACCCATGCATTATCACCGTGTCGCATCTACTCCACATAGCTGCCCACTCCAGCGTTCGCAGCGGCCACGAGCACGGCACATGCCTCGCCGAGGACGCGGGTCATCTCCCCTTCCCCCTCTCCTGGAGCAAGCACTGTAATGTCCGCCGTAGTCACAGTTCCATTCTCCACGTCTCCACCGGACATGACACTGGCGTGAGCCTTGACGTAGGCCGGGTAGACAATGTTGTCAAAGTATCCTGGTGGGTCGGTCCATACCCCGCCCGTTGCGGCGTCCTCGGCGTCTGTGTGCGCAAGTTAGACAGAGAGACGGCGGCAGGCAGCCTGGCTTCGCTTCACTCACTCTGCAGAACGTACGTTGCACGCGCCTCGCGCCGCGCCTTGAGCACCGCACGCGGCACGCGCATTAGGAGCTTGACGTCGAGCGCGTCCGACACGCCGCGGTCCCAGTAAAGCACGAACCCGTCTACCAGGACCCACACAATCTTTTCCTCGCCGCCGCCCGTCACCGTCACCTGGCCCAGCTTGGTACCCCACTCGTGCACCACGCCGCCGTCCACGCCGACCTCGACCTGGGCATTGAGGTGGTCAAAGCTGTCGTGTTCCTGCGGGACCTTGCCCGACTGCCTGATTGCGCCGAGCACCTGGCGCATGCGCGGCCACTCGACGCAGGTCGGCGGGTCGTCCCAGTCCTGCACGCCGAATTCGGGCGACACGGGGACCATTTCAGACGTCGGCGCAAAGTCGTCTTGGTGGATAAGGACAGAATGGCCGGGTCCCAGCAGCCGGGCGAGGTGTTTGGCGAGCAGCGTCTTGCCCGAGCAGCTTGCGCCGCTTTGTGTGACATGTCAGCGCCAGGTGGTCGTGATGTTCCGGTGCAAAACGACGTACCCGATGCCGACGAGGATGACGCGGGTGGGCATGGTGTTTAGAATGGAGATGTGAGCTGCAGGAAGATGCTTTGCGTGTCAATGTTCGTCCGTTTGCCATCGTCGTCATCGCGCTCGTCATTGATAACAAACGGGATCAAATGGGGGTACATGGCTTGCTCCTGGGGGTGTGTCTTTTGTATCCCGGAGAAGCCGTACCGACGACCCGAGCACACGTCCCCCCGGTGGCCTCGCTGTAACGACGAGTCGGGGACGGTCTCCGGTCTCCATCGTTTATATATCCATGTACCGATCTCGCAAGCCGCGTCCCCGCACGATAGGGTGACTCGCCGCCGCCGCTTCGGTCACCAACGCTGATAGATGCCCGTGTCTCACACGGCTTCGGCGTCCACTCGGACATGTCCGACGCCTCATCGGATGTGTCTGTCGCGGTACCGCTGTTGCAGAGCTGCAGAGCATGTGGGCACGGGAGACGCGGGGTAGAGTGCATGCTGGTGGCCGGGGCAACAGCTTGAACGCAAGCGGCCCCGCGGGCACGCGCGGTATGCCGACTGCCGTTGCCGATGGGGGCCCAGAGGCTCATGTCCGGGTTATAATGTGCAGCCCCCCCAAGACCCAACGGAATTCTTCATCTCGTGCCCCCCCAACCCAACCCAACTCATACAACGCTTGCAACAACAATGGGCTCCAAAGTCGTTGCTTCAGCTCCAGCCCCTCGGCCTGCTGGGCCCTCCATCGCCATCATCGGCGCTGGGTACGTGTAGCGTCCCACACGCAGTGGCCCTCGAGCTGACTGGCAGTATCGGCGGCATCACGCTCGGCATCGAACTTGACAAACGTGGACTGACCAACTGGACTGTGAGACTATAACATACGAGCTTCTGTCTGACAGAGAGATGTACGAGCGCGACGACGGCATCGGTGGAACCTGGTACCAGAACCGCTACCCGTGAGTGATATCCCTTTCTGTGACACCGTGTGGCAGCATAACTGACGTTTATCCAGTGGCTGTCGCTGCGAGTGAGTACTGACCCCTCGCAAGCGGAACACTAACAAGGAGTGTGCCCGCGATTGTGTACTCGCACTCGTCCTACCCGAACCCCAACTGGAGCCAGACCCACCCGGACCGCGAAGAGATCCAGGCGTGTACGTTGTTGGCTCTTTTCCTCGTCGCCCTTGTATCCCACTGACAACCACGCAAGACTGGGCCAACCTCGCTGGCTCGCGCGGCCAGCTTCCCCGCATCAAGCTTCGCCACTCGGTTGTTCGTGCCGACTGGGACACCAAGCGCAGCCTCTACGTCATTCAGATCCGTGACCTGGCCAAGAACCAGGTCAAGACCATCGAGGCCAGCATCCTCATCACCGCCTCGGGCGGCCTGAGTACGCCGCGCTACATCGAGCTCCCGGGCAAGGAGAACTTTGACGGCAAGGTCATCCACGCTGGCGACTGGCCGCGCGACCTGTCCGTCGACGACCTGCGGGGCAAGACGGTCGTTGTCGTCGGCAACGGCTGCAGTGGGTGAGTTGAGGCAATACGGCTTACTGGAAGCGCGGCAACTGACAGCTCTCAGTGTCCAGCTCGTCGGCACCCTTGGCCTGGAATCCGACATCAACATTGTCTCCCTCTCCCGCGGCCGCCAGTGGTTTGTCCCCAGCCCGCCTGGCAGTTCGCGCAACTCGGTCCCGTACAGCAAGGCGCAGAACGAGCGCTGGGCAAAATACCCTGCGCTGCAGCAGCTCACCCGCTTCATCTACTGCTGCGTCATGGACTCGCACTTTTACTGGTACCTCGAAAAGGACGGCAAGAAGCAGCGCAAGAAGATTGAGGAGGTGGGTGACTGTCGCTCCGAATCTCATAAGCTGTTAACCTGACCCATGCAGGAAATCTCCAACTGGATGCTCAAGGAGCTGCCCGAGTACATGCGCGACACTGCCATCCCCAAGCACTGTATGTGACAGCTATTCGATTCCGTTGAAAAGCTGACCTCCCAGCGTTTGGCGCCAAGCGCCTCATCTTTGAGGACGGCTACTTTGCGGCCCTCAACAAGCCCAACGTCAAGCACATCGAGGGCCGTATCGCCAGTCTGCACGGCCACACCGTCGTGCTCGACGACGGCCGCGAAATGTCCGCCGACTATGTCGTTCTCTGCACGGGTTACGACGCAGAGGTGGGTTAAGCGGCAGATGATAATGCGTTGCTAACCCACATCCCAGCGTGTCGGTATCCCAGTCAAGGGCGTCTACGACTCGACAGAGCACTACAAGTCGCGCGCAGAGGTCAAGATGTACCATGGAGTCGCCATCCCTGGTATCCCCAACTTTTTCAATGTGTTGGGTAACAACATGGGCCTCAACCACAGTGAGTCGTTGGAGGCAGATATGTACTGGTTGTGGATATCTGACTGACCACCCAGTGTCCATCACCACGGTTATTGAGATCCAGACCAACTACATTGGCCAGCTGGTCCAGGGCATGCGCGACTACAGCATCCCCGTCCTCGACGTCAAGCGCGCGCCCGCGCTCGAGTACGACGCGTGGATCGCCAAGGAGCTCGAGAAGATGACCTGGATGGAGGTCAAGAACTACTGGCGCGGCAACAACGGCCACGGTCGTATCTTTGTGAGTAGATAGCTCCTCAACCCCCCTGGTCACGAGCTGCAAGCTGCACGTGTGCTGACGCGCGCCAGACACACTACCCGGGCTCGGTCCGCCGCCTGCTCTGGGACAACGCGTACCCCCTGTGGGGCGACTACAACGGCGGCGCGCCCGTGGTCCGTCGCCAGCGGCTCAAGCGCGGCGTCCTCGCCCTCGCCCTCGTTGTGGCGGGATACTGGGCGACCAAGACCGGTCTCAGCGCCCAGGCTGTCCAGACGCTCGTGCAGTGGGCGTCCGGCCTCGTCGCGGTGGGTAAGGCGCTCCCCCAGGTTGTGGTAGGCGCTGTGGGACTGTTCGCAGACAAGGGACGCGCACTGCTCTCGGCTACACAGTAGAGGAGTGGGGGTACAAGTGGTAATTAATGGACCTCGTGTTGTCGGAATTAAGGGGTGAAGGCGACAAGATCAGTAGAATTGAAAATCAAACATGGAACAGCATGGGTCACCAGTTGCCTTTCGCCTCTGTGGGATACATTTCCCGGTCACTACGCGTTGGGGTCGCTCGCCGCAGCCTCAACAAACACGCTGCTCACGCCGACAATGCCACTCATGTCGAACCCGGCCATGTCGGCCCTAAACTCGGGACTGGTCATGTACGTCTTGGTGACGGCGGCGGGGTCCGCGCCGGGCTGGTACGAGACAATGGCCACGAGGCGGTACTGCGGCGCAGGAGGCGGGGCCGGCGGGGCCGGCGGCGCACCGGGCGGGCCAGTCATGCCGTGCACGCCGGCGAGCTCCTTGAACACGCGGTGGGTCGTGATGCCGTATTTGGCCAGGCTGGGGATATGCCGTTGCCAGTGCACGGTGGCGTACGCGTCGAGCGCGGCAGCGGTCGCGAGCGTGTATGTGCGGATTTCGGTGGTCATGGCGGGTGTGTGGTGTCGTTCTTGAGAGAGACAATATGGGTAACGAGGACGCTGGCGTGTTTCTCATATTCTTTTGCTGGACGGCCTCAGCGTCGCCGGCGTCATTGACCGCATCGAGGTGGGCACGGTAAGTTGTCGGACTGGCGCATATGCCAACTCCGTCGCTAGCCTCTCTCCCTCCGTCGCCAACACCTCCTACCACTGGGCAGGCCCCGGGCCCAGAGCGGCCACAGGTGCATCGGAAGCACAGGTCGTCACTGTCAGGTATGGCGGCAAGGCAGAGGCAGGTGTGGGGAGCGCTCTTGCAGGTCGCACCGCACAGGACACGTCTGTTATCTCGGCAAAATCTTGCTCCGACACCCGATCGTACTCAAAATCTCCCCACATCCGGCGTCTCGAGCAGAAATACATGGTATGAATGCAAACAAGTATCTATGAGGGGGGGGGAAGAGGCGAAAACAGCGTTACGTGGCAATCTTGCGCTTCTTCTGCAACTTCTTCTTCCTCCTCGCGCGCTGGATCTGCGCCGCCGTCTTGGGCTTTGGCTCAGCGACCTCGGCGACCTCGCCCGCGTCCGCATCATCCTCCTCGTCGTCATCTTCGGCATCCTCACGGGCACGCTTGCCGCCGACAACCTCGTCGTCCGCTGCCTCCACCTCCTGCCCCTCCTCCTCCTGCTCCTCCTCGTCACCGTCCTGCACGCGCTCAAAGCACGACACGAAAAAGCCGTTGGTCTTGTCCTCGGGCAAGCAGCGGATGACGCGGTCCGCGACCTTGCCGAGCTCCTCGGGCAGACCGCGGCGCTCCCACGTGGGCAGGACGGACGAGCGGGGTGCGAGGCGCCAGGCGCCCTTGCCGGCCTTGAGTGCCGCAGCGACGACGCGCTCGTCCTCCTCGGCGTGGATCGAGCAGGTAGAGTAGACCACGCGGCGAACGGTGGGGACTGGAGGTTAGCTAGGGCATGTGTCAAGTGGAGCTCACATTTAAACGCATGCTGGATCATCTGGAGCTGGAAAGCCGCCAGCTTCTCAAGGCGCTCGGCCTGGTCGTCGCTCTCGTTCTCGTCCGCGTCGACGAGGTAGTCGAGGCGGTTGACGATGCCGGATCCAGAGCAACTGGGGTCCAGGAGGATACGGGTGACGTCGGCATAGTCGCGGGGGTCGGTCTCTGTAAAGTCGCCGCGGGTAGTCTGGACGTTTGTGCACTTGGCCGTGTCGAGCATGCGCACGAGGGTCTTGTACCTGTTGGCCGACTTTTCAAACGCGTACAGCGTCGACTTGTTGCCCATGAGCGCGGACATGAACGACGTCTTGTTGCCTGGCGCAGCCGTTGCGTCGATGCACGCTCCCTCGGCCTCGTCCCAGCCATCCATGACCACTGCGGCGGGCATGCACGAGGCCTTGTCCTGCAGAATGACGGCGCCAGACTCGTACCACTTGTCGCCGACCCACCAGGTCGACGAGGGCGGGAAGACGAGCAGCTCGTTGGGCAGGTGCGGGTCCATAAAGTACTTGTCTGCAGGGACCGGGTAGACGGCCTCGTCGATAAAGGTCATGCCCTGCTGCTTGAGATGGGCGTGGAGCGCGTCCAGCGTCCAGTCACCGGCACGGCACAGGTCGACGTTGGGGTTCCAGCGGACGTAGCGTGCCTCGACGGTGGAACCTGCCGCGCGGCCCATGTCGCGCACCGACGACTTGCCGGCCTTGATCTGCATGCGCACCAGCTCGGCCTTGAGACGGGCCTGGTGGCGCAGAAGAGCAGCCTTGGGCGGCCACTTGTCCGAGGCCTCGATCTTGCCCTTGGACGAGAACAAGAGGTCGTGCATCAGGACGAGGAGGAGCGAGTTGGACGAAGGCGAGCTCTTGGGGCGGAACACCTCGCGCTCGAGCTTGTACACGGGCACAGTCTTGATGAGCTCTTGCAGGACATCACGGTCTGGGTGGGGTTAGCTGTTGCAAAATAGAACAGAGGTGCATAATGACCCACACTTGAGCGTCTCGATAATCACTTGGTGTCTGTCAGCTAAACCAGTCGCGCCGTTCAAGTCCTCGAATGCCGCTCACATGCAAGAATACGCCTGGCCTCGCCGGCCGTTGCGCCGACCTTGGCCGCCGCCAGCGATCCCTTGACACTGCCCTGGTGCTTGTCCAGGTGGTCCAATGCGCGCGCGGCAGAGTGGTAAAAGTTCATCGTGATCGTGCTCGCACCGGCTGCAACTTTTTTAAAGGGAAGGAAAAAAACTGGGAGGGGCCTTAGCCGTGTGCATTACAAACAGAATCTACAAAAGCGAGAAAAAAACCTACAGGCCAGAAAGAGCCAGAGGCGTCGACCGCGCTAACCAGAAAGAGGGGAGTGAGGTTCTGGAAAGGTCTGTTCACACCTGTCAGCACGTCGTCGTCGCGTTGGGAGAAGGTGGAATGGAGGGAATGTGTGTTGGTTCAGAGTTTTGTTGATTGGTTGTCTCCACAAGTGAGTCGGACAATGTAGATAAGTTAAAACAGCATCATTACAGCTGGTAGAGGAGGGTGTAGGGGGGTAGAGTAGGAGAGCAAGAGAGCAGGAGACGGAGACTCACGGGTTGTGTGATACAGACGAGAGAGAGTGAGATGAGAAAGAGACGACGGAAAGATGAGAGAGATGGAAATCACTCACCCAAAATCCCCCCTGGTGCGGACCCAGGTCACGTGATCTGTCACCCCACAAGAGAGGGGGGCTCTGATAAAGTGATAGCCACCGCCCGCCCGCGCCCTGGGCTGAATGGCGCGCGCCGACGCCTCCAGGTCGCTGGGTGCGTCACGTCGGCTCGCTCGTCGCTCGTCGTCGTCGAGCTCGTTGGCTTGCGCGTCGACGTGTTATTATATCTATTTCCTGCTTCTCCATCTCCTTTCTCATTCTCAAACCCCCCACCCTCTCTCCCTCCCTTTTCTCTTTCCTCCCTTCTATCCTTCCAGCAGCGCCCAGCCAGCGCCCAGCTTCTTCCAGCCGGCGGCCCCCAGCTACCCATCGCTCGTTCCCGCTCTCACGCCTTGCCTCCACTTTCAACTGGCCCTGCGTTCGCCATGACCTCCATATCGAGGGGGGTCGGCCCCCTCCTCCCCCTCCTGCTATGCCTCCTCTCAATGCTGGGCATGGTCTCAGCTGGAGATCCAGAGGTCACGGTCTCACGCTTCCCAAACATGCCCAACAAGCTGTTCTACTTTGAAGACTCAAACGTAAGTGTCCTGGACCTGCGGAATGTGTGGCTGGACCAGTCGGTCCCTGCGTTTGGCGAGACGGAACGCACAGTCAAGTCAAGTAGCTTACACACAACGATGACAGGTCGTCCTGATGCACGACTCGTTGACGTCGACGGTGTATCGTTCAGCAGACGAGGGCAAGTCATGGAAAAAGGTCGAGGACATTGGTGACGGCGCCACCCGCCTCATCGAGCACCCGCACAGCAAAGAGGTCGCCTTTGTTATCGGCCGTCACGAGGACCACTACGTGACGTTCAACCGCGGAGAGACATGGCAATCGTTCAGCACCCCTACCGACCCAACACTCACCAGCCAACCACTTTCGTTCCACGCCACCAAGCCTGACTGGATCCTCTTCCAAGGCACTGTCTGCGAAAAGGGCAACTCGAAATGGGGCTCGGGCAGCGTCTGCTATGACGAGACCTACTACACCACCGACAGCTTCAGAACCAACCCCAAGAAGATGCTCAGCATGACCTCTGAGTGTGTCTTTGCCCGCTCGGAGAAGATGGTCGACACGCCCGAGAACCTCGTCTTCTGCATCGCCTTCGAGTCCAAGCCCAGCAACGGCCACAGCGCCTCGGAGACGCGTCTTTTCCGCTCCGACGACTGGTTTGAGACCCACGAGTATGTCGACCTCGGCATTGGCAAGCGCGCCCGCGGTATCGTCGGTCTCGGCGTCGTGTCCAAGTTTATGATCGTGGCCGTCAAGATGAACTCGGGCGGCTCAGCCGACAAGCGTGCCAACGACCCCATGAGCCTCTTTGTCAGCACCGACGGCGTCACCTGGCACCAGTCCGAATTCCCTCACTCGGCCATGCCAAACCTCGTTGAGAACGCATACACCATTGTCGAGTCGACGACCCACTCGATCGCCATCGACATTCTCACCTCGCCAAGTGCCCTGATCGGCACCTTGTTCGTGTCGTCGGGTGAGGGCCGTTACTTTGTCGAGTCGCTTCCCGACACGAACCGCAACGAGATGGGTATCGTCGACTTTGAGGGTATCAAGGGCCTCGATGGCGTGGGTATCGGAAACGTGGTCAAGAACCGCGAAAAGGTTGTCACGGGCGCTCAGAAGAAGGAGCTCCAGACCTGGATCACCTTTGACGACGGCTCCAACTGGTCGCTCATGCGTGCGCCCAAGGAGAAGATGAACGGCGACTCGTGGACCTGCCAGCCGTCCAAGATTGAAGAGTGCTCACTTCACGTCCACTCGGTCACGACCCCGCACAACCTCGGAAGCGTGTTCTCGTCTGCTGCGCCGGGCTTTGTCATGGCCGTCGGCTCTGTCGGAGACCACCTGCTTCCCTATGAGGAGTGTGACACCTTCCTCTCGACCGATGCCGGTGTCTCTTGGAAGATGGTCCAGGAAGGCGCACACAAGTACGAGTTTGGCGACCAGGGCAGTGTCCTCGTTATTGCCGACGATGAGGAGTTTACCGACCACGTTTGGTACTCGTATGACGGCGGCGCCAAGTGGGAAAAGCTCGACCTTGGCATCTCGGTCCGCGTGACAGTCCTCACCACCATCCCAGACTCGACGTCCCAAAACTTCCTCATTGTCGGCATGGCGCGCCGCAGTGACTCCAAGGAGGGCCGCTACGTTACCGTCTTCCTCGACTTTGATAAAATCCAGACCCGCCAGTGCCAGGACAAGGACTTTGAGCGTTGGTACGCCCGTGGTGGAGAGGACAACGAGTGCATCATGGGCCACAAGCAGTGGTACCAGCGCCGCAAGCTCGACGCCCAGTGCTACGTCGGCAACGTGTTTGACGAGCCCAAGGGCCACGAGGAGAACTGTGCTTGCACAGATGCCGACTTTGAGTGGTGCGTAGTTATTATTACATGGCTTTTATACTGACATTTTAGCGACTTCAACTTTGTTCGCCAGAACGGCGAGTGTGTCGCTGCTGGACCCCAGCCTGTTCCTGCTGGCACTTGCAAGAACAAGGGCGACACGTACAAGGGCTCGTCGGGCTACCGCCTCATCCCAGGCAACACCTGCTCGGGTGGTGTGGAAAAGGCCAACCTCGTTGACAGGCCGTGTACCGATGCCAAACCCGAGGACGGCAAGGTCAGCCACGTTGTCCACGCCTTCACGTCGAGGATTACTCGCCACTCGTACTTTGAGGGCTCGCAGACGATCCTCCTGCAGCTCGAGGACAACTCGATCTGGCAGTCGAGCAACGAAGGCTACTCTTGGACCCAGCTGGAACCCAGCAAAGAGTTCCTCACGTTCGTCATGCACCCATACACCAGCGACCGCGCCTACCTCATCACAAAGGACCGCACCATCATCCACACGACGGACACTGGCCGCTCATGGAACGCGATCGAGGCACCAATGGAGGCCAACGGCCTTGGTATCCCACTTCTCGACTTCCACCCTACACGCTCCGACTGGCTCATCTTCACAGGCTCGGTCGACTGCACCGACACGCTGTCCACTACCTGCCACGCCGTCGCCTGGTACACTACCGACCACGGCCGCCGCTGGAACCAGGTGGAAAAGTATGTGCGCAACTGTCAATGGGCACGCGACTCGTCTCTCAAGATTGACGAGCGCATGATTGTCTGCGAGTCGTACAAGGAGAAGAAGGGCTCGCAAAAGTCGGGCAACCGCAACCCCATCGAACTCATTGCTGGCCGCGACTATTACGGAAGGAAGGAAAAGCTCTTTGACTCTGTTGTGGGCTTCACCACCTTTTCCCAGTACTTTTTGGCTGCCAAGTATGACGAGGAAAAGGGCACGCTCTCGCTCGAGGTCTCGCTCGACGGCACCCACTTTTCCGAGGCCCAGTTCCCGCCCAACATGAAGATTGACAACCACGCCTACACTATCCTGGAGAGCAACACCGACTCGGTCTTCCTCCACATGACGATCAACAGCGCAAAGGACCGCGAGTGGGGCACGATCTTCAAGTCCAACTCGAACGGCACCTACTATGGCCTGTCGATCGAGCACGTCAACCGCGACTCGCGTGGCTACGTCGACTTTGAAAAGATGATTGGCCTCGACGGTATCGCCCTTGTCAACGTGGTTAGGAACCCCGAGCACGCCGAGGTTTCGGGCAAGAAGCTCCTCCAGTCCCGCATCACCCATAACGACGGCGGTAGCTGGAAGCCCCTCACCCCGCCTCAGCGTGACTCGCTTGGGCAGCCGTATAGGTGCTCCGTGGCGGCGTGTGGCCTCCAGATCCACGGCTACACCGAACGCGTCGACCCCAAGGCGACGTACAGCTCCCCCTCGGCCGTGGGTCTCATGATCGCTGTCGGCAATGTGGGCGAGGAGCTCGCCGACTATGAGGACTCGGACGTTTTCCTTACTCGCGATGGCGGATTCACTTGGGAGGAAGTGCACAAGGACGCCCACCTGTGGGAGTATGGCGACTCTGGCTCGCTCATCGTGCTCGCCAACGATGAGGAGGCTGTCGACCACGTTCTCTACACCACCGACGAGGGCCTGACCTGGCACAACTACAACTTTGGCCAAAAGATTCGCGTCCAGTCGGTCAACACGGCCCCGCAGGACACGTCGCGCCGCTTCTACCTCGTTGGCCAGACCCCCGGCGAGCGTGGCAAGAGCGTCCTTGTTCACCTCGACTTTGACAGCATCACCCAGCGCAAGTGCGAGTTTAAGATCGACGACCTCAACCACGACGACTTTGAGGTCTGGTCGCCGGCCGAGAACCGCGAGGAGAAGTGTCTCTTTGGCCGCCAGACGCTCTACCACCGCCGTATCCGCGACCGCGACTGCTACATTGGCGAAAAGGTGGCGCAGCCCAACAAGGTCGAGCGCAACTGCACGTGCACGGCTGCCGACTTTGAGTGCGAGTTCAACCACGTCCGCAACGCCAAGGGCGACTGTGTCCTGGTCGAGGGTGCCGCGGCCCTGACGTTTGACACCGAGTATGAGCAGTGTGTCGGCGATGCAGAGTTCTGGTACGACCGCACCGCATACCGCAAGATCCCGCACTCGTCGTGTGATGGCGGCGACCGCCCGGACCGCGGCAAGCAGCACACGTGCCCCGGTATCGCCGGCGCTAGCCTCGGAGCGCTCTTCTGGGCCTCCATCGCCATTCTGCCGTTTGCCTGCGCGGGCGTCGCTGGCTGGTGGTGGGTCACCAAGGGCGGCCGCGCGGGCACGATCCGTCTCGGCGAGCACCGCGCATACAACGGCGACACGGGCGCAAAGGTCCTCAACACGCTCGCGTCCGTGCCGTACTTTATCCTCGGCGTCGTGGCTGCGCTGTGGTCGCAGCTGGAGAACCGCGTGCCCTTCATCGACGGTCTGTTCCGCCGCCCCCAGCCATACCGCTCCGTCCCCATCGACGACGACGCCGAGCTCCTCGGTCAATATGAGGACTAGAGAGGGTGCACCCCTAAACGAGAGGAGATGGGGGGAGGGGGAGAGACGACGACGACGTCGACGCGAAGGACAGTAGTAGAAGTACCAGCACATAACCAAATGCACCATTTTTAGATCTAGCTAGCCTACCAGCTCCGTTTATGTGTTTACTACTTTGCTTACCTGCTACTGACGAACCCGCACTGCTCTCTCTTCTCTCTCTTTACGCCGTAGCAGCCACCTTTTGCTGCTGCCGAGCGTTGGCCTGGGCCTGCTCGCCCTGGGCGATCCACTCGTGGTGCCGCTCCAGCAGCGCCTGGATGATAAACTCTTCAATCTCCACTTCGTCGGTCGCCGCTCGACCGGCCGCGAGCTCGGGCAGGCGCAGCCACGTCTCGGTGTACATGCCCGGCACGTCGCCTGCGGACGAGGCCAGGGGCGGCGTCTGCGCGCCCGTCACGGAGCGGTCGCCGCGCGACTTTTCGTGGTGCGACCGCTCGACAAAGACGACTTCGGATTTACGCTTGTGCAGCTCGTTGCCGATCACGAGCTGGTGTCCGTACCGCGCGAGCGCGGCGCGCGCCTTGGGGATGAGGAGGTTGTCGTCGGTTTCGAGCTGTGTGGACAGTGTGAGTGTGGGCGCGAGAGTGAGTGAAAGAGAGAGAGGGGAGGGAACAGGATGGCAAGTGGGCAGTTGACGCTGGGTCGCACCCAACTGCGACCCTCGCCATTCCCCATCACGTCTCCCATGTACATGTACTCACCTTGAAGCTGACAATGTACCCTTCCGGAGTCCACTCCTGGACGAGCGGGCGGAGGACCTTTGGCACCTGGTCCATCTCGAGGACGAGCGCGCCATGTGTCGACTGGATCTTGTGCTCGGCCTGCAAAAGAGTCAGCAGTGTGCTTCACAGCGCGCGGACGGAAGACATGTGTGGCAGCGTAACAGCTGCCACAATTTGACACCAGTGAACACGGAGGGTACCGCTCCACTGCACCCTCCCCCTGTTTCCGGAACGCCTCTGCCGACAGCCAAGGGACTCCGTCTCCCGGTCCGGCTGCGATCCGGGTGTCGGTGTCGCCCACAGCCGGGCATACTGGCCCCGTGGCCTCCCACGATTCTTTTCTCTACTCACGACGCGGTCATCGGGGAGGAAGAAGTCGGACACGGCAGCGGCGAGGTAGTACATGCACTTGCGTCCGAGGGGCGCCATGACGCCAGCGACGGCGCGGAGGAGCCAGAGGTAGTCGTTGACGGTCTGGAAGTTGACGCTGAGGATGCTGCCTTCGTCGTGGGCCTGGTGGTACGCCTTGAGGATGGGCAGGAGCTTGGAGGCTTGTCCCGGAACGACGTCGATCTGGTCGCCATTGTTCACTGTCAAGAGGTCCAGGAAGGGGTTCATCGAGTGGCTGTAGTGACGGCTGAAGGGGCGCAGCGAGTGGGTGCGGTGAAGGAAGATGACGGCGTAGCCGGCCTGCAAGAAGTACTCGGCTGACGTCGCGCCGCGAGTACCTGTTGGTGTCAGTAGAGCAAGAAGGGAGTGTCTGGACCCCGGTAGAGAAGAACAAGGCTGTGGGTATGCTGAACTGAACGAGCGGTGCTACTTTGCTCCTTTTGGCCCATGACGACACCGATCGCTGACCAAACGCAACTCACCAGCAGAGAAGTTGTCCAGATACCGCACGCTGCAGCGTCAGCAAAGGCGGCAGGGAAATAGAGGATACCTACGTGTTGGACTCGAGGGGGACAGTGGTGCCGCCGGACTGGGGGTTAGCCGATGCATAGGATGCGTTGGAAGGAAGCGGCGCAGTCGGACAATGGGACGGCGCGGCCGCTCTCGGACATGGGTGTAGGCAGACACTCACAGTGACGAGGACGACCTTTTTGCCGTCAATGTTCCACTTGTCAACAAAGGCGCGCATGGCCTCTGTCTTCTCCTTGAGGCTGGCGGGCGGACGCTGCGTGTTGAAGTAGTCCTCGGTGGAGAAGGCGCGGCCCTGGTCCGGGATGCCGGCCTCGGCGTCGACGTCGGCGGCCAGCTCTGCGGCTGCGTCCGCGGCGGTGTTGGAGGCGGTGGTGGGGTGTGATGCGCTCATGCCGTATACTGGACGGGGCTGGTGCTTTGGCTTCTTGCCGTCGTAGTTTATGGCGATGGAGATGTGGGACGATGAACGGACGACGAGTGGTCGATGGACCGACTGCTGGGGTGCCTTCAGGAGTCCGGTGCGATGACGGCCTATCCGCAGGCAGGTCGAAGCCGATGCTGCCGCCGTGGTCGTCGTCGTGGGGTGGAACGGCGCCAACGAGTGAGGACGTGGTATGCAGCGCGTGCAGAGCTTGCTGAGGGCTGTCATGGATATGTGCAAGAGACGAGAGCGCTCGCAGGAAGAGAGTGCTGCTCCATGCTGCTGTTTTGGTCGTCGCCGCAGCAGCACCCCCCCCTCATGTTCCCGCCGGCGGCTCCACATAAAAGGAACCAACGGGGCGGGTCGTCAAGCGGCGGCGTGCATTATTCGGTCGATCGTCCTTCTCTTCATCCCTACATCCCATCAACCAAAACATCCCCGTCACACAATGTCTGTCCTGCTCCTCGTGGGGCAGTGCATCGCCATGGTAGCTGCAAGCCTCTTCGTAGGCTCCTTGCCCCTCATGTTCAAGAGCTCCTTGAGCGGTACGTAGCGTCTCGCGCCTCGCCACCCATCATGTCCATCCACTCCAGTTCCCACAAACAGCCCGCTTTCCTCCACCATCGAGCCGCAGCTGCGATGCAGTGGCAGGTCGTCTAGCCATGAGGAGGGGGACACTGCTCATGTGTAACCCATCACTGACGCCTCAGCCCTCTCCCTCGCCGCGATCGAGGTGTTTGGCATGGGTCTTCTCGTCGGCGCAGCTCTCACCATCATCATCCCAGAGTAAGTAGAACGTGTCTCGACAGATACGGATATTTCAACGACATTCGACATCGCCCTCGCGATGGCCTATTACCATTCCAAACCTGCGTCGTCGCTGACATCGGTACAGAGGTGTGGAGACGCTCTACGCTGCCGAGCCCGACAGCCATGTCGTGGGCATCGCCCTCTTGGCCGGATTCGCTTTGATGCTGCTGTGAGTTTAATCAATGATCTGGCGACGACCCGTCCGGTCGTCTTGCAGTAGTGAAGCAACGGCGCCGACATGGTCTCGGACCCGACGGTCCACACCAATGCTGACGGCCCCCATAGCGTCGAGAACCTCACACCGCACCCCCCTCATGCGCCACCACAGCTCGAAGAGGCCGCGCACCCGATGTTGCCCAAGGACGAGGCCGAGTGCGAGACGCACGCAGCCGCCCATGGCTTGAGTGCGACTCTCGGCCTGGTCATTCACGGCGCTGCGGACGGTATCGCTCTCGGTGCCAGCTCGCTCAGTGACAACAAGGGTCTCGGCATGATCGTCTTCCTCGCCATCATCATCCACAAGGGTGAGTCACATTCGGACAGGGACGAGGTGTGTTCCCGACGACAGACACTGACGTATAGGCCCTGCCGCCCTCGGCCTCACTACGACGTTGCTCACGCTCCACCTCACGCCCGCCCAATGCCGCCGTCGCCTGCTCTTCTTCTCCCTGTCGGCCCCCGCTGGCGCCCTCTTGACATACGGTCTCGTTCGTCTGTTTGGCACCGGTCCGGCCGTCACTGGCAGGGGCAGCCTTAGTTGGTGGACAGGTGTGGCGCTCTTGTTTTCGGTGAGTCATCTTGCGGGTGTCTGTTGCTCTACGACTCTCGCCTTTCTGACACGCACAGGGTGGCTCGTTCCTCTATGTCGCCACCGTCCTTCAGCCGATTACGCAGACGGGTCCCGACGACCACTGTCACGACGTACACCACGAGGTGCACAGGCAAGACAAGCCAATCCTCGGCCACCTCTCGCGCACATTCATCATCCTGCTCGGCATGGTCCTGCCGCTGGGCATGAGCGCTCTGGTGGATCACCACCACTAGGCTGACGCATAACGGGAGGCTGGAGATGCTCGCGACGACGCAACAGGCCACTCCCTGCCCCTGCCCCAACAATCTACTAAGAAAGAAACCATAACAATCGTAAACTGGAAAACAACTGCTCGCAGGGCTTCAGCTGCTATCCTCTCCCTACCCATAACAACCGCATTATATAGACTAGCCCGCTCGACTGTATATCATAGACAGGTGTCATGTGTTCAACAACTATACATTACTCTGTGCGCTCCTCCCTTCCCTGTGAGCGGTGCTGCGGCCCTGCGGCCTCTCCTTCTCTCAATAAACGTGTGCTATACTACTTAATCCAGATCGTCGACACTGCAAAGGTCAGCTTGGGGATTGGGGATTTTGGATAAAACTCACAAGGGGTCATACTCCCTCACTGCCGCTTGCTGACGCTCGCGACGCTCCCGTTCCTGCTCGCGCTGCTGTATCTCCTGCTCCCGGCGGAGGTGCATGGCGCGGTAGTCGTTCGGAATCGCAGACGACATGTCGGGTGCGAGCACAGGCTCGGGTGGGTCTGCAGCGTCGTCGGGACCAAGGACAGCCTCCGGAGGGTCAGCCGCCGGGTCTGCAAAGTCTGACGCGTCGGATGCGTTGGATAGGCGACGAGGCCGAAGGCTCGTCGTTGTTGAAGGATCTTCGGCCTCCTCTTGCTGTGAACTGTGGAAATTTCTCATGGCCTCGTTGAGCTCGTCTTCGGCACCTGCTGCCGCCGTGGTCTCAGTGGCCGGTACACTTGTAGGTGGCCCCGTCGGTGCCGCAGGCGGCGGGGCTGGAGGAGCAGCATCGGCCGCGCCAGTCGGAGCAGGTTGAGAGCCGGAGGGAGGGGCAGGTCGGGTCCCAGGAGCAGGCAGGGGTGGGGGCTCTTCGTTGCCGCTCTGACCAAACAGCCTGTTCAGAACGTTGCTGATCACGCCCTGCGCCGTAGCTAGCGCTCCGCCTCCGCCTCCTCCACCCGTCTGCTCCTCTGCAGCGCCAGGCTGCGTTCCCTGCGCCCGTGTCGGCGTCGGCTGGGGGGCTGATTGGTTTGCAGGTTCCGGGACAAGCGAGAACCGGCAGACGGGGCAGGACCCGTTGGTCTTGAGCCATGGCACGATGCAGTCTGGGTGGAAGACGTGTTTGCAGGGAACGCGGACCACCTCGTCGCCGACGTTGAAGTCGTCCATACACACAGGGCAATCTTTGTACTGGCTCTCCTCTGGTATGTTAGCTTCGCCACGCAAGACGGCTCACCGAGCGTCTTCTCATCAAACTTGATTCGTGGCAAGCCGTCGATGACAACCTCAGGCGCTGGGAGGGGGCCCTGCGGTCCAGCCGCTGCCATGAGGCGCTCGAGCACATCGTTAAACCCATCTGACCGTTAGCCACGCCCTTTGACGCGCCCTTTACGCACCCTCTGTCATGACATAGTCGCCCATGCGCCCGCGAGGCAGGAGGCCAGGTGCACCGCCTTCCTCGGCAATGATCGAGAAGAGAGCCTGGAGCTGATGGGTCAGCATAACCACGGGCAGCAAGACCCACCAAGTCGGCACCCTCGAGCTGCTGGGGTGCGCGGTTAGGCGGACGAGCACCAAAGCCTCTAAAGAAACTGACATGTCAGTGCTGGCGCACAACAACCTTGCAGTCCACAAGCTCACCTGTCAAGGCCATCGTTAGGGTCGCCTGGAGCACCATTGTAGCCTCCAACTGGGGTTCCCGCAAATGGGTTGAACGGCTGTCCAAATGGAATCGTGCCCGGAGGCGACGACCCATAACCGCCTTGCGGGAATGACCCAAAGGTCACAGTCGCAGCGCCATTCCCGATATTGAAGTTCCACGTCCGAGGCTGGTTGCTCCTCTGCGGCTGCTGAGTGGACGGGCTAGATGGTCCTGATTGTGGTTGCTGGTTTTCCTGGCCAGGCTGGCCCCCGCCAAAGACCGACTCGAACAGCCCGCTGAAGAAGTTGGGTGCTTCGGGGGTGACGTGCTGAGGGTCGGTTTGGCCGGGACGAGGTGGGACAGGAGGGGCATCGGAAGCATGCCCTGGGCGTTCAGGTGGGTGGGGAAGCTCGCGATGGGGGTCTGGGTTGACATCTTCGTCGAGCTGGGACGGTAAGCACCGTGTTGACAACAAGCCTGCTGCTGTCGCTGACCGTAGCCCAGCAGATGTTAGTCATCAAGATGGCTACTCACAATCTCAAGGAACTCGGAGTTACAGCTTGCACAGTGAGGCACACCATCAATCTGTTTGTTAGTGTACTGCGATGTGTAGATGATCGTACCATCAACGGTCTCATTTGGGCGCCGCACTGTTGTTACATTAGTTCTGCGATTCATGTTGTGTCGGCTGGCTACGTCACCGACACGTCGGAGACGAGACGCACCTCGTGGCAGAGCCAGAACGGCGCAGCCTGTGGTGGCATGGTGGTATTGTGTAGTGCACGATATTAGATGCTGGAGCCAGATATGTCTAGAGCATGGGACGAGATGGTGAATGGGAGACGTGAACAACAAACTGATGGGGGGCGGAAATGGAATGTGCTCGACAAGGCGTTGCGGGTGTCGCCGAGCCGAGATGGGACGGTGGGTGGCAAATATACTCCCGTGAGTGGCAAAATAAGGTGAGAGTGGCACCTGGGGGGCTCTACATTGTGCTATCGAGGAACCTTGTCTTGCATCTCGCGAGCTCCGTGCACACGGTGCGTGGGCCAAGTTCTCCTAAAATGTCAATAAATGAGGTACTGAGACTCCTGCAGAGTGTGTAAAACTGCTACTGGTACAGACGTGGGCTATGGAGACCAGACCCGTTATTAGCAATGCTCCGCCTTTCCAATGCTCTCAATTACCTCCCGCTCAAAGATAACGGGCAGTAAGACACGGCTGTGAATCTGTAAACCGGGGAGTGCCATGCCGTTGAGTGTTGAGAGATGAATCCAACGAGCTTCACAGGCCCAGACGGGCATGCAAACCCGATCTTCCCTGGTCACCCCTGGCGACCTGAAAACAGATGCCGACTCCTTTGCCTGTCACCTTCCTTCACAACTCGACCCTCCTGGGCCATTCTGGCGGTCGTCAGCTGTGCTCACCATCACAAGGGAGGTCGTCATCGCCTCTTCGCTAGTATATCGGTTAGTATAACCGCCTCTCAACAGAGAGAGCCTTCATCCAAAGGAGCATCGCGGTAGAGCAGGGTTCAACTCCCTGGCGGAGAAGCAGGACGTCTAAGAAGGACGTTACCTTTTGCCTTTTGGTCTGAGTATGTACAGTATCCGGTAAGAGACGCATAGGCAAGATTAGAAAAGGTGGAGAGCCGTTGTTGGAAGGAACGAAGTGCGATGGTAGTCGGGTGTAACGTTTTTTTTTTCGACCGCTCTGAGTATGTAAAAGCCATCGCTCAATTGTCGCCAGACAGATTCCTGGGCTTGGCTTCATGTTGAAGGAGAACTCAGAGGTCTTTGTTCTGGTCAGCGTGCTCCTGCGAAACCTCGAATAGTCCCTCCGCCAAGCGACGTGTAAAGGGGGTCCAGTGACCCACGGGCTGACAGTCGAGTGACGACTGCTTAGTCGATAAAGGTGCAGCTATATGCAGAGAGGGTTAAGAAGGGGTACTGAGGTGCAACTGGTGCAACTGGTACATGAGACAATACCAATGTAGCGCCGAAGAAAAACACAGAACGATAACAGAATGTGAACGGCATCCAACTGGGTGAGAAAGGTCTTCAACATCCCCTCGCTATAGCATAGTGGTATTGCGCCGGACTGTAATGTTCTACCTCCCTTCCAATAGGAAGAGTAATCCGTAGGTCCCCTGTTCGAATCAGGGTAGCGAGAGGAGCTCATCGTGAAATCGAAGAGCAACTTTTTGGCATGCTGCAGAGGAAAAGGTCGTCAGGAGGAGACGAACAACAGGGAAGATGCGGGGGTGGCGCCGGGGTCAACTGCAGGGGCTTCAGAACGCAAAGACAGGGTGCCATGCATGGTAGCAGGGTGGACTGTGACGTTTGGCAGCCTCTTTGTACTTGTGGATAGCAGCTGGGCCGCTGGCCGTCGAGTTGGATGGTGAAGTGATGACGTTGGATAATTCCCCGCCCATTTTTCGGGTGTTTTCTTCCTGCCACATTTCTGGCTTGTCTCTGCCATAGAGTGTAACGGCCAACCCAAAATCAGCTATACACTCTCCCTATTCTCAAGAATGGTGAATGTGGATCGCATCTTTGTGCTGGGATGCTTCTTGCATGCATAGCTGTCCCCATGGGCTCAGGAAATGAGATTTTCCACGGAGCGCGCCGATTGATACACTTTCACTAACATCACAACACCGTTGGTGAAACGGTATCATGCGTCGTTGCCATCGACGCGGCAGGGGTTCGACTCCCTTACGGTGTATCCTTTTGGCTTCTGGAACATGCGCAGCCTTTCCTTTTGCTCTGGCAGGTGTACGGCTGATTCCGAGGAAGAAAACTTACCCCCAACGTGATGTCCTCGTTGCGCTTGGGACGAACCTTGTCCGTTGCGCGTTTCATCTCTGGTTCAGTTAAACATCATTTTGCTGTCCTCTACTCTGCGTTCGAGAAACATGGACCTCTGTGCCCCTTGAATAACTTGCAACGATGCCAGCCATTCTTGTGATTACTATTGATGTCCAAAAAATAATTTACGTCGAAGGTGCACTCCCGTACGTCCACGTACCCTACTCCAAGTGTCGTACAATGAGTTTTTGTAGTGTGCGACAAGCCTTGCTGTTGTCTTCCCTAGCATTAGGCCTTTTCCTTGCGATTCAGTGACCCCTCTCCTCAGGCATTAAACATTTTAAAGGCCTCCTTTGTCTACACCTACTAATGTGAATGAAATTGTCTGTACGGGAAGACCCCAGCGCCACTGCGATATGGTCCCCTCAAACTTGAACAAGTCACTTACCGGCTCAAAGTTTATTGTCTGCTGGGCATAGCCTACAATACCCTTTGCCTGTGCCGCCACCTGCCTAACTTCAGAGGGTTAAAAGTGCAACCTCGAAAAAAAAAACCCCGGCGGTCTCAAGATTGTCCGAGTTCCTGCACCTCCACCTCTCTGTGACCCTCCATGAGTTTGAGGCTCTGTCTAGAACAGATAGTGGCCAGCAATTGCACGTCAGGGACGATATCCGTCCAAGCTGCCAAACGTACAGAGGGACTTTGGCTTCGGAGAATGGTCGACGAAAATGAGTCACACGTTTTGCGGAACAACCAATTGACGAGATGTCGTGTCGGACACCAGTCTCCAAGTCACCCATCGGGTCTATTTCCTACCACTGTGTCTGATGCACGCAAGAGGACAGTCGCTCCAGTGGTGGCGGAAGCAACAATGTACTCGGCGAGATGGCCGAGCGGTCTAAGGCGCTGTGTTAAGGTTTTCTTCTGCTTCGTGCAGAAGATCATCCGCAGTCTTCGGACGTGGGTTCGAATCCCACTCTCGTCAGAAGGGGCTTCATCGCCTCCCAAGCCAACCTTTTTGGATCTCTGGGGGTCCGGGAAGTGGTCTAGGACGGTCAGAAGGCATAGAAGGCCGATCGAGGGACAACGGAGGATTGTTGAAAAAAGTGCCGCACTCGTCTGTCGATCATTCATTTTTCGTCTGTGAGCCACTCACCCTCTCCACATTTTGGCCATGATTTTCCCAAGCGGGTGACATTCAATGACTGGGACTATTCCAAACGCTTCACAGGAGACGTGGCTATCACCACGGGTGGTTCTCTGTCTCAAAATAGCAGAAACCAGGACGCGGTGATCGATTTTCCATCTCTGAGACGTCCTCATCGACTTCTCATTCGTATAACGGTCAGTATGCTCGCTTGTCATGAAGATCGCGGGAGATCGGAGTTCGATTCTCCGATGGGAAGACAGTAGGCCCTCAGGGCTTCTCCTTTTGCTGTTTGGACGACTGCAAGGACCCCCAAGCGTCCACGGAGGTGGGTTGAAAGGATTGGAGGCATCTCGGATATTTTCCGGTATTTTTCATGTTTTATATATGTAAGTCACCCTTGTGTCACTCACTAGCTGGGCGCTTCCATACTCCATCTCGTTACCAACGGAGTGGAAGTCGGTACACGCAGCAACACTTTGGGACCACCGAGGCCGTCATTTGTGGCGGACGTTTCGTGACCCCAGGTATGCCATCTCGGGTCTGGTCGCATCGGCCACCACCAATGACAAAGGTACGTGTTATCGAGGTAATAGCTTGTTGCCATTGCCGATCTGCGTACTTATTTTTGTACCTTGGGAGGCTCCCACTCTTAGTGGTTGAGCTCTAGCCGATGCTTTCGTCCTATCATGATACCCTCAGGCAGTGAGCGGCACATGTGTCAACGAAGGGGGTCTGTACAGGGAGGGACCAGAGTGGAAGAAAGCTCAGGGGGTTCCGCAGGTCCGAAACTCTCGTCTGCGCTACTCACATCAGCATGTACGTCGGACAGGCCCGCCTTCGAGGACCATGAGGTCGTTCGCCGAGGAACCTAGGTTTCCAAATGGTGGGGATATAGCAGTGGAAATGGATTTCCGATCGCCTCGGTCTTCGTTAGAGATTGAATTACCCGGGGATACGCCGTTCAAGCATTTACCCATTCTCCCACAACTACCCAGCCGAGAGCGCCTTGGACGCCTGGTGCATTGCCCACTCCACAAGCTTGTCACATGTCATGTCAGGAGACCTCAAAGAGGATAAGAGGAGTTGGCCTTGTCCTCGTGGATCCTCGCGTACGGCTACTTGTTCGCCTACTTGGTCCCCCCAACCAACGATACCAGCCAGGCCTTTGACTGCGGTTCGTGATGATGAAACGGCGTATGGTCATTCAGCCACTGGCCACTGGCCACTGGGTAGCCTGCCCCCGAACACGCATTGGCTTGCGCTAGCTTGGGCCTGTTCGTTTCGCCCTGGGGACTGACATGGAAGTGGGCAGAGGTACCTTGGCGGCACTGCTCAATGGGGACGCAAGGGAGAGTATGCCGGCAGCCATGAACGCGGAGAAGCTCATTTCGTTCGGAGCCGACATCCGAAGTCTTGGCCAACTGTATTTAAGTAGCGTGGACGATGAGATGTTCACCAAGCGACCACTGACGCTGACTCTTGTCAACACACCTACTACTCTACAACAGGGATCATAATGTGGGCGGTTCTCACCACCAGCCTCCTTCCTCTGGCAGCTGCGGCCGCCGTTCCAGCCATGCCGGCAGACGTTCAGGTGGCTCGTGGCAGCAGCACCAACAACGGCACTCACAAGGCCCAGGTCATCGTCCTCGGCGGTGGTATCTCGGGCATCTCGGCTGCACGCTCGCTCGTGAGCGACTACAATGTTACCGACATTATCCTCATTGAGGCGCGCGACGAGCTCGGTGGCCGTGCCCACACCGACACCATGACCAACAAGAAGGGCAAGTCGGTCGTCGTCGAGCGCGGCTGCAACTGGATCCAAGGTCCCGGAAAGGAGGTCATCACCGCTCTGGCCGACAAGTGGGGGCTCGAGACCAGTGTCAGCAACTACACCAACACCAGCTGGTACGAGGGTCTGGGAGTGGGGGCCGACGGCAGACACGGCAAGTGGCTGGACACGGCCGAGCAAGAAGAGTTCATGTCTGGCTACGACACCTTCCTTGACAATGCGCCTAGCTATGCTGGTGGGTTGACACAACAGAATATAACTAACATATAGACTGGCGCGCGAACAACTCGCTCGTCGACATTACTGTCCGTGCGGCCACCTCTATCATGGACTGGATCCCTACAAGTCCCTTGCAGTGGGCGTACGAGTATTACAATGTCGACTGGCTGTTTGCCCAGACCCCCTCTGAGAGCAGCTTTGCCAATGCTTTTGGCCAGGAGGCTGGCAACGCGGGAGACGAGGACAACTTTGTTATTGATCAGCGGTGAGTGACAAGATTCTGCAGAGCTCTGGGCTAACATTAAGTGGCTACAAGTACATCTTTGTCCAGGAGGCTCGCGAGATCTTTGGCCAGAACCTTGAGGACCCTCGTCTTCACCTCAGTACCACTGTCAAGACAATCGACTACTCGGCCGCCGAAAGTGGCGGAGACATTGTCGTCACTACCACCGACGGCCAGACTTTCTCGGCTCCTCACGTCATTTCCACCTTTTCCGTCGGCGTTCTTCAGAACCAGGATGTCAACTTCGTCCCCAAGCTTCCCGACTGGAAGAAGGAGGCCATTTTCACGTTTGCAATGACCACCTACCAGAAGATCTTTATCATGTTCGACGAGCAGTTCTGGGGCCCGGAGCAGTACATGATGTACGCCGACCCCGACCAGCGTGGTCGCTACACCGTGTGGCAGAACATCAACGCTCCTGGATTCTTCCCGCAAGGCACCACGGCCAACCTTGTAATGGTCACTGCTATCGACGACTTTGCCCGTCGCAACGAGAAGCTTACCGACGACGAGGTCAAGGAGGAGGTCTACCAGATCCTCAAGGAAATGTACGGCAACGACATTCCCAAGCCGACGGACATTCTGGTCCCCCGCTGGACGCTCGACCCCCTGTACCGTGGCACCTACTCCAACTGGCCCATCGGTGCTACTGACCAGCACCACGACAACCTCGGGGCACCCGTCGGTTCGGGCAACACCTGGCTCCACTTTTCTGGCGAGGCCATGTCGGCCGAGCTGTTTGGTTACGTCCAGGGCGCTTGGGACGAAGGCCTGAACGCTGCCACCACGGTCGCCGCTTGTCTCGGTGGCAAGTGCCCTACCGTCGACGTGTTCGAAGCCGTCACCACGTGTGCCCAGACCGCGACCGAGTTCACCAGGCGCGATGTGGGGACTAAGCGCAAGGGCATGCTCGCTCGCCGCGGTGGTCGCAGGAACAGGAAGTAGAGGAAGTAGCGGGGCAGAGGAGGAACTTGACAGTGAGCAGCACTTGATAGTTGTTTGTATAGGGCCGGTCGCCGGACAGTGCAGTGCACATAATAAAGCAATACAGCAGTGAATACAGAAGAATGCGCATACACAGAAAGTCGACGATACCAATGTCAGAGTTGAGGGATCACGTCAGCCATGTCGCCTTAGCGTCGGGACGCAAGCTGCGCCGCTGTTTTTGGCTGAAATGGGCCAGTGTGGTGCGTCCAGAGGATATCCGAACAAGGCTGTTAGCGTGCCGCTAGGCCAGTTTGGCCAGTTTGGCTCAAACTGCGGAGGCGGTCGCACGACATGCCGATAGCAATATGATGGACCGGCGGCCATTTTGGCAAGTCGAAACCGCTCCCACCACCACCGCGCCACCGCTCGTTTTTGCAGGCAGCGGCGGGTAGTCAGGTCACCGGCATTTCAACACGTCCCTGTTATCTTCGGGGCAGGAAGAGGAGCCGTCAATCTGTCAGATGAGCAGTCGTGGAGAAGAGAGTAGTTGTTCGGGCCCGCTCTGTCAATAGAACCAACAGGAGCCTTGCCCCTTGTTGCCAACCGGGGGGGCAGAACGACCGGCTGATGAATGGAAAACCCGGCGAGGCGACCAACGGCCAACGTGTTGCATCCCTTGCGCGACCTGTAACACGCGCGGAAGGCGGAGCGGGCCCTCCCTTCGGCTCCCATCAGCTCCCATGACGGCGTCGTGTCAATGGGGATCAATGGGCTGCGACGTTTTGGCCCTTGCAAAGGGCGAGGGACTGGAAGTGACTACCCAGGCCAGGAAAAGCGCGGGGGGCAGTTGGTGGAAGGAAAGAAGAGGACAAGAGATCTGACAATCGTAACAGATCCCACCCATTGTATCGTCGTCGCCCACAGCAGAGACATGTCCCTTTGTAAAGGCTACCTTGCGTGGCGAGCATATGCATGCAAGGATGCAAGCATGCAAGCACGGTGACTACCCATGGGGACACAACACATGACACATGCATATGCATGCATGCGACCGGCCCCCCCACCACGGCGCCTGCCTCTGCCAGCCAGCTGCAGCCAGCCAGCCGCGGCGCCACGAACTGCCCCCCCTCCACCACCCCCATTCTCCTTTAGCGACGATTCCTCTCTGCCCGCGCTACGCACTCTTTCATCGCTGCCCATCGTTCCCACACCACCAACGCATCTTCATCCATTCCGTTTGGTTTCTCCTTTCTCGCCATACCCCCTCCCTTCTCGCAGCGGCACGCACATTTACCACCATACACCTGCTGGTCATGGCGGCATAGGCCGCTGCCGCCGGCCGCTCCTTTCCCCTCCCCCTCTCTCCCCATTCTTCTTTTCCTTCCGGCATTGAAACATCACCAACACAGGTCTCGACAAGACTCAATCTCGACGCGGCGGCGCACACGCACAACCCATTCACAGGCCTTTGCGCCGACCACAACCAACCCTCCTCCACACCGCGACCTCGTGACCGCTACTGGTCGTGCGGACGCGACTCGGGACCTCTGCGCGACAAGCCGTCACCCATGGCTAGCGCTGCGCTTGGGCCAGGCGGCCATTCGTCCGGGCCTGTCGTCGGCGGGGTTGCGTCGTCTGTGGTCTCGTCGCCATCGCAAGGAGGCAAAGACCGCAAGAAAAGTGCGCACTGGACCGACAATGACACGGACACTCTCATCGGTGTCCTGCTGCGTCACCGGGACAGTGGGCGGACGTCGGACAATGGCTTCAAGCCAGAGGTCTGGGACGAGGCGAGCGCCTTGCTCGAACGAGCACACTACCTCGGCGGGTCCAAGACGCCCGACGCGTGTAAATCGCGCTGGCAACGTCTGCAGCGCGACTACAAGTTTGCTCGCCAGCTCCAGAGCTATCCCAACATTGCGTGGGACCGTAATGAGCACCGACTGGTCGGCAATGAAGCAGCATGGGAGGCCGCCGAGTACCAGGTGGGTAGCAGCGAGACCTTTTGGCCTTGCATGGCTGACGTTTGTGTGCGCAGTACCCCGAAGCAAGAAAACATCGAAAGATCCACCTCCCTTGCTACGGACAACTCTCGGTTCTGTGCTCGGACGATGGGCTGCGACCCCGCCCTCGCCCGCCAAAGCCTCGCATGTCGTCCACATCGTTCACCTCCGATTCATCTGGCGTCGTGTCACTAAACCTCACCCCCACGGGTGGTACAAACCCGTCGGCCATGGTTGGCGGCCCTCCCAACGTCGCCGAGTCTTTGCACGACCGCCGACACATGCTTGGGTCTGGCATGGGACACGCGCACGCCAACGGCCACGCCGGTGGTCCGACACACGGGCAGGCCCACGGGCAAGGACACGGTCTGCAACCCGCATTGACACTGTCGTCTGAACCCCCGATGATGTGGACAGACGGTGATGACAGCGTGGAGAGCGTTGAGACTTCGTTCACCATGCCCGATGGCACCTTGCATACGACACGTCAGTTTGCACTCCCTCAGCAACAGCAGAAGCGTCTCCCGGCATATGACCCGTCCATGCTCGCAGCCCAATCGAACCATTCGCCAAAGCGTCATCGCAGCACACGCCGAACGGATACTGATCCATCGCTGCAGGCTACCCCCACGCAGTCTACGCCTCAGCAGTTGTACCAGCTTTCCCTCGAGACCCCGCGTCATCTCCCTCACCCCCAGCAACAGCAACAACAGCAACAGCAACAACAACAACAACAACAGCAGCAGCAACAACAACAACAACAACAGCAGCAACAACAACAACAACAGCAACAACAGCAGCAGCAACAACATACACAACAGCAGCAGCAACCGCCTACACCACAGACGCGCCAGGAGCTTGAACAGCATCAACAGCAGCAACTGCAGCATTCTCAGCATCAGCAGCATACGCAGCAGCATCAACAGCAGGCTCTGCCACCACCACCGCCTCAGACGGAGCCCCGGCCTCTACAACAGCAACAGCAACACCAAGCACAGCCGCAGCAGCAGCATCAAATACAGCCAAATGCTACACCGGGACTGCCACCGAGGCTTAACAGTACCATCTATTCGAATCAGCATGGCGGGCAGGCATACGCCCGCCGGTCTCCATCGCAGCTTGTCACCAAGATTGTCGACCCCGCCCTCCCTTCGCCAGTGTACCAGGTGACGCCGCTTGACAGCACGCCACGGACAAACGCGGTACCCGTCTTGCCAAACGGTGATGTCGACGGCAGTGGTGGGACGAACGGGCACATGCGTGCGTCGTTGCCCAGCCCTGCCATTTCTGCCAGTTCCGTGCGCGTCCTCGACAAGTCTGCGAGCCCCCACACTCGTTTCCGGGCCGACCTCCACGAGCACCACCAACAACTGCCATACCCGCGGCCATACCGCACGCCCGGCCCGGGGGAGGAGGACAAGCGTCTCCCGCCGGTACGTGCCGCGTCGTCGTCGTCAATATCGTCGGTCGTGACCGCGGCGGCTCCCGCTGCTCCCGCAAGCTCTGCCCCGTCCTCAAGGGCACACTCGGGCTCGGTGTCCACCGCGCCTGACCCGGCTCGCGGCGAACTCACCGAGTCGCAACGGCACACAGAGGCCGTCGTGTTGCTCCAAGAGCACCCGGAGCTGGGCGACGACGACACCATTGCCCTCCTGCACGAGTTTGAGGTCAATGTCCGCGCAGTGGACACGTTCCTTGCCCTGCACAAACAGGGGCTGCGGTCAAAGTGGCTCGCAAACAAGGTGGCGCGGTTGCGCTCATATGCGACAGCTCAGCGGGAAGGGGGAATGCATGAGGCGAGTGGGTCATGAGGGAGTGGAGATGGGAGAGGGCAGAGCAGAGGGGAGTGAAGGAGAGGGTGCGGAAGAGCAGTGTCAAGGGAGAAGAAGAAGGGAGTTTAGACTGGGTAAAGACGGTTGTTAGAGTAGAGGGGGGAGCATGCGGTAAGGGAAGAGAGTGTAGGAGAGATGAGGGGAGTGTAAGAAGCGGGAGTGTAGGGCGACAACGAGAACCAACGACGACAAGGACGAGGAGGAAACCACCAAAACGCTGTCAACAAAGACAGTTCTACAGTACAGCCATAGCATTCATTGTCTTGCTTTATCGCGTGCGCGCGCAGTAGGCGCGCCTGACGCGAGATTCATCAGTACGTTTCGGGGCGAACCATCACAGCGTGGTCGCCTCACGATGTACTCCTTTTTTGTTCTTGAACCTGAACACATGGCAGCAACGGTTGGGGGGGATACAAGTGCATGAAATATTGCGTATTACGGGGCACGAGTATATGGGGGAGAGGGTATTCCACAGATTGGTTTTCCAGGTCCGCTGAGATGAGGGCGATGAGGGAAGGATCCAAAGGCAGAGACTAAATGTCGACGACACAATGCGGCGGGAGGGCAGGACTCGCGAAGATGATGTTTTCTGGCACTTTAAGCGCCGTTGACGCCGTTAGGGAGCTCGCCGAGGGCGGCGGCAATGTCGTCGCACACGAGGATCCAGGCGGCGCGAGGCTCCATCTTGGTGTAGTACGTCTCCTCACTGGGGAAGTCGTTAGCGACGGTCACTGGGGGTGTATTTCTGCAGACTCCAACGCAAGGGGCAGGAGTGGAGCCACACGGTCGCCATAGCTCTGGTAAGAGTCGCAGCAGTGCACCACAGCGCGAGTGACAAGAACAGCCATCCCAAGATGTCCTTCAACACTCACACACCGGCCTCCTTGAATCCAAGCCTCTCGTAGAACTTGCGTGCCGAGTCGTTGCCGACCTGAACGTGGACGAGGGCGCGGTTGATAGGTTTGCGGGGCTCGACGGGCTTGAGCTGAGCGCGAGTAGCAGTGCCCGTGGCAGGAGGAGTAGGGGCTGGGGGCGCAGTAGGGTGGAGAGCCGAGCGGAGGGCGTGCTGGACCAGCGCGCTGCCGAGGCCTTGCGAGCGGTAAGGAGCAAGGACGCTGAGGGGCATGTTAGTACCAGAGGGAGGGGGGATGGTAGCCAGCTCAATGGATCCAGCCAAGCTGAATAGAAGCCCATGTCCACATGAACTCACGCAAGAGTCAGAATAGCCAAAGTGGGAGGCTGCTTGGCACCCTTGGCCATGTTCTCGATCCGGCAGCAGCACGCGCCGACGGGAATGTCCGCGTAGTAAACTAAAAAAACGTGTCAGCCCCAACCACCTCCTGCACAGTGAGTAAACTTGCCAAGCTTGTTAATGTCATCAAGAGTCGCGTCGAGCACGTCCTGCTTGTAGAACTTTTCCGAGTAGACAATCGGGAGGACGACCGAGTTGATCTTGCGCAGGGTGCCGCTCTGAGCGTTGTTAGCTGACACTGTCGCAAAGGACAAAACCCAGCCGAGGCAGTGTGGTATCGTGGGACTGCAGTACCCACGTTGTTAGGAGTCAGGCTCGTAAGCGTCACCTTGGGCTTTGGACGGATGGCGCGCCTCGAGCTGGCACCACCGGCGGCGGCGCTGCCGTTGAGGTTGACCGACTCGTGCTCTCCGCGCGGGGTGAGAGCGTCGAGGTCGAGCGGAGACGAGACGGTGCCCGCTGTGCTGTAGCTTGCGGTGGCGGCGGCAGGGGCCATGGTGACTGAGAGAGGGTTGCGAAGAGGCAGGAAGCAAGTTCGAGTGACGGCGACCAACAAGGCAAGGGTTCAAACGAGATTGGAGTGGATCAACGCGGAGTTGCACGGGGCATGTCCATTTTCGAGAGCTGTCTTTAGATTTCGCGCGGCCAAGATGAACCCACAACAACACACTATCCCACCATGAGCTCCATGCGCGACGTCCTCGCGCCCATCCCTCTGGCCCTCACGGTCATTGCCTTTGTCGTCGGCTACCAGGCCCGCGGCGCGTTCAACCCCGTGGTCGTGAACGGTGCTCCCAACGGCACCCGCTCCTTCTCCTCGTCTTCCAAGGCCTCAAAATCCAAGCGCAGGGGTCCCGTCTCGCCTCCTGGCACCGACTATGAGTCGGACTCGAGCTCTGGTTCGGCTGCCGGCGGTACCGACGGCGAGTCGGACGCCGACGATGAGGCCAAGGCCACCGCCGCCGACCTGTCGGCGCTCAAGCCCGGAAGCGACGAGATCAAGCTTGTCTTGGTGGTCAACGACTCGCTCAAGATGACAAAGGGCAAGATCGGAGCGCAGTGCGGCCACGCTACGCTTGCGTGCTACGAGACACTGGCCAGGAGCAACCCCAGGGTGAGTGAGACGAGTCGTCGCAGAGCGCTGCACAATGTGCCTGATGGTCACTCACTCCTTTCGTCTCATTGCTAACACACCCAGCTCATCTCGCGGTGGAAGATGTACGGCCAGCCCAAGATTGCCCTCCGCTGCGCCAGCACCGAGGAGATGGAAGCGCTGGCTACTCAGGCCCGCTCGCTCAACCTCTGCGCGCGCACCATCCAGGACGCCGGTAGGACACAGGTCGCCCCCGGATCCAAGACTGTGCTCGGCGTGGGTCCCGGCCCCGCCCGTCTCATCAACCAGGTCACTGGCAAGCTCAAGCTGCTCTAGGGAAACGTTGGCTCTTATGATGACATATCCATGCTATACTGCCAGCTAGCTCTACATATACGATATCCCTTCTCTGTGTGTCTCTCTCTGTCAACTATCCACCGCTGCGCAAGACCGTGTTTGGTGCGTGTTCATTTAATACCTCCTGCCACCGCCGTTGCGGTCCGAAGGCGCCTGCCATCCGCCACCACCCTCGAGGCGTGCACTGCTGGGCGTCCAACCCAGGTCGGCCTGGGCAGGACCCTCGCCACCGCCGTTGGCGAGGTTTGACCTGCGGGATATCCTCTGGCTTGCCTGCAGCGACGACACAAGCTGCTTTGTCGGGTGGCAAAGGTGCATGAAGTTGCAGAACCTGGGACACGTTAGCATCACAGAACTGGGCTTGCCCGGCCGCGTCACTCTATACTCACCCTTCACGCTTGCACTCGCCCAGCTCGTTCTGCCTGCAGCACGCCTCACGGAAATCGCTCACGGGTGAGAGCTCGGCCATCAGTGGCCTCATGCCGTACCAGCGGTTGTTGAGCTGGTCGACGGCCTTGGCCGCCTCGGCCTCCCACTCGTATCGCACGTAGACGTTGCCCTCGAGGTGGTCGCCGACATTGTCACACACGTGCATCTCCTGTACGTTACCGTACTTGCACAGCTCGCTGAAGGAAGATGTCAGCTTTTTGCCACCGTGGGCCACCGCAGCTTGTCACTCACATGAAGAAGTCTTCGTAGAAACGGTCAAAGTCGGCCTGCAGCTCTGCCTTGTTCATCGACGCGCCCTCGGCTGTGTGTGCGGGGTTGTTGTAGACATTGGGAAGCAGCACCGTCTGCGAGAAGGTTGGCTTGATGTGCTTACTAGCGACGAGTCAGCAAAGATCAAGAGACATGAGATGGGAGACTGCCTGTGCCAGAGGAACACTTACCGAGAGCAGCGGTCGCCGTGTCTACAGGCGCCGATCTTGAGGTAGAAGGAGCAGTTGACGCGGTCCTGCTCAGTTCCGCTGTGTGGAGAGTTAGCAGAGGAAGGAAGGAGAGGGAAGACGCGGTTGACGTACTAGATGTGAGCGAGGTGGGAGGCCATTTTGGAAGGAGGAGGCTGGAGCTAGGCTGTAGGGTAGTAGCTTTAGTGCCGTCGGGGGAGGAGGAGGAGGAGGACAAGGAGGGAGGACCAGTGGGTGTGAGATGCACGCCAACGAATGCAAGGGGGAGAGAGAGAGATGAGTAGTGGATGGGATGATCTTGTTTGGTGGAGATGACTGTACTAGGAATCATCATAACAATCAGCGCCCGCACTGGTGAGAGGGCAGATCGCCACACGGCGGATATTCCCGGTGTATCGCCGGCTCACCCACAGCCTCCCTCACTCTCCCACGGTGACCTCTCCACCTGGACACACGCCACCCAGCGGCGGTGACGTTGCGGGGCGTAGAGCGCCTGGCTGTGCCAAGTATAATCGACACACGCTGGACGGACGGACGCACAGGTCATCGTCGACCCCCTCCTTCTTGCTCATTGTCTCTTTGCTCTCCATCTCTCTCTATCTCTACCCACAGCTACAACAAACAACCATGGGTGCTTCACGAGGCGACTCTCTCCTCCAACAGGCCGACAAAAAGGCCTCGTCGTCCACAGGCTGGTTCTCCTCCTCGTCGTCCAAGTGGGAGGACGCAGCAGACCTCTACCAGCAAGTACGTGTACACCTCCCTCGCCCGGCAACCCCCTGTACACGGGCTCGCCACCGATATACATCGCACACCACGCTGACACACATTGCAGGCCGGTAACGCGTACAAGGTCGACGGACGGTGGACCGAGTCTGGCAAGGCGTTTGAGCGCGAGGCCGACTGCCGCCTCAAGGCCGACGAGAAGAATGACGCCATGAACGCATTCTACAACGCCTCGAAGAGCTACAAGAAGACCGACCCCATGGCTGCCGTCAACGCGCTGCACAAGACCATCAAGCTGGTCACCGAGGCCGGCAACTTCCGCCAGGCCGCCGACCGCGAAAAGGACATTGCCCAGATCTTTGCCCAGGACGGTCTCGACATTGGCCGTGCGCGCGACTCGTACCAGCGTGCCGGTGACTGGTACAAGCAGGAAGACGCCAACGCCACTGCCAACCAGTGCTACCAGCAGGCTGCCGAGCTGTCCGCCGAGCTGGGCGACTTCCCCACCGCGTTGCAGCTGTACAAGACCGTCGCCGACTGGTCGCTCACTTCCCCCTTGACAAAGTACTCTGTTAAAGAGTACTTTTTGCGCGCCGTCCTCTGCTGTCTCGCCATGGGTGACTTGGTGCTTGCCCAGCGCTCGCTCGACGAGTTTGCCCAAAAGGACGTCACCTTCCCCTCGACCCGCGAGTCCAAGTTCGCCAAGGAGCTCGTGGACGCGTGCGACGAGGCAGACATTGAGCGCTACACCGCCGCCGTCTTCCAGTACGACCAGGTCACCAAGCTTGACAACTGGAAGACAAACATCCTCCTCCGCGTCAAGAAGGCCCTCGAGGAGGACGAGGGCAACCTCACGTAATATTGGTCTTCTCTCTTCTCTCCATACCTCTTTATTTGTTCTCACAACCCTATACAGCAGCATGTATTTGTATCCGGGGCAAGGTGTGTGTGTGTGCATGTGGGGGGAGGGTTTGTCTATGGGGGACTATGCCTTGGGCTCGGCAGGAGCAGCAGCAGCCTCAGCCTTGGCGTCTGCTGGAGCGGCGGCGGCCTCAGTAGCGGGGGCAGCAGGAGCAGCCTCAGCCTTGACCTCGGCTGGCACTTCGGGAGTCTGCGCCGATACGTCCTCTTCGGCAGCCTTGGCCTTCTGGGCCAACTCCTTGGGGGACTCAAACTCGGGGCCGGTAAGGTGCTTGACAAGGTCGGCAGCAACCTTCTCGAGGTCTGCGTTGCCCATGTTGCCCTCGAGCTCGGCAACCTCTCCCGCAGCGAATCCAAACTCGGCATACTCGTGAACGTAGGCCTTGAGACCCACGCCACCGATCGAGTTCTTCTTGAGGTACCTCAGCCAGAGGTCGACAACCTCGCGGTTGGTGTCAAACACCTTGATCGCGCGACGGTGCGTCTTGCGCTCAAAGTTCTCCTGCGACTTCTTCATCACAAAGGGCGACTTGATGACGGTAATAAGCTCCTTGGTGGTGGGCAGAGCGGCAGCACCCGACGTGGGCATCTGGAGCGACTCGGCGGCGTGCAGGGCAAACCGGGTGTACAGGTCGAGGTTTGACGAAGCGTACGAGCGCATGTGCAGAGTAGCGACGTGCACGGCGTCCTTTTTGGGCCGGATGGTCTCGAGCGGGGGAAAGTCCATGTCGAGAATGTGCTTGTGAATGTTGTGGTTCACGCTGCCACCAGTAGGCTGAATGTCCGAGGCCTCAGCGCCCGGGATGGGGAGGGACGAAGCGGCGCGAGTCGACACGGCACTGCACGAGCCCAGTCAGTTGTTGAACACGGCAAAGAGACAGCGAGGGGGAGAGAAGGGTGAGTCGGGAGCGAGACTCGAGGCGAAAGAGGGGGAAACTCACGCAAGACGCGAGGAAGAAGCCGCGGGCGAGGCCACGCGGGCAAAGGCGCCGAGGACGTGTTTTGACGCCATGACAGAGAGGGGGTGGGGAGGGGTGTTGTTGTGGGTATCTATGCAGATGTTCAAAGTCGGTGGCCTCTCTCGACTTTGTCCGAGCGACGACCGGAGAGTGGAACGGAGGAGGGGATATATATGTGGCCCCCCCGTTTTGGGTCTCTGGGTGTGTGGGTGTATTTGATCCCGTCGCCAGCCCATCTCGCTTGTGTGGCACTCGGACCCCGCGCGTTCCTTGTTATTGTCGACGAAGACTTCTGATCTTCTGTTGACACTCATTCACTCATCACACACTCTGCCATCAGATGTCACAGCAGCAGCCGCCTACTCCATCACGAAAACTACAGCGTATGTCCCGTCCACCAGTCTGGATCCCAGTCAAGGACACACCTCCACCACAGACACCTCGCAGGCCCTTCACCATCCGTCGCCGCCGCGCACGGGCGCCACCACCGACAGACACGGCTCTAGAGGAAGGCACGCCGTCGCCCACCACTGATGCAGTGCCGCCTGAACCAGCGGCAGCGGCGCCGCAGTCGCTCGTGATGGACAAGGTCGCAGGGGTGCTTGGCGGGGTGGGTTGGAATGCTCACAACCAGAAGCTGACGCACTCCCAGTACGACAACGTTGACTCTTGGGTGCGTTCTCAAACATTGCGCCGCTGATGCAGATCGCACGGTACCTCCCGGCCCTTTCACTCTTTGCAACCGAAACGTGGATACACGGTATTGGCCTCCTAGATCGTCCCAGCAAGTGCGCATTCTTCATCCTCCTCCTGGCAGTGGTGCAAAGGTGAGTTGAGCCCCGCACCTCATTGCTCATCTCGCAGCGCTCTCCCACTCGCAACATCGCCGCTCTTCTGGTTCTCCAAGTTCCTTTCGGCATGGTTGCTCGCTTACTACAGCCGAAAGGTGTTGCGCAGTGGCATGGCTGTCCTACACCCTGTCACCCAGGTGGCTTCGATTGTGACCACCTTTGCCATTGTCTCCCTCGTCGAGATGATTCAAGCGGCCGCCCAGAAAGCGACAGGTGACATGTCACCAAGTTTATGGCCGCCAATCTTTCTTCCAATCTTCCTTCTCTGTTGCCCAACTGGTGGTCCCGACACCGTAGCATCCTTCGTCACTCGTGGATGTTCGGTGACTCTGGCGCGGTGGACGGCGGTTGTCGATATCCAAGAATACATCCAGCCGCACTTTGGCGAAAGGGAAATCAAAGTGGCAATCGCCCTCGTTGTCGGCATCCTCATGTAAGCTGGAGTGGACTCGAAAAAGCTAACCTTCAGGCGCTTCTCCTTTATTGGCGGCACGGCGATCCCCCTTGCCATCTGGCTTGTACTCACCCTCGAGACCATCAAGAGTCTTGGCACACTCGAATTCGTCCAGACCAACCAGAACTTCTATCCTTTGCTATGTAGCCACCACCTGCTCGCCATCTGGATGTGGCTCTTGGGCTTGACCACCCTCGAGTCTGTACCAGTACTCAACCTCGTGCGCGAGGCGACAGTGTACGGTGTCCAGCCGTTCTATCTCGTCGTTGGGGCCTTTTTTACGGCCATGCTTGTGGCCCAAAGGAAGCAGAATGACTGGGTGAGCTCCAGGCGGGATTCCATAAGCTGACTCTCAGCACGCAGATGCGTGGTATGTTCACGCCTTCCTGTGAGACCGAGTCACCATCGACACAAGCCTGTCCCTCCCATAATCTTTATTTGGCTCTATGTATTGTGGCCACGTATCTGTACGTATGTATGTAACTCGAAGGTTCCAAATACCTTTCCCCCAAGTCGCGCCGACGACCTTCATCGCTCGCTCGCCGTCTCCCTGGCGCCTCCGTGACTACTCTATGCATATACGTCCAACAGATATACTCCTACGGGGGCGACTTTTACATGCGCTCAATGGGGGTGAGGGACAGGGTGCGCATGGCGTGGTTGAGGACGTTGCGGATCTGGACGAAGAGGAAGAGACGGGCACGGGCCTCGCGGTCCTCGGCACCCGAGACCTTAATGGTCTCCCATGCCGAGCCGACCAGGTGCGACAGCTTGAAGCACCAGTTGACAATGGTCGAGGGCTCGGAGAACTTGAGCGCCGACTTGATGATCTCGGGGTAGGCAGCGAGGTGGTAGAGAACCTCGTGGATCTTGGGGTCCTCCAGGACGGAAACGTCAATCTCATCCACAGAGTCGGCAACGGGGACGTTGGGGTTCTTGCGCTCGACGGAGCACAGACGGACGTGCGAGTACTGGATAAAGGGTCCAAAGTCACCCTCAAACGAGGTGCAGCGCTTAATGTCGAAAGTGTAGTCGTTGATACGCTTGCCGGTCAAGTCCTGGATCTTGACGGCAGTCGCACCAATAATGGCCGAGGTGCCCTCGGGGTCCTCGACCTGAGCGTACTTGGCGGCGTTCGACTTCATCTGCTCGTGCATGACGTCCTTGGCGTCGGACAGAATGTCGGCAAGGAAGACGACGGTACCCTTACGGGTGGACATGCCGTGGACCATGCCGAAAGTGACGTGCTCGAGCTTGTCGGCACAGGGCTCGCCCATGAGGTCAAGGGTCTTGAACAGCTGCTTAAAGTGCAGAGCCTGGGCAGAGGCAGTGACGTAAATGTGCTTGTCAAAGTGGTAAAGCTCCCACTTGTCGTGGGCACCACCGAGATCACGGGTGAGGTAGATCGAGGTACCGTCGGCCTTGCGGATAATGGCACGGTCCATCTTGTACTTCTTCAGGTCGACAAGGAGGGCACCGTTGTCCTCCTTGCAGGTGAGGCCCTTCTCCTCACAAATCTGGATGGCGCGCTCCATCGACTCGGGCTTGACCTGCGACTCACCCCAGTAAACGTCAAAGTTGACGTTGAGGGTGGCGTAGGTCTCCTTGAGCTTCTCAATCGAGAGCTCACGGAAGCGGGTCCACTGGGCAATAGCAGTGGGCTCGCCGTCCTCCATGTCCTTGAAGACACGCTTGGCGGCGGCGTGGATGGTCGACTCGGGGTCAATGGCCTCGCCGGCGTTGAACTTGGCCTTCTCGGCGTCATTGTCCTTGTTGATCTTGACGTAGACCTCAAACAGGTGGTGGATAGGGTCGGCCTTGAGGGCCTCCTCGTCTCCGTAACGGTCGTAACCGAGCGAAAGGAGACCGTACTGGGTTCCCCAGTCACCGAGGTAGTTGAGACGCGTCACCTTCCAGCCGGCAGTCTCGTGCAGGTTGCAGATAACAGTTCCAATAATGGTGGAGCGGAGGTGGCCAGCGTGGAAGGGCTTGGCAATGTTGGGCGACGAAAAGTCGACAAGGAGGTGCTTGCCAGCACCCTCGGTGCTGCAACCGAACTCCTTGTTGTGAGCGGCAGGGTCGGCCTTGGCGGCAGCCGCCATGCTGCTAATCGCCCGGAGGTGGTGGTAGGCAAACGCCTGCTTGCTAGCGAGACGTTAGCACTACGCTTCACAAGTGCAACATCCTACTCACTTGACGTCGAACATGAGGAAGGGGCCCTGGGGCTTGAACGAGGCAATCAAGTTGTTGGGCTTGAACTGCGAGCTGTCAGCGAGCCTTCCCGTTGTTCAAATCCAAATCAACGTACAGCCTCCTCGACCTTCTTGATCCACTCGTCAGGCTTGCCCTTCTTAAAACGGGGCACAGCAAGGGCGAGGTCGGTGCCCTTCTTGCCGGTGTCAACACCGGCGTAGATCTTGGAGACATCCTCCTCCCAAGCGTCGGCGACAATCTGGGCAACGGCAGCCTTAAAAGCCTGGATGGGCTCGTGAACGTAGTCGGTGCCGGCAATGACGGGGAGAGTGGGGTACTGAAGCTGAGCCGACATGGTGGTGGTCGTGCTTGTGGCGTACGTGCGGACTGTGGAGAGAGAGTTGTGGATAAGGGAGCTAGGGGTGGGGACAGGCTTTTGAGCTGGGTTCAAAAGCAGTGATGGGAGGGGCCGCAGTGATGGTGCGAGAGCGAGGCGGCAGCGCGTCAGACGTGCGAGTGACAGACGCGGAATTGTGCTGATATGGGTGGTTGAGAGAAAGAGAACACACTACCGGGGTTGGTTCGAGTCGTCGCCGTTCAAAGCGACTCAGAGCAGGACCATCGACGGGCTCAACATTTCGACGCTGGAGCAGTCACGTGACCACCATATGGTTGAACCGTTTCTAATGGCGAGATAAGGATAAGCCGCCGATTAACAAACCCACCACTAATGATCTAATGACGACATTTGAGGGCACAGGTCCGGTCCACTCATCTCCCGTCACACTCTCATCCTCATCACAATTCTCCACCACCACCCTCCGCCGTCATGCCCGCCGATGAGCTCTACAAGCCGGCGTCGCCGCGCTCAGAGGTCGACTCGGACGATGACCTCGACCGCCCAGGCCCTTCGCGCACCCGGGGCGGCAAAAAGGCAAAGGCAAAGGGCAAGGGCAAGGGCAACATGAACGCATGGGAGGCGACATACAAGCGTTCATGGGACGTGGTACAAGAGGACGAGCAGGGCGGATTGCAGGCCGCAGTAGACAATTTCATCGCCCGTGGAAGGAGAAAGCGGTGAGTAGTTGGCTGGAGCGCTGCATGTCAGGCAGGATGCCGTGCTGATCAGCCTCCAGTGCACTCCAGTCCGAGGCGCCGTTGCGCCGCTCGCTCGTCCGACACATGTTCATCGTAGTGGACCTCTCCGAGTCCATGCGAGACAAGGACTTTCGCCCCTCCCGCTTTGACCTCACGCTCCAGTACCTGCGCTCGTTTGTGGTCGAGTGGTTTGACCAGAATCCTTTGGGCCAGGTCGGTATCATTGTGCTCCGCGACCGCCTTGCCGAAGTTCTGGTACCAATGGGAGGTAGGTACATACGAGACGAGAGTTATGGCTGATCCATTAGGAAACCCACAAGAGATCATCGCGTCTCTCTCTGACAAGCGCAAGCTGGAACCTTCTGGCGAACCGTCGCTGCAGAACGGCCTGGTGATGGCGCGTGGCGGCATGAGCCACCTTCCTTCCACCTCGTCGCTCGAGATCCTGGTCCTCTTCAGCGCCATCAGCACCGCGGACCCAGATGGCGTGATGAACATTCACCAAGTCCTCGACGAGCTGGTGACCGGTCGCGTGCGCACCACCATCATCTCCCTTTCGGCAGAAATCAAGATCTGTCGTCAAATCGCTGACCGTACCGGGGGACGGTTCGGTGTCGCCATTGACGAGGACCACTACAAGGACTTGCTGTGGGAGACTATCCCGCCTCCAGCTCAGACGGTCGCAGCGCCGACCACGCTGAATGTCCGTGACGCTCTCGCGCGCGGTGGCAAGGCTCCCGGAGCCGGCGTCAAGCCTGCAGGTGACCTCATGGTCATGGGATTCCCCACGCGCTTGCCTGCCGGCGAGAGCTTTTGCGCGTGCCATGGCCTCCTGAAGCGTGGAGGATACATGTGTCCCAGGTGTGGTGCCAAGCTGTGCGATGTGCCGACCGATTGTGAAGTGTGCGGTTTGATGGTCGTCAGCAGCCCTCATTTGGCTAGAAGGTATGTTCTATTGCCACCTCAGCAAGCTAACCTGCAGTTTCTGGCTTCTTTTCCCCGTCGCGGCATACGGCACATTGTGAGTAGCAATAGCTGTCACCACAGTCCACAGTAACTGACCGCAGACCGTGCGAGGGTCTCCAGCAGGCGGCGCTGGCTGAGACGTGTTTTGGCTGTGACAGAGCTTTCCCATCGGTAAGCTGCGATTGCCTCCACATGTGAAGCTGAAGCTAGTTATCCTCGGTTACCGACGATCCGCAAAGGGACAGCGCTATCAGCGCAACAGGACGTTATCGCTGCGCCAAGTGCTCCAATGACTTCTGTGTCGACTGCGACATCTAGTGGGTTTGAAAAGCGTCATCATGTTACTGACCCCCAGCGTGCACGAGACGCTGCACACCTGCCCCGGCTGCTCCCAGTAGACCTCTCTGTGTGCCCATATATATGCAATACATTTCGATGTCTCTTGTCTCTGAACTCTGCATCTGTCTCTCGCTCTACTGCCTTGTCTCCTCTAGTACTTGTGACGGGTCGAGTAGTCGCGGGGCGCGACGACGAGACCGCGACCCTTGGACGCTCCGCGGTAGACGGTCTCGATAATGTCGACCATCTCCTGCTTGTCGGTAATGGCCCAGTTGATCTTGTTGTTGTTACCGGTACCCAGGTCAATCATGATGTGCTTGTTACTGAGAGAGAAATGTGTCAGCCCCATGATCCAGTTTTGGCAGCTGACTGTCCCCCTTCCTCGCATCTAGACTCACCGGTAAAAGAACATGAGCGTACACTGGTCATACAGCTCGTACATCTTGGTGAAGTCTGGCACTTCTGTAATGTCGACCAGGTAGATGGTGGCAAAGTTTTGCACCTTTTCGCTCACGCCGTAGAGCGTCTCGTCCATGGCCATGCACTCCGGGTCGTGGTCGTGGCCAAAGCGGATGCACACAACACGGTCTTCCTCAACGAGGATGGACTGCAGGCTGTCAGCTACGGTCAAGTTGTTGGACAGCTGGGGACTGGCCGAGGGAGGATTCGTACGGGATGAAGATTCATCCTCCTCTTTAGAAGCCTTACTACCCTTCCAAGTCCCCAATAACCATCGGCGCACCGAACAGGATGCCCGTCACTCAAGCGCCGAACTCACCTGGTCAACATGCCAGCCGGATGGGAGACTGCACGGGTCAGCTGGATCCGCAAGATGCAGGTCAGCCAACTTACTGGGTCATAAAGTACGACATGATGTTCTACGACGAATATTGGACCGGCCAAGGAAGCGAGAGACGAGAGAGACGAGTGTAAGTGGAGGAGTGTGCGTCAACAACAAAGGTTACATTTGAGATTCCAATCATCTGGTGTCTGGTGGCAACAATGTCAACTAACATAATTTGCTTCCGCACTTGTCATTCATTTCTCCGTAATCGTCGTCATTTGCATGACGGCGACGACAATGGGCACCGCTACAGATGTATTCACGCCAGCACTACTCTAATGAGGTGGACAGGGAGGACAGCGACGTGGTGGTCCCTGCTCTTCAAGCACAGGCACACCTTAGAGGGCGGCAGCAAGACGCTTCTCGGCCTCGGCCCAGTTCATGACGGCCCAGATGTTCTTGAGGTAGTCGACCTTGACGTTCTTGTAGTCGAGGTAGAAGGCGTGCTCCCAGATGTCAATGCCGAGGATGGGGACGTGGGCTAGAGAGAATCGTCAGTCAACTAGACTTTAATATAATGAGCTGGCGACGTACTGAGGAGGGGGTCCTGGTTGGCAGTGGTGACGATCTCGAGCGACTTGGTCTTGGGGCTGTAGCCCTAATGTGGTCGTCAGCAGCTTGCCGACGCATACACCTAGGCCATTCCACTCACGAGCCATCCCCAGCCAGAGCCCTGGATACCGGCGGTCTTGGCGTTCATCTCAGTGATGAGGTTCTCGAACGAGCCAAAGTCCTTCTTGACCTGGTCGGCGAGCTTGCCAGACGAAGGCTGCTGAGTCTCCTGCGAGCCGGTGGGCGCGAGGTTCTTCCAGAAGAGCTGTGGCATTAGCTTCTCTTGCGGCAACGTAGCTGCGCGCCGTGGCGCGTTTGTCAACAACACGATGCGCCGCGGCGGGAAACCGGGGTACTAACCGAGTGGTTACTGTGGTCGTCAGTACCTACACGTGGACAGCTAAGATACAACGTACATGTGACCACCGCCGTTGAACTTGAGGGCGGCCTGGAGGGAGATGAGGCCCTTGACGTCCGAAGCGGCCTGGAGCTTGGCAAGGTTCTCCTCGGCGGCGTTGAGGCCAGCGACGTAGGTAGCGTGGTGCTTGTCGTGGTGAAGAGTCATGATCTGCTTCGAGATCGAGGGCTCAAGGGCCTGCGTGGAGTGGCCAGGGTATGATGGTGAGGCATAGCAAGAGGTGGGCAGGCGTAGATGACGAGGAGTGGACGTGTGATAACAAGGTCAACAGGTAGAGGGTGGTGGAATGAAAGTGGAACGTGCGGGAAAGATCGCCGAGGGAGACAATCACGACGACACATGGATGACCATGACGAGGAGCATCAAACGGACCGTTGGTGTAGGTAACATGGGTGGGTTGATATGAGGTAGTCAGGGAGGACAAAGAGGGCATGCGTCAGCATACGGACGACAAAAGACCCACTTGGCGGGCATACTCACCTCGTAGGCGTACGGGAGGTCGGGGAGGGTGTGCTTGCCACGGGCAGCGGCAGCGACGACGAGGGTGCGGCGGGCGAGCGACGCGCGGGGTAGAGCACGGGTGAGGGACATTGTGATGTTGTTGTTTTGGGGTGGACGATGAGACAAGAGAGGGAGGGAGAGGGAGCGAGAGAGATGTGGGAAGACGACGACGACTAAACAGCAACCCACCCACCGCTTAGCCAGCGGACAACGTCGGACTTCGCGCCGTCACATCGCCGAAATTGCGTCACAGGTCCGTCTGCGTCCGCCCAATCAGTGCCACCACACTTGGCCACTTGGTAGTGACTCACCGGCGCCAATCCAAATAAAATATACAGAGAGTAACATGCTGGCTGGCTTGAAAATGGTACAAAGTACAAAAGTGTCTGAATGAATGCACTGCGATCATGTACTGCTGCAGTGCAAAATGCGTTGGTAATGTGGTCATGGCGGTGGGCCCACATTCAATCGTCCTCCTGGTCCTCGTCGTCGTCGTCGCTCGCCGCAGCGTCGTTCCCGATCGCGTCCCACAGCGTCTCTTGCACAACGCCTCGGATTTCACGGTAATCTTGGTCATTACCACCTGCCTCCTCAACCCCCTCATCCTCCTCGTCTTGGCCATAGCACAGACGCTGGAGTGCATCGTAGTTGATACGCGTGCTTCCCCGTGCCTTCGTCGCGAGTGCCGACCCGCCAACGGCTCCACCACTCTTAGGCTCCTTGGGCGTTGTGAGAGCTCCCTTTGGGCCCTCGGGGACATCGCGAGGGTGATCCCAGACTCCTTGCTGGCGGTACATACGTTCCTTCTTCTTCACCTCTGCGGGAGTGCACAGAAGTTCTGCCCACTTCTCGTCACCCTGGGCGAACAGGATGTCGAGCTCTGCGTCGAGCTGGGTATCGTCCAGTGCTGCCCCGATGGGTGCCAGTTTGTCCTCCCAGTGTGAGGAGCGACCGAGCTGGCGTTGGAGATCGATGACCGAGTGGACCACGAGGTGGGGCGGAAACTCGAGCGGCTTGATACCCAGCCTGAGCAGGCTCTCGACCGGCGACCACTCCTCGGCATGAGCGCGGATGAATGGCCCCAAGTCCTGCTTGCGTGGGTCGCCCCGGATACCAAGGCTGAAGAGGTAGTCGCGCGTGATACTTGCAGGGATGATGCCTTTGGCCTTGGAATCGGTAACCCAGGCGTTCATGGCGTTCTGTACTGCAACGGGAGAAATCCTCCCCTTCCGAGCTTCATAACGCGGATGGAAGAAAGCGTACTGTTCACGCTCGCGAAGGAGAAGGCCAATGTGACGAGTTGCCTCTGTTTCCACCACAGGTACAGCTCCTGAAGCCGTGGCCTCGGTTAAGGCAGGCGACATGCTGATCTCACGAAGAGAGGGGCTGGGTGGGGGCAGGTAAGGGGATGGATGGGCCGATTTGGCCGAGGGGGCGTCAGTGTAGGCAGTCAAGCTGGGAGAGGGAGCTCGAGACGATGGGCTGGTTGCTGGAGGCGACATTGGAACAGGAGGTTCCAGACGAAACCGCTTGCGAGCGTGCATGCCAGTCGAGTCCGGAGCGCCTGGCCGCTTGGGTACAGCATGAGCAGCACCAACGGGCACTGTAACACGCGGGTCCGACTCCTTGGTAGCCACACGGAATCCGTCCGGTCCAATGCTGAAGCCGAATGCGACAGGCTTGCCAGCCTCAGATGTGCCCAAGCCAGAATCTGAATCCATCCAAGCAGCGACGCGAGTTGGAGGCGGTGGGATTGAATCGTCGTCCGAGTCGCCACCCACTTCGTCGTCTGACGAGTCGTCTCGAGTGGCCAACATGGCTTCGATCGTGGGTGACTTGGCACGCGCAGCGCTAGCGACGTTCATCCGTCGCAACATGTCCTCACGGGTGGTGCCGCGCGCCGTCATCTGTGCTTGGCTGGACACTGCAGATGGCGGCTGGGAGGTGGAACGGTCCACTGGAACAGCAGAGCCCGAGCGAGACGGGGTCTTGCTGCCGAAGCGTGATGCTGGGGCGGACGCAGTCTTCCGTGCTCGCATTTTGGCGCTTTGGGCTGCTGCCTTCTTGAGCTTAAAGTCGGTATCGTAGACACGAGCAAAAATCTTGGCGGCCATCGTAAACTCGGTGTCGAGAGGCAGGGCCATGGTGCGCGTCTTCAAGCGGGTGTACATGATCTTGCGCCAGTTTGCAGCCACTAGTGGGGCAGCAGCCACAGACATGACTGCCTCTGGGATAGGTCGACGCTTGTCGCTAGCATACCCGGTGATTCCGTCACCCATGGTACCTTTACGTGGAGCAGCGAGTATGGGGACAGTGATGCCAGCCTCGGGGAAGCTCGTAGACCAACCGATGAGTTGGTCTGTGAGTTCGTTCCTTCGACGTACAGAGTTATCCATGTTGCCGCCATAGGGAAGCGTGAGCTCCCTGGTCCACCCAACCATCGCCTGGAGTGGTGTGCCGACGACTGCCTGAATAGCCCAGATAAAGACCGCCGATGCAATGTTGACTGAACAGAGGTTGCCCCAGAGACAGACGACCTGCTGAGCGCAGAAGAGGTTGTAACCGACTTCAAGGGCTTGACTCCAGTCTACCTTGGACATGTACGCCCAAGATTCGGAGTCGAGGACAAAGTCGTCCACGCCAGCGGTGTCAACTGTCTTCTTCTTCCGCAATGCGGTAGGCTTGAGGTCACGAATGTGAAGGTGGCGGACACGAACATCAGGTGGCAGCTTGAGGAGCAGTTGCACGCGCTGCGAGAGGGCGTAAAAGTTGGCCATTGTAATGTCGACTGCTGACCAGTTGCGAACGAGGAGCTTTTTGAATTGCACCTGCATACGGCGCAGAGCATCCATGCTATCGAGGTAGCCAATGTGGTCAGGCCCAAGCGATTGGGTACGGGACTGGATACGTCAGCGGAGGGTCTACCGAGTCACTCACAAAGATAAAGTCCAGGGATGGGGCCATGACAGAGCCATCGCCACGGGATGAGGAGGCCGATGCAGCCGACGGATCAGGCGGCTTGACATGGGCCAGGCGATTGTTGACCACGAAGATGTTGCTCTCTTGGATGGCAAACTGGATGGCGACAGCCAGCCGGAACTTGACCTTTTTGGCGCTGTTGCGAGTGGGCGCGTGCTTGTAGCCGTGATCACGTTGCTCCTTGTGTCGCATGCGATTGTACCAGGTCTTGGCTCCAGCCTTGAAGTGCTCAGCCGACCGCTCCACGAGACGGGATGTCGGATCCACGAGGTAGACGTCGAGGAGCTGGTTGATGAATTCCTGTAAAGGTCAGTCAGTAGCAGTTTCAACTCATCAGCGCCACAGCCAACTCACTTCATGTGTCTTTTCGTTGTACTCGCGGAACTGAATGTCGGAGGTGCCGTGCTCGTTCATGAGTGTGCCAAAGGTGTGAGACACATCGATGGTGTTGCGGCTGTAGGTTGCACGCTCGTCGACGGCACCGCAGAAACCGCATGCGACGAGGGAGCCGTGGACCTTGCCGTCTACGTCTTCGGGCGCAACGCCTGCCTCCCGGCACTCCGGGCAGACATACATGCGGCTGGGCGGGGCCGTTGGGCCCAGGTGGTGAAAGGAAGCAGTGTAGGAGGAGAGTGATGAATTGTGTGGTGTGTAGTTGCAAGATCCAAGATGCTCCTCCTTGGCCCCTTTTGGCTTCCTCGTTGTCCTGATCAGAGATGATCAGAGATGATGTCAACCACCGTCAACGACGGCTGGGTGGCAAAAACAATGAACGCGCCGGCCGGGAAATTGCGGCGTTTCAGGACCACGTGGCCGGTTCATGACGCGTGCACGCGCGCAGCCCGCACGCCGCGCCGCCGCAGCTTGTTGACAGACACGGCAGTCTTTCCATCTCGTCCTCTCCATCTCCATCTCCATCCGTCATCCCTCTTCCCCACAGCCATGTTCGCCGCCGCCCGCTCCTCCATCGCGAAGCAGAGCATCCGCGTACATATCTACAGCGTCCAGTTCTGAGGCCTCTTTCAACGCGGGCCCATCGTGATCCGCCTACTGACGTCACAGTCCTTCAGCACCTCGCGTGCCGTGTCCCAGGACATGAGCCGCCTCACCCTCATCGGCCGTCTTGGCGGTGACCCCGTCCAGCGCGAGGTATGCCCTAACAACACATGTAGACATGTAAACTGACAACGATAGACTACCACCGGCAAGCCTTACTACACCTACGCTGTGGCCACCATGGTCGGACCCGGTACCCAGGACGAGCAGGGCAGTGAGTGGAGGACGCACATCGCATCAGGCGTCGGCTAACCAATAGACCACCTCCCACCCCCCACCTCGTGGCACACTGTGTTTGCCTTCTCGGAGACCTCGCACAAGATCCTCGGCAAGATTGGCAAGGGGTGAGTTGCTGGTTTGGATATTCGTTTGCTGGTCGAATCTAATGCCGCCCAGCTCTACTGTCTACGTCGAGGCCGAGCTTGAGATGCGTTCAGGCGGCGCTGCTGCTGACGGCTCGCCTCTCCCTGACCGTCCCCTCCTCCGTCACCGTAAGTGCAGCTGACGTTTCTTCCTTCCGTGGTGTTGGGCTGACGATGACAGGTACCATCAATGTCATTAACCGCGTCCGCCCCCAATCTGACGAGGTCGTCGATGTTGAGACTGAGGAGCAGAAGGATTAAGTGGCGATGGCATCTTGATCGCTCAGCATAAACTTGAGACCGCCTTCCCAACACACATTGTCATCTTGTCACCATCATGACTGCATTGACATTTGGCCTCTGACTCCCCCACTGTATCGCAAGACCCCGCTCATAGAACCACACCATGGAATGCACTTCATTCGACTGGCGCGAGGACAATGAGCAGGAGCACGGAGGAGAGGAGCGACGTGTGCAAGATGGAGAAGAAAAGTGTTGTGGATCGGCAACGCCTGCGGCAACCTGCGGCAAAAAGCAAGTTGTTGGTACATATCTAGGTCTAGTTTTACAGTGATGTGCAGCGCCCGGAGAACACAACTCAAGGATGGACGGCAGGCGTTGCAGTAGCACTTGCGGTCGTTACCTCTGGTGGCCCTCCGTCTGCGGTCGGCGTGGGCATCTCCCCAAAGGCTCGCAGGACGGCGCTTGTTGGTCAGCTACTTTACTCAAAAGCCGCCCATTCAATGTATGCACAGTGCCATCACACGGCGACACCACCAGCGCAGTCACGAGTGAATTGGAGCACAAAAACAACACTCACTGCTTCCTCTCAATCTGCTCCTCGAGCACCCTTGTCACAGCTACGACGCCGTCGACGCCGAGGTGACCACCCGGCAGGTCGTTGGCCGCCTTCTTCATGTTGGCAAGCTGGGTGTTGACTTCCTTGGCCTATGGAGTGAGCTCTTGTAGATCGCAGAGTGCTCAGACGTGCGGGGGGAGGGAAGGACGGAGTGGGGGTAGTGATAACCGGTGGTGAAGTGCTCCATCAAGCTGTGATCCCAAGACCCACGCTTTGCCTCCCCTCCCCTCATGGCATACGGTCATCGCAATACATACCTTGGCAACGATCGCGTCCGTCGTGGCAGCAGCATCGCCTTCCGCCAACCCATAAATGAGCTGTAGGACATCCTCGACCGCCGGGAGGATGGAAGAGAACGTACCCTGCGGGAGCGCTGGTGCTGTTTCTGCTGGTGCCGGTGCTGGTCCCGATGCAGTAGCGGGTGCGGTGGTGGTGATTATGGGGATAGATCCGCTTGGTTGCTGTGCAGCGGCCATGGTGGTGGATGGAGAGTAGACGGGTGGTGGATGGATGAGTAGACGGAAAGTGAGGGATGTGTGTTTTGGATTGCAGGGTGGAGGTGGTCCACCCTGGGAGTGATCGGCAAGTCCCGGGTCAGTAAGGCGTGGGGGTGGCACTCACTGGTTAATGTCTGTTGTGCTCTCAGTCACACTGCACGACCTGAACAGTCTAGATACAGCATACAGGACAATGTTGGTGCGCTCTCACATGTGTAAAGTACAGGAAAATACAGTAATAACTAGCCTCTGATCTCTACGTCCCTCAACAAGATTCCGGTCGCGCAGACCTCCTCGCCCTCGCCTCCTCCAGCCTCGCCACGATACTGGCCTGATGTATAGGCTTCGTGATGATCACATCCGCCCCGGCAGCCAGGTACTCATCTTGATCTTCGCGCAGCGCGTTGCCCGTACAGCCAACAATGAACAAATCGCACTTGACCGCACGCACTTCACGGGCCACTTCCACGCCTGACATTTGTGGCATTTGGCTAGCAAACGTTAGCGTAATCCCTTCCAACAATACTCACTTGTCGAGGAACACAATGTCAAACACCGCCGCTCCCGGAGTCTTACGGTGGGACTCCATGATGAGGTCCAGTGCGTCCTTGCCGTGCTCGGCGGTTGTGACTTGGTGGCCCAAACGCTTGATCATACGGGACATGAGCTTCCGCGTGAGTGGATCGTCGTCGACTACGAGCGTGGACAAGGGTGTGGTAGAATCGTTCTGCGATGGTAGGGGGGGTGGATCTGTGGTTGATCGGACAGCGCTTGGCCGACGGACCAGTGCAACGGTAGGCGACAAGGGCGGCGATGGCTGCCGCGGTGTCAAGTCTAGGCTCGTGTTCCAAACAAACGGGGTCGTCGGGCCCATGTCTGGTGCTGAGTTGCGTCGTCGTCCAAGACGAATAGCTTCACCGGACATGGTACGCAATCTGAAGTTGGCCTCGGACGGACTGGTGGGCGTTGTGTTTGGCGACGGAATCGCATAGGGAATTTCAAACCTGGTCGTCAGCTCTGGGTCGTTAGGAGGATGAAAACAAAACAATCACCAGAACGTGCTTCCTTTACCCAGCTCGCTCTCAACGCCAAGTCGCCCGCCACTGAGCTTGACAATCTGCATGACGAGCGCCAGTCCCAGTCCTGATCCCTTGCCCCCTTGTCGTCGTCCAATTTCTGTTTGAACATATGGGGAGAAGAGTCGGTTATCTTTCACGTCGGCGTACGTTAGCCCAACGCCCGAGTCTGCCACCTCAACTCGGATAACAGCCGTGGTGTATGGCTGCTGTCCAACGGAATCCTGCTGCGCAATACTTCGCTTGCTGTCCATACGCTTGCTGTCCATATGGTCAAGCATAGGAGAGTCGCTGAGGCCAGGGCTGCACCCAGGCGGCTCGGCGTTGGCCGTCGAATCAAGTGAGGACGGGGCAGGCTTTTCACCATTACCGACAGTCGCGTCCGAGTCGGCCGCGGATGGGAGACGCGGGTACACAAGTGCCGTCCTGATATGTATGCTCCCCCGCTCCGTAAACTTGATCGCGTTCGAGACGAGGTTTGAAACGATTTGACGCAGCCGCATTTCGTCTCCAATAAATATACCACCACAGACCTCGTCAACGCGGGGATCAAGGTGGAGTTTGAGCTCAAGTTGGTCAGACTTGGGCTTCTGGGAGAACGCCACAATTTGGATGTACTTGTGGAAAGCAAATGGTTTGCGCGCCTGTGTGAGGTTGCCGGATTCCATACGGTTGAACGAAAGAACATCATTCAAGACCTTTTCCATCATGTTCAGCGTGCTGTGCAGGCCGAGGACCATGTCTTGCTGGTCCTCGGATAAGTGGCGGAACGCGCCCTCCTCGTCGAGGTTCTGGAATGATAGCAGTGCGCCATTGAGCGGAACGCGGACCTCGTGGAAGACTGCGAGAGATGAGTTTCTGATCGTCCTCGTCCGACTCACTGTATGAGACAAAACGCTTCTTGGACTCCTCTGCTCGGCGTTCCATCACCTGTGCTCCCTGGACCGCCCGGTACTGATCCTTCAGCTGGGAGCGGAGGGAGAAGAGTAATCGGTCTGAGTGGTCCCGGAGGTACGAGTTGACCGTGAGGAAGATGTGGAACAGGAGGACTGGCGGCGTGTGAGGTTCTTGTTCTCATGGCAAGACTCGACGTACAAAGAACCATGTTATACGCTAGACCCCTAGGGGTGTCCGGGACGGAGTCGCTATAGAGCAACACAAGCGCCAGGATGAAGTATGCGATGGTCGTAATGAGGTAGACTACCCGGTTCATTCCCAGGCCGATCAGTGCAATGGTCGGGAACGCAAAGAGCGAGGCGAAAAAGAAGAGCAACGTCTCCGTGCCACAGGAACTAGACGCGGTGCCATGGCTCTAGGAGGTGAGCAAAGGGGTGGAAGGGAGGCCTCACTTTGCAATTATACTGGAACATGTTGGTCAGTTTTTCTTTCTACCGATGTTACACAAGCTTACAAAGGCAATTAGTTGAAAAAGCTGAGTGTCAGTCACGGATGCCATCGACGGCTTGACTCACTCCCAAATCCCATGCAACACCAACGACGAAGAGCTGATACACGATGGGGAATCGTCTTTGTCCGCTAAGGTAAACGAACAAGGGCAAAGGCAACGAGAAGAATCCATCAACGCCGATGAATGTCTGTCAAGGTCAGCATAAGCAGCTCTCAAGCTCAAACTTGCCCATTGCTGGAATTTTGATACGGGGCGCCAGCTGAGGGCCGAGAATGACACAGCCCAAGCGAGGATCATGTAAATGGCGGCCCACATTGCACTCGTCCGGTTGGCTCGCCATTGCTACTGGGTTAGCTCGTGGTCCAGAGCTGTCAACCCACCTCCCGTTGGAAGGTATCCTCTTTGGCCTTATCCGGGAAGCTCGAGTTCCAAAAGCTACACAGTGGCAGCCATACGCGGCGGTACAGCAAAGTGTACAGGAGGCCAGATACGCCTTGATTGAAACTGTGTCGAGCCTTGCCGCCCGCCTCAGTACTGTACGCGCTTGCAACGTCCGTGTCCGGTGGTACAGTGACCTCCTCTTGGTCGTGTTGTCTTTCGTCGAGCGAGTATCGTAAGTGGCGCATTGGGTCGTCCAACCTGTTGTCGACGGCCACATACGACACTGGTCCGGCCGCATCCTGCTCCTGTTGTTCCTCTTCCACCACCACCCCACATTCTGGTCCCTTACGCCTCCAGCGACGTCCAGCTGAGGCGGTAAAGTGCCCGTCTGGCTCCCACAGCGGCTCACGGCCTGGCGTTGCACGACAACCAGAGTCTGCGTTGGCCTCAATGTCCAAGGCCGCATTGCTGTAAATGTCCGACGATGTGCGGGATGACGAGTGGGCGGCGGCGGCAAGCTTGCGCAGCCACGTCGTGCCGAGGCCCCTCAGCCCGCTCACGCCTGTTCGGAGTGGCTCGCCCTGGGCATCAAAGCGGAGAGGGAGAGGGAGAGAAAGAGGGAGCCCGCTGCTAGTCGGGGGGTCTGCGCCGTCGGCAGCAGCCATAACCGTTACTACCCTGGCTCGTTTGGTGGTGGCTGAGGAGGTGCAGAGGCCGTCTGTTGTGGCTTTTGTGTTGGCCCGTCGTAAACGTCCGCAACAAGGGTGTGGTACCGCCGAGCGTTTGAACAAAAGGAAGAGGAGAGTAAGGTGTGTTAAGAGGCCATGGGGATGCTGTGTGTTCACAGAATGTTGCTGCTCTGCACGGCAGAGTACGTCAGGCCGATGGGTGTGGGTGTGTGGGGCTGAAACCCCTTGGCAATGCTGGTGTCATTGTCGCGGATATACAAGGGGCCGAACACGTTACGTAAATTGGCCTTGGCTCAACAAAACACTCCTCTGCAGTGTCTGCTCGTTGAACATGTTGCACATGTTGCATGTTGCCTCTTGGGCTGAGAGGGAAGCTGTTGCTCCCATTTAGGGGAGGGGAGTGGTGTACGGAAACATGTATAGATGTTAAACAGAACATGACAACACAACACTCAGCGTGTTTGTTATAGCTGACACCCACTGACAATGGCCACCCACAGCGTCGTTTGCACCGATTGACATTCCTCGCCGACATTTAGCTCCCACGGTGGCCTCTGCTAAGCCAAGCAGCAGTTTAGGTGCAACCATGCCAATTGCTCTCTAAATCTTACAACGACGCCCATAAAGCTCTAAACCTTTGCCCCGCGTACGTTGATGGTCCTGTGGCAGCATGTGGCAACACAAAGCCCCATGATCCCATGAGCCTCGCGAGTCACCGCTTGTCACCATACCACACGTCTCCCTCAAGAGGCTGTCTTGTGTCATTCCCAAGCCAGTCCCCTCTGCCCACGACTCAAAGCCGCATCAACCCTGTTTTGACCTTCAGCGCGCACTCCACTCGTATTAGGCCTCGTCCGTTCTCAGGGTTGGGACGACGACATGCGCTGCCCGTGAAAAGCGGACAACGCCGCCTCCATGGTCTACTGCAGCAGCAAGGTGTCCGCCTTTTTAGAGCATCGTTGTTGTTGTCAGCTTGTTAGACTGCTCCTAGCGGAAAACGGCGCAACGCACAAACGCGTCACGGTTTGCTGGAACAAATTTACCGCTCCTCTGGTTGCACTGGATCGCTGTGAACGAGTGTCGAACCCCACGAGGCACAGCACCGTTACCCGGGGCGCCACAAGGTACTGTAAGTACTGTCCATTAGCCCGTGTTTGATGCACTTCAGGTGGCTCGACACGTCTGTTGGGGGAGTGGGTGACTAACTGGGCAAGACACAGGAGCGAGATGGTCGCTGTGGGGTGGGTGGATGAGGTGTGGGGGTCGGTCGATCAGGAACTGGCCTGTTGCCTGTGGCCTCTGGGCGAGTTGGCTCTCCAACGCGCGCTCCCATGTACGCATGTGTGTCATCTATCCTCACATGCTGCCTGCACTCCTCTCATTCCATCCTCCAGATCTCGGAGGACAGTCGAGTGTCATATAACAGCCTCGGCTGTTGCATATCAATCTCCCCTCTCGTCATCTCGCTTGTTCACTGCACACTGCCGACGCCTAAAGCGTCAATATTGTCCGTAACTATCAAACCGATCCAGTGTCCTGTCTCTCCTTTCCGTATGTGCGTCCGTCCGTGCAGTGCGCAGCGCGTGAAATCCCCATGTCGACGTGTTGAATTACACCAAATGACCATTGTGCAGCAAGTGCACTGCCTGTCGCCTGCTAGCCCTGCACTAGTTGAAAACTGGTGGCGACGGAAAAAGTGGAGCGTGCACCGAAAAGCACAGGTGAACCATATATCAATTCAACGGCCCAGTAGGGCTTTCCTGCGTCTGCGTCGCGTTAGCATGCAACCCCATTCCTTGGTCACCAGACTTACACACACTACAGTCATCTTGGGCCCACGTATGTTGCTGTGCGCAGCGAGGATGGTGCGGGGTGTAGGGTTGGTCGGTCGGGCTGTGGGTGTTTGTTGACGGGCCGTCTCACATGATAACGCATGCACAACCCTCGCGCGCCTCAGCCTTCGACAGACGCTTCTCAATCTGCTTGAGCCGCTTGTCCACATCTTGCAGTGCCTCGACCTTTTGCTCGAGCACCATTATCCTTGCTTCGTAGCCATGCACCGCATGTCCCACGTCTGCCACTTCCACATTGACGTGCTTGAACCCGGTGTTTGCGACCCTCATGACGCGTTCCACGGTGCCGTGGACGCTGTCGACGCTCTGTTGCAGGAGGACCAGCCTCGAGTCGAGCTTCTCGTCCAGGGCGCGCTCGAGGACCTCGTCGACCTTGTCTTCTAACCGATCGTCAAGCTTGTGGTCGAGCAGGTCGTCCGCCTTGACTTCCAGCATGTCCCCAACCCGCACGTCGACGCGTTCGTTGACATGATGTCCCAGCACGTCCCCCAGCCGCACATCGACGCGGTCGTTGACTTGCCCCAGCATGTCCCCAAACCGCACATCGAGGCGGTCATCCACATGTGCATCGACAATGTTGTCAATCTCACGCACTGCATGTCAGCCAGCGAACACCCCCAAAAATCAGAAACGAGGTGGACAAGGACAAAGGCCTGTTGCTTGCCGAGAGGCTGGGGCGCTTGAAGGCTTGTGCTGGCTGCGCGTCTCTGTTCGGTCGCAGTTCTGCAGCAGCCGAACAATGCCAACAGCCAACAGCCAACGACGTCTCCCCCGCACATATTGGAAGAGCCTTGACACTCACGCGTCATCTCGTGCATCAGTGCGCGTGGGGCTGACGGCGCCACTTGCGCAGGAACTGGCGGTGGCGGACCCCTTGGCGCCGGACGGACCATGGGCTGCTTTGGCCTCGCCTTTGTGGATACAGGAAGAGGGTGCGTTGGGACGGGTGGAAGAGGGTGTGTTGGAGGAAGTGTTGGTGGTGCAGAGGCCATGGGTGATGGTGGTGGTGGGAGGACGACGGCGGCGGCCATGTTGGGTCAAGTTAAATGGCAGAGTGGCGCAAACACTGTTGAATGGTCAAACGTCGTCTGTGTTTGAGAGTGGCAGGAGTAGCGAGCAGGTGGTGTTCGCGTCTGGCTGATGGTGGTTTGGGATGACGGGATGGGCAAAGGTCAGATCATTGACCTCACTCGATCTCGTTCTTCAATGTATCCAAACGTCCTATATCGTGTGCTAGCGCCGCGTTCAGAACAAGGGGACCCGGCTCGCGGCGGGTCGGGGTATATGCCTGTGCGTTTTGCGCAAGGACGTCGCGGCCCCCATGTGGTGCCGCACACCGACGCCAACTGGCGGCTTTGGCTGCGAGCCGCCATCCTCACCGGGCCACCGGCTGATCGGCTGACGTGCCGGTTCAGTTGGCTCAACCTGGCGACCTGCTGTTGCTCGGCATGGTATATGGCATGGCCAGCCACCATGTGGCATACAGCTGCCCGGGCATCAGACAAGCGAGCGTCAGCCAGCGTGCGAGCCTGCGCGGGCACACCCCGCACACCAGTGCCGCGATTAGCCTCTCACTCACCATCAGGACTTCTTCGCCACATGCCCGCTTTTCCGTGATCCGTGACCCTTTGCTGCCCCGACCCGCCCCTCAATCCCCTCGATCTGTCTCGGATAGCGCCATGGAGGCTTTTCCTGCAACGACGGCAGGCGCAGCGAATACCGCCCTGGCAATAACAAACCACCGACGTGAATCACGCGCTCTGCGCTTTCGTCGATTGTTGTTGTGATCTGGAGACTCAAAAAGAATGTGGTTTTGCATTGCGCGCACTATAGTTTGATGTGATGAAAGAGATACCGTATGTACAACAGCTGGTAGTGTGCGTGGGCGTTGGCGTTGGAGAAAATTAATGGTCCGTTACGTGTATGAAGGATGCTCGTTGTGTTGGGCGTTCGTTCGTTGTTGGGCGTATGCTGATTCTACACCACCTTCTTTAACACATTGAGCCAAGCGGCGCGAATGTCGGGGGTATCCGCCTGGAATGTGTAGCTTTGGGTCGCCTGAGGTTCATGTCAGCGACAGTGCGGTGGGTTCAGTTTTCACTCACAGTCTGCAACACAAATGCCTTGTTGCTCTTGTCCTGCACCTCCAGGACATACATGAGCCCGACGTCATCGCCGGGGATGCTGGTGGCGCTGCGAACAGTCGCAGGTGGAACGTTGCGTTGGTGCTGAACAAAGCCAAACTGGCGCTTGACTTTGGGTGCTCCGCTCTCGGGGTCGTCCTTGACTTCGAGGAGACGGGGAAGATCGGTCAGAATGAGCTGGCGGCGCTTGGAGGCCGGCAGCAAGAATGCTGGGACATTGTTGGATGGTTTGGTCATGATAGGGGTGGAAAGGATAATGCGCTCGTTGGCAACCATGAGTGGCATCCAGCGGCTGTTGTCAGAGGCGGATAGACCAAACGAGCGGCCTGCATCAGGCGAGTTGGCGCGCGAGTGAACGCGAGGGCTACGCGAACCGTCAATATCGAGGCGCCCGCGGTCTTCGCTGCGGTCGCTGTGGCGGCTTGCACGGCTGGAATCGACGCGCTTGCCAGGAGGAGTGTTGATACCCATGGATTCGAGCCAACCGCTCAGACGGCCACCACTTGAACTCGAACTGGTCGACCACCCACGGACCTTGGGCTGCCTTTGCTCTTCGTCGCCCTCCAGCCAGGCGCGGCGGGGAGGGTCGAGACTGTCCGATTCTGGCGACAGTGATTGCTGGCGCACAGGAAAGTGACGGTCCACAGCAGCCACCGCATCGGCGGCAGCGTAGCGGTCGTAGCGAAGGTCATCGTGCTCATCTGGAGACTCAAACTCGGCGTCCGATATCTGGTCATCAAACTCGGCCCACACACTCGAGTCGAGCATAGGGCCGCTTGACTGTTGAGGCGCGACAAGACCTGTGCGCACGGTGGGTGCGGGGATGGTCCAGATGGTCGACCAGTCGATGCTGGCAAAGAAGGGGTGCTGCTTCACCTGAGCGGCAGTGGGGCGCTTGGCCGGGTTGAGGTCGAGGAGCAACTCGACAAGACTCTGTGCCTCCGGGTCAAAGCCCTCGGGGAAGACGAGCTCGCGCTGGAGAACCTTTTGGAAGGTAAGGAACTCGGTGGCGCTACGGAATGGCGATTTCCCAGTGATAAAGTCGTAGAGGACGACGCCAAAGGCCCAAATGTCTGACGCGGTGGATGGAGGCTCGTTGCGAAGAACCTCGGGGCTGACATAGTCGGCAGAACCGACAAATGAGCGCTTTGACGTCTCGGCAGCCTCCTCCTTGCGGCCCATGATTTTGGCGCTACCAAAGTCGGTCACCTTGATACGCATGTCCTTGTCAAGCAGAATGTTCTCGGGCTTGAGGTCACGGTGGATAATCTCGCGCTCATGAATGTACTCGATGGTGTCGATGAGCTGGGCAGCATAGTAGCGCACAGACTCGAGGTCAAGTGACCCAAATTTGCGAATGACAGCAGCGAGTTCGCCGTTGTGGGCACATTCGAGAACATAGTAGACGCTCGTCTTGTCGGCAAAGGTGCAGTACAGGTGAATGACGCCTGGGTGGCCAAACGTCGGGGCCGGTCCGCTGACCGTACCAGCGGACGACCTCGTGCTGCGCTCAGATTGGGCGAGCGACTGTCTGCGCTTCCGTGGGGTGCGCGGGCGCTGGGCATCGGGAAAAGACGATGACGACGAAATGGTCGGGTGGAGATGGTCGGGTTCGGAGCCGCTCCCTTGATCAGCAAGGTGGCCATCGTGCGACTCTTCTTGGACGGGAGACGGAGGCCTGCTCGAGAGTCCTGGTGTCCCGCTGCGCTCGTCAAGGATCTCCTGCGAGTCGCTGGCCTGGAGTCGGCGGCTTGTTGCCATCAAGGGCGAAAGCGGGGCTGTGGACGTTCGCGGTGAATATCCATCGCTCGCGCTGAGCTGCCGTTCCCTCAGGCCGCCACTAGGCGGGGGGTTGCTGCTGTTGCTGTCGCGGCGGGCTGAAAACGCCTGGTTGGACTTGCGAACGGCTGCCGCCCCTCCGCCAGACGACGAGCTAGACATGCCACGGCGGTGGCCAACACGCAACGTCGGTGAACCGGATGGCCTGGGCTGTGCCAGTCGAATGAGAGCGTCGCGTTCGATATGTGCGTATTTCGCCTTTTTCTCCTGGATCAGGTGCATCTGGTTCATGATCTTGATGGCAACGTCGTAGGGAATGCGGGGCATGGCTGTCTGGGTTGCAGCAACGACCTGGGGAACCAAGGTGTCAACACGGCCGTCACGCCAAGCGTTTCATCGGTTTGTTTGCAAAAACTGCGCACCCGTGCGTCGGCCGGTGGTTGTTTTGATACTCACAGTACTGTAGCTTCCTCGCCCGAGCTCTTCGCCGAGCACAAAGTCACGGAGTTGCGGGCGCCTTGACGTTGCCGAGCCATTTGAATGGGTTGACAGACCACTTTGGCGACGCTCGCGCTGTTCTGCCGGATCAACGTCATTGACGCTGCGGGCTCTGGTCGTGCGAGTAGCCGTAGGGGTCGAGGGTGCGGAGCTTGGGCGAGGTTCTGCGTCCAGATCGTTTTGGATGGTCATGCGGAGCTGGCCGGCAGAGGTGGGGGCATGCGAGGGAAGGCCGTCCATTGGGAGAATGAGATGGCTCGCGCGCGGGGTGGTGGGTGAGATGGAAGCGTTGGGTGGCAATGATGGTGAGCGATGGGGTGGGGCGACTGCATCTGGTGACGTAGCGACGATGGCTGGGGGCATTGTGCTCTGCCTTGACATACGGGGTCCATTGTGCATGAACCCGCGGCCGCCGTACGCTGTTTGTGGGTGGCGGTCTGCTGCTCCTCCATAGTCTGAGAGGTCTGATGTGTCGTACAGCTGTGCGTCTGGGGTGGCCGCTGTGCGGGTCTGGATTGGGGGCGGCCGTATGGGGACTGCGACGAGGGAGGATGTGGACTCTGACGTTGTTGTTGAGCGCGAGGACGAGTTGGACGCGTTGCGTCTGAGGAGGGAAGCTGATGTGATGCGGGCGAATGCTGGGAGAGATGTGGGTGGTGTGGGCGGGGTAGACGCCGATGTTGCGGCTGCCATGATGATGGGGAGCCGGGAGAGGGGGGGATGGAGTGCTTGTTGGGTGTGTTGTTTCCCAGCGCGCGCGCGCAAGATTGCAAGAGGGGGGGTTGGGGGGTGGGGGCCCTCTTAATGCCTGTGCGGCTGCAAGTGGGTGAGTGGGTGGGTGGTGGTGGTGGTGGTGAGGATGTGTGGTGGTGGTGTCTAGACGGTGTGTCTGGACAAGATGCAGTTTGTGCGACCGACCGACCGACAGACACCCAAAAGGAAGCGACGAGCGACGAGCACACTGGCGCAACGACACACACAGACGGCCCAAAAGGCCTGGGCCATTGCGGCACACCCCACAGGGCACAAGCGCACGGCGCCGGTGGCCGCGGGATCAAATGGACCGGGCCGGGAATCTCTCTCCCCACGCCCCAATCCAGGGCCGCTTTACGGCCCCCTCATCATCATCACCACCATCATCCCCATCATCGTCCTCCTCTCTCCTCATGGCAGTGCGGACACATCCTTTACTGCGCACACTCAAAGGAATTAACACCAACCCGTCGTCGTCATGCTGCATGCTGCATGCTGTACACAACATAATTTACCTGCATCGCCCCGGCTGGCCACGAAAGAAGAAACCCACTCTTTTTTCAATACACTTGCATCGTCTCTACCCTCCCTCCCTACAAGCCTCATATTTCCCACTCCCATGGCACCAGGCGTTCTCCTGGTGGCGTGCACATGTCCCAGGCCTTTGGTGTCGTCGGCCAGTAACACTGCTCGCTGGCTACCACAAAATGTACAAAATGGACAATGTTTGAAGAGGTTTGCCCCTTTGCCCGCTGCGAGCGAGTGCAGTACCTGCAGGGGGGACGGGGGGCTCTCCCTGCCACTACTACTGTACACAGCGCGCGGCAGAGTGTGGTCTGTTTCTGTTGCAATCGAAGCTGGTTTGCGCGCAAGGAAGGACCACAACACCAAACCCTTTTTGGCCCTACCACACAGCAGAGGTTGCCACCGTGTTTCCTTCGTTTTCCTGCTCCTTAGAGCTTGTAGTCGTCTTCGCGAGTGACAGTGACGCCGCGACGGCCCCACACGCCGTTGATGCCCATGTCCTTCTTGCCACTGTTGTCGGGTCAGTCACCATACACGCCTGAAAAGGCACACGGGGGGGGGAGGGATAGAAGAAACAAAGAAAATATTACAGCACGGAACGCGAGTACCCGGGAGAGGGATGCACAACCTTTCCATCCACCCGGAAACCCAAGTCTCCCAAAACCTCAACCAAAGGGCAACCGACAGTGCCAGTGTGGCGCAGTCTGCAGGGAACGCGTCGCGTCCAGCAGGGCGACACACAGGGAGCATGCACATCTGTACGGCCCGCGCATGTCACCTCCTGGCCCATAGCAGTGCTGCTACCAGGCATGCTTGTTCACCGACAATCTGCTTGGAACAGGTGGACGTCCGGGCCGGCCGGAGTGAGAGGTCAGACGACTGTTCTCTGCGTCATGCGTACCCTGTTCCCTGCGCGTGGTACGACGCGTCATGGCTGTAAGACAGGCAATACAGGCAAGACACACACAAGACACACAGGCAGGTACACAAGAGCCCGTTCGCGCGCTCGGTGGTACGGCGGTGGCAACCGATCATGTGGGCATCAGATGTCCACACATCCGAAAACCCCACATGACGCAGGCGACCCGCTTTCCGCGATCGTTCCGAAGTCCCGACCACCGACGGACCAGCCGACCAGACCCCAACCAGCCCAACACACACACACCCAACTCCAAATGAAAAATCAAAGACTCACTCATCGCGCCAGAAGTAGCTGGGCTCAGCACCGTCCTCCTGACCGGGGTTGCGGAAGACAATGTTCTTGACCTATGTACAATGTCAACAATCGTCGGCACCGAGGCCAAGCAAGCAGTGTGGCTCTTGCACTCACCATTCCAAGTGTCATGTGGATACCGGCCGGGTTGATCTCAATCTTGTCCGTGGGCTGGAGGCCGGCGATAATAGCGGCAATGTTCTTGGCAACCACGGCGGCCTGGCCAGCACCGGGACGGGCAGCCTTGTGGGCGCCAGTGTCCGCAATGTCACCCACAGCGAACATGTTGGGGTACTGGGGGTCGAGGAACTGCATGGTGGGCTTGACGCGGATAAAGCCGTTGTCCGGGTTGATAATCGAGTCGGGGCTCGAAGCGGGCAGCTTGGCGAGCAGCTGGTTGTTGGGGGTCTGGCCAGTGGCGCGGATGACGAGCTGGGTCTCAATCTCCGAGCCATCCTTGAGCTGGACATTGAAGGTGCGGCCGTCCTCGGGGAAGCCACCGTCAGGGATGACGACACGGTTGTTCAGCACCAGGTCGACACCAAGCTCACTGAAGCGCTCGGCGATAATGTCGTGGAACTGCGAGTGGAAGCGGGGCATCAGGCGGTCACGGCTCTGGACGAGGGTAACCTTCTTGTCCGGGTGGAGCTCGCGCAAGTCGGTCGCCATCTGGACGCCCACGGCGCCACCGCCAATGATGACAATCGACTTGGCAGCAGCAACCTTTGCCTGGTAGTCCTGAAAGTATGCAATCGACGGGGCTTTGTCGTCGCTCTCCATCGTGCCAGGAGCAGTGAGGCGGGTGCCCGTGGCAAACGTCACAAAGTCGAAGGGAATCTCAGTGCTGCCCTCCCACTGGCGGTCAAGGACAACACGGTTAGGCTGCACGTCAAGCACCTTGGCGCGAACAACGGCGTGGATTGACGGGTCCGGAACGTCCTTCCAGATACCCGTGTAGGGGATGAACGCCTTGTGCTCGTGACCGGCAACAATCGCGAAACGGGGCTGCAAAAAAGTTAGCCTTGCTCTCTAAGACCAATGAGGTGGCTTACGAAGGCGAAGAGGTGGTGGAAGTGGCTGTGGGGTTCGACAAGGAGCACGCGGTGGGTCACGGGGAGGACGGACGCGAGCTGCTGGGCGGCACTCTGGTACTTGTTAGCGACTAAAAGTGTGGGGCGTCAACTCACGATGCCAACGTACGAGCCGCCAACGACGACAACATTGCGAAGAGTGGTAACCATGGTGGGGTACGAATGTGTTTGTGTTTGCCGAAGGTGAAAGAGACTAGGTAGGGCGGGGGGTGGGGGGGGGGGGGGGGGGGGATGTGAAGGGTCAGTCAGTGGGCCAGGCTGTCGACGTATATAGAGAGTGTTGCTGCGGCCCGGGGTGAAGTGGCGCTCTCACCTCGGCCACCGGTGTGGATTTGCTCGGTTAGTGACAGAGGTCCCCAGGGAAAAGTGCGAATTGCTTATCAGATACTGAGAATCTTTGGCCGCTCTGGGACAGTGTACGTCCGAGAGTGCGGACCATGTGTGGGTGCAAGTCACCGCCTGCGGGCTCGGGTGGGGGGGGACGCACGTACGTAATCCCTCCAGCCCCAGCCCACGAGGTGCCGGCCAAACGCGCGTGCGTGATCGCACAACAGAAAAAGGGTCACTCACCGAGAGCTTTCCCTGATAGTCACCGCAGTGGTCGCCGGTTTTCCGATAGTTCCTCCTAAGCTACTACTGCACCGTCCCCCTCTGTTGTTCCCCCTCAGCGATGCCCGAAGTGAGTCAGTTGGCCGAGGCTTTGACGCGCGCGCAAGTTCAACTTGGAGGAGAGAGCTCCGTGGGTACATGAATAATAGTAGTGGAATGAACTGCAAGACGTCACTGCGTTACGGTCACTTCCTCACGCGGGCGCCCTTGGCGAGCCCTCCAACAAGCTCGTCCAGCACCGAGCGGCGGCGCGTAGCGTCCTCTTCAGAGTCAACAGGAGGCTTGCCCATGACGCCGTTCTGCTGCATGAGGTAGGTGACAAAGCTGCGCTGCCCAGCATTGAGGCGAGGGAACAGTGCGAGGGTGTGCACATCGTTACTGAGCATGCACTGGACCGCCAAGATGAGGCGGTGGGCGGCCTGACGCGCAGCTACGCCATCGGTCGACGTGAGTGCCAGGGCCTAATCTAGTCAGCCACCAAAGCCCTTGAAACTTGATTGCCGACGACTTACTGCCATGACTTGCTTCTCCAAGCGCTTCGCCTCGAGCTCGACGACCTCCTTGGGCAGGTGGATTATGCACATGCCCATGGCGTTGAGGCCAAAGTTGTAGCCTGCTGCGATAGCCCGCTCGCCGTGCACTTCATTTTCGCCAACCTTGTTGACCTCGGAAATGTGGGCGGCCAAAAAGCGGTCCAATGCTGAATGCAGGAGTGATAAAAGGAACGGAGGATCGCACACCTCGGTCAGGAGCGATACGAGCGAGTTGGTAGACTCGAGGATCACGGGGTTGGTCGACGACCGCAGTTTGAAGACGGCATCCAGCAAGGCGTCCTCGCGGGTCTCGCAGAGACACCACTGGTTCTGCACCATCTCCCACAGGAGCACCACAGCCTGCTCCAGGAGGCCAGCCGGCTGCTTGGGGTCCAGAAAGACCATCAAGCCGTCAAACATCCGGTCAAAAAGGGCACCTTCCTCCCACATTGCACGGCGCTGAACAATCTCATTCCGATCCGCGTCTTCCATGTCTAGCGGTAGGGCGTTGTTGGTCGAAAACAGGGTGAGCTTTTGCAGGTTTTTGAGGGTCGGCGTGTTGGAAAGAAGACCGGTAACGTCCTCCTGAACACAAGGTGCTGCATTGCCCGTCTCGCTCTTGAGAGGACTGGCCTGTTCGATGACTGGAATGGTCAGCGGCATTTCTCCTTGATAATAACTCACGGTTAAGACGCTGGTTCCACCAGCTACGCTCGTATGCGCGACTGTGCAGCTTTTCCAACAGGCGTGGGGTCATGGCCCTTGGGGAGTCCTCCCAGGACGGACGACGACCACCAGACCCATTAAACTGCGGGCGCTGCAATAGGCCTGGTCCTGAACGAGGTGGAGCACGAACAGGCGTAATCGGGTCAACGGACAGCGGTTGTTGGTCGTCATCAAAGTCGAGTAGTTGCTGGGCAGCAGACAAGCCCTGCGCAACTTGGGCCCGACGTGCCTCATCCTCTGGGTCAATGGGCGACTGATCAAAGAAGGCGTTCCGCGACGGTGGTGTCATGTAAGGTCCAGATCCGCGACGACCGTCCTGAGGCGACAGACGGTGGGCATCAGGGGTGGTGAGACTGTGGAGGCTTGGCGAGACGATGCGCGGCTCGTTGCCTCGAGGAGTCCTCGGCAGGTAGGCCGAGTTTTGCAATGGCGTGCGGACTGCTGCCGATGCCTCACTGGATGGAGCGCTGGCCCGAACACCCGCCTGGCGGAGAGACTGCATCGACTCTAGGAGCGACGGCGGGCTGCGAGACATGCTTCGGGCAAGGCTGGGCGACGTTGACCTGGTTGACGCACTAGACGACTCGGCAGATCGAGCATTTGGCGGTCGAGGGAGAGCAGATGACGATGTGCGCGAAACGTGGGTCTTCCTTTCCGAAGCCTTGCGGTCATTCAAAGGCGACACCTTGGGTAGAGCAGTAAGACTGGGAGCCTTCCTGTCGGCCAGTGAAGGAGAGCCGTCCTTGTTTCCAAGACTGGTCGGGTAGGCCTTTGGGCTCTTGGGGCTCGACGACACGGGAATATGTGACATCTTTGGGCCGCTGGGGGAGTTCTTGGCACTCTTGGGAGTAGGAATCTGCGACCTGGGTCGGCCGTTGGTGGGCCCAGAAGTCGAGACGGGGGTGTGTGGGCGCTGTGACCCGACGTCAACTTCCGAAGGCGCCACTGTCTCCTCTTGAGTTGGCCCCGCGGGAGTCCAAACAGCAGGTACCACATCAGGTTCGAAAGTCGGCTGCACTCGCAGTCCAGGAGCAGGCGTCTCGGGAAGAGGGACATTGGCAGGTGACGGCGCGCTATGCTTCCTTTCGGCAGCCAACTCGGCGGCCTTTGCGCGCTTTGCTGCCAGGATGGCACTCATTGCTGAACTTGCTCGCGGCTTGGAAGGAGTGGTCTTGACAACAGCAGCGGCAGCGGCATCTCCAACAGCGGGATTCGCCTTTTCGAGTTGCTTTCTCGCTGTCCCGTCCAGACTGTCCAGCATAGCAGCGCCTTGTCGTGGCCAGGCATTGTGAAAGCTCCAGAAGGCGGCACGAGCAGTTTCACGGACTTGGGGGTTGGTATCTGCGAGACAGCGCTTCAGCGACTGTTCCAGTTGGTCAACAGCGCCTGGGGTCGACTCGACCGCTGACGTGTGCTTGCTAGCTTGGGTGTCGAGGAAGGTTTTAAGGTGACTCGTGCCGTATTGGCGTGATTGGACGCTCTTCTCCTGGAGAGCGGCGGTGATATGAGAGATCAAAATACGGGGCGGAGTGGTCGAATACGTAATGATTGCCGTGACGCCCCTCTGCGATTTTTCGGCAATGATACGCTTCGTGAAGCCACTGTAATGTAATGTCAGGAGCAGATCAAGGATCAGTAACCTACGACATCTTGGCAAGGGTGGGGAGGAGTTGTTCAACCGAGGGGTCAAACGAAGGTCCCAAATCCTCGGCCAGCTCTAGGACGAGCGAGCACGCATGCTGGGCCACTGTCGTGCGCAGACTCATAAGCTAACTGTCAGCATATACCCCAACGAGATGGTGGCTCACAGTCTTAATAATGCCGTCCAAGACACCGTGCTTGAGACCTTGCACGAAGGAATCTGGCTGCTGCTCGAAGACTCCGCCTCGCAGCATGCCTCGAATACGGACCACAGCGTTCTCTCGCGGTCCCCAATTGTGCTCCGTCTCCTTGCCCTGCAGATGTCAGCATGGTGGTAGCTAACATCTACGTACCTCAAAGTGCGGCACCATGGCCTTGAACTCATTCTCCAGATCCTTGGCATTCGCAATCTGGGGTTCAGCAGTGATTTTGGCAGGTAAAACTCACGTAAACCTTGGGTATGTCCTCTGGAGTGGCAGCATTGGACTGCGGCGCAGACTCTCGTGACTGTGTTCCTTCGGCCTGGGATGCATCTGGAGTGCTAGTCTTTGACGTTGTTGTGCCTCCGAGAACACGCTGAATGATTCCATCTGCGATGGACTTGCGGACATTGCGCTGCAACATGAGCTTTTTGAGCTCGGAGCGGGCAGCAGGTGGGGTTGATGGGGGCGACAAAAGGGCCACGACAGTCTGCAAAAGTAAGCAACCAGGACGATGTTTAGGGTGGAAACTTACCTCTCTCGCCTGATCGCGCACTCCACCATCACTGTCCTCCAAAAGGCTGACCAGCGCGGGCAGCCACGGCTTGAGTGGCAACTTGGTAGACTTGTCGGCCCTCATGGTAAGGAGCATCTTGAGGATGACAATCTTGGCACGGGCGCCGCGCCCAGCCAGCGTCTCCTTGACAGCGTGTTCCCAAACACCTGCCACGCTGTCCTTGTCCTTGCCCTTGCTCGATGATGGACCAGACGGAGGTTGGCTTTCGGTGGCATAACACTTGCGTCCCAGCAGGGCAATCGAGTCTCCAGCGGGTTCATGGACCTTGTCCTTTGGATCATTGACACGCTCAAGAAGGCTGGGAAGAAACTGGTGCAATGCAAGGCGCAGGTGGGGCGGCGAGGAAGTGGTCGGGATGAGCGGAATGAACACGGGAAGGAAGGAGAGGGAAGAGGTGACCAGGAGATGAGCTGGTGAACGTAGAAATGGTGCGACCAAGAGTGTGACGGCGTCGATAGTTCTCTCAGGAAGGATGGAGACCGTTTCCAGCTTGAGGCCCCAGAGCTGGATCAGGTTGACCTTCTTGTCGACATCTGAGGTCGAGTGTGAGCGTGAGAGGAACGTGGACCTTGTTGGCTTTGTTGTTTACTTACCTCCGGCACGGAGGGAGGCCAGAAACGATTCCACCTCGTCCTCTGCAACTACGGTCTGTGACAGTGCCATAGCCTGTGAGGGTGTGAGTATGTGGTGTCGGTTGATCAATGGTTGCAAGCAGGCTAGTTGGTTGCAACAGTGGTGACGCGCGCAGTGGATTCAACGGCGCGGCCGGGCGGCGAGGCGACGCGCTCGGCTTGCCCTCAATGAGTGGGTGGCCATTTGCTCCCGTCAAAGCCCGAGACAACATGGTACATGGTGACCCCAAACGTGTGATGCATGAAACCTATCCGATCTACAACTCTGCCTCTATCAAGATGCGCCTCACTCCTTGCCGAAGGAACGTGAGGTTGTACTCGATCATGCCCCTCCGTGCGTTCCAAGTGTCCGTGTGGAGGAGAGCCACGAGTGCCAGCTGAGGAGTGAATTGCCACAACGTAATCGTGCACTTGGGCATCAACTGTATCGAATGGGTCATCCAAGCCTCGTCGGTGTCCTCGCCCTCCCACCATTGCCGGGGCTCGGAAGCGTCCTCATCCTTGTCGACTGAAGCGTCCTCATCCTTGCCGACTACTTCCGTGTCGGGGGACTGCAACGCGGGGGGCGACCGCAACACCTTGTAGAATTCGCGAAACTGCAGGAAAGTGGACAGGTAATCAACAACCTGTTCCATTGTTGCTTCGTTGCGGTGACGGTTGTCCGTGGCAAGCACGACCCGGGATCGAAGGTCAAACAGATACGAGTTGTCCATGCCCGAGGTCTCTGTAAAGTTTAACAGGAGAGCCTCGACGGCGGGAAGCATCTCCATGATTCCTTGGACAACCTTGCCCCATGCGTCCCGCAAAGAGACGTCGTGTACGCTTGTCATGTCATACTTGATCTCCGATGTGAGGTGGTTGAAGATGCTAATGGTCGTTTCGCGGTCGCACAAGTCGAGTGTTGTGTAATCTTGCAAGCTCATGTAGTGAAAGTCGTCCAACTCGTCGGTTAACGCACGTTGGATTTCACTGTAGTTCTCTACACATGTTAGTCGGCGCAACAGTGATCTCCCTCACCATCTCTGTAGTCCTCGGAAAGGGACTCGGCCTTGTGGATAAACACAAAGAAGTTCATGGCAGGGTTGGCAAAGTATCCTCGCAAGATGATGTGAGCCGCCTGGCGAACTGCTTCGTGGTACGTGTCTTCTTGCTGCGAAAACGTTAGTATAAAGCGACCATGCGGTGCCGAGGCCTACTCACTTGCATGTCTACAACGTACACCAAGGTGGAAAAGGCAGAAAGGGGAACGTCAAGCTGGTCGAGGTCCCTGCACCCGTCAGTGTAGGCAAAAGGGAATCACTCACAGACTGGCCGGGGTGTCATAGATCTGCAACGGCACGATGGTGCTGGGAAGCTTTAGCTGCTGCCGGTCTCGGAGTCTCGGACTGGGGTTGAAGAGACACTCACTCGTAGTCTATCTTTTCCACCTTTTTGGTGATGCCAATGTATGTGACATCCTTGACAGGGAGGTTTTGGAAAACAGACTTGATGCAAGATGACTTTCCAGACCTGTTTTCTGTGAGCCTTACGTCACACACCAGTGTATACCAGTGTACCAGTGTGGTGGGAGACGTACTTTCGTCCGCCGGTGACCAGGATCTTTTCACGGTGGGCAATGTCAGAGCCATTGTAGCGGTCTGACGCCGAGACGGGATGGAAGGACATGGGGGTTGTGGGTGGGTGGGTGTATAGGGGTCGACGGAGAGTGCCAGAGGAGGCCGACGATATCGACGATTATTACCAGGCGCGCGAGCTCGAGCCCACACGCGGCGTTGACGTCAAGTCGCGTCAAGTCGTGCCAGTTGCACAGTTGCCTCGGTCCGTCGTCCCCGCGCATCGGAAATTAATGAGCCTGAGACATTTGCTTCCGCACACGCTGCCTCTCCCCTACGACGCGCCTTCCCTTTCATTGATTCCACCGGCTGGACGCGTCTAGAGAGACCACCATCACCATTGCCTCCATTGTCGGCCTCCTTCACCACTACATACATAGCGCCTGCCACGCCTGCCACCATGAGCGTGTCTCCTGTCCCAAGACGGACATATGGTCGTACTCGCAACACCGCCGTCGACGCGGCTGATTCGTCCAGCGAAACGCCTACCTCCCTTGTTTATGTCCCCACCGACATGGGCCCAAGCGCGTCCCCCAGCAAGACACTCCTCAACAAGTTTACTGCTCGCCGGACAGAGTGGCTTGATGGACTCAAGGAGCCGCAGACGTCCGAGTGGGACGATCCAGAAGATATCGAGCTCACTGACGCCGAGGTCAAGGCGACCATGGAGCGACTCAGGAAGGACAAGGCAGGCGACAACAACCACACACCCAGAGCTCTTGTCGCTGCCGTGAGCTCGTCCTCGCTCTCCGCCATTCCCCCGTCTTCCCCTCCAAAGGTTTCTTCGGCCCTGAGACGTCAGTTGGCCAACCAAGGTCCCAGAGCCCTCGCCGCGACGGGTAGCTCATCATCGCTGTCAGAAATTCCTCCCTCCTCGCCACCAAAAGTATCGGCAACAACACCCAGAGGCCACACAACCCGTGGGCCATCGCCCTCACTGTCATCAGCTGTTTCTTCTTCCTTGAACTTGTCATCTACCGACAAGTCAATCGACGATGAGCCCATGCCGTCCGCGCGGAGACCAAAGCGAATTGTCGAGTCTGACGACGACGGCACGGACACTGATCGTTCAACAACGCCCAAGGCCGCAACAACAAAGTCGCGTGTGGTCCTTGGAAACGATGAGCACGACGAATACGAAGTGGACCAGACAATTGTCAATCCCTTTGATGACGAGGATGACGGTGACGACATGTCTCCTGTGAAGAACAAGCCCAATGCGCACATTAAAGTGAGGGTGCTAATTCTCCACACGACATCCGCTGACACACTCTCTACAGCCCTTGAACAAAGTGGACCGTGAAATGTTGCAAAGGGACATTGAAAGGGCAGCACGAGGTACGCTGTCATACAGGCATTGTCCAGCAACTGACAGGTTCAGACCAATTCGTGGAAGCGTCCCGCCCAGAGGCCAAGGTTCGTCCTGTGTCAGCCTGGATGACCAGAGCTCAGAACATTGCCAACAACGCGTCACAACCTGTCCGGCCCTCGCCACCTGTGTACCCTTCGGACGACATACAACAGTTCACTCCTAGCTCAGGCCCAAACAACCGGCGCGAGCGTCTCCCTGCCAAGGTGGCTGCGACGTCATCTCCCACTCCGGGGCCTTCCAAGGTCGCATTCAACTTGAAGGACTTCGATGACGATGACGAGGAAGATGACACTCTTCACGGAAGCCTCAACCGTAGGATTGAGGCGCGTGGCAAACAGGACCGCTTGAAGGAAGCGAAACTCAGGGCTTTGGCGGCGATGAACACCAAGACCACTGCGTTCCCAGTCGAGGACGACGACCTCATCATCATTCCCGAACCCAAGCCAGAGGAACAACCGAGGCTCGCATTCTCCAACCACAAGGGTCCCGATGCCCGTGGAAAACATGCAGCCAAGAAAACAACGACCGAGACGCACATGGTGTTTGCTGGCCGCCAATTTGGCCACGCCGATCTCAAACAGGCAAATGGTGGAGCACGACCTGCCGGCCAAAAGAAAGGCCGCGACCAAACGGTCACCTCCCAGCAGGTCGAAGCCCAAATACTTGCCCGACACCAAGAACAAGTGCGGAGCATTGTAGAGAAGAAGGAAGCCCTGTATGGCAAGGGAAGACAGCTGCCCCCCAAAGAAGTCCTCGACTTGTCCAAGGTACTGGCTCAGCGTTCTGCCTCCCCGGACGTTGTGGCGGACAGCGACGATGACGATGACGACTATGCGCCTGAAGATGCGGACGACGAGGCAGACGAAAATGAGCGGGGCATGATGGACATCTCGCAAACCGAGTCGTCGCACGTCGACGCAATCTCAGACGAGATGGAAGGCGACGATGACGACAAGGAGAACAACCCTGGAGCATCCATTGCCCCAGAGGAAGAGGATGAAACGCCATTGCGTTTGCCCAATATACGCTCAACACGTCGCCGGGTCAACTTCGCCTCAGACGACGAGGACGAGACCCCCGTCAAGCACGATACGGCCCTACGAGACGCCGTTGAGGGTCGAATCAACGCCGGCCCGGCTGCCGGTAGTGCCCAAGCTGCATCTCCCGGCTTTGACATTGCGTTTGGATCTGGATCATTTGGTGGTTCCGGCGGTTTCTCGCAGCTGTTTAACGAGACCCAGGCCCCCGTTGGCGCCGGGGGGGACGGGTTTGCCGCTCTGCGAGACATTCCCGAGGCTGGCTTCCTTCCTGCACATGCCCTTCTGCCCAGCGTAAACATCTCCGAAACCCAGAAGAGACGCGATAATGCTCTCATTGCGGGCGAAACGGAGAATGCCGAACCTCATTTACCTCAATCTACCAAGAAACAGCAGTACCTCAACTCCCAAGGGTGAGTAGACGCATGAAGGGACATTTGCTAACACAGCAGCTTCTTCACCCAAACCCGTCCTGGAGGCCGCAACTTGACTCAGCCGGACGAGCATCTCGAGGTGGAGATGGACGACTATACCCAAGTCCCAACAGCCATCATCGAGGCTTCGTCGACACTCATCAACTCGTCAACCAAGGGCACTGTATCCAGTCCGACCCAGGGGAGCACCGAGACGTTCGTTCGACTTCGCCGTCGTACGTCGCCCGTGGAAGGTGAAACACAGGTCCATTCCCCCAGTCCTCCGCCTGCTCCTCGCCCCCGCAACGCCTTTGATGCTCTACGCGCCGGAGCTCGGCAGGCCGGTGCCCACGGTGCCCATGGCCCTAATGATATCGATAAGCGCAAACGGCCAGGATTCCTCGATGAGCAGGCCGAGGAGAGCGACGAGGACAATGCCTGGGGCTTTACCGGGGGCAAGGATGACGACGAGAATGACGATGACCTCGACAACGGCTACGTCCCCGACCTGCTAGATGACGCCAACGTGACCGAGGAAGAGCGGACTCGACTGACTGAGCTCAACGCCGAGAGGTTCCGGTACGTGGTAGAAAGACGGGTTGGACTTCTGGCATTTGCTGACATGCCTATAGGCAGGTCGAACAAGAGGATGATGCGCGGCGCGAGGCAGAGGCCAAGAAAGTCACGGAAGGTCACTACCGTACAAAGCGGCGCGGCAACGATTTCTTGTCCGACGAGGAGGATGAGGGCAACAGAAAGATTCGCCTGAACAAGAAGCAACGACGTCAACGCAAGCTTGACGGCGAGGATGGGCTCCAGAAACTCGAAGGCGAAGAGAACGTCTTCGCGGCTGTGTACAATGAGGACCTCACGTCCGACAGCGAGTTGGACGAAGCGCCACCTTCACCCACTACATTCATGTCGCCCGAACATGGTGGACTCTCCCTGCGAGAACGGAGGGACATGCTTAGCATACGTGCTCGTCAGAATACCACGGGTGTGGCTCGTCGTGAACTCTTCCCGGAAGATCTAGACGAGGAAGACTCGCAGTACGCCATCTCGAACAAGCCACACGTAACAACCACAACCGAAGCTGGTGAGGCGAACGAGCTTGAACTCAACCCCTCCTCAGTCCGCCGCAATCCCACCGCGACCCGCTCTACGGACCGCTACGCCAAGTTTGTCAGCGAAGAGACACTCAACCCGCGTCGCAACGGTGCTGCCGGAGGTGTGTCTGTCGTTGTCGCCAAGACCACAACGGTTCAGCAATCTCGCCAGAGCAAGGGCGGCCACTCCAAAGAATCGACGAGGACAGTCACCCGACAGGCCTCGAGCATTCACTTTGATAGGGCGGATCGGTTCCGTTAGTGCAAGATATATATATAATTGGGGAGCTGCGGTGAGCGAGTCTCTTTGTAGAATGCAGGTCCTATATGCATAGCTCGTGGACGTCATGATATTACTACAACTTGAATGGTATGAAACGAACGTCTCCAAGTACTGCAGTACAGCACACGCGAACAGGAAACAACTAATATTCACAGGGGATGAACGTGTCTTGGAGGAAGCGGGTATGGGTAAAGCCCATTACGTAGGAACTGGTGACGCCTCGGCCGTGACAGTGGTTGTTGAAGCGCCGAGAACAAATCCGACCTTGGCCAGACACTTGACCAAGTCGGCCTTGGAGAAGGGCTTGGGGAGGACTGCCGAAAACAGCGTGCCTTCCTCGGTCACGGCGTCGTCATAGGCAGTTGCCGCGACGATGGGGCAGTTCTGGTTGGGATTCATGGTGGAGCGGATCATGCGAGCCACCTGTTCGCCGGTCACGAAGGGCATGTGCATGTCGAGGAAGATGACATCGAATTCTACACCAGTCAGCCACGAACAGTTGTGACACCCCCACACAGTGGACAATACTCACTGAGATTTCCTGTAACAGCAAGGGCATCGGGGCCCTCTCGGACGCAGACGCATCTACATCCTAACCTGGACAGCAATGTCTCGAGGATCTGTTCGTCAACAACGGAAGAGCTGGTGCCCACAATCATGACGTACCTTCTGAGAGATTGGGTTATCTTCAGCAATGAGCACGTCCATTGCACGTTGAGAAGGTGGGTTTCCGACCGGGGCAACAATGTGCACGTTACTGGCTGGCGCTGACTGCTGTGCCTGAGCCTTGATGAGGTCCATACTCGAACTGCGCTCCGAAGCAGAAGCACTCGAGCTTGAACCAGCACGGAAGCGGCTGGCCGACGAACCCAGGCGTCTGCCGTCGTCCTCAGTTGACTTTACGCGACTCAAGGCGTTGAGATCAGAAGGTCGTCGTGCGTGCAGACTACCGGATATCGTTGACGACGACAAGACTCTCGACGGCGTGCTAGCGGCAGACGAAGTCGACGTCGATGGTGACGGCGGCGCATTCAGCCGGGACCCAGACCTTTGACGGCGATGTTGCCTAGCAGGAAGATCCTTGGCAGAATCGGAAGACGATGCCCACGATGCTGCCATCGAGTCAGACCTCATCTTTCGGATCACGTCGTCGTTCGCCTGCTTTAGAACGGGGAGGTTCTTAAACGTGAAGGCGCCAAAGTCATCTGACGGCGAATGGTCGTCGGATGGGGCAGTGAGACCTGGCGAGTGATGGGGAACGTTGCTACCCGAGGGCTTGGGGACCTTTGGCGAAGTTGTCTCGTCATCGTGGAACGCATTGTTGGCACCACGCAGATCGAAGTAGTCGGTGGACTCCGGGTCGGTGCCGTCCGGAACGAAAATGGCTGGATTGCTGGTAAGGGTACCCCAGTTGACGCCAGCGAAGAAGGCGTGTTGCTTTACCTCGTCTGCGCCACGCGCACCAAGTCGCTGTGTTGGGTTGGTGCACATGAGCCGATCCATCAAATCGTGAGCTTCAGCAGGAACGTCCATTTCGTCGTCATGCCAGTTGATACGCCGCGACACGATATTGTCAAACACCTTTTCTGCAGTCTCGGCGTGGAACGGTGGAAACCCATAGAGAAATTCGTACAGGACGACACCGACTGCCCACCAGTCGACCATGCGATCATCTGTGCCACCCCCCAGAATGCTCTCAGGGGCGAGGTAATCCGGGGTACCAACCACGCGAGGTGGCTCCGTGCCCGAGTTGGACGCGCCGGCGTCGGAAGAGCTTTTGGTTGCTCCTGACAACTGGCGGAGATGGCGAGGAACCAGTGCCGACTCGGAGCCACTCGATTCATCAGCCGACCCGCTTTCTGACACGTGAGGGAAGTACGAGTGGCTGAGGTTGGAGGTCGTTGGAACGGGCAAGAGGTCGGGCGACAAACTAGGTGAGTCCGTAGACGACACTGACGATCCGCGGCGGGGGCCAGCAGAGCTGCGAAGCGCGGACTGCTTGAAGTAAGGAGGCCGGGGGCCACCAATTTGACGATTGAGGAGACCAATCTTGGACAGACCAAAGTCAGTCAGCTTGAGATGACCACGGGAGTCGATGAGTAGGTTGTCGGGCTTGACGTCGCTATTTCTGTCAGTAAAACTGTTGCTTTGATGTCACGTACCGATGGGCAACATTGCGGGCGTGCAGGTACTCGAGGCCAAGGACGAGTTCACCGGTATAGTTTCTCGCCCAGTCGACAGGTAACGATCCCAGAGTCTTGACAAGGGTAGCACAGTCGCCTCCGTTGAGGTACTCCATCACGAGGTAGAGGTACTCCTTGCTCTGGAAGGAGAAGAATAGCCGGACAACATATGGCGAGGTTGCCTGATTCATAAGAATCGTACGCTCTGCCTTGACATTGGTGATCTGATTCTTGGCAATCATGTCTGACTTTTTAAGTGTCTTGATCGCGTAATAGTCGCCAGTCGCGACCTTTTTGGCGAGATACACTGCTCCGAAAGCACCACGACTGATCGGCTTGATGATCTCAAAGTCCTTGATAGACGGCTGCGCGCGCGAACCAGGGAGCCCGCTCGAGGTTATACGAGGCGACATTGGCGCATCACGGACAGCGGAGGAAACACGGCGAGCATGCCCTTTACCAGCGCGATCGCTTGGGCGTATAAGTGGTGACAGCGACGACTTGCCAGATAAAAGACGAGTGGAGTTATCAATCGACCATGGTTCCAAGGTGGCGATGGTGTGGGGGACAGGCGTCGGTGACAATGTCGGGGGCTCGGTAGCCGCTGCAGTTGCTGTGACAGTAGCTGACGCAGATACCGGAGCAGCAGATGACGGGGGAAGTGGGCGGCTGCCTTCTTGCCGCATGGGGTGGCCTTGAGTAATGGGCAGACGTGCCAGGGGAGCGATCTTCCTGTGACCCGGCGAGGTTTGCTCCTGACCACCAGCCAGGGCAGGCTCGGTTGACGATGTAGTGTCAACGCCATCCGAGCCACTATCCGAGGCTGTCCCATCGTCACTGTCTGCGAGCATCTGGTTGACCTTGTCTTCCCATTCGTGACGGGTCTTCTCAGAATAGCGGATGGTGCTCTGCATGCGCGCGATGGCCTTTTGCTTGAGGCGCAGTTGGTCCTCGACTTGGGTGAACAGGAGGCCCAGTGCCCGGTCAATGGTCGCAGGCTTCTGCCACCGGGTGATGCGCAACAGCTTCTCCTCCGATTGCGGCGAAATGTACCTTTGGAGGTTGAAGGGGAGATCGGCCTCGTCCTCTTGCACTGAAGGAGCTTCGATCTGCTTTCCAATGGCCAAGATTGTGCACACTTCTTGGAGGTGTTCCAGATCCACTTTTCGGAGTTCCACGCCTTGGGGGTCTGTCGGCGTGTAAGGGTTGGCGGTGACTGAGTCTGGCAGAGTGTAAAACACCACATCCTGGTGCTGGGCTGGAACCTGGGTTGCACTTTCGATCTCGGCGTTGAGCTTCACGACAGTCTGTTGAAGGTCTCCTAGCACCTCGTCGATTTCGGCAATCTCCGCCTCCAGACGGTGGACAGCGTCACAGGTCTCGTTGTGCTTTTCAAAGAACCACACAACGATCTCACGCTCGCAAATACGGCACAAGACACCCTCGGTGGAGATGTTGCCGTCGCGTGGGAACACGGCGTCGGTAATGTTGTCCACTTGGATTGCGGTCACAGGCTTCATGACCCACATTGTGTGTGATGGGCCAATATTGTCACGAATGAGCATGCCCACGCCCTCGAGTTCGATGTAGACGGGTCCTGGCTGGTGACCTTCGGGGGTGTCATCAATGTCGTGGACCTCGAAGCGGAACCTCAGTTGGGCGGTGTTGTTGTCGTCTTGGAGCAAATTCTCAGTCGCCTCAGCAAAATATGAGGTGTCTGCTGGAGCGAGAAGGTCCGTAATCGGCTGCTCGATAACTTCCTCGGGTTCACGACTGTGAACGGGACAGTCAGTATAATTTCCCAAACAACAACGGGTTGATGAACGTACCCAATGACCTCAAAGATAGCGTCGTTAACATAGAGGATTTCTTGACCTTGGAGGCTGAGCTCCATGACAATGTTGACGCTCTTGGCCTGCTCTGCCAAGGTTCGGAGCTCCTCGATCGCATGACCAGTCTCGTCCACAACTTCGTCAGGTGGCTCGGCTGACTGCTGGTCGCTCTGCTGCCCAACAGACGGCAACGCAACAGTGTCTGCTGTGACTGTGGATGGATCCCGTGCTGGCAAGAGCATCGGCGAAACAGACAAGGCTTGGTCGGTTCGAACAGGTTCGAGGTCAAAGTGGGGCGTATCCTTGGCTGGGCGCAAAACGAATGACAAGGGTTCGTTCTCATCATCGTCAAAGTTCCAGAAGCCCTTTTCAGCCTCCCACCAGTCGAGCACACGGTTGAGGGTTGCAACGGCCATGAGAATGTCGACATACCAGTCTCGGCCAGGCCAGTCCTCGTGGTCGTCCCAGTACTGCCCAGTCTTTTGCAGCTGTTGGATAAACTCGGCACAACGTTTTGGACGGGAGATGAGACTATCCACAGACGCGTCCATGACATCTGCTGACAAGATGATGAGGTCCTGGAGAGCCGCAAGGAACTTCCGGTCCGCCTCGAGCGCTTCCTCCAATGCAGGCTGGGCTGCGAGGAGGGAGCGGGTCTGTGGCATCGGAGACCGAGACCGCGATGTCGAGCGCGAGCTCGGCGTCGACTGCCCGTGATCGAGATGCAGACGGGAGGGCTGTTGTACTTCGCGTGCGCCGACTCGGGGCACAATACTCGGTCTGCGGCGGCTCATCGAACGACGGGGGCTCGCCGGGACGCTTGCCAGTAATGCAACACGCCGCGACGGGCTGGACATGACGTTCGCCGAGGACAAGGACATGGAGCCTCGGCGACTGGGGCCACGAGACGAGACTAGGAGTGTCAGCTCGCCGCTCTTTCACAAATATACGTACAGCCACCCAGTGGAGGAATGCTCTGCTCATCCTCGCTGTCGGCAGCGTCAATGACCGGCGAGTCGCTGAACGTGTCAAAGTAGTCACGCCGTTGGTCTTCGATAACGTCCGCGGCCATCATACGCTCCTCCTCAAAGAGTTGAATGGTGGCAATGATCCGTCGAAGTGTGGTATCGCATTGTTCCTTGGCTGCCGTCAGGCGTTGCTTGATATGTTGCCGGACTGAGGCGACAGTGAGGTCTGCACCTGGAGCTACAGGTTTGTCGTCCTTGCTAGTTGTCGGAGCCGTAGCCGTGGAGAGCAAGGGCGAAGGTGTCAGGTCCCATCTAGGCACACCAGCCGCCAGCCCAGTACTGCCAAAACCGTAGGAGGAGGATCGCGATTCGGTCTGGTGATGTGTTTGGAAACCTAAGACGGACGTTTTGTCACCAGTGCTACCAGTGCCGCCAGACGAGCCGGTCGCCCGCGAACTCGGGGTCCTCTCAGACGCGCGTGGTGCAAGTGAGCTAGGCTCCAAATCCAGCCGCAACGACGGTTGGTTGCGTCTGGCCTCCAAGCCGCTACGCGCAGCAGATCCCCTATGTAGCTGTCGTGAATCTTCTATCTTGGCCGGCGGTGGGGGCGGCAGCATAGAGGCAACAGAACTGATCATGGTAGGGGGCTCAGTGCCGGTCGAAAAGCCTTCAGTGTTCGCGAGTGAACTGCGGCGGAGCTCCATATGGGATGTAGCAGGACGGACTGAGCGACCAGAGGAGGACGATACACGACGGGCAATTTCGGGTGGCATGAGGCCATGGCCTAGAAGCGTTCCGCTTGACTTGTCGCTACCACGACGACTTTGCGGCGCCGACGGAATTCGTGGTTCGGGGTACAGAACAGAGGTATTGTAGCGCTGGTGCAGGGGTGCTGGCTCCGGCGTGAAGTTACTCTTGACAGAATTCCACCAGCCTTCCATCTTGTTGACCAGGTTCTTTTTGCGCTTGACCGACGCCAAATGAGAGTCGCCAGCCGAAGACTTGACAGATCCACCAGACGATTGACGTGGTCGCTCCAGGAGACTTGAGCGTTTGGGGTTTGGTGATGACATTTTGTGGTCAATTGCTGACATTGTTGACCGAATCGATAAACTGCGACGGCGGAAGGCCAAGCCTGAGGAGTATTGCGGGGCTGCCGAGAGCGAATCGTCGTGGGAAGTGACGGGCGTGAGGGAAAGGGCGTCACCGCCCATCAATGGTGCCGGTGCAGTGTCGTATTTGGCAGGGTCTCGGTCGACAGTAGGAGACGTCGCACTGCTGCTGGGCATAGAGCTGCTAGGCATGGGCGGTCCATCACGCACAGTGGCGGCATTCGTTTCTGCACGAATCTTCTCGGCCTTGTACGACTTGTAACAGTCGTACCAGTCGACCCATTCGATTCCAGCAATGGAGCCTGTGGCCGAGCCTTGCTTCTCCATCTTGACGCCGCCATACTGTGCCGGAGGTCCATCTTTATTCGAAAGCTCGTGCCCAACATCGCTGCCTGTAGCAATCTCGCTGACAGCTGAGTCAGGCAAGGTGCTGGAGCCTCCGCGCGGGTGATAACCAGAGGTCCGCCATTCAGTAACACCCCAAGTGTGACCTGGCTGGTCCACATAGGATGCGCTGAGGCGAGACGGGGCAGCCGCCTCGGTGGGGCTGCTCAACATCGGGGGAGCGCTTCCTAACTAGAGAGCATTAGACACACGTCACGTTGTATCAACTCACAGATGTGTGGGGTTTCCACCTTTGAACCTTGGCTTGCCTGCTCTGCATGATCATTGTCGCATGGCTGGCTGCATCTCCGATGGCGGATGACATGCCAGCAAGGTCCATTGCCAGCCCACTTCGCTGACCAACAGAGCGAAGGCGAGACTCAACAGGTCGCCCAGGAAACCCGACAGACCCTGGAGTACTGTGGCCTTGGCTGCTACCAGCATCCAGGCGCAGACCAGTGCCTGTGGAAGACGAGTCGTCGGCGTCGGCCGATCCAGGTGACATGGAATGCGCTTGGGGCGGAGTGGCGGGTAGCGTTAATGGACTGGTGAAAGCCTCGTGGACTGACGCTCGAATACGCTGTTGGCGAGAGGTAGTGAAGGGGTCGCCAAGCATATCCGGTGATGCGGACAAGGACGGCGATATGGCGGCATGTCCGGCAGCACTCGACGTCGAAGGCGACGACAATGGCGACATACCGGCCACTTCCACAGCATCGATCCACCTGTGGGCGGTTGGAGACGTTGAGATACTAAAGGCGCCGGGTGGCAGAGAAGTGAAGTTACCCAACGCCTGCTTGCGCATCGATGCCACCCCAATAGCCCTGTCCGAATCTGCGGGTGAGGGGTTTGGAGTGGAAATGGATGCGGTCGAACTTGGAGTCTCCCCCTGCTGCAATGGTGGTGTCATGGACGCCGTCTTTATCAAGTCTGCTGCAAGACGAACGCTGGTCGGCACCCTGTTCAATCGAATAGCAGTGCCGCCAGGTGTAGGTTGCTCGAGCGCCAGGCTGGACTGGCCACCGCTCAACGGCACCTCGGACCAAGGCGATGGCAGAGGGTTGAGAGGCGACACCATGGACGCCGACGAGGACAGGGTCGGAAGACCTGACGAGGCAGCTGTCCCATAACCTCCACGCGCAGTGGGTGACGGTGGCGGGAGTTTTCGCAAATCGATTGACGAAGGCCGAAGGAACTCGGAAGCTCGGCGTTGTCGTGGCGCGCTATGGAGAGTCAGTGCAGATCGACTAAACTGTCCGAAGACAAGGGGCAAACAGCAGAGGCAACATACCCCGAAACTGGAATAGGAGAAGACAGCTCTCGCTTTGGGCTTGGTGACCTGAAGACCTCCTTGCTCTTGCCCTTGTCCTTTGATGGAGCCGGGGGTTCCCAGTTGGAGGCCCAACCCAGACCAAGAATGTTGGCATCATTATCACGTGAGAGTGATGAAGAAACCGCAGAGATTGGCCGTGGGGCTGCGAGCAGCTCAGGTGCTGGTTCGAGTTCAGGACTGCCAAAGGCAAGAGGACTGGAGCCACCAGCGTTGCCTGTTTCTGAACGAGTGCCCATGCCGCTGGAGCCGCTGACACTGCCTTGACGAGAACGGCTCGGTGATGGGGCTTGCTTTTGAGTAGAGGATGGGCGAGGAGGTGAATTCTTGGCCGAGGGGGATGGACCTCCGGCGAGAACCGACCCGCTTCCCGATCGCTTGACGCGGGTCATCAACAAGCCACCTGGGGTGAGGACCTGTCTTGACTGCGGTGGACTGGGTGGCCGTGACAGCGACCGACGTGACGACGAGGGAGAAGTCGACTCGCTGTTGGAGGCGGTCGACTTGCCCTTGGAAGCTGGCCGCTTGAGTGGAGAGAAACCAGCGCGGTCGGCGTCGTCGTCGTCATCGCCGTCCTCGACTGCATTGTCGTTCTCATTGTCAGAGTGTTGAGGTGACGAATGAGGTGACGACGACGATGAGGAGGAGTCCGATTGCGATGGAACAGTGATTGCTTGCGCGAGTGGTGAGGGAAACGAGGGGGTAGCACCAAAGACACCCGACTTGCGACCGAAAGCCTGGGTCAGACTCGACGGAGCCGCCGGGGGAGTGGGTACTTGAAGAGTTGTTGGAGGAGGAGGGGCAGGTGGAGGGGATACTGATTGTTGGGGGCTTGGAGAGTGTCGAGGTGACGAGGACGGTGATGATTCTTTGTCTCGGTCCTCGTCGAGGTAGAATACACCCCCGGTAGACATTGTGACTGGTTGGATAAGCAAACAAAGTTCGTTTCGTCTGAGGTGCACCACTAACAGAAAGTGGGATGGGAGCCGACAAAGTGTCTATGGGGTTAGCCACAGGAGCGGATGTCGTTGGGCACTCACAGGGGCGCTGGTTGGGACTACTCCCAGGCCGAGGATGAACCTCTCAGAAGTGCATTTCCGGCCAAGGAGTGTGCAGAAGGTGTGTCGATGTCGCTGGTGCGTGTGTGTGTGCTAAGATTGGCTCCAAATGCCGACGGGTCTGGCGCAATGGCAATGTGGGGCACGTTTTGGTAAGGAGCTGGGATGGAGGGGTGAGAGGCGAACGCTGTGATGTGTTGTCTACACGACCCTCAGGTGGGCAGATGGAGGCGAATACGAGGTGAGAGGGACGAGGAAAGAAAGATACAGCTGTGGGTGTGTGTGGTGGCCGTTGGTGGTGGGTGGTGGTGTTAGTTGTGGGCCTGGCGCCGGGGGGAAGGGGGGCTGGGAGAGGCGAGAGGGGGAACACTGGTACCGGGGGGGCGGGTGGCGGGAGCATATACAACACCACACCCAATTACAAATATGGCCCCCACCCCATTACCCCACATTTACCCCCGCTATTAATTGCCACCCAGCCCCCCCCTGCATATTGGATCAGCAGGCTTGTTTGTTTTTCCGCCAGCTGGGCCGGCTTCTTGGTATCAACATCCAACCCGCTTTTCATCATTGTCCACTCCCTTTCGTCCTTTCATCCAACCACACACAAGTCCCTCCACGGGCACCTCTCACACACCATGCCAAAGACTCGCGCGTACACGCGTGAGGAGCTTAGAGGTCTCCGCCGCGCAGATCTCCAACGCCTTTGCAAGGTCCGTCGCCCTGTGGCCGTGTTATAAATGGCCCAATGTTTACTGTTTCTGACTCATTTCAGACCTACGACATCAAAGGCGCCAACGCAAAGTCAGAAGTCTTGGTGGAAACCCTCGCCACCTACTTTACCTCCCCTGCATATCTCTCATCTCCACGTCCCGAGCCGCGAACCCGCCCAGCCTCGAGATTACACGTCCCCCACCGCCCTCTCCACACACTCACCAGGCGCAACCCCAAGGTGAAATCACCTCTAACCGTCCCCACAACAAGCTCTGTGTCTCAAGCCATCCCCCCAGTTCCCGTTGTCGTGGAGGCTCATCACACGACCCCCGCCATCCCCTCTACGCTGGAGGCGGGACGCACTGCGAACGAAGCGGCCGCCGCCACCAGCTCCAATGATTCCGATGCCCAAACAGTGTCTGCTTTGCGCCAAGAAATCTCGCAGCTCAAGGAAACAGTGGCCAACTGGGAGGAGCAACAAGAGGGCATCGTTTCCAAACTCGTGGAGGCCAAGTTTGCCGAGTTCATTGGCATTGTTCAGCGCCAGCTAGCGGTGGTAGAGGAACGTGAAACAGCCCTCCAGAAGCGGGAACAAGAGCTGGACGCTGCCTGGGCGCAGATTCGGCGGGGCTTGATTAACAATAACACGACCGATGAGCAGTGAGTGTCTCCTTTTGTGTGATGACAACGAGTATACACTGACACCGTATGTAGCCGTTCAGCAACCATGGCCGTCCCTGCGGGCTCTGTCTCCAGGCTGGCGAGTGGGAAAAGGAAACAACAAGCGGTGGATTCCACCGGCTTTCTTGGTGATGAGCTCCAAGGAGATCCCAAGCGCGCGCGCCTGCAGCTGGGCTCCTCCCCGCACACTCCCCCGCCAGCCCTTCAGGCTGATGCCTCGTCGACGTTTGTTCACATCGGCACTTCGTCATTACCCCCTCCGCGTACACCATCCCCTGGCCATCAAGGCACTTCCATGGACCAGTCGAGGACTCCACCTGTTGATCCCAACAATTTAAACTGCCCTGTCTTCTCCACCACGCCCCGCCCCCCTCGCGAACCATCCAGTCCAACCACCGACCACTTTGCTCGACCTGATGGCCCGCCCCCAATCCTCACCCCTGGCGGACCTGGCTTTAGGGCGGCCCGATCTCGCATGGACCGTTCTGTCCGGATGTTGTCCAAGGCCCAGTTTGACCTGAGTCACATCACCGACGAGGACACCGAATCGTTCCTGCGGCCAATCCTCATCCGCAAGGACCGTACGGTTACACCTCCGGCCTTGAGTCCCTCTCCATCCATCGGTGGTGACAACTTTACCTACACGCCGCTTCCGATGCCCAGCAGCAGCCTTGCGGCAACGTCGTCCGTCGCAGGATCGTCGACGACAACATGGGACAAGCCCCCGCCCCCCGTCTCCTCTCCAGGTCGCGAGTACATGGACATTGCCCTCAACGGCCTGTCCAACCCAAACGACACGATGGTCACTCCAAACTCGCGCACAATGCTTGGGACGGAGCGTTACCATGACACCAGGTTTGGCGACGAGCCTGTCGTCCCGTGGGCCAGCCCCACTGTCGACTTTGGACCTGCTACACCGAGCCACTAGCCTCAGACGCATGTTGTAATAAACACAGCCGTATTCCACGTAAACACTTGTACAAACGCTATGTCAATTATCGTCTCGTCAAGTTGCTTCTGGCAGCTGGCGCCTGGCTATCTCGGTCCACGAGTCATTCGGCGCAAGCCGATTTACAGGGTCGACACCGTGGGAAAGGGTTTACCCGCTCAACCCCCCGATTGCGTCTTCGATTCGGAGCCTTACCAACCGCCTCCACTTTGTGTCATTCTGCTATCACAGTGTCCCTTCCTCTACCACTCCACCCTCACCATGGTGCGGCTCATCCTCTTCAGCGGCTCCCAGTCTCCACTTCCCGTGCGTTACGCTCGCCCCAGCAAGCCGACATTGGCTATTCCACCTCTGGTGCACCGCGCACTCCACACCGCGCTGGACGCCCAGCCTCCATCGGCTCTCTTCGACAAGTCTGCCGACACTCTGGTGATCCCGAATCCCTCTGCCTTTGTCAAGCACACTTCAGGGGGTGACAAGGAGTATGAGGTGACAGTCAAGATTCAAGTTTCGGCTGCCACCCCCTCCTCTTACTACCAGACTGTCAAGGATGCTCTGCAGGTTCTGGCAGACAGGAAGGGTCTCGCTGCCGCTGACATCGTGCTTGTTGGGCTGCCCGATGGTGCGAACTGTGGGTGTAACGCATTCAGATCGAGTGCTAACGTTATCCCCAGCTGCCAATTGGGTAGACTTTTGGAAGTCTCTGGCGGACATTCCCAATGTCCAGCAGTGGGGTACGCTAAACATTCTGGAGCCAACACTTTTGAAGCTCAGCGATATTCGGGTGCCGTTTGCCAACGAGCTCAACGTTAGCGACTGCGAGAAACTGCCCAAGGACTACACCACCTTTGCCGCTGCCAAGGGCATCCAAGTTTGGGCCAGCGGTGGCAAGATTGGATCAGGTACGATTACGTGCCAGAGCGTGATGTCCTGACGTTCCAAGACCCTTTGCCAGCTGCGGACCTCCATAACTTGCTGCAAGAGTTCCAGCCTGTTGTGGCAGAGCTCGCACCCTCGGCCAACACGTCGGCGCTTTTGAGCCCTATCGGGTGCCAGGATGATGCGTTTGACGCGTCTGCCAAGACCGGCGTTAGCGTTAACTGGGTGTTGAGCGTGAGTAAATTGTCACAACGTTCCAGGCTGACCATGTAGTACACCTTGCTGTCCCGTACCCGCAACATTGTCAAGGACAAGGGGTGAGGCACCCAGTGAACTAGCCAAGGCTGACAGACCAGTTATATCATTGCCGCCGAGTTGGTCTGACCTTGACAAAGCTGCGGCTCTTGAAGCGCCAACCCAGAGTGTATGGTACTCTGGAACGTTTTGGTGCTCATTATTACATCATGTCACGTAGCGATGCTATCAACCTCGCGGCCGCCACACAGGTGTATACGTCTACGCTGAACCTTGCCACATGTACCTCTCCTTATTCAGAGCATTGAGAAAGACGAGCATCTGGGGATTGTAAGCCGAGCATCCATTGCACGCACCACGAACCGTCTGGTGCCGCTGTTCAGCTTGGCAGCGACCTTCATCTGTCTGTAAATAGGCGTCAGCTTTGGTGCCCTCGCGTCGATACCAACCTTCATCCAACCCTTCACTTTCAGAAGCTTGTCATAAAAATGACCCTCACAGCCGGGGCCGGCCTCCGCCTTGTCCTCGACGAGATAGCGCCCGCGAGCGCCGGAGAAAGCGGCACAGCGCAGGACCCCGATCGCCCCAATGGCGTCCAGGCGATCAGCGTCTTGCACCGCATGGAGTTCAAGACAGGTTTGGTGCCACGGGGTCCACTCGTTCGCCGCTTTCAACTTCTTCTCTGTCGAGTAAGAGACAGAGGGAACAATCTTGAATACCAGTCGCAGTTGTTGTGGTGACACATCGGCAGTCTTGTCAAAGACACTGCCTGTGAGTTCTTCCAACGAAGCACCTTGCGTATACTTGGCTGATGGTCAGAATTGAACGACAAAGGTTGGGGCTTACCGTCCGTAAGATCGTGCAACAAAGCGGCGAGCTCTACAACTAGGATATCCGCCTCTGGGAGTGTCTTGGCAATGGCAAGCGCCGTGTTCCGGACTCGGTCGACTGACATGTCAGCCCCCCACTACTGGCATCTGCTACCCACCGTGAGCCCAGTCGTGTGAAGGGTCGAACCTGTCGAACCTGTCAAGACGAACCCGTGCCATCTGGTTGTTCCACCTACTGGGCCATGTGGTCTTTGACCAAGCGTTCAACGGCCGCAATGAGGTCGGAGGAGGTAGACATGGTGCGTTGCGCGTCGGAGAGGCTGTGAGAGGTGAAGGTGGAAGAGTGGGAGGCACCGGCGCGCGCGCGCAACATAATGCGATCTCCGATCTCCGAGTCATTTCAAGGCACGGTTTGTTTTCACGGGAGCAAATTGAAACCCACCGCGCGGTGGCGCGTCTGGCTTAGTCAACAATGTCGCTGCAGGCGTGGCCTTTGACCATGCTCCAAAGTTTTCTTCGACTGGACAACCAGCGTGTCCCGAGGGGAGAGGAGAATATTCTGCAAAGGCCGAAAACAAATGGAGGCATTGAAAGAAATCAGTCTGCCACGGTCAAGTACTCATTACGATCAATACCAATACAGCTTGAATAGCACTGGGAGTCAGACTCATACCCACGGTAAAGAGTATTCGCGTGTTCTCTTGTTTTCTTTTTGTTTTCTCCTGTTTTCTTTTTGTTTTCTGTTCTTTTTGGCTATGGATGTTTTCTGTTGAATGAAAGCCTTGTTCCACCTACATCTTGATGTCATCCTGGGCCACATCGTCTGCAAGCCTAAAATAGATACAAAACAAGGGTGAACAGCACGCAAAGATCCTAAGCATGCATTATTTAATCAACAGCACGTTGGAAAACAAAAACAAAAAGACTTGGTGTACCATGGCACATCTTGCTATGTACACCGTGGCAAATAACTCAACTGCTGGGCAATGTTGGTTAATTAGAGGGGTCAACGCCATTTGCCCACAGACGTGTGGGGAGGAAGCTATCCGCCAAGTCATGGCCGAACAGAGGCAAAACAACAAGGGCACAATGCTGATATCTACAGATGATAGGGGGAATAGCGGGTTGCGGCCTGCAGAGGAGCGCTCATCCGCACACGGGACACTTTCGGTCAACCCAGCCGGTTTCAATCACTTTTGCTTTTGCTGACAGTGCCAGGTCCTTCTTCCCTCTAGTTTTTTGGGGGCTCCCAGTGATATCAGCGGCGTCCGCGGCAAGCCCTGGTGTCTGCTCTGAATGTCAACTATCCCTGGCTGCGCGTGGTGGAGGAGAATCCGTTTGTGGTGGTTAGTCAAGGCCAACGTGACGGGAACAAGGGATTGTGCGTCATACCAGGGGCAGAGAACACCATGTCCCACATGTTGTTGTCTCACATCAGGCCCCAATTTTTAAACAACAGCCGTTGCATTCCGCTCCTCCACCAATCGCCCCCTCCCCATCATGTTGTGCAGCAAGCATACGTACTCTTGCGATGGTGCTGTGTCTACACGGCTGGACTTGCGGAGCAGCGAACATTGTCATTACCCGCTGCGGATGAACAGGCGGGACGTGGCGGTGACGTCAGCATTTCCGGTGACGTCAAGTAGGTCGGATCGCACCTGTCGGATGGCAGAGTTTGCTCTCTACGGGACGAGTGTTGCAATCTCGTCCGCCTCCCGTAGACTCTTGCTGTGCTATATAAAGAAGTGCTTGAGGTTTTGCCACTGGCTCTCCACATTACGTCTTGTTTTCGCCTCTCCGACTCGCAACTACTTTGACAGCCCTTTTTTGAAAACACAAGCTGTAGGTCGTTAAAATCGGAGTGTTGAACTGCCACTGAATTTTGCAGTCTGCCACAAACAGCTATACAATGTCTGAGCCTTCGCAGTTCAACGGTCAGGTCAACTCGGTCCTCGGCTCTGCCAAGCAGATGGTCGGCGGTGCCATTGAGACTGCCTACTCGGCCGCTGGTGGCTCATCTGAGCCCTCGTCGTGGACAACCACAGGCAAGAAGCAGCACGCCGAGGGCGAAGCTGAGATTACCGCTGCTCAGACGCAAAACTACGCCGAAGGGTTAGTAGCAATGCGGTTTTCTATGACTAGTGGGCGATGCTGACACTTGGCAGCTTCGGTGACCGCCTCGAAGGCAAGAAGGATGCCATTGTCGGCGCCGTCACTGGCGACAAAGCCCAGGAGGTTGCTGGCAACGTCCAGCACGACAAGGGCAAGTTCCAGATGAAGGCCAACGACCGTGAGTGCTCTTTCCGTAAGTGCTGCTGCTAACAGGTAGCTACTGCGTAATGGGTGTTATATGTGTGTGTGTGTTTTGTTTCTTCAGAGTGAGGTGCGAACGAATGTGAGCGATGTGACAAAGTTGCCACAGGGAAGGGAAGCTGGGGCCCAGTCGCTTCCACACTGTGGCTTCATTCAGGTCAATGTACTGGGATATGATTGAGGCATGGGAGGCCGCTTACAGTGGTAGTATTCACGACAGCTGCACGACAGGCTGCTGTCACAAACGCATTGCCGGAGCTGTTTTGATAACATAAGGTGCACTTATAACTTACAAACAGCCCGACACAGGCAAAGGCAGGTTTCGGGGGACGTTTGTTGACGAGCTACACCATACTTTGGAGCTTTGGAGAGTGTGTGGGGGTGTTCGCGCGGGTGCGACATTCTGGGACTGCGGGTGGCGGAGACGGGGCCCGCCTCCAAGTGGCAGATAGATCCGGTGAGATCCAGACAGATCCGGAGCGAGAGAGAGACAGGGGTACAGGGAAGGGGGGGGGGGGGGGATTTTACGAGCGCGGGCCAGTTGCCAGTTGCTGCGCGCTGTTGGCAGCAGCAACGAACAGCCCATGCATGTCACCCGGCACTACACACACGGCCACACGGTGTATTTTTCACTGCATTACCCGGTCAGGCACGGGCGGCCCCCGCCGGGCCGTGCTCCGGGCCGTTCCGGGTAATGGCCACGGGGCTGCCCCAAGAGGCAATTTCGGTGACCTGGCGAGCGGTTGAACAGCCGGGGAGGGGAGAGACGGGGCGGGGCACGGGGGGCACTGGGGGCACTGGGGGCCACGGGGACGAGGACGAGCGGGGTGTGCACGCGCTTTACGCTCTCGCCTGTGGCCTGTGGAGGCGAGCGGCGGCGGCGGCGGCGGCGGCACCGACCCCCCCATGTCCCATCCCACCACACACACTGCTGCACACCACCAACCCCCACCCACACCCACACACACCCCGCCGTCGCCGCGCACAGAGCAGCACATTCTCGGCACAGCTCTGCATGCACGCGCCTCACACGCACACTCAACCTTGTCCTTTTCTCTCTCTCTCTTCCCCCCCATCCATCCCTCCCACACCTTTTATATCCTCAACGCCTCCTGGGGCTCCCGTTTGCACACCTATCACTCCCCCACATACAACCCACATACGGCCCACACTCCTATAACCCACTGGCCACATTGCATTCTACTAGCTACTAGGCCATTGACACCACCCTCCTCGTCAGACCCCGAAACCCGCTGGCCGGCCGCAGACACCACCACCATCACCTTTAGGGTCACCTGACCCCAGCGCTCTCATCTCCACACACACAAACACCTCCGCGTCCACCGTCACAGTGAGTGGTCAGTTTTGTATCACCAACACCATCATCTGCCCCCCCCCCCCCCACTTCTCTCTGACTCGGCAGTGGACGGCCTGGACTCTCTCTTTCGTTCACGACACTTTGCCCCACCTTCAAACCGCTCGACGTCATCGAGAGACATGAACCCCCACTCATTCTCGGGCTTCCCTCCCAATGAGAACCGTCCCCTTAGGGGGAGCGGTAGCGGCACATGGGACAGCTACAGCTATGGGAATGGCTTTGGTGCCAAGGAAGACGACAGGGGGAGAGAAAGGTTCAACGGCGACTCAAATCCTCGTCCCGGCACGGCTCAGGTGTTTCCGACCGCAGGACCCACTGGCAAACGCGGCAGCCGGGCTTGCGTCTCTTGTACGTCGCGCCGTCAAGACACTCGCCGTCTCTCGTCTGGCTAACTGGTGAACAGGTCGCAAAGGCAAGAATCGCTGCGAAGGCGACCCGACAGGTACAAACCAGTCATGTCGTCGATGCATGATGAACGGCATCCAGTGTGTCTTTGAAAAGGCCACAGACCGTCGCGAGCGGAGCCGCAACGAAAGCTCTGCTGTTCCCGAGTCATGGACAGGCGACGCAGAGGGAAGAGTGTCATCGCTGGAAAAGAGTGTCCATGAGCTTGCCAGCGGGCAGAATCAGATTCAGAACGCCGTAAGTGAAAAATCACTGTTGCCAAACGCTTTGTCTAACGGACCGCCCCAGTTGCAGCAGATTCTGTCCATGCTCCCTCAGGCTTCTGGGTCGCTCCCAACTCCAAGCTCTGCACCCAACTTTGTGCCGACAAGCGACCGTTCTTCAACGATCACGCCCATTGCCAACATTTTCAACCACTCTACAACACCACCCTCTGTCTTCTCCAACACGTCCCCAAGCGTTACCCAATCGTCAGGACCGGGTCTCGTGTTCTCCTCGGCTCCTGTGGACGCTCCCAAATCCCCACAGAACACTGCCAGCGGACGTCACAGCAACCGCTCCGGGGAAGGAGAGAAACGGTCATGGCCCAAGCTGCCGGGCTTTGCCCCACCGGTAAGCCACTCTGACGATTCTGCGAACCCTCAAGCTAACGACCCCAGGACCACCGTTTTGGTACCTATGGAATCATCCCAATGTCATCGGCACCGCCATCACCGACCCACTCTCGGCGCTCTTCTAGGTCGTCGTCTGTGCACTCCGAGTCGTCTGACGCTGCGGTGCCGTCGTCGTCAATGGTCGCGCCTATCCAGGCACTGCAGACTCTGGCTAACGCAGCCGACCAGGCGGCAGCGCTCGCGAACGGTGGAGTTATCCCAACCGCTATTGCCACTCCTTCGCGTAGGAGGTCAGAGGCTGATAGAGACGTGGATGACGACGGCGAGGAGCGAGGCCGCACCCGCAAGCGCAAGAGGGTCACAATTGGGGGCAAAATCATCCACCTCCGCGTCAAGGAAACCCGCTTGCCAGTTCCAAAGAACCCCTTCCCAGACGCAGTGACCAAGGGCTTGGTGTCTGAGACTGAAGCCAGAGAACTTTGGGACATGTAGGTTACTACACGCTTAATCATCGTCATCCTAACCCTGTCAGTTTCTTCACCGGATGTCACTACTTTGTTCCTCTTTGGGACAAGACGTACGACATTTACGAAAGTTACATCGAACGCACCCCGTTCTCAACCAATGGTCTTCTTGCCGTTGCTGCCAAAATCCGAGCCGGCAATGGACCGTTGGGACAGACATTCCACTGGTGCCTGGAGGAGGCTCAAGGCATCGCGCGTTCAACCCTCTTTGGCCCGATTGTTCGCAAGGAGGCTGTCATGGCCATTTTGATCCTGAGTGTGTGGAGCCAGTACAGCTGGTTGCCATGCGGTCACGCCTTGCGAGGAGGCTTGGACATGAACCTGCACCGTGCTCTTGACAACCTCGCAGACTCCGAGGAGGAGCGGTCCGAGGCAGAGGAACGAGACCTGGGTGAGTTGTCACTCCGATGGTCTCCTCGCGTTAGTCATAGCTGACCCCATCTACAGTTGTTTCGGCAAGAATCTGGCTCAATTGTTACCTCCACGAACACCTATCGAGTCTTGGTACCGGCAAGCCTTTGCTCTTGCGTGACGATTCGTCTGTTCGTGCGGCTCGGGTCCTTCTGTGAGTCACTCCACTGTGCTTCATGGAGCTAACCCCCCAGTTCTCATCCAATGGTCTCAGAAACCGACGCGAGCCTTGTGGCTAGAGTCGAGCTTGTCAACCTCCGCATTCGGGTGCTGGAGCACCTGACACCTCTGCACGGCAAGGTCGACTCGGCTACGATATCGTTTGTTCACAAGATTTTCGGAGAACTCCAAAGCTGGCACGCTGAGTGGCATGAGATTCACCGTGCCCGGTACGATGAAGAAAGCGTCTTGGTCCGGCTGTTGGAAGTCGACCTCCTTTATGCCCAGATCTGGACCGTCTGTGTCGCCTTGCGAGGCTGTCAGTGGGACAAGGTAAGCCAAATGATTTATTCTGGGGGGCAATACTGATCTGATCCTACAGCTTCCTCATGAACAGCGGGAGCTGGCCTTCCAAGCCAAAGACGCTGCACAGAAGTGTGTCCAGATCTTGCTGCAGTCTCAAAAGTTCCGTCAGCACTTGAAATGTGAGTTGATCAAATGTGCCGCGAGAAGCTGATGTCCCTCATTAGACGCAACCCACGACCAATTGGCAACCATCGCATTCGCAGCCGTGTTTTTGCTAAAAGTGGCCATGCTCTACCCCAACACCATCTCTCTGCCGACTCTGAATGCCCAAGTTTCAGAAGTGGCTCACGTTCTGTCCTCGGAATGCTATGCAGAGCGCTATGCCCTGACCCTCAAGCTGATGCTCGCCAACTTCCGGCGCAAGAGTGGTGCCATGTCGACGGTTCCAGGTACACCACGCGCTCCACCCAACCACAACACCGATCAGTTGCCAACCCACCCTGGTAATGGCACTCATGCGATGGGAGAGTTTGAAGGCGGTCTTCAGAGTCTGTTGAGCCTGCCTCAGATGCAGGAAGGTCTCGGTGACGGTGGAGTCGGTAACGAAACCTGGCCGCTGTTTGGCGATTCGACTGATGGGTTCGCCTGGCCGACAGAGTTTTCACCGTCAAACCTTCCGTCTTGGCTGCAAGACAACAGCTTTGCTGATCTGGGCCTGCCCGTCGACGGTTCAGATTCGTTGTTCTTGCCCCTCGAGTGAGTCGATAACCGACGATTGATGCTGACATCCTTCAGACTTGCCAACATGTTTCTTCCTTCGGGTACGACGTCCAATGCGACGTACCAGTTTGCCCTGCCTGATTCTGGTGACGCCGGCGCAGAAGCGTGGTAGTGAGGGTTTTGTTGTAGTGTGTTGTTGTGAATGCTATGTCATGACGTGTGTGAATGTATAAAAAGTGGAGGTTGCGGAAGTGGAGGCGTTGCTCAAGCCACATATCAATATGACGCGACAGCCGGTGGATTATTTCATGCAACACCCACCCACCATGCCCTCCCAGCATACCCGGGACCGTGGAGCAAGGGACACACTCTTTATTGCTGCGTTAACAGCATCCACGTTCATTATCTCCCACTCCCTCTTAGTCTGCCTGTCGACGCTTGTCCCCCCTTTTGACGTGTCACATACAATCAACACTTCCACCTCGCTGCCGGGACTACGATGGGACGCAATCCACTTTCTCTCCATTGCCAAGGATGGCTACGAGTTTGAGCAACAGCTAGCCTTTCAGCCAGGATGGCAGGTGATACTCGCAGCGGCAGGCAGGGCCGTTGCCCGGGTTGGACGAGGCGGGGACACTGTCAACGACGCAGATCTCGTTCAAAGCGCCCTTGTCATCAACCTGATTGCAAGGGTGGTAGCAAATGTCTATCTTTACAAGTGCGTCTCCTCGAAAGGCGATTGCTGACCATGTGCGAAAGGTTGACACGAGTCTTGTTCTCCCCGGCGTTTGGCGGTCGCGACGTCGTTGCTGTACGCGTTTCCAGTGACTCCTGCGACAGTTGTTTCGCCATACACCGAACCCATCTACGCCGCAGCATTGTTCTCTGCATTGTTCTGCTCAGTCACGGGTCAACACGTGGTTGCTGCCCTTCTCTTTGCTGTGACAACCTCTATCAGAGCCACTGGCGTTCTGTCATGCGTGATCCTGGCCTCGCATGTCCTCTTCGCCAAGTGTGCCTCACCGAAGTCATTGGGCGTAAGTGATAAGGTGTGTACTTTGCTCATCATCCAAGACGTATCTACTGCGCATCATCAAGATGGGTTTGCTCTCTTTACTCGTCTGCGCTCCCTTTCTGGCTTTTCAAGCTTACAACTATTACGTGATGTGCGAGCCGGTCGCCGCGCGCCCATGGTGCAACCTCCGGCTGCCCCTGTCTTACAGCTGGGTTCAGCGCGAGTATTGGTATGTCAGAATAGAGGACGGAACTTGTTCTAACAATTGCGTAGGAATGTTGGCCCCTTTCGCTACTGGACAATTGAGCAGTTGCCCAACTTGTTGCTGGCTACCCCCGTAATCTTCCCGACCATTGCTGGCATCTGGCAATATCTACGGCGACAACCTGTTTCTCTGGAAGCACTCTCTGACCCCCGGCTCCCAATATACGTGCACCAACTCGTCATGGTGGCCATTCTGTTATTAGCATCGCATACCCAGATTGCTCTCCGCCTTGCGTCCACCGATCCCACTGTCTGGTGGACCGTAGCAGCCTCGGCCCTTCGTCCTGGCGGATCCGGGCAGTTCTTCCCTTCCATGGGCAAGTTTTGGATCTGGTGGACATGTTACTGGGGTATCGTGTCACTCGTGTTGTGGGCTGGCCACTATCCGCCTGCATAATGCATTGGTCATCGCTGCAACAACGAGCTATGAGTGAAAGAAAGTACAAGCGTCTACGCGCCAGTCTACACAGTCTGCGTCGTGACTAGGTAGGGGCAATGCTAATCCATGTCTCGTCGGAGCCCTTGTGTCGCCAAAGTTGAACCCAACTTGACGCGGCCATGTATACGATCACCTCGTCAATCATGGGTGACCCAACATCCAAGTCACGCAGCTCAGCGATGAAGTCACCAAGGGTCATGGTCTTGGGAGGGAAGTTAGCGAGTGCCGTTGGAACGGCACCTACCTGGCGAGGCTGGTTGCACAGCATGGTCAAGGCATTCCGAGATATGGTCAACATCTCTGCCCTCTCCTGGTCTGAGAGATCCAAGGAAGGATCCCCGTCATGCTTGGGGAGATTGCTCATAGCCGGGGGGGGGGGGGGAGGGGGTGGAAGGTCCTGGCCACCTGCGGCTAGAAAAAAGGGAGAAGCGTTAGGCGTAGTGCTGAGGGTTCATGTCGAACAAGCGATAGCTCAAAGCTTCGCGGTCTGGCTTTGAGAGGCAATCGCAGGCCGCTAGGCGTAAGATAGTGGAGATCTATATGACGGACAGTGAGTTGCAGCACACGACGATCTGATCATCCAGCCGGACGGTGAAGGGGATCCCGCGGTGGCGCGGTGGCGGGGATATATAGGTAACCCTGGTCCAGCCGGGCCCTGTGGCCTGTGGCGACTGACTGCACGTGACCGCATGACGGTGGCCCTCTCCGATCTCACCTCTACTGCCCCACCTGCCCCACTCTGGCTCACTTATCTGCTGGGACGTTGCAACATGGCCGCCGCTTCCCCGCATCTCCCTCTCTTCAACCGTTAACACACCTGAACACACAAATTCCCCAAAGGCCGCTGCTCGCCTGCCCCTTTTTCAGATGGGATCCACCACCGAGTGGGATGTGCTGAAAAGGCATCACCAGTAAGAAGAAATCGACGCCCGCGATCTGCTGCTGACCATTCGAGATTTGTGCGTGAAGGCGAAGATGCCAACGACGTCTCGTGGGAGGAACGTCTAGCACGCGCATATGAGAGCAAGATGTTCAAAGAGTATGCGCTGGTGAGCCTCAGCGGGCCTGAAATCTTCGGAAGCTAAGTGTATAGGTTGACCTCAAGCATTACAAGTCGAAGCAGTTTGCGCTGAGGTGGCGAACAGCGACAGAGGTGGTTCAAGGTGTGGGCGAAGACACATGTGGTTCATTGCGGTGCCAATACCATCCATCGCCACCACAAAATGTCCACTCTCCAGTATTGACAGCGTTCGAGCTGCCGTTTGTCTACGACGAACAGGGACGTCGCAAAGAGGCGCTGGTCAAGGTCCGGCTCTGTCGCAAATGTGCCGACAAGCTCACATGGAAACCCCGAGACAGAGACAAAACCAATAATGATCGAGATCAGGACAAGGATGACAGCGACGACAAAAGGCGACACCGACGACGTTCTTCGTCACCAGAGAGGCGACATGCCTCGCTCAGGCGACGGTCAGATAGGGACGACAGTCGCCGGGCTCACCAAAGAGGGTGATGCAGCGCGCATTCATGAACGGTGTATGACATGTACAAGATATGTATGTATGCTTCTGCATCTCGGTAGGCTTTGGCGCTGTGGGCATTGGCGTTGGGCGAGGTTGTCAACAAACAACCGTTAATGTGGAGGGCTTAAACAAAAAAGGGACCAGGAGATCCAGAGATCCAGAGACGCGTCGGGTTGACGCGACAGCCAGGCCAGTGCGTCATTTCGTCGTCTCCTCTTCCTTTCTCCACTACCAACCACCGACATGTCGGGCAAGTACTCTGGCCTTCCAGACATTGTAAGCATAACCAAGCTGCTCGTATTCTGACTATTCCAAGGACTCGGCACCTGACGTTTTCGAGACTCCCGATGAGCCGGCATCAGCGCAACGACGGGTGATTGGCGAGAGTCAGTACTGGTGCTAACATATCCAGGACGAGGAGAATGGCGAGGACAATCGCAAGGCATCAATACCATCTGCGGGCAATGCCATCGACACATCTGAGCTCCCATCTCGCCGCCTTGCGGGCGAAAAGTTTGACGATCGTGAGTCCCAAGGGCTTTGCGGGGACTAATTCCAAGGCAACCCGGTTGTGATCAGCATTCCGTCCAAGGAGAGCCAAGTCACTCGGCTGCGACGTCTTCAAGCCGAGGTCGCACAACTCGAGACAGAAATTGCTGCGACCGCTACGGAAAGCGACAGCTCCGCGTCACCGAAACGTCGCTCTGTTCTTCCACCACGCCAGCCAGTCGACATTGTCACAGAGCTGTCCATTCTCCGCGAGAAGCTGAACTCGGCTTCGAACAACATCGCTACCGCATCGTCACAGCCCGAGTTTGACGACTGGTCTGGTAGGCTACAGCAGCTTGGAACGCTGAAGGAAGGAAAGCCTGCTCCTCCTGACTCAAACGTTGTGGCGCCTGGGGATGGCAACCGCACGCGCCTGGGCGACGTTGACTCGCGCTTGGCGGCGTTGGAGCGGTTGGTCGGCGTTTCGGATAGCCCGCAGGAGATGGTGGGTTACACTTGTTGCTCGACGCGACCAACTAACGCTTGCTCAGTCCTCTATCTCTCTCATCGACTCTGTGAGCCGAATGGACCACCTCCTCAACGTTCTTACCCAACCTCGTCACCTGGACTCCATCGCGAGGCGTGTCAAACTGCTACTTGTTGATCTGGACAGAGCGTCGACAGCGGTTCGCCGTGGAGGCAACTCTGGTGTTGGTTCCTCATCTGAACGTGCGGCCGGTGGACTGTCCCCAGCAGACCAGGAAGCGCTACACGGTCTCTTTCGACTGTTGCCGCGGCTCGATCCCCTTATCCCCGTTGTCCCTCCTCTCCTTGCTCGTCTTCGCAGTCTGTCGGGCCTGCATGCCGAGGCTCTTGGCATTGCGGCCGACCTCCGTATCCTGCAATCCAACGATCGCAACATTACCGAGGAGGAACGTGAACTACAGTCTATTGTTTCTGGCGTCCAGCAAGGCGTTACTGAAGCAGCGACAAGTATTTCGAAGAACTGGGAGTCCATACAGGGAAGGATTAACCAGTTGGAGCAACGGCTGCAGGTGCTGGTAGACTGAGCGACGTTCCACTTGTGATGATTGTAAATGCATATGTTTATTTATCTTATCATTTCGGTGTGACAACGGCAGCGTTACTGGGAGCAACGACAGTACCGAAAGGATAGACATCTCCTTGAGCTCCAGCGCCATTGAGAATGGCCATGACTTGATATTGGTCACCCATGCCGTTCTTATCAATGAGACGGTCGGCTCCCTTTTGGAGCCGTTGCTGCTTCTCGCGGCTTTCGGCTTGGGCCAACAGCTTGGACAGTCGAGGCTCCAGTCCCATGGAAGTGAGGAAAGTCGATTGAGAAATGGGGCCAGCGCCAACAGCCACATCCTTTAAAGATTCCTTCAGATAAGCGAAGTCAACATTTGCAGTCAAATCCGAAGACCCAGGTTGGTCAAAAATGTCGACAATCTTGTGCTTGCGGAATGCCTGGTTGTTAACGGGCTGTCGTCCTTCTCCTTACGTACGCGAAAACTGTTGGAGAACGACCGGTTACCGCCGTAATCAATCACCAGGCCTGCACCTCCTGCTGCCATGGTTTCGCCTAGACCTCGTACGATTCGAGACGAGTCAGGAGAAATCTCCATGCGGCTGCCAATTGGCAGTGTCGAATATCTCGATGAGGCTGCCGGGAGAAGAGAAGACAGCATGCTGGAATCACGGTCCAGAGCCAACGTGAACTTTGCGTTCCCAGCTGCAGGAAGGCTCACAATTAAGCATACGGTCGGGTCAAGGCACCTACTGTGACGGATTGCGGTCAACGCGAACTTCTCTAAACCCATCCGCTGTGCGCTGGGACGTTAAGTGCTCTGCTCAGCTCGGGGAATGCCTAAACGTACCTGAAGAATGTGGACCGGAAGGGCATCAAAGAACTCGTGGGCGATAGCCATTGTGTAGACGTCGGCTGTGATTTGATCAGTTGCAGGGTCAATCGATGAGCATACACTTTGGAACGCCGTCAATGTCGTCCTCCCAGCAAAGCTCAGCGCCGAGCAACTCGGCCCGTACGGAGAGCTTGTCCTTTTGAAGCTTGCGCATGTTCATGCTGTTCTCCACCAAGTGAATGGACTTGATCTGAACTTGCTGGAACGACTGGAAAGTCTGTCTCCTTTAGCGCAAGTCGCTTCAGAGGAGAAGCGTCACTCACTCTAAGAACGTCGTCCATCAGCGTTCCTCGGCCCGGGCCGAGTTCAATGATCCGGCACTCGGCAGGACTGCCTGCCGCCATCCACCTAGTCAAAAGCCAGATAGCAACAAGCTTGATACACAGGTAAGCAAGCTGTCCTTGCGACTACACACGTACCTCGCCGAAGATCTGGCTAATTTCCGGAGACGTAATGAAATCGCCTTGCTTGCCGAACACATCGCCTTGGCTGTAGTAGCCGAGCGTTGGGTGCGTCAAGCACATTTGCATGTAACGTGCGACTGGCATGGGTCCTGTAGCCTGTGTCACCGTCAGTACGGAACATTCTTATGCCACATTGGGCAACACCAACAGAGATGGAGTCTTCGATGATTTGAGCTAGCGAGGGGTGGATGCTGCCAGGTGACGGAGTAGCCGCCGTGCTGACCAGTCGAGCCGCAGACGGTGAGAACAGAGTACGGTTGGGAATGGCCGCATTATCGCAGAGTACATGGCTCAAACCCCGAATGGGAACAGTTCTCCCCAGAGTTGCCAGTGCCAGTCGTGATGCAGCCATGGCGAATGTCGCGGGTATGAACGCGAAATGGTTAAATGGACAAAGTTGTGGTCCGAAATCCGAGATCCATTCGGTCAAAGAATTAATTACGTAATGAGTGACGCTTGTTAAAGGTGGAGCAAATGACACGTGTGAGAGTTTGTTGTTTACATCTCTTGTTGTTGCTCACCTTTCCATCACATCACATCCGTTGCTATAATGGAGCAGCTATTCACCCCCGATTTCTCCCAGCCTAATACCGCCCCTTCGAATGGCCACGAGCATGCGTCATCCGTCGGGGATGATGTCCCGCACATCGACGACCAACAGGCTGCTTCGACCGCAGACGTTGCCGACCACTTGAACGGCCCCAATGTCGATCAATCCGATCAAGATCAGGCTCTCCGAGGCAAAGCAGCCACGCATGGTTTGACCATTGAAGAGAAAAAGGAGAGGCAGAAGCAGCAAAACCGTCGTGCTGCAGAGCGGAGCAGGAACAAAAAGAGAGAAGAACTGTACGTACTCCGTGGTTCGGCTGTTCTTATGTCACGGGCTCATCCTTTAGCACTGCCCTTGAGATGACTGTCAACAACATTCAAGACGAAAACCAGCGTCTGAGAACCCGTCTGTCTTCACTACTTGCCTCCAAGTCTGAGGATGCGCCACAAGTGCCAACCGACGTCGAAGCAGCCGGTCATTCAAACCCTGGGGGCATCGACTACGCCAACCTTGCCAAGCTTCAATCCGAGCTTGCCTCAGCCAAAGCGACATTGCTTGAGCGTGAGATGGAACTGGCCCGTGTGCAGGGAGAAGAGCCGACTGGCGACAATGACGATGCTCGCCGACTCCTGTTAACGCACGCTACTTCCCTTCAGACTGCCCAGTCCGAAGTCAAGGTGTTGCACTCAGCCATCAGTCACATTCGGATGGAGCGTGACAATCTGGCTCGTCAACGCGACATTCTTACGCGCGAGGTTGAGGCTCGACGCTCTCTTCAAGACGCTACAAATGGCTCGCCTCCGACAAGCGCCACGGCTACTGGTGTTGAGCGTGCACTTCTGGAACTCCGCGGTTTGGTCGACAACACAATAAAGTCATGGGAGCAGGTGAGTGCACGCGGAGGAGGAGTCGATTACTGACGACACTAGGGATCAATCCTGCAGACGAGGTCTTTCAACTCGGGCGAGGGAGACAGGTAGAGGCGTACTGTGTAACAGTCTGAGAGGAGTTGGGCAAGTGTCGACCGGGGTTTTTTGAGGTTATGAGCCATCCGCGCCACTGTCCGTTCCATTGTAAATAGTAGACTTGGTTGCAAGCGGTGGACAGACATGTATTCATGACGAGGGCGAAGACTGCGAAACTCTCTCTCTCTATGCACCACAACTAACTGCCTTCTTCATGCCTGGATGTCGTCCTGGTCGTCCCTCACTTGCCACTTCAACAGATCGAGAGTCGCTTTGGCATCTTCCACCGAACTGTGGCCTGCATCTGCAGTGTGCACTTGGATAAAATATCCAAGCTTCTCTTTGACCCTGGATGCTGGTAAGCCAAAGACGACGGCACTGAAGCTTACAAGTCACGGAGCGCTCGACGAAATGGTGCACCTTTATCATGGGGGAAAAGCTGAGCCTGTCAGCTGGGTCCTATGTTACAAACCAGACGCACAATGGCGGTGTCAATTACATGTGGATGGAGAAGTCTCATAGCTCGCAAGTCGTTCTCAAGTCTGGATGTGTCAGAAGTGACGCTGTTTGACAAATCAACACACCCATGGCCTACGATAACGGTATCCGGCCCGATGAAGGAGCAAGCCGCGGCACGAACGTCGTTAATGTCCATCACCGCATTCTCCAAGTCAGCCGCGCGAACACCGGAAAACCTGGTGTTATAGTCGCTTTCCATTAGCCATGGACAGTGATAAGAATACTCACAGGACCGACACGGTTTGACGAACAAACTCGTCGAGAAGGATCGCCCCGTTCTCATCAATAATTGATATGCGCGCCAAAGACGAACCAGCGGTGGTGCCTATACGTCAGTCGTGAGTCTAAATAGGTTCGCCTCACTGATCATTTCACAATCAATCCCCACCACATCCACATGTTTTGTGCCTTTCAGCCCTTTCTCTTCAATGATCTGAGCAGTTGTCTTGTAAGGGACTCGCTGGGCAAGCTTGACGTCGTCATCATTGTCGGTGAACACGTGTACGCCCTCTTCACAGCCAGCCGCACCTCGCTCCTTTCGGCAGCACGAGTAGATCCACACGCGTTTTCCTTCGATACGCTCGGGGACTGTTCGACCATGGTGAAAGATGCAATCACCCATGTCCTGTGATGTTGAAACGACAAAGTCGATCTTGCAACGGTAGCAGGTCTGGGCGAAGCCCTCAGAGGAGACACAAGTGGTGGATGGTACTACCAGCTCTGTAATTGTCGAGTCGGGATAGCCCCATTGAACCATTGTTTCGTGGGAAAGACAGTAACGACGCAGTCGTTCAGGGGACAACCGACTGGCTTTGGCAAGCTGTTCAGCTTGTTGAGCCGCTCTGGACTCTCGAACGGTCCCGATTGACGAATGAGGGATACGGTCTGGCGGTGGACGTCTTGAAATGGATACCGCAGCGTGATGGATGGCCGACTTGTAGGCTTTTAGGTTATTGGTGGTACCAGAGATGTCGTTCTCCTGGGCAAGGCTGGACTCGTGGGCAAGCGTAGGTTGTTGCTCAAGGACTCCTGCGTAGAGCTTTTGAAACTGAGTGAACAGCGTACGCACTGAGTAAGCCCAGACCTTGTGCTTTGCAAGACCCACATGCTTTTTGGCGATCTGACACAGGTTGGTTTGTCGTCTTGCCAAGCTGGATCCTGGGAGCTTCATTGAGGTTGACATTGGCCTTAACAGTTGGCTATTCGGTTGTCAGGTATTGTCTGATGTTGAATTAGGTCTGCAAAGCTTACCTTTGAATGGACAGCAGACGCTGTGCTTGATGGAGAGACTGTAGAGAAGGAGGATGTCATGACGGATGCACGCCGAGTTGGCTGCGTGGAGCTTGTAGCCGGCGGGGGAGCAAGCTGGGTTGTCCGTGGCTTCTTGCTGGGAGGTACAGGATCAATGCTCTTGCTTGGTCGCTGGTCGACGTGGGCGAACATGCATTTTGATCGACCGCAGTCTTGCTGTGGGCATCTGTAACGCGCAAAGAGCCCCAGGTTTGCAAACATGATAGAGCGCGAGTGGCGACAACAATACCGAAACGACAACAGCTCTAGCAAAACGGGGCTACGCTTGAAGGGCGTGGACCGCTTGAGTGGAGGTGTTTTGCTCCCGCTTGCCCGCACGTGTTTGCGGAACCAAAATAGCTGAAGAGCGTCATGTTGTGGACGACGCTTTCAGTTGCACGCTGTTGCGTTTCCGACTTGCTTCATCACCACTGGGCATGTCCAACGGCCAACGTAAGTCGCTCCCGTTTCTGCTCAACAACGTGCTCACATATCAGACCCATACCCGCCCCCGGGCAGCCTTCCGCCGTTCCGGCCCAATTTTCCTCCTGGAGCAGCACCTCCTCAAGGTCTTCCTCCTTTCCCTCCGAAAGGTGGTGGCTTTGGGCAACCGCCGTTCCCTCCCAACTTCGCCCCAGGCTCTCCGGGAGTGAGACCACCCTCATCTTATCCTCCTTCGTCTGGACAAGGTCTCCCTCCGCTACCAACTGGGTTGCCCAATCCTCCTCAATCCGCCACAGGATCGCAGCACGGAGGTGGTCGCCCGAGACAGGACGTAAAGACAACAAAGATCTTCGTCGGCAGCATTGCCCCAGGTATCAAGGATCAAACGTTGAGGGAGTTGCTAAATGTAAGGTGCTTAGCACTGTGCTGGCGCTGACTGTAGGCATGTGGCCCCTTGCACGAACTCAAACGCGTTGAAGGTGCGGGAGGCAAGCCTCAAGCTTTCGGTTTTGCCTCCTTTGAGAGCCCAGAGGTCGTCTTACGCTGCATTCGCTGCCTCAATGGCGTCGAACTTCCAGACCTCACTCCTGAGGGCCTCCATGAAGGCCGTCCATCAAAGGCCCTCGTTGTCAAAGCCGATCAGAAGACCGCCGCCTTTTTGCAAGAGTTTGAGGAAACCTTAGGCCGTACGGACGTAAGTGTGACAATTCTCAACTGCAGCTGACATCGCTTTAGAGTGACGAAAGTGCCGACACAATGTGCCGAAAGGCCATTGCCCATATTGTCACTCGTCTTACTGATTCGAGTGCGCATCGGAATGACGGCCGGCAAGGTCGCGGCTCAGGTCGCCTTTCGCCCATCAACGTCGTCGTGCCCGCCCATTTGCAAGACCTCAAAGAGGGTGACCTTCCGGAAGCTCAGCGTGTTGCTGTCCTGGACCAGATTGCCATCTTCCGCGAGAATGCGGCTCGTCGAGAAAGGGAAAAGAAACGCATTGATGACGACAAGGATCGCTTCAAGCTTAATCAAAACTCTAGCCACGTTGGTTACGGTTATGGCGCTCGCGCCTTTTCTAAACCTGAAGTTGTTCAGCCATCGGACGGCCAACATCGCTCTCCTGTAGGCCAAGGGGGAAACGACGAACGCAGGGACCCACAAGGGTACTCACATCCTGTGTCATTTGTGCGACCTGAGACCGCACAAGGCAAGAGCGAAAGTGAGCGTACCGACAAGGAAGAGGAAGCCGTTCGCCAGCAACGCCGCGAAAAGGATAGGGCCCAAGCTTTGCGTGATGTGAGACCTCTACCCCCACACCCGGACACATGTTGACAGCCGCAGCGCGAAGGTCGAGTGGAAGCGCGTGAGAGGCATCGTATCGATGCGGCGCTGCGCGAACAATCCGTTCGCCATCAACGCACTGATACCGAAACCCGCAACCGGCGCAGCACTGTCGAGCATCTTGATGGCTGGGATGACGACGAGATTGAGGAGCGTGGTAAAGAACCTTTCTACAGCGACCGGTGAGTTCCAATCTTGACAATAAAATTGACATTTGCCAGTGCCCAGTGGCGGATGCAGAGGCAGCATCAGCGACTGCGCGAAGAAGAGGAAGACACGGAGGATCGTCGACAGGAAGGCATGGAGCTGAAGGCTCTTGAGGCCGAGTCTGAAGACTTCCTGAAGCGACAGATGGCAGAGATGGTGACTCTGGAGGAAAAACAAAGGCAAGCGGGACTTCTCGCCGAAGACGCAGCCCCAGTAAAGCTTGCCATCGTCACGGACGCTGTTGCCGAACCGAAGGAAGAAAAGGCAGCCTCTCTACAACCTCACCGCCGACCTGCCATGGCATTGGGAGACGACGAGGACGACGCCGGCATCCAAAAGAGGAAGCGAGCTCTCGTCAAGCTGGAGTACGAGCAGGAGCTGGATGAGGCAGAGGAACAGGCGAGAAGGAAGTCTCGATTGGTGGAGATCAGCCGCCAAGTGCCATCCAGCAAGCATAGCGTGTTTGATAGCCAAGTGGAGTGGGATATGTTGAGCCACGTGAGTACTGCTCCTGTGCTCAGTGTGCTGACTGTTTGCTTCAGGCGACGCCTCGTTCCAAGATCCGGACGTTCACCCGTCGAAAGATTATCGAGGTTCTCGGCGAGCCTGACGAGGATCTTATCGACTTTGTCATGGAGCACATTTCTGATCACAAGGGCCCAGAAGACCTTGCTGATGGCCTGAGTCCCATCCTGGCGGACGAGGCGGATGGATTTGTCACACAGCTCTGGCGGCAGATTCTGTTTGAGACTAGAGCAGCCAAGGAGGGTATCGACAGTGGTTCTACTACTGTCTAGACGCAAGCTGCGAGTTTCTTCAGATAGTAGCCAGCAATGCATGACCGTCGCAGCATGAAGTAGCGTCGTGGATCTGGCGAGACAACCAGCAGACAAAGTGCCAGGGTGTTTCTGGCCTCTGGAGTGCTGCGGAGCTGGGGCTCCGGAGCGGTCACGTGGTGCTTGTCACAATACCATGGTGAATCATAATACCGCCGACCGTCCTTGTAAAGTTGCTTCGTCCATCCATCGACTCACTTTCTTTTACACCACAATGGCGTCGACCTCCTCGCGACCGCCAGTACAAGCCTCGGGGAAAGCGACTCTATCCCTGTCACGTGAAGTCGTGGTGCGTACATCCAGCAAGGAGAACGCACTGACGTGCTTATACAGGGACAATTCAAACCAGCTCGCGTCTTCAAGGACGCTGTCAACAACAGTACAGCTAGCGACAGCCAAGGAGTGTCATCTCCGCCGCGGCAGCCACTTCAGCTCACCGGCATTGCATTTGATGACACTGGAGACCGCTGTGTCACCACTGGCGAGGACGACGTGTTTACTGTATACGACACGAGGAAGGGCAAGTGAGTACAGACACTTCTGATGTGCTGCTTCCGACGTTCCAGGCGCCTGACCTTCCTCGCAGAAAGCTTCGAACGCTATACTCAAAGAAGTACGGAATTGCACATGCCCGGTTTGCCCATCGACGGGAAAACATCATCCACGCTTCGACCAAGGGTGATCATGCAGTTCGCTACCACTCGATGCACGACAACAAGTACCTATCTTACTTTCAAGGTCATTCTAGCACGTGAGAAACACCATGTCTACGCCAGCCAGTCGCTTACATTCAGCGTGAGATCTCTGCAAATGAACCCGGCAGACGACACATTCATCTCGGCTGGTGACGATGGAACAGTTCGCCTGTGGGATCTTCGCCAGCCGACCTGTCGCGTAGGTGGCCACGAAAGGTTAAAGTAGTCACTGACATCGAAAGGGACTGGTTAATGACGTTGGCGGTTCAACAATAGCCGCCTTTGATTCCACGGGGGCTGTGTTCGCGGTCGCATGCTCAGCGAATCAGACGGTTATGCTGTTCGACTCCGGATCGCTAGATGATGTAAGTATTGACTACATTACCCGACTTGGTTACAGCTGACCTGTCCAGTCTCCATTTGCCCACGCCGCGCTGGTCGACCCTGCTCTTGCGCAAATCTCTGCTCCGCCACCTCGCCCAAAGTTTACATCGTTGTCCTTTTCTAACAATGGCGCGTATCTACTAGTCGGCACCTCGTCTAGTGTCCATTATGTCTTAGACGCGTTCGATCTCAACGTTGTGCGGCGTTTGGAAGGACATCAAGGCTTAGGATCATTGAGTGGAGAAGAGGTCTGCTGGAGTGCGGATTCCAACTGGGTCCTGTCTGGTTCGATAGATGGAACAATAGTGGCGTGGGACTTAACTCCCCCAACGGGTGCCGCCAAACTGGAAAGTGTCGGACGCGACAGGCTCGCGGAAACCTTGAAACCTGTGACAGTATTGAAAGCAGGTGACGGTCAACACGCTCCAAGTCGAGCCGTGGCGTTTAACCCACGCTACGGCATGATGGGCGTCGGCGGCGAGGAACTCGTGAGTCCGACTTGAAAGGTAGCACTTAGGCTGACGGACATTAGTCATTTTGGCTCCCAGCACAAGCCGTTGAGCCAGAGGAAGGTTGGTAGAGTTGCATAATTTGAAAGGACTCCCTAAGTGGTGCCATATAGGAAGAGGTACATGCAGAATTACGAGATATTGAGGGACGGTGGAGTACAGTTCCTAGAGTTCCTAGAGCCGTGGATGACAGATCATGGAACTGACATTAGGCGAATGTTACTGTACTTACTTTGATGGCATGAGTGTTTCGGGCGCCCGCACAATAAACGGTACGGTGTAAGCGTGTAATGGAACAACAGGTTCATAAATCGTACGGAATGAAGGCTTCGTAAAACGCGTCCGTGGTCGCCCAAAGCCAGTGGTTTAGGACGGGGCATGGCCACCGATCCACCGAGTGGCCCGTGATCCAGTGATGTGGCTTGGAGTCACATTTGCGAGGTCGTTACCCGCTGCGGGCAAAGCGCGAGCGGGAAAAAATCCCGTTCACCTGAGCACCAGCAATAACGCTCGTTGCGAGTAGGGTTGTAGACGCGGCGACATTGTTGCCTTCGCCCATGAAGACGTACATGGGGGCTGCTTCGGACCAGTCACACAAAGGCTCGTGTTGGTGTCACACTTTGCAGCAGCCTTGCCCTCAGGAAGGCGACAGGAGTGCAAGGGCCGGCTTCGTTAACAGAGATAGTGGTCATGTCTGAAGGCTTGAGATTCGCCACATCTGGTGTAGGCGATGACAAGAGCGGTCCAACTTGCTGTTGTTGACCGGAAGGTTGAAGCGGTTGTCGGTTTGTAGAGGGCAGACAGCGGCACCGCCGGTGACGCAACGGTGCCGCTGTCGCCACAAGAGCATAGGTGGCACCAGGAATACGGCAGCAGTCGGTTTTTGCACGGTTGCAGGCAAGCTCGCTTGTGAGGAAACACCAGAATGGAGATACATGAACTCGCCAGCGGCCGGGGGGTAGTTTTTGAGACCATGAGCAAACCACTGATCCACTGAGCGATGGTGGGGTTGTTGCGCTTGCGAAGCGGTACTGCCCGCTGGTTCTACATAGGTCCTGTTGTGAGTGGCATCGCCAACCCGGTTGGGGTAGTTGAGACCGAACAGGTCTTGTGCCAAAGGGCCATACTTATGAAGCCTCGGTGCTGCCACCTTCGCCGGAAAATGCCCATAATCATGAACTCACTGGGCGGCAGCGGTTCCACAGAGAACAAGGACCACTGCAGCGAAGAAGGCACGGCACAGGTAACCATTGTGACCAAAGAACAGACTGTTGTGATTTTCCAAGGAGATTGGATCCAGAGAGAGAAAGAAAGAGTGTGGGTCCCAAGTTGGTCTTGATCCGATGAAAGCGACCACCTGGGCCGTCTTTTTAGGCGTCTCAAGGTCCAGTTTTGGCCAGTGTGCGTATTGACTGGACCTTGCGAAAGTGCTTCCGAATTGTACCTTTACTGTTGTCAATCACAACCTCGAAGGCCCATCCCGAAGCAGAAGACAAGAAGACCGTCTTGGTTCTGAATGGCCACAGAAGTGTTGTGAACCAATGGTGTGTGTGGCAGAGCACCTCCACACCCAGTAACCCCTCTGCAAGTCCCACCGTCATCCGACGACCCGCCTTCACCAATCAGGAGGGGCGGCAGGACGCCCACGACGTCGTCGCCGACCTCTTCACGCTCTACCGCGTCCAGTGGTCACCTCGAGGCTTTGGTTTTATCCCAAACTGGCACCCAGCACTAGTCCCCCCGCTTGGCCCAGACGTCTTCCGTTATTGATCACCATCACCTGCAAAACGTGGCGCCTGTTGTTCACAATGTATAACATCAATTATGTACCCAAATGTTTGTATGTATTATGTACATCCCGTCCGCCACCGCCATTTACCTGCTGTCATCGATCAATACATGGCCCCTGGTCGCGGCCTCAACCTTGCCTTGGCGATACGCTCGGTACGGGGTGTGGGCGTGGGAGCCTGTAGCAAGTAAGTCTGGCCAATCCTCCACCCGGTCGGGGTAGCGGAGGGCAAGATACACCTCGCCGGTCAGCGCCGCTAGGTGAGCACTGATCAGTATCCCAGCGCACTGTACCAGCGTGTCGTGGCCTGTTAATAAGTAATACGAAACCTTCGCTGTATATTTGTGTTCCGCTTCCGCACAGAGCGCACAGAGGACTGGTAGGTGGACGTGGAGACGTTGGGCTATATATAATAGGGCGTGGATGCAGCAGAGCTGTCGGTGTCTGGAATACCTAGCACGGCAGTACGACTGGAAACTTCCACTTGCTGCAGCACGACATAATATGTGCATGACATGTAGGACCAAACACCTCAACGTCCCCGACTTCTGTACAGGTATGTCATTTCCTCGACCAAAAAAAAAACAAAACAAAAACAAATCAAGTCAGCTTCGTGTCACAATTTTGAGACCAAAATGAGAGCAGTCATGGAATTGACAGCATCGATTCCAGCATAGCAGTCAAGCAAATAGTCCAATAAGGGAAATATGGAGCTATGCATATGAGAGAGGATTAATGGTCATGGTCATTTACGGTACATAGGAAGTCATCGGGACCCAGCCGTGTGTTTACAGGCAGCGGGTCCAACACTATGATTGTGGCCCTACAGGTGCGCGCAACGCTAAGCGTGCTTGTTAGTCGCAGCCTTGGCCATTCCTTTGACCAACACGGTCGCGTATATACCCAACTTGTCCCCAAACTGTACGCGCCTGTCCAGGTTATAAATGCTACCACGCTGGACGACAGACCATGATGCTTCACTCGCGTCAACCCGGACGCCGATATCTAGAGTGTGCCTACCAAGTTCCAAGCCAACGTTGTCACCCTCTCGCGCGCAACATTATTGGCATTGTCTATGCCGTTTTGAGCACGATATGTGCCATATGCCCAACTTTTCCCTGTATTGTACGTAGAGTTGATTGACTGTACGATTACAGGTGTGGCACATCCGCGAATCTGCGACCAGCGATCAGTGGTCGCATCGTCAAACAGATCGGTAATAAATCCCAATGACTTGCAGACCTATCTATCGGTTGTCCGGATCTCGATGTGAGCCTCACTACCCAGCTTTGACCCAAACAAGGGGAGTGGCGGAATTTGGCCGTCGAGATAGGCATATGAACGTAAAACCAGGTTTCAACTTACTCTTACTATCCAGTATATCACACTGGTACACTGGTCCAGAACGCAGTGCAGAAAACCACTTGGCAATGGTGTCACTAACACGTTGAGTCCACAAGCCACAATGTCCGTCAGTGGCCTTTATTATATATATAAGGCAACGCAGGGTCATGGTGATCTCTGATGTAGGGATTTCGGGAAAATGCATCAAGTTCTAACACTCATGGGAAGCCAGCAAGGTGTTTTGCCGGCGGAAATTAACGTATCCCCCGGCCGCGTTCCGAAGGCTGAGGTTGGTGAAGACAATCTTTTCCGTTGCTTCATTCGCGAAAAGTGTATACAGTATTCCGCAGTCCCACTGCCTGGCTACTTGGAAGGGGTTTCCAGATTAAGAGTATCAGGTCTCTGACAGAGATCAACTTTCATCAAGAGGGCGACCATTTCGACGTCACCACTTGTGTCATGGCGGTCAGTTGTAAGAATGCTCATGTTGCCCACCAAAACGACACTACGGGCCAGAAGCAGATCTTTGTCTTCTTCACTATGATGGTTTTATCGACACATTGCATGCCCCCTACCACCTCACATACTTTGTCCCAGGCTCTCACTTTGTCCCAGGCTCTCACAAAATGGCAAATCATCCATAGTTGACGGAACTCCTTGTGCCTCCCTCTTCAAACGCTGCAGTCCGCTTGATTATACGTTCCCTCGGGTGGATGTGATTTGAATTTTTGAACGTGTCCGCACAACCTGCCTGCAGTCTATGGCAGTCCTAGCTCGACAACCTGAGAGGGCTGTGACAATCACGAAAGAGGCTCAAGTAATACTATGCTTCAAGCAATTGTTGCACGGCTCATATTTGGCTAAGTACAGTACAGTACAGTACAGTACTTACTTCCAGTCCACAGTTTATATTACAACGACACAGTGCCGAGGCTCAAGCATCTGGTATGCACCTTATTTGAGAAAGTTTCCTGCACTGAGGCGTCCTCCCATGGAGACAATGCGCAAGCCAGCCCGGCAATAGAGGGAGAGCGCGATGCAACAAACGTCATGAAATGAGTCAACATTCATATTTAAGCACGGAATGGGGTGACGCAGTTACACAAATGAACGATAGACCGCTACATATCACAGACTGCTCTCAGCATTGAGGAAGAGGATGCAATCAATACATATCGCGGGGTTAGAACGCTTTACAACTTCTTCCTAAATTTTGGGTAACTTCCTTCGACCAAACCCCACTGGGTCTGCAGGCTCCCATCAGCAGCTCATCACAGGCTTTAAAAGGACTTTGTGAATATGCTTGCAGACCAAGGCGAGGACTAGTGGGAGCCCTTCCCACATTCCGGAAACTCTAACTGTCGGAAGGCCAAGCTACTTGCTTAATTAATTTGATTCCTCACAGAACCATGGAGGTAGACCTATCGAAAGTGCAGATTATGACCCACCAAAGCTGATGCGTCATTCATTTTGTACAAGCTTGCATCGGTCCCACCTATGAAGACTGTATTTTTGTTTGTTTCCTTTCGCGCCCCATGGGTCAGCAGACGTATTATCGCTCGCTCCCTGTACCATTCTCGATGCTAGGAGTAGTGGAGCTAAGCATAATAGACAGAGCTTTGCCTTCAGAATTGAGGGCATGCATGTTTATTGAATTATCGGAGATGTCTATCCTCTGTGTTGTCATACAGTCAACAGTTGTTCCATGAGTAGCTACATGTATGCGAATATCATGCTAGATAGCGACATGAGTGGAGTCAACACAACGTACTTACATTCTCGATGTATTTCTGCATAAAGCCACAAGGGCAGCCGCTTGCCCCAAGGGTCCAAATAATGCGTTTTGGCAAACCTTAATTACGCTTCTGAAACGTTACTGCCTGACCGCAATCAACGATGTACTGGGAAAACCGTGTACAGTACAATGTAGAGATCGTA